CCCCCTGAAGCAGCTGCCTTTTCCTCTTCTCCTCCTGCTCAATGGTAGGGCTGGTCCTGAATGCCTCTCCTCTGGCAAATTGAGAATGCCCCACCCCCTCCATCGCCCCCCCCAACCAAGGATAGCTTTGAAAGCAGGCAATGCCCGCTTGCTCCCAGAGTCCAGGACAAACATGCCAACTGCACCCTCCAAATCAAGAGGGCACCTGGGGACAGTGCAAGACTTTGGGGCAGAAGCCACACACACCCCCCAAAAGGGACACAGGAAGCTGCCTTATTCTGAGAGCCAGAGCCTTGGTCTAGCTAGCTCAGTATTGTCTACACTGACTGGCAGCAGTGGTTTCAACCTGACCTGAGGGGGTGTTATCAGAAGCTCGCCCCCACCCCAGCAGCCACGGGACTGCAGGTGAAGGAATACGCACATTTAAATAGGCACCAGAGCTCCCTAGACATCTGTATTCCATCAAGTCTGCCATCTAAAATGACCTAATTGCACCACTGCTTAAGGGGGGGGTCAGGAAGGGAGAACCCCCAAAATAAGCAGAGCTCCCTCCCTCCTTGGAAAGCATCGGGCACGGGGGGGAATATAACCTGAGCCGGGGGGGGGGGGAGACACAGGTGGATGGAGCAGGAATGGTTACCCCCCAGCCTAAAAAAATAAGCTCACCTTTGCCAGCAGTGAAGATGGCTATCGATAGCTACCAGCTACGCTTTGTCTTTACGGTGGGAGGCAGCGATGCTTCTGAATCCCAGTTGCTGGAAACTTTGGGAGGGGAGACGGCTCTTGAGTTCGAATCCTGCTTGAAGGTTTCCCCAAAATAATCATCTGGCTGGCCACTGCGAGAACAAGGGGGGTGTGCTAGGTGGGCCATTGGCCTTACCTGACAGGCCTGTGTTGTCTTCAGCGGTCCTCAAGCCCCACCGTGCGCCCCCAGGTCTGTCCCCGAGGATGCCCAGGGTGAGAACTGCTCAGCCACCCCTCTCCCAGGGCGCTCATAATGCCCAGGCCAGTTAATGATTACCGCGGCTGCAAATATTTGAGGATTGCTTCGGGGATGCAAAGTACAGGGCACAGGAAGGGGCCTTGCCAAAGCTCAGGGCTGGCCCCCTCCACCCTGACCCACTGGAGAGGACACTCCCCAGCCCCACCCCAAGAACCAAGCAGGCGGGGAGGAGCTCCCTCCCACTTTGCTGTCAATGCCCCCCTCCCCTGCGTCCGTGGAACTGAGAAGCTGGTAGGGGTTAATTCCTGGTTCGTATTATTAAGAGGAAATGTCAGGCTTAAAGACTGCAGCTCCACCCTCTCTAAACTCTCACGCTCCCCCTGGAGAAACCCTTTCCCCTAGAATGCTCCAGTTCCCCCTGGATGAACCAGGCGTACGCAGTGGGACAAGGGGGGGGTGCACTCTGCACATGCTCAGAGGAACACCTGCTGGCGGTTTCCCCTTTCCGCAGGGCTTTCTGTCCCTTGCTCATGTTCAGCCCTGTTGGAGAGTGGGAAAAGGGAATCAGGCTGGCCCCTGTTGGCTGGCACAGCCCAACCTGCTGCTGACAGGATCCGTGCCATCGTCAGCATCATCATAGAGGGCAGTGTAGCATCCTGACTCCTAATAAGCTACAAAGCGGAGGGAGCAAGAGAAATCTCTATAACTACAAAAAAGGGGGGGTCAGCTATAGTGGGATGGATGCATCTCTCAATATTGGTTCATTTCCCCAGTCTTAAATTTATTTCTCCACATTTCTGCAGCAATTTGCATTAAGACACACACACAATTAAAATTTGCAAGTATGGTATTTTAGTGCAATTTTCTCCTGATAAATCCATCTTTGCATTTGACAAATGTACACATTTTTGTAAGCTGTTTCCCCTAATATAATGCAATGGTGTCTGCTCTTTTCACTAATACAGGCATGTATGCGCACACTTTATCCCAGTAAATGCATCATGCTATACATTATGTGGCTGGAGGAGTGCATTGCAAAATTCAGAGAGGTGCAAAATTCAAAGGGAGGCTGCATTTCAGTTCAAGGGCCGTTTTGGCAGCTGCCAAAACTTCAATTGCCCCCAAATGCAGAACCTTGCAGGACTTGCGACTTTTGCTCTGGTTATGAAAATATGTGGAGTTTAGCATTAGCTGGAAAAAATATATCATAAATTACTTGTGGCCTAAGGCCTGGAGGACCCTGAAATTTTGTCTCGTATGCAACAAACAACCTCTCCTTGGGGCAACATGAAAACTGGCTTTTGTAAGGGTCCTAAATACTTTGCCAAGCTAATATCCAGTCTCTCCCAGATGTTCTGTGCTGCTTTCTTGTGCTTCTCCTATTTGTTTGTTTGTTTGTGTTTGTTTGTTTGTTTTTATTGTATTGATTTGTTTTATTTACTTCAATAAAAAAAATAAAAGACCATTCTGGAATGTTCAAATCTGGCAAGTTCACCTTTGAACTTGAACTGGATCCAGTATCTCCTCCCATCCTTCTACTCAGGGGCTGGTGGAGAACTTGCTAACTCAGAACACAAATGCAATTCCCCCCCCCCTCAAGTCCAAGACGCTCCTGAACTTCCGCATTCCTCCTCCTCTGTTTGGGGCTATGCAAACTCATGCATGCACACACAACGATCACCTACTGTCACCCAGGACCGAAAGTCCCATTTCTCTGTCAGGCATGAAGGTCAGTTGTGGGGCTCCCGTTCCTCCCCCCCCCAATGGGCCTGGGAGCCCTGCTGTCCAATCTCAGGTGGGGACAGGGGGCCTTCAAGCTCCCCTGAGCCTCTTACACCACATTCCCAGCCTTCTCCAAGGAGCACAACCTACCTTAGGGTGACAACGGGACGCCCCTTGCAGATGAGCTGAGCTGCAGAGGACTTTTCTGGGTGCAGGGGGCCTCTGGGCAGAGGGCAGCCCCAGCCAGGCCTTGCTCAGCATCTGGGGCAGAAGGACCATCCTCAGCCCCCTCCCTCCGTTTTTAGAGCCAACCCCTGCAAGCACAGATCCTGCCTTTGAATGGGCTTCTGACCTCAGCCTTCTGCCCGCAGGCCCTTGGGTGCTCTGGGTGGCCCAGTTGGGTGCCTGCCTTACTGACTGCTGGAAAGGGAGGATCCTGTCCTCTCTTATCTCCTGCAAGCAGTTGGGCGCGACCTGAGCCCAGCCAAAGGCTGCATTTTCAAGTTCTGCTCTGTTTTTTCCTGGCAGGGCTCAGCAGTCTTGGTCCCTTAGCTCCCGGCAGGCAGAAATTCAGGAGCTGAAGTGCTCTCTCTCTTTTTATTTCCCTGACATGGATGGGAAATGGCATGCAGAGCTACACCTGTTGGATGTTTGCCTGTTCTGCAGCCACTAAAAGTCTGGGAGTTCCATGCCCTCTAACATTTCTCAAATGAAAATAGGGACATTTCTCACTCTCCTCCAACTGACCCTCCTCAAACTCCCCCCCCCCATTTTTGTCTCCCACCTGCAAAGAGAGGCATGTGCCACCACCATTACACCAATGGGACACAGCACAGAAGCCCTGAGAAAACCCCTTAATCCCGATGTTATTTTATTTTTTTCTTTGGGAGATTTACAAAAAGAAAAACACACACCAATAAATAAATTTTAGAAAGGGGCAAGAGACACAAAGCATTTTTTAAATAAAATCAAGACACCTTGTGCACTGCCAAAGAGCAAGCCAGCAGTAAATCACACCGTTCAATGTTGGCGTTAACTCTTTATTAGCAAAAACACGATTTTCACAGACTTGGCTGAGTGTCAGGCCTAATGAGCACAGCAGGTAGGTCTGGCCCCATTAATCAGTTGCCAAGACCAGGCATAGGCAAACTCGGCCCGCCAGATGTTTTTGGCCTACAACTCTCATGATCCCTAGCTAGCAGGACCAGTGGTCAGGGATGATGGGAATTGTAGTCCCAAAACATGTGGAGGGCCAAGTTTGCCTATGCCTGGGCAAGACTGAAGGTCCTCTTGTCTGCAGTGCTTTCTTCCAGGCAAGTGGAGACTGTGTCTGCATGTAGCCTGTCGCCGCTCTGCCCATTTCAGCCCTCTTCTGATTCTATCACAGCAGGAGGGAGATACCCGTGACTCTTCACCAGCCTAACCTGCCTCTCGGCCTCCCCCTCCCCCTCTCCTGCTTCAGCTTCTGCCTCTGATTCTGGACTTCTCTCTGCCACCGACTCTCCCAGCTCATTAAGCCCTGTTGCCTCTTCCCAGTCTTCTCCCTCTGACCACTCATTGTTGGGATACTGCCAGGGAGACGGGGGCATTTGGCAGGCCCCCAGCTGGCTCCAGCCACCGACTGGCAGCCGGGCAATCTCCGGTACAGCATCAATCAGCGACACGAGCCTCAGATACCTTTAGAGACTTGGCATGCTCTAATCAGCAGAGTGAGTAACTTCTCACAATGGTAAGGATGGAGTGGCGGACAGAGACATGTGCAAGCATTATTTACAGGCATTTATTCAGCATAGTTCAGGAACAAAGGAAAAAACATGTCTGCTTCCCTTCGTGTCCAAGCACACAGCAGTACAGCAAAAGCAATATACAAACGGAAGTTCCCAGCAAGCCTGTGCTGGAAGTAAACAGGCATGTGACACACAACAGTCATGCCTGTTCCTCTTAAGGTGGAATGGAACTATATCCTAACAGTCCCACCACCATTCCCCAGGCTCAGGGTATCCTTCCCTTGGCAACCGTTCCCCAAGCTGGTTGCTCCCACCATTCCTCTGCATCCAACGAGTCCGTGACATGGCTCTATTAAGAAACAGTGCTTCTGGACATGCGCCGAACGCCTTCTCCTCCTCGGCACTGGGGAGCTGCTCCCAGCTCATGCAACTCTGACCTTAGGGGCCCCGGATTCTGCTCCAGCGGCCAGCCTGAGCCCTCCAGTGGCTCTGCATGGGTGGGCAGGCTACCCTAGGAGACAGTGGGAGTTCAGGAGAACCCTGGACTAGTGAACTCACAATGGGGGGCTGTGTGGCGGGCAAGGAAATTCCAGAACGCCTCCACTTGGCCTCAGAGTCACAAGCCATCTGACCAGCGCCATGGCTTCCCCGAGGGAGCTTCTGCTGTCCCTGACCCTAGTCTGGGCGCTGGTGCTGCTGGGAGGGACAAAGGGGGCTGGTCCCGAGGGTCCCTGCGAAGCACAAGTCCGATATCGAGAGAGCAGCGCGGAGACTGGCGGCAGCTGGCTTGGCACAATTGCTCTGCTCAGCAGTGTTTGTGCCACGTGGCTTTTTGTTTTTTACGCAATCCATTGCCTATGTGCCAGCAAGGACCGGTGCAGCCAGGGACTAGAGGGGGACTGCGACCTGCGTTGGAAGGTGAGGGAACATCTACCTGTCTTCCTGTGTACCTACTGTCAGAGGGAGCCGGCAGAGAGAACAGGTTGTTTGCAGAACAGAGAAAGACTGGGAAACACTGGTTAACTTTCTTTATTAAGGAAGCAGAACAGAGAACACACAGAGACTTCTATGGGTTTCTCCTGTCTTAGCAGTTGTCCGGACTGGCCTGTAACTCCCTGCTTCACTCTCTAACCCTCTGTGTCAGGCCTCTTCCTCTGTCTACGGTGAGACTCAAAGGACCCTCTCTGTTTCTGCTCGGTGACATGCAGTAGACACCTTGATCTGGGAGTTTGTGGGGCTTGCAGGCTGCCAGCAGAAAAGCTCTCAGGGTGTTTCTGCGGTGGAGATAACAATCTGATTCCTGTTGGCTGGGGCACCTGCCTGTTTTCCCCCCTTCCAAGCTCCCAGCATCTAGCACATCCCAGTTTTCCCCCTCTTCTGAGGTGTGACTGGTTTTCCACCACCAGGAGTCTGGATCCACATTCTCTCCCTGGGGGAAAGGTGGCTCAGGTGGGCTTCCACCTTGGTCAGGTGGCTTCAGGGCCATCTTTAGCAGGTGCAGCGCTGGGGTGCAAATATCCACCCAGCGCCCCCAAGTTACCATGGATAGTGTTGGGGTGGCTGTAGCTGCGCACTGCCAGCCATCGAGGAGGGGCACAACTCTCCCCCGTGCCGCTGCAGGAGAGCGATCCCCGCAGAGGCTTGGGAGTAAAGTTGCGCCCCTCCCAAGCCTCCTCGAGAGGAGAGCGATCCCTGCAGAGGCTTGGGAGGGAAGCTGCGCCTGCCAGCCTTATGGTTGGTGGGGCGTAGTTGGCGGGCGTGCAGGGAAAGGGGAGGCCGCCGGCAAAGCCATGCAGCTCCCCCACTTGCTGGGGTGCCTCTGAGAAGCCAGCGCCCTGGCGCGATGCACCACTAAGCCCTATGGGAAAGATGGCGCTGGCTGGCTTCATCACTCCTCATCTAGCCAGTCCTTGACACCGACCTTCCCATCCATCTGCCCCATTCATCTTCCGTCTTTCCTCCAAGGAGCTCAAGGTGGCAAACGTACTTCTCTCCCCCCCCCCATCTTATCCCCACAACACCCCTGAGAGGTAGGTGAGGCTGAGAGGCAGTGACTGGCCCCCGAGGTCACACCCAGTGGGCTCCATAGTGAGTGGGCATTTTAACCCCATTCTCCCAAGTCTTGGCACGACACTCTAACTGTGACACCACACCGGCAGGAATCAGCGAGAATCGACTACTTTAGAAGGAAGCCCTAGCCTCTGCTGCTCATGCATTGGCGATCTCTGGAATAGGCTACTGCTGTGCTCTCTCTATGGGGCTGCCTTGGATGACAGTAAAGAAACTTCAGCGGGCGCAAATACAACTGTTTCATATTATAGCAGATGCACCGTTTGCAGGTGGATTTTTGGGCCCAATTTTAAGTGTTGACCTTTAAAATTGTATATGGAGTATTAAATGTGCCAAACGTTATTTCATCTCCCCCAACCTTATCATACTTAGCAGAATATGTCTGTCCCACCTGTATTCATTCAAAAACATGTGGTTTTTGTACACATTGTTTTTCCTCTCCAAAAGCGGGCATTTTTACAAGCCAACGTGCACCTTAAATAAAACACACACCCCCAAATTTGGAATATTTATAAATGATTTAAACAGCACAGATTCCACCCTGGGATAGGAGGATCCCACTGTTCACTTCCTCCTTTTTTTGCAAGAACTGTCCTCTTGTTCCTACCAAGATTCCTGCTCTTTGACCAGTTATTCTTAGCATAACAAGAGGATCTGCCCTCTTATCCCAGGACTTATTGCGCTTACTCAGGAGCCTGGGGTGGAGAGACTATGCCAAAAGCCGTCTGAGGGTTTGCTGGATCCCTCGTGCCTGGAGATTTAGGGAAGGCTGGCAAGATCTGCCTCTCAGCCACGCTTGGAGCCTTTATCCATTGATGGTACATTTCTCAGGGGCCTTCTATAGGGGCCCGCATGCTTGTGGTGGGTGGGGCCACAGTCAAAAGTGAGTGGGGTCCTTTTCTTCTCTTCCACTTCCCCCCATTTTTCCTCTCCCCAAAACGAGGCTTGCATGAATTGGGCTGAGGTTGGCAGCTGGCCACCATGGCTAGCTTCAGGCTGCCCACCCTTCTCCTGTGTGTTTGGCCACCCTATCCTCAGAATGCTAGGACTGTAGAGTTGGAAGGGACCACCAAGGGTCATCCAGCCTGACCCCCTTGCAATGCAGAAATCACAATCAAAGAATCCCCTGGGGACAAGTGTTTGTTCTGACTGGTCTGTTGCCTCTCCTCTTCCCCAAGCAGGGCAGCCAGGCAGCTTGTGGGGAAGGAGAAGAGAACCACCTCACTGCATCTCAGGAGCTGGCCTGCACCCGGACCAGGGGCACGTCTCGCAAGCCGGTCTGCAGCCAGGCCCAGCAAGCCTACGCCCGGCAGCTGGCCTGCATGGAGCAAGAACTGGAAGGCTTCCTCTCCGAGGTGAGGAACCGGCGGAACGCCCTCGGAGACATCGTGGTGGAGGAGAGGTGCCCCCAGAACACGGAGCGGGGCCAAGACAAGCTGCGCATCACTGTCTACGAGATCTCAGACACCGAGGGGGCCGGGCGGCCACAGCAGAGAGGACGCAGGCGGAAGATGCAACTTTCATATTAATTATATAAAAAAGACATACATGAGAGCTGAGTTGGCCTGGCTTGGAACATGGGTGCACATGGGTGTATATTGGTATACATGGGTTATGTGGAAGTACCTGGGGGTATACACTGGTATACCTGAGTGCATATGAGTGCATGGCTTGCACACGGGCGTGTACATGGGTATACATGAGTGCACGTGGGTGCATGTGAGTATACATATTTGTATGGGGGACATGGGTGGCGCTGTGGTCTAAACCACCGAGCCTCTTGGGCTTGCTGATCGGAGGGTCGGCGGTTTGAATCCCCATGACGGAGTGAGCTCCCATTGCTCTGTCCCAGCTCCTGCCAACCTAACAGTCTGAAAGTGCAAGTAGATAAAAAGGTACCGCTGCGGTAGGAAGGTAAACAGCATTTCTGTGTGCTCTGGTTTCCGACACGGTGTCCCGTTGTGCCAGAAGCGGTTTAGTCCTGCTGGCCACATGACCCAGAAAGCTGTCTGTGGACAAACGCTGGCTCCCTCGGCCTGAAAGTGAGATGAGCACTGCAACCCCATAGTCACCTTAACCGTCCAGGGGTCCTTTACCTTTTTTTAACCTTTCCCCCCTACATATTTGTATGGGTTACTTGGGGATATACATGGAAACATATGGGTGTACGGGGGTGCACATGGATGTGCTATGGGACTTCATGTGGCTAAAGAGAAAGTGCTATGAGGTCAGAGCTTGAGTAAAGATGGGCAGTCATGCTTAGCTACAGAGCCTAAGGGGAGCCAAGAGGACTCAAATGTTATTATTTATTTTATTTATTGCATTTCTATCCCATGATTTTCTCCAAAGAGCTTTATTATTGGCTTCTGCAACAAAGGAGCCAAGCCTATCATTGCAGTATTGGGAATAAAACATGGAGAGAGGAGACATTTGAACCCAGTCCCCTGGATCTTAGTCACAATACCACATATCCTCCAACATTTCTCCAATGAAAATAGGGGCTTCCTATTCCATTATTATTATTATTATTATTATTACTATAATATTTTATTTATACCCCACCCATGAAACTGGGTTGCCCTAGCCACTGTGGGCAGCTTCCAACATGTATAAGAACAATAATAAAACATTACACATTAAAAAAACTTCCCTATGCTGGGCTGCTTTCAGATGTCTTCTACAGGCAGCATAGTTACATACTGTATTTTTTGCTCTATAAGACTCACTTTTTCCCTCCTAAAAAGTAAGGGGAAATGTGTGTGCATCTTATGGAGCGAATGCAGGCTGCGCAGCTATCCCAGAAGCCAGAACAGCAAGAGGGATTGCTGCTTTCACTGCACAGCGATCCCTCTTGCTGTTCTGGCTTCTGAGATTCATAATATTTTTTTTCTTGTTTTCCTCCTCCAAAAACTAGGTGCGTCTTGTGGTCTGGTGCATCTTATAGAACGAAAAATACGGTACTTATCTCCTTGGCTCGGGGTGTATGTGTCGGGAGTTATATAACTCCATACCCTCCAACATTTATCCAGTGAAAATAGAGACATACTAAAGCAAAGCAGGACATTCCAGGATCAAATCAGAAACTGGAACAGCTCCTGTAAATCTGGGACTGTCCCTGGAAAATAGGGTCTGATGCTGTTGGGTCTGATTTATGTGGAGACTTGTTCAGATCACCTCAGCAAGGAGTGGAGTCCCCATCTATTGGCAGATTGAATAACCAGCAAGGTCTTGCCTTGTTAGCAAGCAGGGCGGTACATCTACTGCAGATTGATCAATAACAGATATCAAATCAAGAGGAGTCCAGCTTTCCTCCAGCCCAAGGCAGCGATGGCGATGATGACACAAAGGAGGGCAGCTGTGTGACTCTGGGCAGGAGGGAGGCTGGGCCAGAGGGGCCTCTGGCTTGCATGAAACACCAGGCAAAGCCAGTGCCTCCCTGCCCGCCCCACTTTCTGGCTTCCCCAAGCTCTTGGCCATGGCTGTCAAAAGCTCCTCCCTGGCGTGGTCCTTCCTGGCCGTGGTCTTCATGATCGCAGGGGCCGCTGCTGTCCAGAGCGCCTGCGGACATCACCACCGCTACCGCAAGCCACGAGCCGACACCTACGAGTGGCAGGGCTACTTTGTGGCCCTGACCATCCTCCTGGGCAGCGGCTGCGGCCTGGCCTGGTGCATCCTCATTGTCACCTACAACATGGGCCAAAGGGGAGGCCAGGAGTTGCCACAGATCCCCTCTGCAGGTGAACAGATGCCCGCAGCCATGGTGAGCCTCGGGGAGCTGGTGGGGCGGGAAGGAGGCAGGTTGCCAGTGTGAGAAGGAAGCGGAAGGGAGCCCCTTCTGTTGCAGGAGGCCAGGTGGTCACTTCTGCAGACCTCCAGAGGTTGCTGGACACAAGAACAGCCCGTAGGTAGCTCAGGCCAAAGCGAGGGGCCTGTGCAGTCCAGCACCCAGTTCTCACAGTGGCCAAATTCCCCATGGAACCTAGCAATTCAGATAGACTGCCTCTGTGCCTGGAAGTTCCATAACAACCTAAGCTAAGCCTCCCAGCTGGATCAGGCCTAAGGGGGACCAACTGGTCCAGCATCCTGTTCTCACAGTGGCCAACCAGATGCCCCAGTGCAGACCCAAAAGCAGGACCCAAACGCAAGGGCACTCTCCCCGCCTGCCGTTCCCAGCATCTGGTATTATTCATACTGACTCTGACAGTGGCGGTTCCACACAGCCTTCTCCTCAATGAACTTGCTCAATCCTCTTTGAAGGTGGCCATTGCTGCATCTTGTGGCAATGAGTTCCAAAGTCTATGCACTGTGTGAAGAAGGACTTTGTTTCGTCTGTCCTGAATATTCCAACATTCAGCTTCACTGGGTGGCCCTGAGTTCAAGGATTATGAGGGCGGGATAAAAACTTTCTCCTTATCACCTTACACCAGGCATATTTTTACACACCTCTGCCATCTCATCCTCCTCCCTCTTTCTCTCCTTTTCTCTAAATTCAAAAGACCCAAATGTTGTAGCCTTTCCTGGTAGGGGAATTGCTCCACCGCCTTGACAGTTTTGGGTGTTCCTTTCTGACCATCTTCTACGATATCCCATTGGATCAGATACAAATGGTATAATGACCATTGGCAGGTGTGTCTAAAGACAGGGCCAGCCCAATAAATGATGCCGCCTGAGTCCAAGGACAAGATGGCTGCCGCCACCCTCTTCCAGGAACAAAAGCTGACCAGGCTGGCCACTGAACGTTGATTCCTCCACTGCACCAGAGGGCAGGAGACCATGGCCACGTTCACACCTGACATATAAAGAGCTATCACTTTAACAGTCCCAGCTTCCCCCGTAGCATTCTGGGAGCTGTAGTTTGTAAAGGTGCTGAGAGTTGCTAGGAGACCCCTATTCCCCTCTCAGAGCAGCTACAATTCCCAGAGTTCCCTGTGAAGAGGGAATGGTTGTTAAAATCATTATGGGAACTGTAGCTCCGTGAGGAGAACCGGGGGCCTCCTAACAACTCTCAGCACACCTCACAAACTACAGTTCCCATGATTCTTTGTTACCACTATTTAAAGTGGTAACACAGTGAGTGCTTTTAATGTGTGGTGTGGCCTTGCTTAGCGGGTTCAGAACAGGCATACACAGCTCTGCCCATTTTCTGCCCCTCAGTATGTACCGCCTGAGGCAGCAGTCTCACTCTGCCTCATGGCTGAGCTGGGCCTGTGCATTAGGATTGGGTGGGGTTGTAAGTTGCCCTGAGGTCAGAGGGAAATTAAATGAAGCGACTGCAGATAGCGGCAATTCAGGAGAGAATGTTTTAATTGTAATTTGGCCATTATATGGCGGCACCTCCCTTTGAAAGTGTCCAAATATGGCTGCCTTAAAATAAATAGTTGAGTATCTTTGTAGGTTAAAAGGTCCTCCTACTATCTTCTCAATAGTGCCATTTCTGATTTTGAATTTGGGTCAGGCAGAGGGATCGGTTAGGCAGAGAGAATCCTGTGTCTTGGATGAACAAGGGAGGTGGGGAAAGGATGGGTAGTTAGGAATACTTTTGTTGAAGAGGGGGTCCTGAGGAGGGAGGCTTTTACCATCAAGGCTGCACTGATCTTGCCATATTTGCAGGCAAGATAGGAGTCAGGGGCTAGGAATGGAAACCAGAGGGGCCTGACCTTGCAAGGCCCTGAAATGTGACCTCTTTTCTGCTTTGGACAGGGCCACCAAGACAAACTGACACTGAGCCCAGGGATGAACCGTGAAAGGTCCGTCAGCTTTGCGACCCTGCCTGGGCTGAAGAGCCAAGTCACAAACGAGGAGGACCAGCCTTGGCTGAAGCGACAAGTCTCAAAGGAGGAGTTTCGGACGAAGTCCCAGTTGGACACAAGCATAGGAAGTCGGACGCCGTCCCAACTGAACTTAAACCAGGGGGTTCGGGCCCCATCCCAGATGAACGCAAGCGAGGCAGTTAGCACCCTGTCACAGATGAACACAAATGAGGGGGTACGGACCCTGTTCCAGATGAACGAGGCAAATAGGGTTCCAGCCCAGATGAACATGACTGAGGGGATGAGGGCCCAATCCCAGGTGGATGAAATGATTGGGAACCCCTCCCAGAGGAATGTGAACGAGGTAATTTGGACCCCCTCCCAGAGGAACATGAACGAGGTGAACAGGGCCGCCTCCCAGATGAACACGAATGAGGCAATTTGGACCCCATCCCAGATGAACACGAACAAGGTGATTTGGACTTCCTCCCAGATGAAAGCAAATGAAGCAGTTTGGACCCCCTCCCAGAGGAACATAAATGAGTTGAAAAGGGCCCCATCCCAGATGAACATGAAGGAAGCGATTTGGACCCCCTCTCAGAACGAGGTGACTAGGACCCCAACCCAGAATAACATAAACAAGCTAAAAAGAGCCCCAACGCAGCTGAACATAAATGAAACGGTTGGGACCCCATCCCTTCCACCTCAGCAGGAAGGCCAGTCCTCCAGGCCCGAAGAGCAAGGCGGTGGCACTCTGTGGAACTTCATGGAGCAGGAGCTGGAAAGGCTTCTGAGCGCCCTACGCCTCCACCGGACCCCCACGCCAACCCTCGCGGCTGAGGAGACGCCGGCCCCCTTGGCCAACGATACTCCGAGCGCCCCAGCTGAGGAGGTGCCGAAACCCCCGGCTGAGGAGGTGCTGGGCCTCGACCAGACTGAGGACAAGGAGACCTTGATGCACCTCATCATCTGTGAAGTCCCCCAAGACAGAGGAGCCACCAGGGGTCGGGGGCGCAAGAGGAAAGCGAGCAGAGGACGCAAATAAAGTGCAGAGAAAGAGAGAGGGTGGCAGGTCGGTGTGTGTGTTGTGAGGCAGGAGGAGTCATTGGTAGAAACGGCTTCCTTCACCGCCACCCTCCTGCATATATCCTCAGGAGATTCCTTGATTTTAAAGCAATTCTTCATCCCAGGAGCTCCGAAGGGCCTACATAACCCTCATAGAATTGCAGAGTTGAAAGAGACCCAAAGGGTCCTCTATTCCAACCCCCTGCAATGCAGGAATAGCAGGAACCATCTCAAAGCAACCCTGTGAGGTAGGCTAGGCTGCCCCAAGTATACCCAGTGAGCTTTGCGACTGAACAGAGTTTTGAACGCAGGTCTCCCTCTTCTAAGTCCAACAGGCTGAACTTCCCCCAAACTGGTGCTATGGGTGTAGCCAGGATTTATTTTAGGGGAGGAACAGGCTTTATGTTGGGGATGGGGGAGGTAGAACTGAGCTATCTGTGATGCAATTGGTCAGTTAGTTGAGTATTTTTATTTATTACTTGATTTAGTGGGGGGCAGCTGTCCCACTGCTATGCCCATGCCTGGTGCCCTCCAGATGTTTGGACTACAACTCCCAGCAAGTCCCAGGCAGCACAGCTGTACGACGCTAGGACTGGAGGGAGCTTGTACTGTAGTTCAAAACCTTAGGCCTGTTATTCTCAGGCTAACCTAGCTGTCAGGAGCCAGACTCAGGGGTGGTCAGCAATAAAAACACCTGGTGTCAGAAACCTAAACAGTGCAGGCCTAGTACTCCTACCAACTCTTCCCAGTAGGCAAATTGTCCTTCTTGTAAAGGTATCCCATGAACTAAAAGTTATCTAAAGGGCAGAGCTCAAATGACCTTTTTCACACATGATTTCATTTCTTATACAAATACTGAGGGAAATAGTCTCTCAGTGCCACCAGCTTTTGCCAATGTCTGGTTCATTTCAGCTCATATAGAACCTTTATTTTCTACCACGATGGAGCCTGATAATGTTTTTATTTTTCAAAAGTATTTATTATTTGTAAAGGGAGCTTTTATATAAGCTAGTACTTCATTATCCCTCTGGAGCTGCGCTGAATGTTTCGACGTGTGTCCTTCCAAGCTCCTGACACTTGATAGTTCAAATCTCTGAATCTCTGGGGTTTCTCTCTGTCTCTTTGTTATGTTTGCACCTTTTTTGTTTATTTTAAAATAAAAAACAAATCAGCTAAGAAAGACCGCTGTGCCGCGAAGCTATGGCACTCTGCACATGCCCAAGGCGGCGCTTTCCCCTTCTTCTGCGCGACGGGGTGCAGTCTCGCCAGTGAGCGGCAGAGGGCAGCACGAGACAAGCTTTCCTCCTGGGGGGCGCCTTCGTCAGCTATCCCTCCGCCCCCTCCCCGCTCCCCAAACCCGGCCCCGTTTATCTCCCCGCCTCTTCGTGTCCGGCCAGGCAGATCCGCGGCGGGGCCGGGATGGGAAGGGCTAAGAGGGGCGCCCCGTAGTGCAGCCCGCGCTCTCCAGGTGAGAACTGGGCAGCGGGCAAAGGAAGAAGGGAGTGGTGTCTAGCGGTTAGAGCAGAGGCTGCGGCTTAGCCAGGAAGACTCATTGAGCCCCCAAAGCCACCACTGGGGGGAGGGGAAGGCAGAAAAAGAAAGCGCCCCCCCCCCAGCCTGCCTGTTATGGAATGAGGAGGTGCAACTCTGCCCCAGTTTAGCGATCCGGACTTGGGGCGCTCAGTTCTCCAGGAGCTACGCTAGGTTTTATGGAGCTTGGGTGGGGTGGGTGGTAGCAGCGTGCCTTTCTCAGGGTGGCGGGTGGGGTCTCTCTTCCCTTGGGTGACATCATTTCCCTTGCTGATAGGCGGCTGGGTGGGGAGTAGGCTTTCAGGGACCAGAATCTATTGCTAAAGTCCAAGGTGTGTCTGGAGCAGGAAGAGAGCGCCTCTGAGGTTGTGCAGAGTGCCTTTGCCTCGCTATCCTGTAGCTGCCAGCGACAACTGCACTTCCAGTTTGGGGGACTAAGGAGAAGGGGGCGAGCGGGGGTAGCGGGTGGCTTCTGGAGGCGCTTGACCCCTAATCACCCTTCCCCTACTTTAAATTTGATGAAAATGGGAATGGATAATGGGACTGATAGATCAGAAGAAGGGAACCTGTCCCCACCCCGGTCAAAAAGCTGCAGGGCACTTTGGGGTCTATATTCCCCCCAACACACACACCCTCCACACAGGAAGCCTGCTTTATACTGAATCCAAAGCTCAGCCCATCTAGCTCTATGTGGTCTATTATGGGGGTGGTAGGAGGGGGCTGTCCTCCCCCCCCCCCAGAATATCAGGTACCATTTCCCACCTAGCTTTGTATATATCTATTGTATTTTAGGGTTCAGTCTCCAGATTGGGCTCCCAGCTGAAACCCTGGAATGTAGCTGCCAGTCAGTGTCAACTGTACTGGCCTAGGTGGAACAATGGTCTGACTTGGTATAAAGTAGTTTTCTGTGAGCCTATGCCCGGGATTGAGCTTGGGATAATTCTGCATGTGATGCATGTGTGATGATGGCCACTAAGCAAATGGCCTTCCGCTAAAAAGAAACCAAGGCCCCAGTCCTCATGGTCCAGAATGAAGGGCTGATTTCTATAGGACAGAGGAATCTGCCTTAGACTGAGCCAGACCCTTGGTACATCTAGGCCAGTGTTGTCTGCACTGACTGACAGTGGCTCTTCAGGGTTTCAGGAAGGGAAAATTTCCCAGCCCTCCCTAGAAGAAGCTGTTGGGCATGGACCCTGGGGCCCTTCTGCATGCAAACCAGGCAAGGAGTTTAAATCAGCACCCTGTTCAGAACACTGAGGACTAGCATCCTCATCGGTTTTGTATGCCAGTAAGCCTGGGCTCAGGGACACGGATGGCGCTGTGGGTTAAACCACAGAGCCTAGCACTTGCCGACCAGAAGGTCAGCGGTTCAAATCCCCGCGACGGGGTGAGCTCCCGTTGCTTGGTTCCTGCTCCTGCCAACATAGCAGTTCGAAAGCACGTCAAAGTGCAAGTAGATAAATAGGTACCACTCCGGCGGAAAGGTCAATGGTGTTTCCGTGCGCTGCTCTGGTTCGCCAGAAGCGGCTTAGTCATGCTGGCCACATGACCCGGAAGCTGTACGCCGGCTCCCTCGGCCAATAAAGCGAGATGAGCGCCACAACCCCAGAGTCGGCCACGACTTGACCTAATGGTCAGGGGTCCCTTTACCTTTAAGCCTGAGCTCTACTTCCCAGCTACAGCCCCATCCTCAAAGGTGGTATGGTGCAAGTCATGTTGCTTTTTTAAAACCAAAAAAAGTGCTCAAATGGGGTTGGGGGTGCGGTGAGACCGATATCCCATAATGAAGTTCATGAGCATTGCTTCCTGAACCCACTTCCCAATTTCCCACCAAATGTCAGCCCCGGGAGCCAAGTTTTTTTTTAATTAGTATTTTAATAGAAGCATTTTGTTTATAAGAAGACAGAGTGGAAAAAAGGAAAAAAAGAAAAGAAAAAATCTGAATGAGAATGAAAAAGTGGAAAAAATACTCAGCTACATTTCCATACATTAGTATACAGACATATATAAACTTATTGTCCTAATACACACATCGTTATCAATAACCTAATACATTCTGCGTAAACTCATTCCAAATGTCATTTGGATTTATCCAAAGAAAGTCTGTGTCTATAAGCTTTCTGTTCATATGTTACCAATATTGCCACAATTAAGGGGAACTGTATCTCTCTTCCTCCAGTACATCAACATCAGTCTCTTGGTCACCATTAGGGCTGTCCCTATTTTTGCTGTCCCATTGTCAATTTCCATGCAATGGGCATATAGTTCAAAAGAATATTCACCTCTGAAAATTTTGATAATTTTTTTCTGTAGTGTCTTGTTTATATAGTCCACATTTCCCCTCAAATTTTAGTAAGTGTGGGACATAGTAAAAGCAGGAGCTAAATAGTCTTCTACCTGTAATTCAAGCATTGCTGGGAGGAGCAATCCTATACAGTGGAAGCTTGGGTTGCGAACGTGATCCGTGCGGGACGCACGTTCGCAACCTGCAGCGGCGCGTCTGTGCACACGTGGGTTGCAATTTGGCACTTCTGCGCATGCGCAACCACCAAAACTTGGAAGTAACCCATTCCGGTACTTCAAGGTTTCGGTGGGTCTGTAACCTGAAAAAACCTGAAGCATCTGTAACCCGAGGTATGACTGTACTTGCCAGGAAATACATCCCTCCTCCCTCCCCCCCGCGAAAAAAACCCTCCCGCAAGTCTCTGGAAACTACTAGTGTCCACCAATAAAGGACTTTGCCAGAATGCCCATGTGCTGCCCTTAGAGAGGGAGCCTGTGAACTCACTAGCCCAGGGGTCTGCAACCTTTAAGACAAAAAGAGCCACTTGGACCCGTTTCCGAAGGAAAAAAACAACTGGGAGCCGCAAAACCATTGCGACATTTAAAGCATGCGCACCACTGCCCTCCGATCTGACAGTGGGCGGGAAGGTGACGTTGGGACGGTGCGTGACTAACGCACGCACCGCCCCCATGTGACGTCACAGCCAGTACAGCGCCCGCCACAGTGGGGAGTGTCGGGGCGCACAATGCGCCTCCTCCCCTCGCTAGTATCCGCCCCGGAGCTGCGGCAAAGGTGTAAAAGAGCCACATGCGGCTCCGGAGCCGCGGGTTGCAGACCCCTGCACTAGCCAATGAACTAGTAGCCATTGATAAGACCTCTCTTCCATGAATTGATAAGACCTCTCTTCCACATTTTCCATAGTTCAACTTTGCACTGCGCGAAGTACTTTCTTTTATCCATCCTAGCTCTTGCAATGTTCAGCTTCAATGGATGTCCAGGATTTGTTATGGGGGAGAGAAGCTTTTCTCCATGGTCTACTTCCTCCATGCCATGCCATGCATAATTTTTTATAAACTTTCATCAAACTCTTACTTACCTTTTCTCTGAACGAAAAAGTCCCCAACACTGCATAGGAAACTCGCTCCACACACACACACCCCGCCTCGATTATGCTGTTGCCCTTTCCTGGACCTCTTCCAACTGTGCGATACCCGTTTTGAGGCGAGGCGACCAGAGCATAACTTGGATGGTCACACAAGCTGCTTTTCTTGCCCTTCCAGCTTTCCCTGCTCCAGTAACACACACTCTTTGTTTCCTTACAGAAAGCTGTGGATGAAGCCATGCCTGAGTAGCATCACTTCCAGCTCATCTCAGCAGACAACCTTCCCCCGCGGACTCCAGTGGGGCCTAACCATCCTCATGGAAGGCTATCACAGCCTGGAATGCATCCCTCCTCCACCTGCTGCCACTGAACCAGACCACTGGGAGGCCCCCAATACGCCTCTGGGCCCCCCCTCAGAATCAGAAGCCTCGGTGTGCGGCAGGGGAAGGGATGCCCCCCAAGGGAGGGCGGAATTGCCACCCTTGGGTGCCTCCCCCAGCAGCAATGGCCTGCAAGGGCCGCCAGCCACGCCTCCCTGTGAGGTTGCCGGAGCGGGGCCCAGCCAGAAGCCCCTTCCTGGAAGCCAGGAAGCCCCCGTCCCTCTTGACCGTTCTGTCTCGGGCTCATCGACCTGTTCCTCGCTGGGAGGGTCCTCCCAGGAGTCGGATGACGTCTTCAGCGATGCCGAAGAGAGGAGCCCCCTGGGGAAGAAGCGGGTGCTGCGGAAGGTGAGGTGAGGGAGGGGGCAGTTGGGGGTAAAGGCAGCATGGGAGGGAGGGGAATCGTGCCCCCCACAAGGAGGCAGAGAGCCCCGCCTCAAGGCCCAGCAATTTCAGAGCAGTCAATGGACTGGCTTGCTAGAACTTGAGAGGGAAATGTCCTTCTCAGCCCTAAGCCTGGGGCCTTCTACATGCAAAGCAGGGGCTGTATCACTGAGCCCATGCCAAAGTAAGATTTTACCTTAAGTTTTATGCTGGTTTAAATAGATGTCATTTTTTATTGTATTTTGCTTTAAGTTATTTTTTGTAAAAAAAAGAAGTCGCTAATAATAATAATACTGGGATTTGTGTGGCTAGCTGGAAAGCTAAATGCATACCCTCCTACATTTCTCCGATGAAAATTGGGACATTCTATTCCATAATAATAATAATAATAATAATTTTGCTATTTATACCCTGACTGGGTTGCTTTATTATAAACTTAATTTAAAAATAGGGACACTTGGAGGGTCTGTAAATGGCGGCATAATTCTGTGTCTCCCATCGCCCCGGGACAAAAATGAAGCAGTGTGGATCCTATTGACATATAAACAAAAAGTATTATACAGCCTCACCAGGGAATACAGGAACCAAAAAGCAAATCTGCAAGGTTAGATCTTCAGCAAGAAATAGATGGAGCTCTGTCTGAGGCTTCAGAAGAGGCCTCAAATACTGACATGACCAAAGGCAATATGAAGGTCCCCAAAGGCGGGAAAGTATCTGCCATAATGGAGGCGGACAGAGACTCGGATGAGTATATTAATAATAACAGCAACACTTTTCAGGACCAACCTGGCATTTAAGAACAGCAGAGCAGACTAGGGTGGGTGGGTGCTGACTGGCCTGGTCACCCAAGATCCAACGGCTGACGGGGGTTGTGCAATGGCCTTGATGCATCCAGTGCCTCTTCTCTTAACCTGACCTGACTGAACTCATTGCCAGATCTCCCCACTAGCTATCACTGCCCGGGCACATTGCTACTCCACATGCTCCAAAATGAGGAAACGTTTCCCACTGTGTCCTCCCAAGATCTTAGTATAGGGGTCAGCAAAGTGCAGTGCTGCTCTATAAAATGCAGGAAGGTTGTCGTCATCCATAATATTGCTGATATGAAAAGAAAAACAGTGTAGGAGGCATGAAAAGGATGAAGCACAAAGGCATGTCGCAGGACTTCCAGGCACGACTGCAGATGAGTCAGAGCTACAGTCAGCTTGAAAAAGCGGTTCCATAGCAAACTTCCTCTCTGCTGGTGCAGAGCATAGGGTTGGAGCCTTTCGCCCTGATTGCATTCACAGCCTCCGTCCTACAACCCCTCCCCCCACAGCTGGTGCACCAGGTAGTTTTTAAATGTGGGCCTCATCTTTCACACCCGGCACCCTTCACCTCGGACCACCCCACCTTGGTTCTCATCCAGGGGACTTTTGCTCCTTCTCCTCTTTACCTTCCCGACTCTTGTACCAAATTTGGGGCAGCACCGTCCCGTTTCTGTCTTAACTTCACTCACTCATCCCTGCTAACAGGGCTGTGGCATCAAGGAGAGCTTTAGAATTACGAAATTGTTTATATATATGGCTTGGGCTCAGGCAGCCTGAAGGGTCACATCTCCCTGTACAAACCTGCCCAGGTGCTGAGAGCCTTGAGTGAGCACCTTCTCTTGGTCTCTTCAACATCAGTTGGTGGTGACCCAAGACAGAGAGACAGAGACTTTTCTGCAGCTGCTCCCTAATTGTGGGATTCCCTCTCAGAAGAGGTTGGACTGGCTCCCTCCTTGTCTTCCTTCCGCTGGCAGACTAAAACCATTTTATTCAGACAGGCCTGTGAAAACGTAAGTTGCAGGCTTGACTGATCACTGGGCTGCTGTCAGGACAAACTGCATTTTAATTTCTGGTTCTAAATGTTTTCTGGTATTTTGATGGTTGCTTTTAACTAGTTTTTATTGCTGTGCTTTTAATTATTGACGTGTTCGAACACTGTAAGCCGCCTTGAATCCCACCTTGGGAGGAAGGAAGGAAGGAGGAATATAATCAGATTGAAGAAGAGTAATATTCATTTATTAAGCCTGTGCGTGTGAAGAGGGGAGCACCCTTGCAAGAGGACCGCAAGAGGACCTTTGCTTTGTGGTCCTGGATCATTAGAGATCCCTGGCCAGAGATCTTGCATTTCCAGGGATTCTGCTGCAAGGAGGATCAGGGCCTCCCTCTGGCGGGTGTCAAATCCCCATCAGAGCCAAGTCAGGCTGACCTGAGGATTCCCTCAGCAAATGTGCAAGCTGAGAGGCCTGGCTGGAGGGGGCCGGAAAGCATGACTGTGCTGGGGTGAGCCTCCAGCCGAAGGCAGAGGACCATCCTCTACAAACTCACAGCCCTGGGCAGGATGTTGTGGTTCCGCTGCCAGCCCAGCTGGCTTGCTCTTGTGCAGGTCGAAAAAGCTCTTCTGGTGCAACAGCAGCAGAGGCCTCAGCAGGGTTCTGTGGTGGTTGCCGTGCAGAGCAGTTGGGTGTGCGAGGCGAGCTGTTTGCACGTGCCACGAGCTCAGGCGCCCTTCCTCCTTGCACAACCGGCCCCGTGCAAGCCGGAGCACACCTCTCTCCTTGCACAGCAGCAGCTCTGCCGAGATTTCCCCCGTTGCTAAGCAAATTGCTCTCTCCCCCGACAAAGGCCTTTCCCTTCCTCTTTTCAACGCTGAGTCCTCCGGCTGCTTCCTCCAAGACGGGTTTCCTCTGGCTGTGGTTAGAAATGCTGATGAATGAACTGGAGGGAAGAAAGGGGGAGGGGAGACTTGACAAGCCTCCTCCTCTGCTTGGCAGGCCTCTTCTCTCTCAGCTTGTCTTTGCTGGGTCCCAGGAAAAATACCTCTTCTCTGCCTCTCTTGTTTCCTGGGCTGCGTCTCAGGGCCAGTCCAGAGCAGGTCCAGCGTCAGGGTTCAGCCTTGTTGGCTTCTAGGCTTGCAGGTGGTGCTGAATGAACTATGGGGTGGGGCAGGGGAGTGTGATGAAGGCTCCCCCCCCCCCACCAATGGCATGGCTTCGCTGAGGCTGGGTTAACCTTGGTCCAGTTTCTGTCTCCCAGCCTAACCTACTTCGCAGGTTGTTGTGGGAATTAAACAAGGACTCAGGCCTGGGAGGGTTCAAATCCCCGCTTGGCCACGAGGCTCACGGGTGACCTTGGGCCAGTCACTGCCTCTCAGCAGTGACCTCGCAGGGTTGTTGTCGGGGATGAATGTTGGGAGGGGGAGAACAATGCACACCACTTTGAGCTCCTCGTAGGGGGGAAAAGCTGGGATAGAAATGCAACAAGTAATTAAATGATTCCTGGACGTTTTCCAAAGCCTGGAAATGTGAGGTTCCCTGGCTTCTGAACTGCTGCTACCTGTGGGGACGTGGGCTGCACAGACCCCCAAATGTTGGGGAAGGACCTTTGCACACGGAGAGTCCTATGGCCAGTCCCTGCTAGCAGGTAGGGCTGAGCCTGTCCCTGCCTGAGACCCCAGCAGTTGCTCTGCCCATCAGTAGAAACAGTCCTGAGCTAAAGGAAGGAGTGGTCTGACTTGGTGTCTCGGGGTGAGGCAGGATCCTACGTCAAGGAGAGACTGTAGCTCAGTGGACAGGGCACCTGCTTGGCCTGCAGAAGGTCCCAGGTTCAATGCCCCCTGACATCTCCGGGTAGGGTTAGGAACATAGGTAGAGCAGAGAGCCGCACTGGTTGTTCATTTGCTAACTGGCCATGTTCAATGTGTTTCTAGGGGCCTCGTGCTCTGCCAGCTGAGCTGTGTGTTGTGGGGTAGAGAACCACAGGATTGTAGAGTTGGAAGGGGCCCTGAGGATCATCTACTCCAACCCCCTGCAATGCAGGAATATGCAGCAGTGGTTTTCAACCAGTGTTCAAGGCAACCCTGGGGTGCCTTGAATGATGCTCAAGGGGTGCCACGGGCAACACTGGCCTCTGTCCCTCTTTCCTTCCCTCCCTCCTTTCATGCCCTCTCTCGTCTCTGCCTCCCAAAGGCTTGCACAGCTGTTTGTCTGCAGCTCTGGCTATAAGCTCCCCAGGCGAATGGTGTTCAGAGACCAGGGATGGCAGCAGCAGCTGCCTGGAGGACTCCCAAGGAGAGGGGAGAGGAGAGGAGGCTGAGGGAACCCTCCACAAGGGAGGGTGTTTGAAAAAGAGTGAGAGGCTGCCCGCTCTGCAGTCAAGGGGTGACATAACTGAGCTCCTGAGCCCCACGGGGGTGCCGCAGGAAGAATGTAGTTGGCTAAGGGAGCTGCGTGGACTCAAAAAGGTTGAAAACCTCTGTCTTATGGGTATCGAACCTGCAACCTTGTCATTATCAGCACCACATTCTAACCAACTGAGATTCGTTTTTTGTTCTTGTTTTTCTTAATGTCTTTTGTGTTCTCATTTTGTATTATTACATTGTTAACTGCCCTGTGATCTTCAGGTGAACAGTGGTATACAAATTTAATAAATAATAATAGTAATCGGTTTACCTACAAGACTGCCTGACTCCATATGCGCCCACTCGACTCCTTCAATCTGCAGAACTGGCTCTGTTACAGGGGCCACATAATACCTATTCTGCAGTGGTAAGAATTCAATCTTCTAGTGAGGCAGGACCTACACTTTGGAACTCCCTGCTGATTGAGATCAGGGAGGTGCCTTCACTATACTCTTTTCGGTGTCTTCTAAAAATTTTTTGTATAGGCAAGCCTACTCAGATGTTTAGAAAGCTGATGTGAATTTTAACCTATTGTTATTTAAGTCTTCTTGTTAATTTTGGTGATCGTTTTGCTGTTTTATCTTTTTTTCGTAAACCGCTTTGCGGTTCTCTACAATCAAGAGGTGCGTACATTTTATGAAGTAAATTAAGAAGTAAATAAATATAAAGCCCCCCGCCTGACACCCTGGATCTGTGCAACCTCCTATCTTCTCCCATCATCTTGTAACGGTCCCTGTCTTGGAATATTTCCTAGACCAAGTCCTGGAAGACGTTCTTCACGATGGTGCACTGGTCCTTGCGGAGACGCAGCTCTTGGGTCCAGCTGGCCGGCCACGAAGGTACCACTACAGGACCGGCGGGCGGGGCGTGTTGCAAGCCAGGAATGGAGGTGGCCAAGGCAGCAGCTGCAAAGGAATCAGGGCCTGGGGGATCTCCCCCACTGCAGCTTAGAAGAAGCCACTGGATCCGAGGATGCAGCGGGCAGCCCTTTCCCTTCTCCGCAGTTTATTTCTGCCTCCCCAGGACCACAAGCCAGGGCTTCCGTGGGGCTCTTGGGCAAGCTTAAGCACTATGTCTCAGTTTCACCAACTTGGATGGGTTTTAAAGAGGACGGGGCAAATTCATGGAGGTATAGAACCTAAGCAGAGCCCTGCTGGATGAAACCAAGGGCCCACCTTTAGTCCAGCCTCCTGTTCTCACAGTGGCCAACCAGATGCTTGTGGGAAACCTACAAGCAGGACCCGAACACAAGAGCCCTCTCCCCTCCGGTGGCTTCCAGCAACTGGTGTTCAGAAGCATTTACTGTCTCCGCCTGTAGAGGCAGATACTCCTCTCCTCCATGAATTCATCCAGTCCTTTTTCAAAGCCGTCTAGGCTGGCGGTCACAGCGCTGCCTCCTGCGGGAGCAAGTTCCATAGATTAACGATGTGCTGCGCAAATGGTAATAGATGCGTGCAATAGATGGGCCACTTCTTATGCTCTTCTGCAAGCAGGGGGACAATTGTGGACTCCCTCCAGTGTTGCAGAAGATGTGTCTATGATTGCCAGTTGCCGGAAAGCACAAATCAGGGGAGTGTTGCTGTTGCACTCGGGTCCTGGATTCCAGTTGGTGTATCTGGCCATAATGCTGGACTGGATGGTGCACACACACACGCACACCCTGCTCTTCGGCTCGATCCAGCCACTACAGGTCTTTTACTGTGCTTCCTTCCCCTCCCTCCGCTTCTTCTGACCATCCTCGTTCTCCCCCCCCCAGGGAATTTCAAGCCCAGCGAAGGAGGCCAGATCCTGAAGAAGTTCAGTTCCGTGGAAGACGCCTGCCTGGCAGAGCTGATGGCCGACGTCCTGCGCCCCTTCGTGCCCGCCTACCACGGGGTGGTGGAGGTGGGGGGCGAACGCTACATCCAGATGGATGACCTGTTGTGTGGCCTCGACATGCCAAGCATCATGGACTGCAAGATGGGCACCCGGTGAGAGCAGTACCTTTCTGGGGGGAGGGTGGTGGGCATAGGAGGCTCCTTCATCTCAGGTGAGACAGGAGGGGGTGAGGGGAGGGCAGAAGTCCCACAGGCACTGAAGGTGGCTTTGGGATGGAGAAGAAGATTTATCCCAGGACCGTCTTCCCCACTGAGCAAAGGTCATCACCAAAGACCAGTTTGTATGGCACTTTTCCACAGTTGTAAGTCGCCTTGAGCAGAGTTTTAGCATGCAGATACAATGGTACGTAATCCGTTCCCAAAGACTGTTCGACTTCCGAAACGTTTGAAAAACAAGGTGCAAAGGGCAGCCAGCAAATTCCATTGAGAAAATTGAAACACACGCATTTGACTTCCGAGGTGCGTTCGGAAACGGAAGCATTTGGGTTCTGAAACGTTCGGCATGAAAGCAGCCAGAAGCAGTAAATAAAAACACATTGAAACGTATGATGCAGAATTAAAGCAATCCCCATGCAAGTCACAATCAGATCGAAAGATGCAAATTAATAATAATAATAATAATAATATTAGCAAAATTAAACATCGCCAGAATTAAAGATCAACCCTTATAAAAAAAAAAACAACCCTCTAAGCAATACCCCCCCACCCCAAGAGCCTGGAGGCATCCTGTGAAGCAGGTCCTGAAGGACTTGCAGCCAGGATGGTCTCTGACTTCTTTGCCAGCCTCCGTTTTTGTAGCTGGAGTCAGTTAGATGGAAAGAGGCTAGCAAGGCAGGGATGGGTAAGGTCATAGAATCATAGAGTTTAAGGGACCCTGAGGGCCATCTAGTCCAACCCCCTGCAATGCAGCTCAGTGTCAGCAAGGTGGAATCAGAGGCTGTAGCTGGGTCGCCAGCAGTCATCTGTGTTTCGCATCTGTCTGTTGCATAAGTGGGGTTTTTTTTTGGTGGTGCAGGCCTGCCGATAATAGCAGCCAGATGTGGGAGACTGCAGAGCTAGTGTGTGGGTGAATCACTAACCGGACAGCCCAGAGGGATCTGCCTTGTACTGAGTCAGACCCTTGGGCCTATCTAGCTCAGTATTGCCTGCACTGACTTGCAGCAGTGGCTCCCCAGGGTTTCAGGGAAGGCCTTTTCTCTGCCCTACCTAGAGACACCACCAGGGATTGCCCCTGGGGCCTTCTGCAAACAAATCACTTTCCCTGACCCCCCCCCACATTGCAGCCAGTCCCCCTCCTTGTCCAGCTCTACCACTCCTTAAGAAAATAAGAAGATCCAGTCCAGCTTCCTGTTCTCCCATTGGCTGGCCAGATTCTCATTCGGGGAAGTCTGCAAGCAGGAGCCCAGCACGAGAACCCTCTCCCCTCTGGTTTTTCGGAAGCAGTGCTGCCTTCCTTGAACACCTCCTGTTTCTGCCCAGGACGTACCTGGAGGATGAGCTGTCGGAGGCACAGCAGCGGCCAGCGGCACGGCGTGACCTGTACCAGAAGATGGTGAAAGTCGACCCGCAGGCCCCCACTGCCCAAGAGCACAGCCAGGGCGGCGTCACCAAGCCGCGGTACATGCAGTGGCGGGAGGGGATCAGCTCCAGCGCCTCCCTGGGCTTCCGCATCGAGGGCGTCACGGTGAGTGGCGGCGACAGCTGAGCAGAGAAACGAGGAGGCAGGAACTCCCGCCCAGTAATGCAGGAATATGCAGCTGTCCCGTACGGGGATCGAACCTGCAACCTTGGCATTATCAGCACCCCACACTAACCAGCTGAGCTATCCAGCTGGTCCCAATAAAATAATAATAATAATAATAATAATAATAATAATAATAATAGAAATTATTTTTATTTATACCCCGCCCTTCCCGGTTCAAAGACCGGGCTCAGGGCGGCTAACAACAAATTTAAAACACTTAATTGTAAAAGCAGCATAAAATACAGTATAAAAACATGAATAACCATAAAATCCAAAATCCAGAAATCAATTTAGGGGAAATAAGCATTAGATAATCACCAGGGCTAGCTGGCTGAATTGGTCCTACTTGGGCCAGCGTGGAGGCCGGGGGAGAATTAGCTGTGGGGTCTCCAAGCGGGTAATCTTCATAAAAGGGGAGGGGGAGGAAAGAAAAGGGAACTAAAGATCAGACTGAATTCAAATTATTATTATTATTATGAATATGAGAACACCCCCCGCCCCAATCTCTGTCTCCACAGATCGAGGGGGGAGCCGTGCGGAGGGATTTCAAGCAGACTCGCACCAAGGAGCAGATTGTGGATACTTTCCTGATGTTCACCAAGGCCCGCCTTGACGTTCTGGTGAGATTGGTTAGGGGGGACACAGTGGGAACAGGGGGCGAAATCTCAGCCACTGGGTCCCCCCCCCACCTCGTTCTCTGTACCTGGACTGCTCATTCTCAACCTGAAACAGAACTTCGCCAGATATTCACAGGAATGTTGCCCACCAGCATACTTCTGGTGCTTTTCAAGCAGTGAAGTATAAACTTGACAGGTTTAGCACTTCACGACAACACCCCCGCCCCATAATTCAACAGCTCTGATGGTGTTTCCTGCTTGGCAGGGGGTTGGACTCAATGGCCCTTGTGGTCTCTTCCAACTCTATGATTCTATGATTCTATGATTCTATGAGTTCCAATGAGAGGAATGGAGATTCCGCATTGGGAGAGCTGTGGCCCAGTCATGCGGGATGGGGGTGTGGGACTGGTCTCTCCCGTGTTTTGAAACATCTGGCTTCTGTGTGGTGGGAATGTAGCCTGCCATACCAAGGTAGGCATCACAGCTCTTGCCCCTCCCACTTTTTGCCCCCAGCCCCACCTATTGTTCACGTGTGGCCCTCAGAAGTCGGCCCACAAGGACTTAGCTGAGATGGCAAAGTTAACATGTTCAGTGAGAGAAAAATCATTACTGACATTCATTGGGATCCTCTTTTTGTGTGAAAGAGAAAATAAACTTGTAATATCTGGATTGGAAGATGGGGAAAATATTGGCTTATAGAAAATACAGTAGTTGGATGCTAATGTGTGAATACAGTCTTACCTTGGAAGTCAAACGGAATCCGTTCCGGAAATCCGTTCAACTTCCAAAATGTTCGAAAACCAAATCGCGGCTTCTGATTGGCTGCAGGAAGTTCCTGCAGCCAATCAGAAGCCGCGAAAGCCCCATCGGGCATTCGGGTTCCAAAAGAAAGTTTGCAAACTGGAAAAATAACTTTGCGGTGTTTGGGAGCCAAAACATCTGAGTTCCAGGGCGTTCAGGATCCAAGGTACGACTGTACTATATTTATGGTGTATTATAAAAAGATACTATTGGTATGAACTTTGCATATCTTTTGATAAGTATGAATAAAAATATATATTTTCTTAAAAAGAAGTTTGCCCATGAGAAAATAGGACCCTGGGACTGAAAAAGCAGCCCATGTAGCAGAAACACATTTAAAGTTAGACAGGTCCCTGTTCTATTTCTGCCCTTGAATTCCATGCCACCTGTTGGCTTAGCCAAGGCTTCCATGACCTGCCTCTCCTAGCAAGGGGCACAGGTGTATATGGGGGGGGGGCTTGGCCTTGATGAGGGGGATCCCATCCAAAGCCTCAATGCTCCCTCTTGCCTTGCAGAGCACATACGCAGCCCGCTTGGAGAGCATGCGCCAGGCGCTGGAGGAGTCTGCCTTTTTCAAGACCCACGAGGTGAGGCTGTCAGGGCGGGGGGAGGTTAAATTGTTTGTTCATTGTATTTATTTAAATCCCACCTTTATCTCCCAGGAGCTCATGATGGCATACATGATTTCCGCCCATTTAATCCCCACAACCACCCTGTGAGGTAGGTTAGGCTGAGAGGCAGGGACTGGCCCAAAGCTTCATGGTGGCTGAGGTGGGATTCGAACCCTGGTCTCCCCTAGGTCCTAGTCTGCCATTCTGAACATTGGTTCTCAGGAATGGGAGGCAGAGGAGAAAAAGGCCCTGCAAGTGTCTCTCTCTCCTGCACTTCCAAACAGTTGTTGGCTTAGGACCTGAGGGTTTGTCTTTAACTGTGACTGGGCTAGTTTGTTATACTTTGTTTTTAGGCTTCTTCTTTTTTCTTTTTTGGTCCTCTTTTGATTTCGAGTGTGCCTGCTCATGTAGAAAAGCAGGGTATAAATTCACAAACACCAAAGACAGATTGTTATTTTTATTGTTCCCATTTATTCTTATACAGTGGTGCCTCGCAAGACGAAAAGAATCCGTTCTGGGAGTCTCTTCGTCTAGCGGTTTTTTCGTCTTGCGAAGCAAGCCCATTGATGGGATTAGCGGATTAGCGCTATTAGCGCTATTAGCGGCTTTTAGCGGCTTTTAGCGGCTTTAGCAGCTTATCAGCTTATCGGATAAGCAGATAAGCGGCTTAGCGACTTAGAAAAGAGGGGAAAAGGAAAAAAAACCCAGGAACTCGCAAGACATTTTCGTCTTGCGAAGCAAGCCCATAGCAGATTCGTTTTGCGAGGCACCTCCAAAACGGAAAACTCTTTCGTCTAGCGAGTTTTCCGTCTTGCGAGGCATTCGTCTTGCGGGGCACCACTGTACTAACAACTAACCCTAAGCCTGTGGGATCCTCCCTCCACCCTTCTAGGGGGAAGCCTCTGGAGAGGAAAGGGGGTGCAGAATATGACAAAAGGATTCCCCCTCCCATAGGCGAGGGACTCTCCCTGGTTGTGGGACAAAACCTAGGTGCTTTGTGGCTCAGTGTGAAGATGTGGACAGGACCTGTGGCCTCTCTCCTTCCTCTTCAGTGGCTTCTCGCTTCCCTCTCCCTCAGCAGGCACTCTCTAGGGTGGGATTGGGGAACCGGTGGCCTTTGAGACTATAGCCAGACTACAACTCCCATCACCCCTGAGCAAAAGGGCCCGCTTGTCCAGAGTCCGGAGAGCCACCAACCTAAACAGCTTTAAAAAGAGGTGTAGAGGAATTAGACAAGGTTACACACAACATTACATCAGACTGCCTGGATAGGAGGTGAAGCTGAACGTCAGGGGATTCAGGGCAGGTCAAAGAAAGTCCTCCTTTACGCAGAACAGCGTTAAACTATGGAACTCACTCCCACAGGAGGCAGTGATGGCTTTAAAAGGGGATTGGCCAAATTCACAGGCTATGCTTCTGAATCGCAGTTGCTGCAAACCATGGGAGGGGAGAGTTGCTCTTGATCTCAAATCCTGCTTGTGGGTTTCCCATCAGTGCATCTGCTTGGCCACTATGAGAACAGGATGGTGGGTCCGAAATGGCCTGATCCAGCAAGCTCTTCTCAGGTGCTTTTGGCACCCCATCCCTGCCACAGATGCAGCTCTTAAACCGACTTTAGCCGCAATTGCCAAGGACAGGCCCTTCACATTCCCAGCTCCTAAAACCGAGCCTGAGGGAACGGCTGCTTCCTTGGCGCCCTCCTTTCCTGTCACCTTGCCAAAGCTGTTGCGTTCGATCCAGGAAGGTACATCTTAAGAGTCTGAGCACCTCCAGGGCCGCCCTGTGGCTTGTAAAATGAGAGGAGCTCTTGGCTCACACTCCTGGCGCAAACGCAGGTGGGGAGTGCCGGCAGGAACCAGGCCAAGGCAGGCCAGCGAAACACCAAGGGGATGTTTGGTTTGCAGAAGTAGTGTGGGGGGGGGGTAACCCTAAAGGAACAGCCTCCCCTCCTCCAACAAACCAAGGAGGGCTGGGATGAAAACCTGAACAAAGATCTTACAAAAGAAGCAACTCTAGTACTCAAATCTATCACTGATTTCAAGCCAGACTTGTTTGGTTTATCATCCTTTTTATTTAGTTTGATTTTTAAAGCATTTTAATTTAGCCCTATTGATTTCAGGGAAGAATAGGCTTTTTAGCAGGGAGCTATAGTTTTGTGGTTGTTTTATTTCCTTGTGTTTTTATCTTGCATTATTTACTTGTGTTTTTGTCTTGTAATTTATTCTGTGAACTGGCCTGAGAACTTGTGATGCACAGTATAAAATTTTTAATGGTTATTTTAAAGTAGCCAGTGGGGTGGCGGGAGACAGAAAGGGAGTGCCCTGCTTGGAGGGAAGAGCAACTCTAGCAGGAGAGGCTGTTACAGGGCAGAATTACCGTAGTTGCTTTATGACTCCCATCTTAGCTGAGAGGGGAAGGGGAAAGTGCTTTGTATATGCCCAGAGGAAACCCACCCTGCCTGAAGGCAACAGAGCCCAATATAATCTTGTAGAAAACGGATTTACAGGCAGGATCCTGGGACTCTCAGAATAGTCAGCCAGACCAGAGGGGCAAAACCCTCGCTCGGTTGCCGTCCCTCTGAGCTGCCCGCCCAAGGTTCCTAAAAAGCACTACTTTTTACACCCCTCAGGTGATTGGGAGCTCCCTGCTCTTCCTCCACGACCGGAAAGGCCAAGCCAGTGTCTGGATGATTGACTTTGGCAAGACACTACCCGCCCCGGAAAACCTCCCCTTGCAGCACTGCGTGGTCTGGGCCCCCGGGAACCATGAGGACGGCTACCTGATTGGTCTGCAGCACCTCATTGACACCGTGCAGGCCACTCTGCGGAAGGCGCAAGAACGGGGGCAAGCCCCGGCGCCCCCCGCCAACCCTTGAGCTTGCCTGGAGGACGTCCTCCGTTGGGCAAATCTGGACGGGCACCCAACCGAAGGAGGGGAGATCCCAAGGCTGTATTAACTGTAACGGCAAGCACGCTGCAGAATGGGGCCCCAGTGGGATCCAGCAACGACGTTGCCGCACTTGTTGCCTGCCCCAAAGGAGGATTAGCCTTCCCGCTGTCAGGAAATAGCAGGGAGGGGAGCCGCAGCCTTCTGAGACCAGGGAGGAAGACCAGGAGCATCTTGGGACACTCAGAGATCAACGAGGGAGCGTGTAGGAACGCAGCAACACTCCCGAGGTCGGCACTGCCATAGGAATGGGCTCGTCCTCCCTCCAGTTCCCTTTGCTCCGGCTGGGAAGGACACCTGGGAGGTGCAGGGACACCTGAAGTGGACAGTGGCAGGAGTGGATCCCAGGCTGGAGTGGGTGGGAGGCAGAGGCTGGTGCCGTAACCTTACAGCCAAGGGGAGCTTTGAGCTCAGACCACCCCCACCCCATTTGTGGCACATCACAAAGCTCAGGTGAGAGCCGGGTGGGATGAAGGAACCCCAGCGCATCCCTTCCCAGGCACACAGGTGCATCTCTTAACATGCAAATGTCTTTCTCTCTGTGCATTCATAGATTGAGACACACACCTGGGCAGTCAGGGGTCACCCAGGTAGCGGAGCCTGGGTTTCTGTGGAGGAAGGAGCAGATTCTGCCCTGCAGGGTTGTTTCCAAGGCCCACATGAACCCACAGCGGTCCTGAGCCCAGTGTGGGGCTAAGCGGGGGCACACTGGCACTCAACCGGAATGGGTGGGAGCTGCAGGTAGGGCCTGTCTGGGATCCAGTGGAGGCTGGGAAGGAGTCTGGACTTTTTATTCTCCTCAATAAAAATAAAACCCTTTGCGTGCTTCTGGGCTGCGACCTACTCAGTCTCGGGCTGAGCCCTCAGCCCATGACCAGCTACTCTGAAGCTTCTGTTTCCCCCATAAGAAACAAATTCTATTGCAGTCAAACCTCTAGGATGGAGAGGACTGCCTCACAGCCTCTGCCCCCTGCAAGCAAGCAAACAAGCAAGCAAGCAAACAAACAAGCAAGCAGCTAGGGAACTGCCTGGACATTCCCTGCCAGCCTGCCAGTGAATGGGGCTGGGTCAAGGTGGAATTCATAGAATCACAGAACTGTAGAGTTGGAAGGGATTCTGTGGGTCATCTAGTTCAACCCCATGCAATGCAGGAACCGCAGCTACAGGATCCCTGACAAATGGCCACCGGAGCTGTGTTCAAAATTCTCCAGTGAAAGAGAGCCCACAACCTCCCAAGGCAGTCCGTTCCATTGTCAAAAAAGTACATCCTGTCAGAAAGTACATCCTAATGTTCAGATGGAATCTGCTTTCTTGTCATTTGAATCCAGTATGTCTGGGTGCTACCTTCTGGGGCAGCACTAAACAAGCTTGCTCCACCTTCTGTGTAGCAACCCTTCAAATATTTGAAGATGGCTATCCTATCCCCAGGGACACAGGTGGCGCTGTGGGTTAAACCACAGAACCTAGGACTTGCTGATCAGAAGGTCGGCGGTTCAAATCCCCGCAACGGGGTGAGCTCCCATTGCTCGGTCCCTGCTCCTGCCAACCTAGCAGTTCGAAAGCACATCAAAGTGCAAGTAGATAAATAGGTACTGCTCCAGCGGGAAGGTAAACGGTGTTTCTGTGCGCTGCTCTGGTTCGCCAGAAGCGGCTTAGTCATGCTGGCCACATGACTCGGAAGCTGTATGCCAGCTCCCTCGGCCAATAAACTGAGATGAGCACCGCAACCCCAGAGTTGGTCACGACTGGACCTAATGGTCAGGGGTCCCTTTACCTTTATCCTATCCCCTCAGAGTCTCCTCCAGACCAAACATCCCCAATTCCCATAAGGCTTGGTTTTCCAGGCCCTTGATCAATAGTCTCCTTAAAATTGTGGTGCCCAGAACCGGACACAGGACTCGAGGCAGGGTCTGACCAAGGCAGAACAGAGCAGCGCTATGTTACTGTTCTGTACTTTTCCTTCCATGAAGGGAAGCAAGATTCTAGTCCCTGTGGGAGCATTGGAGGCAGGCCAAGCACCGCTTCCCCTTCTCTTTCCTCATTCTTCTGTGAAGTGTTTTGCAACATTGCCAGGGAGACTGGGCACAAACAGCACCCCGTTCCCAGGACTGATGCCAGCGGACCTCTACGTTGGAGACATCTCCTCCTCCTCTCCCACCGGCCTCCGAAGCCAATGTCAAGTTCGGCAGAGGAACTGGGCCCATCCCCACCCCTTTAAGCCCTGCAGATTTTAACACCCCCGATTCTTCACTGCTACCCATCATCTTTCCCTCCCCTCGCCCCCACTAACTCTTCAACAAGACTGGTTGCTATGGAGATGGTTTTCATTTTCTAACAAGGTGAGAGAGGGTGGGGGGAATAGCCACCCAGGGAGTGGGGAAGAGGGAAGTGGGGCCTAGCAGCAGCAGGCAAACAGTGATTTGAGGCAGGGTGCTGCCCCAAGCAAGAAGGGGGGGGGAGAGACTGGGGTCCCAATTCGCCAATCTGCAAGTGTTACTCTTTTGGGAAATGCCAGGCATACCTATTCAGAGGGGGCTGAAGAGGAGTTAATGGAGGGGCCAGAATTTTTCAATTGTATTGCAATCTCGCCTTTCCCTCCAAGGGGTTCAAGGTGATGCACGTGGTTCCCACTCATTAATTCCCACAACCCTGTGAGGTAGATTAGGCTGCGGCACTCGGAGAGCTCCATGGCACAGTGGGGATTCGAACCCTGGTCTCTCCCAGGTCCTAGCTTGGCACTCTAACCACTGCACACCACAGGCAATCAAGGAGGGTCTTGGGCAGAAGGGATGCAGGACTGGTCCCTCTTCAGACACCCCTCAGCGTAGAGGCCTCAGCAGGGAGGGGAAGGGCCAAGGAGCAGGGCTGAGCAGCAGAGCGCCCCACTTTGCGTGCGAAAGGGAAGGATTTTTACAGGAGAAGCAGGCTGCAAGTGGGCGCACACTTGAATCCAGGACAGCTCCGGATGGCTGGGGAGAAGGCGGCACCTTTAAGTGTTTCTAGGGAATAAGTGGCATTTCTGCCTGTGGTTAGGGCCGGGTCTGAACCCCTGGCATCTTGAGGCAGGGCTGGAAAGAGCCTTCTGGGCCTGAGATACTGCCAGTCAGTGTAAGCAACACTGGGCTAGATGGTCTGACTGTGTAGGGCCGCTTCCCAAAACTGCAGAGAAGTCACTTCTCCCACCCTGGGACCCTCCAGCTGTTTCGGACTACAACTCCCATCAGCCTCTAGCTGGCACTGAGTAGAAGAGGAGGGGAGAGGAAGGGGGAACCTTTTTCACTGCTGCTGCTGCTGCATTCCGGAAACCAGAAACTTGACCTCAGGCAGCTGGTGGCTTGCCTAGTTTCTCCAGAGTAGCACAATCCTGCCCCCTGCTGGCTGCTAGGAGCGTTGCTGACTGATGCTGGTAAGAGCTCCCAATCCCTTGAACGCAGAAAAAATGTGCTCCATTCCCCGCCCTGCAAAGCAAGCCCTTCTAGGGCAGTCACAGAATTTTAGAGTTGGAAGGAACTTCCAAGGTCATAGAGTCCAACCCCCTGCAGTGCAGGAACGGCAGCCAATCCCTGCCTGCTCCTTCCTTGCCACACACACTTCCTGCAACATGCACCCACCCCCCCAGCACAGCACAGCACACAATCTGGGCTCAGCCCTCTGGTCCTCCTTTATTGTGGAAGTATCTCTGGCTTTTGTAACATCCAGGCTGAAGGAAAGACGTACTGGGGAGCCCAAAAAGCTTGTGCAGAACTTTTTGCTTTGCTGCTGGTCAGAATGAAACTGAATCGTGTGGTTGTGGCTGCCTGGGTTGGTCCTCCTGGTCTCCCCACAAACACACCAACCCCCCGCCCCCGCCCCCATCATGGGTGCCTGTGTCAATTCCTGCTTCTGTACCTGAAAGGAGTCGTGTCCCTGATCTGTACAGCACATCAAAACACTGTCCGACAGGGCAAAGCAGGCCAAGAAAAGGACACTTCACCCCCTTACCGAATGCCTATGGAAGCAGGAGCTGAAAACAAGTCACGTCCTTTAATGTTCAGCCAACCTTCCGTCTCTCCCAACAACCCCAGAGAGAGAGGGAGACAGAGAGAGACAGAGAGAGAGAGAGAAGTTGCAGCCTGCAGCTCATGCACCAAATGGATGGCAGAAGCTATACTCCTGACAAGTACAAAAACAAGGGCGAGGCAAGAGGAGGTGGCACCACCCTCGTGATGCCAGGCGTGCTGCTGCTTGAGAGCGCACCAATCCCGCCAAGCAGAAGCTCTTCCCCACCACGTGGTTCTTCTGCGGGTGGCAAGGCTGGCAAAGCGGGAGGCTGCGTCCTTTCAGTGGCCCTGCCAATGTCCTGAACGGGGTAGATTAAGAGGAACGGCCCCGCTTCTGAGCCCGGGTCAGTGGAAGGCAGCAGTGGCGGCGCCCGGTCAGTCCTGAGCCTCTTCTGAGCGCCACTTCAGGGACTCCTCCTTCCGGGCGTCGGGCTTGATCTGGTTGCGCATACCGCCCAGGAGGTTGGAGGTGGCTTCCGAGGCCACAATGAGGGGCTTGACCACGGTGGGAGGGATCTGCCGCAGGACGCCTCCCACCGCTCCGGTGATGCCTTTCTGCTCGTGGCCACGAGTCGCCACATCGCAGATGGCCTGGGCTGTGTCGATGACACCCTGGAGGAGGACGAAGAAGAGTTTGGATTTATCACTGCCCTAAGGAGTCTAAAAGAGGCTAACATTCTCCTTTCCCTTCCTCCCCCACAACAAACACTCTGTGAGGTGAGTGAGGCTGAGAGACGTCAGAGAAGTGTGACTAGCCCAAGGTCACCCAGCAGCTGCATGTGGAGGAGTGGGGAAGCAAACCCGGTTCACCAGATTACGAGTCCACCGCTCTTAACCACTACACCACACTGGTGCAGAGGAGGAGGAGAGAAGGATGGAGAGAAAGCGTACGTCAGGGCCTGCCAGAGGGCTGAAAGCAGGGTTTCTCCAACTTGGGTCTCCAGCTGTTTTTGGACTACTATTCCCATCATCCCATACCACTTGGCCTGCTAGCTATGGATGATGGGAGTTGTAGTCCAAAAACTATTGGATACCCAGGTTGGGGAAACCCTGGCTGGAAGGATCATTCCTTTTCAAATATATAAAGATCATTAATTTACAAGGCAACATGTTTTCCTAGTTCAATTTTATGTAAGCTGCTGTTGTACACGCTTATACAGTGGTACCTCGGGTTAAGAACTTAATTCGTTCTGGAGGTCTGTTCTTAACCTGAAATGTTTCTTAATCTGAGGTACCACTTTAGCTAATGGGGCCTCCCACTGCTGCTGCACCACCGGAGCACGATTTCTGTTCTCATCCTGAAGCAAAGTTCTTAACCCGAGGTACTATTTCCGGGTTAGGGGAGTCTGTAACCTGAAGGGTCTGTAACCTGAAGCATCTGTAACCCGAGGTACCACTCTGTGTGTGTGTGTGTACATATATATATGGGGGGTGTAAACAAATAGTTATGATATTCCACTAATAGCGAACTCAGACAGTGAGTGCCGATAGCTATGGAGCCAAAATGGGGCAGCTGGAAAATCAGAGGCAGCATTTGCTTGCCCAGAAGGACCACAGCATGTGCAGAAAGAGAAAAAGCCTCAAGGAAACTAACTCAAAAGCAGCTCAAGGAAGCCAGAATTTTGGAAGATTCAGGGCAGATAAAAGGAAGCCCTTCTTTGCACAGGGCAGAGTTAGCCTATGGAACTCACTCCCACAGGAGGCAGGGATGGTTCCCAACCTGGATGGCTCTAGGCCTTACCTCTCGCACAGTGTCATAGGCCTTGGCCACCCCTTCACGCAGGTCGGCAGGTTGCTGGCCACGCCTCAGCTTGCGCGTGTGCTTCTTGTCCAGGAGGGTGCGCGTCATTGGGGGGGCGGTAGGGGACAGGATGTCGTAGACAGTCTCTGCTGTGGCCTGCAAGGGGGAGAGAAGGGATGGCAAAGCAGGAAGGAAAGGCGGTTCTGAGAACCCCATTGCCCTTGCGGGGACCACAATGCCTTCCAATATCTGAAGGGCTGTCGCATGGGAGATGGAGCAGGCTTGCTCTCTGCTGCTCTGAAGAATAGGAATGGAGCCAACAGCTTCTAAGGACAAGGAAGGAGATTCCAACTAAACTTTCAAAGGAGCATTCTGAAGGCAAGAGCTGTTAGGCAGTGAAATGGGGCTGTGGTTTAAGGGGTTGGACCAGATGGCCCCTTGAGGTCTCTTCCAACTCTACCATCTATGAACTCATCACTAAGGACTGGAGAAGAACAAGGGCAGCTGCCCCCCCCCCCCCCCGCAGACCACCCCTGCCCATCTCAGACCACACGGTCCCAACCTGGATGGCCTGCACCAGGCGGTTGCTGAGCTCGAGGGCTGCCGACGCGGTTGAAGTGCCGAAGGAGGCTGCCCCACGCTGCAGGCCCCGGATGATCCGCCCGTCCTTGCGGTACTGCTCGATGGGCAGCCAGAAGAGGTCACGGAGGCCGTGGACTGGGAGGGAAGGAGAGAGAGAGGAGAGGGCAAATGCAAGGGCAGCACCGTTGCGTGTCAGGCAAAACCATTCCCCTTTACCCAGGCCTATGGCTGTTCCATAATCTATGGCCTGTAAAAGTGTGGAGAGAGAGGAATGTTATGATCATGATTATTATTAGGCTGTCTCTGTATACTTTTTACTATGTTTTTCCATTGATGTTTTGTAATGTGTTTCTAATGTTGCACATCTCCCTGATATCTTCTGATAAAAGATGGTATGTAAATTGAATTTATTATTATTATTATTATTATTATTATTATTATTATTATTAACTGTGCTGCTGGATCAGGCCAAAGGGGGACTTACCTGGTCCAGCATGCTGCTTTCCACCATGGCCAACTGGGTGCACACTCTTCCCCAATGGGAAATCCACAAGCAGGGATGGGAAGGCAACAGCTCCCTCTCCCCAGCAGTTGGGTGTTGAGAGGTAGACTGTGCCTGGGCCTGGAGGCTCCATCTAGTCCTCATAACTACCCTCCTGTTTGTATATGTAGATAGACAGGAAGCCTTCCAACCCCCGACACTGCCGCCCGATACATCCCCAGGCAACCCCCTCCTCCCCCCAGACTTACAGAGCTGCACCACGGAGTGCATAGGCCCCACGCCTCCCAGGATGCCTGGCAGCTGGTTCTTGCGGATGTCCGTCAGCCACTCGGTCAGGGCGTAGCTCACCACCTTCTCCACGCCCAGTAGCCTGCGGAGAAGGAGGAGGTCAGGGGCCCCAAAGGGCAACGCCCACCAGATCCGGCCCCCCAGGCCAGTGAAGCAAGTGAAGCCGTGGGGAGGGGCTGCTGGCAGAAGTGTCTCAGGCAGCGGGATGTGGAAGCACCTGCGGCTTTTCAGCCCAGCTTGACAACTGATAAATGGGGCTGCCTCCGTTCAGATACTGGCTTCTTACTATGCACCACCAGGATGCTGGGGGGTTAGAGCCCCACCTTGCCCTCCTCTCCACTGACACACCCCACCTGGCTACCCTAAAAAGGTGGCTCCTCACCCGTGTCGACAGCAGAGCCTCTTGAGCTTGAGCTCAGAGCAGTTGAGCTGCGCCAGGCCGATGAGGATGCCGGCAAAGGTGCCCTAAGGAGAAACGGAGAGAATTTTTGTAGACTGGGAAGGGACCCTGCGGGTCATCTAGGCCAACCCCCTGCAGTGCAGGAATCGCACCTGAAGAATCCCTGACAGGTGGCCACTCTGCCTTGGTTTAAAAGCCTCAGGTGAAGGAGAGTCCACCACCTCCCAACGGAGTCGTCTCCACTATCAAACAGCTCTTGCCACCAGAAAATTCTTCCTAAGAAGGGTGGACACTGACCCAGCGACCCCGCTGCCTCGTCCGGACAGGCACTCCCCTTCCCCACCCTCACGTTTGTTTAATCCAGGGTTTCCCAAACTTGGGTCTCCAGATGTTTTGGACTACAATTCCCATCATCCCTGACTAGCTAAGGATGGAGTTGTAGTCCAAAAACAGCTGGAGACCCAAGTTTGGGAAACCCTGGATTAATCTCTCTCCCCACCCCCATCCTTTCCTGGGCACCAGGGCCAGGCTTTAGAGGGGAGAAAGAGGCAGCCTGGTGGGGGCCACCATGCCCTTTCTGTAGTCCTATGCCATGGGTAGGCAAACTAAGGCCCAGGGGCTGGATCCGGCCCAATCGCCTTCTCAATCCGACCCACGGATGGTCTGGGAATCAGTGTGTTTTTACATGAGTAGAATGTGTCCTTTTATTTAAAATGCATCTCTGGGTTATTTGTGGGGCATAGGAATTCATTCATTTCCCCCCCCCAAAATATAGTCTGGCCCCCCACAAGGTTTGAGGGACAGTGGACTGGCCCCTGCTGAAAAAGTTTGCTGACCCCTGTCCTATGCTGAGACCCTAAAACGCAGACCCCTTGAGTTGTCCTGTCGCAAAAGCAACATCAGCTGGAATGAATGGCTGGAAGGCGGAGAGAGACTGAGAAGCAGCTCTGCAAAGGGGTCACTTATAGCGGACAAGGAAGTTCCCCAGGCCTGGGGAGGGAGGGGCTCCTGCAGACTACTCACCACTTGGTCCACGGTCACATGCTTTCCTTGGTAGTCCAGCCAGATGGGCACTTCGGACGTGAACCGGAACTCTCTGGAGAGGGAGAAGCCAAAGAGAACGGGAGATGCTTTTTCCCTTGTGGTGGGAAAGCGCTGGCAGCAGTGCCGGCTACCACTCCAGTGGCCTGTCTACTCCAGCATCCTGTTCTCACAATGGCTGTGTACCTCTAAGGACCTTGAAAGCTAGATAGACTGCCTCTGGGCCTGGAGGTTCCATAAGCACCTGAGAAGAGCTTCTTGGATCAGGCCAACAACCCATCTAGTCTATCATCCCGTTCCCAGGTGCCTATGGGAAATCTTCAAGCAAGACCTCTGCCTTCCTGTGGTTTCTAACCACTGGTATTTATAAGCATTTATTTGTCTCCAGCTGTGGAGGCAGAGCATAGCCGGGATGGCTAGTAGCCATCGATAGCCACCTCCTCATTCCTTCTACACGCACCCTCCCACAACAATCGGGCAATGACTCTTGTATTTCCCATATCTCATACGCATTATAAATTCTGGAGTCCCCTGTGGTGTAGTGGTTAGAGTGTCAGACCTCAACCTGGGAGACCAGGGTTCAAATCCCCACTTGGCTCACTGAGGGTGACCTTGGGACTGGTCACTGCCTCTCAGCCTAACCTACCTCGCAGGGCTTTTATGGGGCAGAACCGGGGAGGGGGAGAAAGAAAATGAGGAGCCAGGGAACCATAAATGCTGCCTTGAGCTCCTTGGAGGAAAAGTGGGGTGTAAATATAGTAATTGATAGAACTCTTAGCTAAGACTCTGCAGGTTGGCCCTGCTGCCCCCCAACATCCCCGCGCCCCATCCTTTCTCCCTCCCCACGTCAAGCGATTGTACCGGAAGTAAATGGGCTGGTCAGAGGAGGAAGAGGAGGCATTGGACAAGGAGCTGTTTTCGCTGGCCGTGGTCTCCATCGAGGCTGTCATCTCCCCCTCCGCTCCCTCAGGCTCTTTCCCTGAGGACTCTGGGCGACCTATGGAGTGGAAGAGCAGCATTGGGCAATGAGAGAGAGAGAGAGGGAAGGGGGCACCTCTGGGGGTTCCTCTAGACAGCCTCTGCCATCCCTGTGACACTCTGGATGTTGTTGAACTACAACCCCCATCAGCCCCAACCAGCATGGCCAAGAGGCAGCCATGGTGAGGAGGGTGGTGTGGAACTGGGGAAGCCCTCCTCCTCTAGGGAAAGGGAAAAGCTGTCCACGGAGGCACAGGTCAATTCTGTGTCCAGGGCAGCTGTCTACCAGCTCCATCTGGTACACAGGCTGAGACCCTACCTGCCCATGGACTGTCTCGCCAGAGTGGTGCATGCTCTGGTTATCTCCCGCTTGGACTACTGCAATGCGCTCTACGTGGGGCTACCTTTGAAGGTGACCTGGAAATTGCAACTAATCCAGAATGCAGCTAGACTGGTGACTGGGAGCAGCCGCCGAGACCGGTCTTGAAATATGACACCAGTCTTGAAAGACCTACATTGGCTCCCAGTACATTTCCAAGCACAATTCAAAGTGTTGGTGCTGACCTTAAAAGCCCTCAATGGCCTTGGCCCAGTATACCTGAAGGAGTGTCTCCACCCCCATTGTTTAGCCCAGACACTGAGGTCCAGCGCCGAGGGCCTTTTGGTGGTTCCCTGACTGTCAGAAATGAGGTTACAGAGAACCAGGCAGAGGGCCTTCTCGGTAGTGACATCCACCCTGTGGAACGCCCTCTCGTCAGATGTCAAGGAATAAACAACTATCCGCCTTTCAGAAGACATCTGAAGGCAGCCCTGTTTAGGGAAGTTTTTAATGTTTGAAGTTTTATTCTGTTTTTGGTCCTCAGTTGAAAGCCGCCCAGTGTGGCTGGGGAAACCCAGCCATATGGGCGGGGTAGAAATAAATAATAATTAATTAATTAATTATTATTAAATTATTAAAGGAAGATCCTCCCGGGAAGTCAGATACTCACCTTCTGAGCCAGCGTCACAGGGCACGACGGGGTTAATGCTGGCAGCCACACTGGTGAAGAAGTCCTTGAGGAAGAACAAGGCATCCTGGAGTAAAAGCAAGGGGAAAGCAAGAGCCTATTATTATTATTATTATTATTATTATTTAGTATTTCTATCCCACCTTTCTCTCAAGCTGCGATTCAAGATGGCTTACAACATTTGGGAATAAAAAAAATGCAAATGAATAGAAACTAACAATAATTAAAATGCATCAAAACACATTTAGAACCAGCAATCCCAGTTTGTTTTGATCCCTGTGTATTTCATCCTCGTGCCACTTCTATTTTCATAGCAGGCATACAATAAATCTAGCAGTTAGTATTTATTTATTTTTATAGTTAATATTTATTGAATTTTCAAAAAATAACAACAAAAATTTCCAAAAAAAATTTAAGGATACAAAAAACAAAATTAGTGCATAAACAAAAAAGAAAAGAAAACCCAGCCGCAAAGAAAAAAAAAAGAGAAACAGAAAAACAAAAATATAAAGTCCTTTACAATCTCTATTGACTTCCTTTCTAGACTTCCTCCTCCTCCCCTCTTTTGTTTCTTAATTTTTAATTTTTACAGCAAATCCTTTCTGTTTTTTCATAACAATCTGTCATTACGTTTCCTTATTCTATTTTCCCTCTTGTCATATAAAAACTTTAAAACTCATAGCTTATATTCAATATTTACCAAATTCTTGCATCATTACCTTTTACGAATCATTTACCAATCCTTACTTAAGTCATGTAATTTCATTCAACATCCTTCAAACATTTGTAAGCATTCCCAATATTAAAAGTAAAAAAGAAAAATAATAAGTCAAATTCAGTCCAGTCAGCTTCCAACCTCCCTCCCCTGGACCCGGGATTGTCAGTCCTTTTAACCTCGGTAATCCGGCTCCTTAACCTGGTTGTCTCGTATCCGAGGCCCTCAAGTCTCTTTCTTGCCCCTTTCGCCACTCTTGTTGATGATTCCTTTCCAGTCGTGGATGCTCCAGCAAGAAAATGCTTTTGACCCTTTGCAACAAGTCCATCCCAAACCCATTGCCCAAGCCAGACAGCAAATAATACCACTTCAAATTTCCACAAAGCTTGGAGACTTCGGCTACTCCAATCCTCTGATAGCCCATCACCAGACTCGGAAGGTCCAAATAACCATATGGAGGGGGTCGATCCATCCCCCCATTTCCAAATCTGACCACATTTCATCTTTCCGAATCTGGTTTGTCCCAAGTTCATTTATCAAGTTCAAAGGCTGATCTTGCCCGTCCAAAGGTCCCTCCATCTCTGAAGCCTCCGTCACTACAGCAGGTTCATATGCTTGTATAGCCTTTAACTGAATTTCATTTGTTTGCTGCTGTGCTCTGGTAACTTCCATCATCAAGGTCGTCTCCTGACGCATCTGGTCCAGCTGGGCACTTAGTTTTGAAAAACCTTCCAGGAACAATTGTTCAAGCCTTTGTACTAGCATTGTCCTTCAAGGTCAAAGAAAATTCTTTCCCACGAGAATAGTCCAATAGTTCTTCTCTTTTAATCTCTCTGCGTTGCAATTTCACTAAATTCCACTAGATGGAATTTTTATTTTTTTTAAAGGAATAAAAGCAACAGCAACAATCTTTCTTTTTCCAGAAACACTTTATCCAAAATTCCCCCTTCCAAATTCAAGAGGCAACAGTAGAATCAAAATGTTACCCTTCTTTTAACTAACTGTCGAGCTGGATAAACTTCAAAACGTCAATTCTGACAGCCCGCTCCTGGTTCAGGGCGGTGGAAAATTGCTTTATTTTAAACTCACTTCCGCAGGATTGAAAAGTCCAAATACAACCCCTTTTTCTCCTGCAGTCAAAGGGGGTTCAGAAATCTTAGATGTTGAATTCTAGTTCTCTTAAAATTTAATTTTCAGGCTTTAGTATATTTTGTCTTTGCTTTCTTCACATAACAAAAGAACGGAAGGCGACTTCCTGTTTAGACCTTCCCATTCCGAGTCCCAATTAAGTTCAATTTCAAGTCCAATATTATTTGTTTATTCACCAGTCTTAAAAGTGGTTCAGCTCTTCCAAGATCAGGTACTCACGGATAGATGTTTTAGATGCCAAATTGTCCAGGAAAAAGGCAGCGCTCTCCGATAACGGCAGTGCAGCTTTGCTGCACGGAGGAAGCAGACGACTCACAGCACCACGCACCTCCCACTCCGGAGCCCGTTACCGGGCTCCTGTACACGGGGAGAGCGCTCTCGGTGCCCGCCGAGTCCCACGTCCACAGGCTTCTTCCGCCTGTGGTTTTTGCGGGTCCCCGCTGCGCCGTAGCGGCAGGACCCAAGCCTCCGTGCAGCGGGTTCCCTTCAGTCCGAAGGGAATTCCGCCATTTTCCGGAGGCGCCACCCCGGAAGTCCTAAATCTAGCAGTTAGTAATAGCATCCTTGGAAGCTCCATCTCCAGTTTGGGCAAACTGGGAGGGAGAAGAGGAGGAATCCACCCTGCTTGGTCTTGCCAGGTCCACCCCTCCCATCCCAAAAGGCTCACAAGGAAGCCGCTTGCTCTGCTGCAGCCACACTCAGAGTCACCGGACATTGGACATCTGCATCAGGTCCCTCTAGGGACGGTTTTAGAGGTGTGGTGCATGGCCTTGTCTGAGCATTTCATCCACTGCCAGAGGGATTTGAGGGGGGTTACAGAACGAAGCCATTTTGATGTTGTACGGTTTCAGTTTATACACTTTATAAATAAATATACTGCACTGCATAGGCCCCCAACAACACATGCCTCTGCCGTATCAATGTGATGCTTCAAAAAGATCCCTTTGCAGAATCTATTTTATTACAGTGTCTGTCCTAAGCGATCTGTTCGTTTTATTCTATTGCAATAATAAGCTCCACACAGTCACTGTTTCTTACTTCTTTACCGTTTGTCCTGTTTGCATGCTGCAAACTAAATGCATCTTTAAAAAAAAAAACAAAACCCAGCTCAGTTGGTAGAGCATGAGACCTTTAATCTCAGGGCTGTGTGTTCGAGCCCCACATTGGGCAAAAGATTCCTGCATTGCAAGTGGTCGGACCAGATGATCCTTTCCAACTCTACAATTCTACGATGCTAGGAGCAGGCCAGGCATCCGAGCCGCAGCCATTTTGGCTATGCACATCATCTTCCTCCTGTGGGAGGGCAGGGAGTTCCGAGCGCAGGGGTGCTCCCAAACAAAGTGCCCCCCCCCACTGTCCCCTGCAGAGCACCTAACACCACCACCCCCCGCTCACCTGGTCAATGTTGAGTCTGAGTGGCATCAAGGAGACACGAAGGCAGCACTCGGGACCCCCCAGACCAGACTCAGGGCAGACGTGCAGGGCTTTGATGGTGAGCTGTGAAGAAAGAGGGGTGGGGGTGGTCAGTCTTGCGGTGGCCCCCAGTGACAGAAGGCGGGGAAGCTTTCCAGAGGCTGAGCTTCAGCAGCGCCAAATCCCCCCGACCCACAAAACTGTTTCACTATCAGACTCCAAGCCAGGCTGAACTACCAGTGTCTCTCATCAGGCCTTCAAGATCCAGGTGGGTTTATATTGTCTGTAACATTTATATACCACTGATTATTGTATGGGGAGGGAACCCTCAAAGCTGTTTATGAAAAGAACAATGAAATCGCTGATAAACAGATATTTAAAACATTTGGAGAGGGATTAAAAATAAACTAAAATCAGGTCAAAACACACATCGACATTCTATGTATCTGGACAGAGCTGTCTAATCCAAAATGTCTTTAGCAGGAGTACTGTGAAGGTGCCTGCCTGATGTCAATAGGCAGGGAGTTCCAAAGTTCCACAGCGAAAGATCAATCCCTTACAAATGAAAACGGGTATTGTGTGGCACCTGCAGCAGTGCCAGTTCTGCAGCTTGAAGAGGTCGAAAGGCCCATCTTGCAAGCAAACTAGTCCCAAGTTGTTAAAGGGCTTTCTATACTAACAGCAACACCTTGAACCCGGGTCCAGCAGCAAACCGGCAAGCAGAAGATCTCTCTGCCCAGGGGTGATATATATACTGACAAGGCCTCATTCCTGTCAGCAACTGTGTTGCAGCATTCTGCACTGACTTCAGCTTCCGGATCGAGAGCAAGGGACATCCCCACATCAAGCGCACTGCGGTAATCTAGTACTGGAGGGCCCCCCCCCCCCCCAAAATAGCATACAGGAAAGGGGATCATCTGGACTTTTCCAGTCCAAGGAGAGGTGGAGACAGCCAAGAGCCAGGGGAGAGGTCTGCTCCTTGGTGCTCACCAGCAACGCAACCCACAACCCCCCACCTGCTCTCAGCTCCTCCTGCTGCTGCCCCCCCCCCGTACCATGTTGGAGTGGGCTCGGCGCGGCATGCATTCGCTGCTGTACAGGTAGAGGAACTTGTTGATCTGAGAGGAGGCCAGGCGGTCTCGGATCTCCAGCTCCTGGACAATGAAGACCTGTCTGGCCACGGGCTGCTCCTCCAACTCCACAGAGGGTTTCTCAGATGTGCCGCTGCTGCTGCTGCTGCTGGGGTAAGTTTCATGTTGGAAACTCACCTGGAAAGGAGAGGTGAGGACAGGTGAGGTCACCACTTTGTCCCACTCCCCCCACCACCACTGTTTGTTTGTTTGTTTGCCAATTCATTTTCAAATTTGTAACACATTGAAACCAAATTGAAATTAATACCGGGTTCCCCCTCTCTCAGGGATATTCCAATTTTTTGGGAATCCACTTTTACATGCTGCTTATTTTACAGATTTATCTGTAATTAACATCTTTAAAAAAAAAAAAAAAAAAGCAAATCCCTCATCCCTCAGCTATTCCCCTTTACCAACACCCACATATAGATAAAACAAAATTATATCAAGGAACAATAAGTGAGGTTGCAATAATTTTAAATCGTTCGTTCTCTCCAACTTGCATGTTAGTTTCATTTTCTTATCCTGGATAATTTTCAGCTTCTGCCTGTTTGCGTGCACACGTCCAGGGGAGACTTTTCCTTTCCCCCACTGTTTTGATTCATTCACCTTTCCTCAAAGGAAGCTCAGGGTGGTGTATGCTGCCCCCTCCCCACTTTTCTTCTCACAAACAACCCTAAGAGGTAGGCCAGGCCAAGAGACTAAGAACGGCCCAGGGTCACCAAGTGGGCATTTTTGGTGCATATTGTAGTCCTAGCCCAGCACTCTCCCCCCACCCCAATGCCCTGGTGTTTCCCACCTCTTTCCTTTCAGATCTCTTGCACCCCACCAACCAACAGAGCAATTCCCTGCATAGTAAGCACAGCCGTTCTTGCAAGGACCTTTCTGAGGAAATTATATTTTTTTTATTTTCATCCTAAGACCTCAGGGTGGTTCACGTAATAAAATACAGGAGAGGAAACATGCAAGTAATTTAAACGAAAGAGCAGAACAATAACCCACCCTTTCCCACAGGCACATTTAAAAGACTAATATTAATCAGACAAAGGCCTGGTTGAAGAAGAACGCTTTCACCTGGCGCCTAAAAATATATATACAGTGGTACCTCTGGTTGCGAATGGGATCCGTTCAGGAGGCCCGTTCGCAACATGAAAAGAGCGCAACCCGCAGCGGCACGTTTGCGCACGCACGGGTTGTGATTTGGCGCTTCTGTGCATGCGCGTGACGTCATTTTTGCACTTCTGCGCATGCGCGAGCGGCAAAACCCAGAAGTAACCCTTTCCGGTACTTCCGGGTTGCCATGGGACATAACCTGAAAGAACGTAACATGAAGCAAACGTAATGTGAGGTATGACTGTATAATGAAGGTGCCAGGTGAACCTCTCCTGGGAATCGGGGCACCCATTTTAAACTCGAAGGAGCCCCCTCAGCAGCGAGTGAGGCCCCCCTCCTGAGCCACCAGCTCTCACCTTTGTCAGCTGGATCTCCATCAACAGGTCGTGGATGCGGCTGGTGCCCCCCTGAGCCCGCCAGGTGTTCTGGGGCCGGTTGGTGACAGAGGAGCGGGACGGGGACGAGCGGGCGCTGGAAAGGGACGTCTTTGTCCTAGAGAAAGTGGGGTGGAAAAGTATGGAGAGCGAGAGCATGTTAAAGTCAACGGATGAGACTTGCTCCTCCGCCCCGCCAGCCATAAGAACATACTAGAAAAGCCTGCTGGGCGGATGGCAAATGGCCAGTCTGGTCCAGCATCCTGTTCTCATAAATGGCCAGCTAGATGCGTCAACGGGAAACCGGCAAGCACAAGAAAACTTTCCCTTCTTTTGGTTTCCAGAAACTGGCACAGGCAACTCCCCATTTACGCGGGGGGCCTCCGTGCGTGTAACTGAAATTGTGTGTATTGGGAAGACCCTGGAGAGTCCTAGTGGCTTGCGAGGAGACCGCTCCCCAGAGTCCAAAGAGGATGTCCTCTTTGGGCTCTAGGGAGGGTCTCCTCGCAAGTCAGAAGGGAGGCGGGGCTTGCACCACTGACATGCAGGGAGCGAGTGATGGCTGCTGAACTTCCCCGCATGTCAGCTGTTAGGCAGGGAGGCTTCAACAAGACGACGTCCTCTTCAGGCTCTAGGGACAGTCTCCTTGCGAACCAAGAGGACCTTCTGGGGTGGGGTGGGGGATTAAATTTAAAAAACAGGTGGCAGAGCAACAGGTAGGCAGGTGAGGGCAAGCGGCTCACCTGGGTGAGTGGGCGTGGCCAGAGGCAGAGCGCCCCAGCCCAAAGTCCCTCCCGCCATAGAGATGCCAGACCACTGAGATCTCCCGCATCATCACCCGGCTCTCGGGGACCGGGAAGCGCGAGGGGGCCTTCAGGAGGTCCGTGCTCCCCAGGGGGCGGGAGAAGTGCCCCTCCTGGATGCGAACGGGGCCTTCCAAGAGCTTCGTCACCACCGGCTCCCCGTCTCGGGGCTGCAGAGAGAGGAAGCAAGAGGCAGGATCAGAGCACATAGTTTCCAGAAATTGGTATGCAGAAACATTCCTGCCTCCAGCCGCGGAGGCAGGGCAGAGCCATCAATAGCGCCTCTTAAAAGTCATCCAAGTTGGAAGCTATCGCTGCCTTTGACAAGGGCCCTTGGCTTTGCTAAATCCACAGAAATAAAGGCTTGGCTCCAGAGACAGCTGATGGCCTGAGGCTTGGCACTCCCCTTGCAGAAGGGCCAGGCCGTACCGGGATTCCTGTGCCTGGGGCGTCCAGGATGCAGAAGTCGTCCGTGGCTTCGCTCTCACCCTCACTGTCCTCCGAAGGGCTGAAGTCCAGCCCCTCCCCGACAGGAGTGGGTGGTGGGGCCGGGGTCTTTCCTGCCTTGCCCATGGCTCCGTTCTCCCCGGGGAACAGGTAGACAGAAACCGGGGACGGCTGCCGCCTGAGCCCGGAGTCACCTGGGAAAGGGGGAAAGGTTATATTAAACAGGGCAAGCCCCACTCAACTTGTGCTCCTCCCAGCTCTGAGCCACCTTCCGCTGCCTTGGGAAGACCAGCAGGGAGGACGCAAAAGGCGCAGCTGAAGGTGGGATCGGGGGAAGCATTCTCTCATTACACAAGACAAGAAAACTTGTCGTGTTTTAAGAGTGGATGGTTTTGCCAGAAGTTATATTAGAGTGGATGAGATTACACATAGCTGACAGATGAAGAATAAGAAGTTCTTTATTTTCTTAACTTAATTTTTTGCTTTTCTCTTTCTTTCATTATTCCCTCTTTTTCTTCCCTTTCCCATTTTATTCCTTCTCCTTCTCTCTCTCTCTCATTCTCTTTCTCCCTTTTTCTTCTTCTTTCCTTTTTTGTGTTTTTATATAGATCAATGTTTTCGTTTTGATAAAAAAAAGATATTTGATGACAATCAACCTTCTGGAGGTTCCCTCGCTACGAGAAGCCAAGTTACAGGGAGCCAGGCAGAGGGCCTTCTCGGTAGTGGCACCCGCCCTGTGGAACACCCTCCCACCAGATGTTAAAGGGAAAAATAACTACCAAACTTTTAGAAGACATCTGAAGGCAGCCCTGTTTAGGGAAGCTTTTAATATTTAATAGGTTATTGTATTTTAGTGTTCTGTTGGAAGCCGCCCAGAGTGTCTGGGGAAACCCAGCCACATGCGCGGGGTATAAATAATAAATTATTATTATTATTATTATCATCATCACCCTGCCATATCTTGCCCCAATGTTTGGCGAAGAATCGCTACCCAGCAGCATCCAGGGAAAGCCAAGCACTCCCCCTCCTGTTGCTCTTCCTTACCCATCTCTCCGGCCAGTTCCTGGAGGCTGCGCTCCGTGTCAATGAGGGCGTCTGTGAGGTCTTGCTGGTTGATGGCTGCAGTCTCAGCAGGTGGACATGACGGCAGCGACGCCGGGCTCTCGGACAACTAGCAGGGCACAGAAGAGGGCGTGAGCGCACTGGAAGCAGCAAGGGCGAGAGCAGGGCGCCCACCTGAGGGGGGTTGCTCTCCAATGAATTTGTATTAAGTTTCAAAACTTTTAAGCAAGTTGCATTCCAGTGAACCTCCAGTTTTATACAAAGTCAACTTCCCACCCTTCTTCCGTTCCCTCCCTTTCCTGCTGCGCGACATAACATTTTATCATTAATCGTTTATCCTTTATCATCCACGGCCGCCTATTTCAAAATCCTGCTCGCACTTTTAATTAACTCTAATACGTTCCAGAGTCAAAATAAGGGAACCGGCGTCACTCAGAAAAACAGAGGGGGGTTGCTTTCAAGTCTCACCTGCCGCTTCATCTGCATTTTTAGCTGTAGTTAGATTAAGTTGTGCAAATTGCTGAATAGGGAGCTGGGCATTTAATTGGCTCGATTTATTTAATGGGATGATTGATTGGTGTATGGTGGTGGGGAAGAATGAGTTGATTTTCTTTTGCTTCATTGCGAATCGGGTGTTTTGTTTTTTGTTTTTTTAAAGTGAAATTTATACTGTTTGGCTCATTTTCGTTTTTAATTATTTTGCTTCCTGATCTTTTAGGAGATGCTTGGATTTAGTCCTTTACTATGGATTTTCCTTGCACTTTTTTCGCAGCTGATTTTTATGTGGCAATGTTTATTCTGATACTGATGAGGATACTCTATTTATTTAAGTTTCATAGAACGTAGAAATTCCCTCCTTTTCATTTTGGCATTTGCTGTTTATTTAAGATGTTTTAACCTATGTTGCAAACTGCTTAAAAGAGTTTCGTTTAACTGCGAGCTGTATATAAATGGTCCAAATAAAAAACTAAAAACATAAGCTTACGGTTGGAGGTGGCAGCAACCCCGGGCCCTGGTTCATCTGCTCCCCGCCCCCCACCCCGTGCCCACTTGGCACTCACCTGCACCTTCTGGCCAGCGATCTCTGTGGGGCTGTCATGGTGGGGCGGGGGGTGCAAGTCCCCATTGTTCACCACATACTGGATGAGGTTGGCAAGGGCCGCACAGGAATCTGCGCAGGTGTGCACATGGACAACGTTGTTGGAGCAGCGGAGCTCAAACAGAGGGCGGGTCTGCACCAGTGAGAGAGAGAGAGTTAAAAAAAGAAAGAAAAGAAATCACCCCAGACAAATGTTTCCTTGCTGGCCACCAGTCTGGATGTTTAAAATGAGGATTGGAGAAATTCATGGGCTATCGATGGCTGCTGGCCACAACAGCTGTGCTCTGCCTGGCCATCTAAAAGGATAAAATGTGGTACAGTGGTACCTCGCAAGACGAATGCCTCACAAGACGAAAAACTCGCAAGACGAAAGAGTTTTTCGTTTTTTGAGTTGCTTCGCAAGACGAATTTCCCTATGGGCTTGCTTCGCAAGACGAAAACGTCTTGCAAGTTTGTTTCCTTTTGGATTTTCAGTGCATTCCTATGGGAAACCGTGCTTCGCAAGACGAAAAATTCGCAAGATGAAAAAACTCACAGAATGAATTAATTTCGTCTTGCGAGGCACCACTGTATGTGTATTAAATGTTCATGGAGGAGGAAGCTATTGTTAAGGAGGACGAGGCCACTGATGGCAACTAGCCAGGATGGTTTTGCTCCATAACTAGAGGCAGCAGTGCTTCTGAATACTGCAGGAGAGGAGAGGGCGCTTGTGCTCAGATAGTGCCTGCCAGTTTCCCACGGGCATCTGGGCAGCCGCTGAGAGAACAGTGCTCTGGAGGGTAGAACTCGAACCAGGGGCTTCAAGTTACAAGGACGGTGATTTTCATTCCTGGTAGAAACAGTATGGGATTGTTTCTTATACCAGGTTCATCATGTGTCATGTTAAAGGAGACACTAGCAATTCTATCTTGGTGTATGTTAACGCAAATGTTATAGACCATTGTATTTTGATACTTTGTTGGAAGCTGCCCAGATGGGTGGGGTATAAATAAATTATTGTTGTTGTTGTTGTTGTTGTTGTTGCTGCTGTTATTTCTGACTAAACATCAGGAACAACTTTCTGACAGTAAGAGCTGTTCCACAGTGGAGGTTGGGTGGCCATCTGTCAGGGATGCTTTAGCTGAGATTCCTTCATTGCAGGGTTTTGGACCAGATGACCCTCGAGATCCCTTCCAACTCTATGAGCCTATGACAAGAGGCCTGATCCACAAAGCTCCACTCAGGTTATTTTTGCCTATGTCTCAAAAGTAGATGGAGGACATTGTTTCCATCAGCCCCTTTCCCAGCCCTGGTGAGTCAGGACTTCTGCTCCCCACAGAAGGGACTTACAGAGAAAGCCAGCAACTTGGACTAGAGATGCAAACCCTCCTTGCAAGGTGGCTCCTCGCGTCTCCCATAAAGGCCTCTCGGAACTCACCAGCTTCCCTGTCGTGGCTCCCTTAAACGTGGTGATCACCAGCTCCAGAAGGTCCACATCCACAACGCAAACATAATCTGAGACCGGGAGACAGAGAGAGGAACATTACTTCCAGCATCTGAGAAGCTGCTCTGCCTGCAGAAGGTCCCAGATTGGACCACCAGCATCTCTCCAGGTAAAGGTGAGGACAGGGGATGAATAGTTCTTCAGGTGCTCCCTGAGAACAGGATGCTGAACTAGATGGGGCATGGGCCTGATCCAGCAGGCTCTCCTCCTCATGTTCTTATGTAGGGAGAGCCAAAGCCCAGCAACGTTACCTCTCCTCAGGTCGCCCATCTCTGTGTCACATTTGTTTGAGAGGTAAAGGGCCGAGTCGTCCAAAATGAACCTGCGGGGAGAACAGGGTGGCTGGTTAGGAGCATCCTGGGGGAAACAGGTCAAGAGAGGCCAATAGCTGCTTACGTTGTGCCGGCAGAAACTGGGGGTGTTCCAAAGGGGGAAGGCACCTGATCTGCAGCGCCTACTCCCGCTTTGCCAGCCAGTTATGCCAACCAAGGAAGAGCCTTTGCCCGCAGCTGCCTCCAAGCGCTCAGCGGTGGTGGTGGTGAGCCTCTCCCAAAGTGAGGCCCTCTAGATGCTGTTGTGGGGGCCGTAACTCCCATCATCCCCAGTGGTGAGAAATGCTGGAGAAGGCTGGGCTAGGGCTGGGGAGACCCAGGGGTGAAATCCCCACTTAGCCACACAACTTACTGGGTGGCTTTGGGCCAGTCTCTCCCTGCCTCACCTCCCTCGCAGAGTCGTTAGGAGGACACAATAGAGAGGGAGAAACCCTTGGGACGGGGGCGGGATATATCCTACCTCACAGGGTTGTTGTGAATTAAACAGCTCAAAAACTGCTAGGCAGCCGTAGAAAGGACTGGGTGGCTTTGAGCCAGTCACCGTCTGTTGCCCCAACTGACCTCATAAAATAGGTGGGGGCGGGGAGAGAAGCAGACAAACTACCTTATGCTCTTTGGGGTGTGTGTGCAAGTAATTAAGTTCCAAGTACAGTGGTACCTTGGGTTAAGTACGTAATTTGTTCCGGAGGTCTGTTCTTAACCTGAAACTGTTCTTAACCTGAAGCACCACTTTAGCTAATGGGACCTCCTGCTGCTGTCGTGCCACTGGAGCACGATTTCTGTTCTCATCCTGAAGCAAAGTTCTTAACCTGAGGCACTATTTCTGGGTTAGCGGAGTCTGTAACCTGAAGCGTATGTAACCCGAGGTACCACTGTATGGGCAATCATAGCAGCTGTCTTGGCCCCAGACCTCCCCCCTCCAGTGCGTCACATAGGCTGCAACCAGCTGGCCTCAAGGTCTCCTCTTTGTGCAAGCAAAAGGACTCTGGGAAAGAGCAGGGTAGGAGGTGGAGACCCACCGGAGGAGGAAGACGGACGTGTCCACAATGATGTTGCTGGAGAGGGTGAAGGTCTCGGCTGTGATGAGGACCCGGATTGGCAAGTAGAGAGGCCTGCAGGGGAGAAGACAGAACTCAAGTGTACCAGGGGTGTTGGACAGTGGCTGCCGTCCTCCCACCCCAAGTCACCTGAACCTCTGTGGGTGGCAGGAAGAGGCTGCCTCCTCTGGTCACTTCTCTTCCCACACCCCTGTCACAGAAAGATGTTGCACATACTTCTGCAAGGAATCTGGGCCAAAGTTGGACCCAGTAGAATTAATCTCAGCCTTGAAAAACCACATAGAGCTGAAAGAGGAAGTGGAAAAGAGTGCCACTCTTCCCCACTTCCTCCTTCAGCTCTATGTACTTGTTCAAGGGGGGTAGGAAAACCTTCATCATCCTTACTCCCTCGTGACCAAGGAGGCAGTGACAGGGTAGGGGGCTCTTTTGAGGCTTCATGGGCACCAAGGGACAGTTTCCGGGGCACCATGTTGGCCATAATGAGCTCAACGGACCGACGGTCTGAGCTGGCAGAGAAGGCAGCTTTCTATGTCCCAATAAATACCTGTAATCCACAGCACAGCTGAACAGGTGGGTGTGCAGCACTGTGATGACCGTTGGGGGCACAAAGCCCAGGATGGGGTCATCCAGGACATCCAGGAAGTCAATCAACTGAGGGGACAGATGAGCACAGTCAGATTTGGGGGACACACACCCGCAGCATGAGACCGGTCAATGATGACAGCCCTCTATGGCAGCAGAGACCCATAGGACATCCCCTTCCCCATCGTGCGAAGTGTGGAACTCCTCTGGGTCAAGAATCGTGCTCAACCCCTCGCGGTGCACGACCCGCCTCTCTTGTGGGGGCGGACCTCACCTGTGTGTACCAGCTCTGGTGGGTCAGGGCCATGTGATGCCGCATGGTGGCCCCTTCAAGGCGCAGCGTCACCAGGAACTCCTGAAACAGACGAGGAAGAAACGGGGGTCTCAGGCCACGTTGAAAGGCGCACTTTGCCTCTGATTTTTTTCTCAGTGGGAGGAGCCCATTGCACAACACCCTGACCAGGTAGGGGCGGATGATGAGAAAGCAACCTGGGTAACGTTGGAAGTACTGAAGCAGCTCATCTGGGATGTCCCAACCTCACTATTCACACACACACACACACACACCCCGTTTAAATTATTATTAATATTTATTATTGTTGTTTTTCAGAAGAGAGAACTCAAAGCAACTTTAAAAAAACAAACCAAAATCAAAAGGCCAAGTCCCAAAACAGGTATATAATAAAACTATACCTGAAATACACCAGTAATACAAATAAATATTAGCAGATCCAACTCAAGTTTTTTTACTTTTCTGTGGTTTTATTGCATGGTTTTATGTTTTTATTGTTGCAAAACCACACACACCCCATATATATATATATGAATGAGAGAATATGATATGGTTCCATATATTTTAATAAATAATATAAACCCCACCCCCACAAAAGAGCAGATCCAAAAGCCTGGGAGAAGGAGAATGTTTTTGCCCTAAAAACATAGTGACGGTGCCAGGCATGCCTCCCTGGGGAGAGCATTCCATGAATGGGGGAGCCCCCACTGAGAAGATCCCTATTAGGCAGGTGTGGTAGGATTCATGAACTGGGACTCATGGGCTCAGCCTCTGTGCTACCTGAAAGTTATGCAAGCTGTGAAGGAACAGCTCATGAAAATATGTCTCTTGTGTGGCTTGGGGGTCATGCGTTTCAGAGTTCAATGAATCGATTCTTAGAGCTTGTGGTTTTTACTGTATACACCACTTTGGTGGCTTTATGCTACGAAGCGGCCTATCAGTTTAACAAATGAATGGCACTAGACAGAGCCATTTCCTCTGACTCGACCACCTTTATTGGCTCAGCATGGTCCTACCTATCACCTTGCAAGCTGCTGGCCATGAAAGATGGGACAGGAATAAAAGAAAACAAATCTTCCCCGAGGTTTGGAAGAGGAAGTTCCAAAGATAGCCCACCAACAGTCTAAAGGGCTCCCCCTTCCCTCCTTCTGATCTGCAGGGAAGATGGATCCAATGGTCACAATACCTTGATGTTCTTCTCCAAATCCAGGTTGATCTGGATAGCCAGGGAGAGCATCTTCATGGGCCCGTCCTTCTTGTTCCCCAAGGGCCAGGTGATGGGGCCCTCTTGGGAGGCATAGATGGTGGGGTTGAGCCCCTCTGGGGGCAAAAAGTTGGAGATTTCCAGATGCTCCGCCATGAGGTAGTCCTCCACCACAGCTGCAGGGACAAGAGAGGACATCCTGGGTTAACATTTCCTAGAGGTTTACAACCTTCTCCTCCAAAGAACAGCTCCCCCTGCAGGGTCCCAAATCCTTCCTTATATGGCAAGAAGAAAAGATGCCTTATCGGGGATGGATCACAGGGGGTTAACCTCCATTTGACGTGGCCACCACCCCTCTCAGCCAGGGCACAGCCAGCCACAAGTACCCACTGACCCTGGCACACCCCTATTCCCCCTTCGCGACCCAGGGGCCAGAGCCCTACCCTTGTGATAAAGTGCAACTTTCTCGGCCTCAATGCAGAAGTAGCCGAGGTCCTCGCGACCCTTGTACCGCGAGACGCTGAAGAGACTGCCGCTTTCCACGTCCAGGACCAGCTCGCCGTGAGATCCCTCCAGCTTCTTGCCCCCCTCACCCTGCACAGCCAGAGAGAGAGAGTTGGGAGTGACAGTCACCAACTTGGACGACTTTAGAGGAACAGACAAATTCATGGAGCCACGATGGCTCTGCTCTGCCTCTGCGGTTGGAGGCAGCAATGCTTCTGAATTCCACTTGCTGGAAGCCACAGAAGGGGAGAGGGCTCTTGTGCTTGAATCCTTCCTGAGGGTTTCCTACAGGAATCTGGTTGGCAAGAGCCCCAGGTGAGCTGGCAACCAGGAGCCATGGGCCAGGACCAAAGGACGAAGGACCATGGTCAAGAGTTCAGGAAGCCCTAGTGGCTCAAGCAAGCCCTAGCTTGCACGGAGCACACAGCAGCCGTGCCAACAAGCTAAAGGGTCTATGCCAAACCTAAGATTTAATGCCCCCTTCCAAATTTAGCCACAGTACATGGTTGAAAGCTTCCCATACTGCTTAGGGCATGGGTAAGCAAACTAAGACCCGGAGGCCAGATGCGGCCCAACTGCCTTCTAAATCCAGCCCACGGACAGTCTGGGAATCTGCGTGTTTTTACATGAGTAGAATGTGTCCTTTTATTTAAAATGCACCTCTGGGTTCTTTGTGGGGCATAGAAATTCGTTCATATTTTTTTCCAAAATATAGTCCAGCCCCCCACAAGGTCTGAGGGACAGTGGACTGGCCCCCTGCTGAAAAAGTTTGCTGTCCCCTGGCTCAGGGATTATTAAAATGCTGAACGGTTTATGAATGCTTTATAATTAAAATAGCATCAGATAAAATAAATAATGCCTCCCCCATCTCAGGGTCACATGAGTGGTCAGCTTGTAACCTTCTCTCTCTTCCCTTCCCACCTCCCTTTACCTTGGCATCGCACAGGGCTGTGACCCGCCCCTTCCCCACAGAGAGCACAACAGAGACACAACTCTGGGGAAAGGGACTCCTCTGTTCCCCCTTCTTCCGCTGTGCTGCCTCATCCACGGAGTAGAAGTGAGAATCCTCATCTTCGGAGTCTGAATCTGGAAGGCAGGGAGAGGAAGGCGGGGAAGGCATTTTTTTACAGACCCAAAAAACCTCTGCACTGCCCAGAATAGAGCCTGTTTCCTGCTGCCCCCCCCCCCCCTCTGCCAAATCCAGGCAGACTATAAAGCATGCTTAGCCAAGTTACAAGATGGTGATGGCCGAGACCCAGTCTTGCCTCTCGAAGGAACTCGTGTGTACCAAGACCCTCCTCCCTCCCTTCCCTTCCCTCCCACCCCCCACCCTCCAACATGGGGGTGCCCTCCCTCACCCAGCTTAAAGGCCGACTTGCACATCTTGAAGTTCTCCTGCCAGCGGGTGTCTGCGGGTGCTTCTCCAACAAAGGGGGTTGCTGTGGACCCAGCGCCCCCCAGAAGCTCGGAGGGGGTGGGCGGTGGGCTGAAGGACTCGAACATCAGGAGATCATTATTGATCCTAGAGGAGGAAAAGAAGGTCAGCGTGAACAGCCTGTCCCATGACAGTGTGGTGTAGTGGTTAGAGTGCGGGACAAAGACCTGGGTGAGATCAGGGCTCAATCCCCTCATGGCCAAGAAGCTCACTGGATGACCTTGGATGCCAGTCAACTCAGCCGCACCTCTCAGGGTAGCCCTGAGATCTTTTGAAGGGGAGTATATAAATTTAATAAATAATAATAGTAATAATACATAAGAAACTCCGCACTATGTGAGTAAGTTGAGTTAAACTGTGGAACTCCCTCCCACAGGAGGCAGTGAAGACTTGGATGGCTTTAAAAGAGGTTTGTACGAATTCATGGAAGACTAAGATATCAAGAGCTACATTTCTGTTGTCCTTATGACCACAGGCTCCCCACCCCTGCAGCTTATCCCAAGGATGCAGCAAATGTCAGGGACTGCAGAGCCCACCAGCTAGCTTAGAGGGTCAGAGCGTGGTGTCAATCATGGCCATGCGGGGTAGAGAGAGAGAGAGATGCCCAGAAGGTCTTGTTTCGAACCAAGGGAAGGGCCACAAGCTCAATGGCAGAGCAGGTGTCATGCAGGCGGGCTAAGTCCCTGGCAGTAGGTAGCAGTCAAGAAATATGAAAGACCCTGGAGAGATGCTGCCAGTCAGAGCAGACAATACTGGTCTACATGGACAAATGGCCTGACCTGGTCTAAGGCAGATTCCTCCCATTCCCCCGATGGAAAGGACAAATTCTGCTTTCTGAGTACGGGGACTCTGTCCCGCCCCTTGTGCAGAAGAGCCTCGAGGGGGACATGCCCAACTTGCTCAGGGGCTCCTGCTGCCCCCAACCCCCTGGACACCCAGGTGCACGGGACTCTGACCTGTTGTAGATGCTCTCGTAGAAGTCCTTACTAGGGAGGAAAATGTGCATGGTGGGGAAGGTCACCTCCAGGGCATACTGGGAGGCCTCCAGCGTCTGGCTCTGGAATTCCGCCATCTCCTCAGGATCTCCAGGGATCACCATCTAGAGGGGAAAAGTGGAGGGGCAGGGTGGATCCGAAGCTGGCAGGAAGCTGGTGCCAACGCCACACTGCAGCTGCAAAACTCCCACCCACGGGGCATATACTGTTAGAATTCCTGCTCCATGATTGCAGTCATGGGATTGTTGTCTATCACATGATGGTATATGTTTTGACTCCACAAAGTGGGAAGTGACGGAGACAGGATGTTAATGTGTTCCGTGAAGTGGGACTATTGTCCTTGGTTTTTTCTCTTTGCTGTCTGATGCTAGAGAGAGAGAGTGAGCCATGTTGCAGTGCTCCGTGTGTGTTTATATGTAAATAAAGTAGATTAGCCAAAATGCTGAGTTGCTGAGGTCTGTCACACGAACTGCGCAGACTCTGCAGATCCTATGGGTGCCAATGTCTGTTGGCGTTGGTTGCTGTGATGTTCAGGCTGAAGAAAGCTTTTGAAGCTCCCGAACGCTCGACCAGGAGGGAGAGAACATGCCAGTTGGGCCTGTGTCTCTGCCAGGGTCCTACTCGAGTGTAGGACAAGCTCCTGACGTATACATGGACGAGGGAAAGGTGATCAATGGCTGATCGTCAGGATGGCTGGGCTTTGCCTCCACAGACGAAACCTGCAATGGTTCCAAATCCCAGTTGCTGGAAGTCTCAAGAAGGGAGATCTGCTCTTGGGTCCTGCTTGTGGGCTTCCCATAGGGGCATCTGGTTAGCCGCTGTGAGAATTAGATGCTGGACTAGGTGGGCCATTGGCCTGGTCCAGCAGACGCCCCTTAGGTTATTAGCAGCTGCACACACAAACCCCGCCATCCCCTGGGTCGCTTCACCCTCTCACCTCCTCCGTCTCGTACATGGTCCGCTTGGAGGAGAAGGGCGAAGGCTCCGGCTGCTTCAGCTCGCAGGGGCTCTCGGCCGTCGACAGCTCCATCTCTCCGGGCTTCGCCAGGGCCAAGTCCCAGGGAGTGTCGCTGGCCCGAGGGCGGAGGGTCAACACAATTCTGCCAGGGGGAGAGGACAGCGCTGGAGAGAGGGGCCAGAACCTTTGTGGATGCTTCCCCCCCCCCAAAAAAGACCCAAGACGTCGGGACAGAGAGCAGGATGCCCTCGCCAAGGCAGCACCCAAGCCCACCCTGACTGCTGTAGCAAAGGGAGGTTGCACGCGGAAACCAGACTTACTTGGGGAGGAGGTACTTCTTCCCCGTCCCTTTGGCGGACAGGTCGGGGGCTTTGCCGACCCGCAAACACGGCACAGCCAGCTTCTCAGCGCCTTCGTACGTGCCTGCAAATCACCCAAACAGCATCAGGGTTCAGATCCCCACTCCCGGGCGAAAGGAGACCCACAGCAAAGCTGGCACCCAAACCACATCAAACCACCACCACTCCTTGCATTCACAACTTGTTGGGGCATGGATCTTGGAATTTATGTTTATTTACTGAATTTAAATCCCACCTTTCCACCAAGGAAATGTTAACTGCTTTGGAGCGTCCCAGGTCCCCTCCTGTCTGAGCTGCGGCAATAAGTGGGAGGGGGGCGGCAGCAACTACTGGGGTCTTTTTGGAGGGAGGGAGCAGGGGTCCTGCAGCAGCCTCTCTCCTTACCATGCAGGTCACTGAAGGCAAGTTCCAGCTGGGTGACGCCTGCCAGCCCGAGCTCCACCTGCAGCTCCACGCCGGCCAGGTCCAGGCGCAGGCTCTCCTGCCGCACGGCCTTCTGGGCCCAGGGCCGCCTCTCGGGCCACGGACGGAGGTCTGGGATCGGGAACTGCAGCCTCAGGGTGGCCTTGGGCGCTGCCAGTCGCACACTTGCCTGCCACTTGGCAGCAGGGGGAGAATCTGCCTGGCGCCCAGCCAGGAGCGGGGTGGGGAAGAGTGGGGAGAGAAAACCATTAGAGGAGGCTCTTCCTGATGGGGGCGGGGGGAGAAGCGGGTGCCGTGGCCTCTCAGTCTGCTCCGCCCCCCACTTACCAAGTGTGCCTCGGGAGGAGGCCAGGCTGGCGTGGAGGGCGTCGTGGCACGGCACAGCAGCGAGCAAAGGCGGTCGAGCGTCGCCAGGTCCACATCTGAGCAGAAGTCGTCCAGCTCTGCCACCAGCTCCACCGTTTGCTTGGCAGGGACCTTGGCAAGGCGGCTCTGGAAGCACAGCGGCAAGAGTTGGCAAGCTGCAGGCGTCTCCCCAGCGAAAACAAGAGCTCTGCTAACCCAGGTTTGGCCCAAGTCTTAGGTTGCATTGAGGCGCTCCAGGTCCCATCGGACTACAACACCTCACTGTCTTTGCAGCCTTCGGCTAATGGAAGTCAGGAGTCTAAAAACACCTGGAAAGCCACAGGCTGGTTTAGACTTGGGACCTGGCTCTGTCCGGCTTTCATTTTAATTTTATCCAGTTAACTCTTTCCTGGAAGTATTTTTCAGAAACAAAATGAAACACGGAGGATTCCTGCAGTTCCCAGCCAGGGAGAGGCCTTTTTCTGCCACGACGCTCCCAAGTTATGGAATGACCTTCCCAGAGAGGCTCGCTCACCTGGTGCCAGCATTGCCGCTTTTTTTTTTTTTTATGATATTTATTAACATTTCAGAGAATACAAGAATTACGTAAAAACAAAAAGTAAAAATACAAGAAAATACAAAGTACAGAAAAAAGAATACATGAAAAATAAAAAGGAACATACAAAATAAAATAAAAAGTTCTGTCCTTCTTTGGCACCATTGCCGCTTTTTGACTTGTGGCTTGTGGGGCAAACCCAGCCCACCGAGGCACACCGGTCCCTGGCAAAGCACTTTCCTTGCTCTTCAAGGGAGTTGGTGGGACATAACAGGACACACTCATGCACTTATGGTTTGCCAAGGAGGACGAAGGCTCCACCCACTGCTGCCCAGAATTTCTCCAGCGAGTGAGAAGGGGAAAGAAATTTGCTGCTGGATCTGCGTGAAAAGCCCCCTGCCTGCTGGAAGACTCACCTTGGAGGAGGAAGGCCGCTTCTCCGAATGCTTGGTTTGGAGACGGGCACAGGGGCGAGGCGACTGGCTGTAGGGAAAGGCACTAGGGGTGGCGAAGACCAGCAGCTGAGAAAGAAGCGAAACCGGTTTACCAAGGATGCCCTCTGACAAAAGAACTCCATGCTCTTCATCAGACAGGCGGCTGCTCCACTGATAGTTTTGTTGGTGACACCAATGCAGCCAGGGCTCCGGGGAGCCTCCAGTTCGTCTGGGGCAGGAAGTGCAAGTGGGCATGGGGGGGGGTGAGCAGCGCCCAGGTGCCCCCTGCTCTTGCACTCCCCTTGATGGTGCTCACCTCGGTGTACTCTGGCTTGGCTTGCGTCCTGTCGTCGGTCCACAGGCACTCCAAGATCTCCAGGAGCCCAAAGGATGCATCCCAGCTGAACATGTGCAACTGCCCAGAGGCCTTGTGCTCGCAGCTGATCTGCACGGCGGCTCCAGTCAGCCTGGAAGAGGCAAACGGACACCCAGATGGCAAACGTGGCAAGCGCAAGGTGCAGGGAATGTCCCTTGCCTGCTGGCATCGAAGCACAGAGCCGGGGTGGGGACCCGGGGAGCCTCCGGGTGCGGTTGGACTACAACTCCCATCATCCCTGATCCAGCAGGCTCTCATTAAGTCACATCCACTGTAGGATGTCTACTATCTCTGCATAGCTCAGTCAGTTAGAACATGGCGCTGATAATGCCAAGGTTGCAAGTTCAATCCCCGTAAGGGACAGATGCATATTCCTGCATTGCAGGGGGTTGGACTAGATCAGCATTTCCCAACCTTGGGCCTCCAGCTGTTTTTGGACTACAACTCCCATAATCCTCAGCTAGCAAGACCAGTGGTCAGGGATGATGGGAATTGTAGTTCGAAAACAGCTGGAGGCCCAAGGTTGGGAAACACTGGACTAGATGATCCTCAGGGACTCTTCTGATTCTATGATACATTTTTGCAAGCCAAGTGCAATGGCAATCCAGCGGTTCCCAAACTTTTCCAGGCCAGTGCCCCCTTGGTTCCCTAAACTCACCCCCTGGACCTCCCACCCTACCTTGTCAAATGCATTCTTTGCATGACCCACTAAGGAAGATAATATCACAGCGAAACTCAAAACTGTAACAATTAATTGCACATTTATCCAAAATCCAATGAAAACTATTTAGTTTAATTAATTCAACAATATTGATGAACTTGATGCAGTGATGCCAGCTTTGCAAAGTCTGATAGTTATTTACACCTCCAGCAGCCCCCTTCTGTCCCCTTGCCTCTTACAGCACCCCCCCCCCCAGGTAATCCCATTGCTATTGCCTACTTTGGGAACCACAGATTTAAACAAATGTTATAACACAAACACACACCACAGAGCCTGGGCAGAGCACCTGGGAGGGTTGGTTTTTCTGCTGTGCTCAGGCCTTCGGTTCCCAATACACACCTGACGTTGCTGCGTGGACAGGCCCCCTCAAAGCACTGGCGCAGGGGCTGGAAATCCCGGCCCCCAAAGGCAGAGTCCTTCAGGCCCCCGAGCTGGGAGAAGAAGCGCTGAGCCAGCTGCAGATGTGGGGCCTCTGGGGTCTGGTGCAGCAGGGTGAGAGTGAGCCCTCCAATCGTCAGCCGCAACAACACCTCAGGCCGCTGGTTCTCCAGAGAGGGGGGTTGCGGGTGGCTGGTCTTGCCTATGCAAGGGAGAGAGAGAGAGTGAGTCTTGGAGCAGAAAAACCTGAACTTGGATGCAGCTGCCCCAGAGATTGCTGAGAGAAACTCTTAAGAAGCTGTTAAACTGCTGGTCCACCAAGTCCAGCAATGTCTGTTCTGGCTGGCAGCAGCTCTCTAGGATCTCAATGAAACAGATTTTTGAAAAGGAGGTGCTGAACACACCAGAACTTCTGCATACCAAGCAGTAGGTCTCTTCTTTTGTAACACTCGAGATTACTTTTTTCCTCCTACCCTCCAAGCCATTTTCCTTCAGTGCCACATCTGCTAGATTGTAATGCTGAGAACAGGGACTGTCTCACTACTGATATCTGTAAGCTACTCTGGCAGCCTTCATTTGACTGAAAACCAGGACAAGCTACACCTCTATAGTGTCATAAGGAGTGATGGCTTCCTTCCTACAAGCGCCTCTCTCTCTCCCTTTCCTCTTCCCTCCCTGTTCTTTTCCCCTTGTGTGCCATGTTCCTTCGGATTGTAAGCCTGTAGGCAGGGACTGCCTTGTTTCGACTGTATGTTAGTTACAGCATTTGTACCCTACTCTGGGAGCCTTTCTGGCTGAAGAGCAGGGTACAAATGCTCTAACCAACCAACCAGTCTTCCCTTCAAAGCCAGTGGGGGGAAAACACCCCATGGGTCTCTCGCACCCGCCTCCTCCTTGGCACTACTTGGGCTTATCAGGAAGTGCTGCACAATCCCACCCTCTCCCTCCCACCAATTTGCAATTTAAACCACCTTACTTGGTATCTTGTTGAGGCACGGCAGGGTGGCAGCAAAGGGTGACCGTCCGTAACGCCTGGGACTGCTCAACATCAGCTGTGCGGGGGGGTGGGCGGAGTGGAGATGAGAGAAAGATGGAGAGTTGAGAACAGGGCAAGTAGCTCTGGGAGCAGAGCAGGCCTACCGGCAAGGCCATTTGGCAGAGGAAGGCAAAAGCCTCAGACAGCAGTTGCTGAGGGATGTCAGCAGCACGGCCTCCTTGGCGGTCCCCCTCTGTGGCGTGCAGAAGCGGGAGGGCCCTGCACCCCCTAAACTAGTCCGCAGCCCTCAGGCATGCTGGGATAGGGGGGTGCTATCCTGTTGCCAGCACTGAAGTCTGAATCAGCTCTCAGTCTGGCCAGCTTCTGAACATGGAGAGGGGGATGCGTCAGTCTGTCCTTTGTCTTGGGCCAGCTGTGTTAAGTTGCCGCCTGGAAACTTGGGGGGGCAGCATTGAAGCTGTGTGCCTGGGCAGCTGGTGATGAGATGGGATAGGGAGCAAAGGAAGCCCCCCCCCCCAACATGAGGAGGCCTTCCCCTGGGTCCTCCTGCCCAAACTCCTCAAGCACCCAGGTCTCAGGCATGACCTGTCCAAGCCCACCGGAAACTTGCCCAGGGTCACCCCTCCCTCTGCCTTCCTCCATAGCCTGCTGGGGCTCTTACCCCTGGCGCGAAGGGCAGCGCCTGTAGGCGGCTGGTGCCAGCGTCACTGTGCATGGAGGAGTCCAGGTCGATGTCCGAGAGCTCGCTGGCTGAGCGCACGGAGGTCACGCTGCTGGTCATGGGAGCCATGGAGAAGAACATCTCTGAAAAGGAAGGGAAAGTTGGCCAAGGAGGAGCAAGAAGGAGGGGGGCAAAGCAGCCACCAGCTCAGTCCCGTCCGTCAAGGGGACCAGTTAACACGCCAAGACCTTGTCCGGAAACCAAGCAGGAATCAAGTGGGGCTTCATTTCAAGGTCGCTCAAACATCAGTAGGCAACAGAGAAAATAGCCTTCTGCTAATTGAATCCTTTTAAGAGGGCAATGCAAGGGATTGAACCTGGGCCTGGTAGATGTACCCAGGATGAAGGAGGAGGAGAGGTGGAAACATAGGAAGCTGCCTTAGGTCCCTGTTCTGACTTGGTCTATCTCATTCAGTACTGCCTGCACTGACTGGCAGCAGCTCTTCAGCATCTCTGCCTGGAGCTGCTGCTATTGGGGATTTGACACCTGGGATCTTCCTGCCTGCAAAGCTGCTCCCCAACCCCCCGGCAGCAGTCACCTCCGTTCTCCAGCCCGACGCAGGTCTCCATCCCCTCCAGGCGGGTGGGGCCAGCCCCCAGCCCTGAGTGCAGCTGTTGGCTGAGGTCCTGCTCAATCAGCTTCAGGTCCTCTGAGTCAAGGGGGCGACTCTTGCTCAGCTGCTCCTGCAAGAGGCTGGATTCTTGGGGGGGGGGGGAGAGAGAAGAAAGAGAAGAGGATTAGGAGAGACCTGGAGGGCTGCAGAAGGCTCACCTGTCCCAGTGCAAAAGTTGGCACCTCCTCCAGGGAGGGGAAAAAGGCGTGCATGGGTTCAAATGTGCTACCCCGACAGGCCTTGCTGGGCTGGAGCAAAGGAGCCACAACAACCCCATCTCTTCAGGGCAGGAGGTCAAACCTCTTGTGGGTTTGCACAGTGCTCTTTCTCCATCTCTCCTCCCACCCACGTCGCACAGAGCTCACCAGAGAAGTTCAGGGAAGACAGAAGATCCAGCAGGTATAAGATCTGTTGGGGGGCAAGCAGGAGGTGCAGTGACCCCATCTTCCCATCCAGTTCCAGCTGCGCAGAGAGAGGGGGAGAAAGTTCAAAACATGCCTCCTCACGAGCCAGAGGCAGCCTCTGTTGGCAGGCCCCCTCTTCCTCACGGGAGAAAGAGGCAGCGCAACCGCCTGCCTGTGCAAAGGCAGCCAAGGCATTGGGGGGACGCCTTCTTTAAACTTCTCCACCGGGGGGGGGGGGTTGCAGCTGCCTATGCCTCAGCAGAGCAGTCCAACAGCCCCCCAGCTCACACAAGGCATGGCTTTCCCATGCATCAGCTGTTCGCTGGAAGGCTGCAGGCACCGTTTTAACTCACCTTGGGCCCAGGAAAGGCCTCATTCTGCTTCAGCTTGATCCTCATCTCCGTGTATCCAGAGCAGCTGCCAATCTGAAGCAGAGAGCTGGGGGAAGCCTCTTCCTCCTCTGCCTCCTCCACCTGGGACTCTGAAGAATCGGTAGCCCCCTAGGGTGGAGAGGAGAGACGAGGCAGTTCTGAACAAAGGGAAGCCCACAACACGCACCCTCCTCACCCCTCGGTGGATGGGAAGCCCAAGACGGACAGAGTGCTTTGACACCCATGAAAGTCAAGTCCCCCCTACCAAGGAAGGCCCCCCCAGGGGGCTGTACCTTTGGGACAGGGGACGATGGCTTGTGGGCGCCCGCGCCACCCGCAAACTCCTCATAGTAAAGAAGGACCCCGCTCAGCTGCAGGATCTTGTGCACAAACGGTGGAGGCTGGTGGATGTCTACGGTGATTGCCTGCCCAGGTTCCTTCACGGCTTCGTCACAGTAGTCCAATCTGGCGGGGGGAGGGAGGGAAGAAATGAAGGCAGCAGACAGCCAAAGCATCAAGAGCTCAGCTGGGGGCACAGAGGGAACAAGCAGCCCCCAAGTGACCCTTTGGTGATGGTTGACCAAGCTCTACCTACCTGGGGAAATCCCTTCAGCTATTCTGTCCTCCTTGTCTTCTCTCTACCCCAAAAGGGCTCTATTTCAAACCATGACCTTTCTGAATGTCTGCTTAGTCTTGAGAGGTCACCCTCTGTTCCCCCGCTGCTATAAATGTGCTGTTCAGCCACATTAAAATCATATACACACATCAATTCCTGCTATTTAGGCTGAAAGGGACAGCCTCTTACACAGGCAAAACAGCATAGGGTTTATGTTCAAGAGAGAAGCTTCGGCAGGGCTTTGCAGGGTGGAGGAATCCTGGGGTTTTGTATAAAAAGTGGGAGGGAGAACCCCACAGGACAACCCAATAAGGATTGAGAATGGGCGGGGACAGAAGAGAGAGGCGGGAATGGAAAGCCAGGTGGGGAGGGGGACAGAATGGAGGAGTTGGAATCCTGAGCAGCAGGAGCCCCTCCCCCTCCCTACCCTTCCTACCAATAAAAAGCACCTGAGCACCTTAAAGCCAATTACCTTTTGATGTGCATCTCAAGAGCCACGCTGCCCTGTGAGCCACTTGGCACATGCTCCACACGTATCACAGTGTCCAAGAAGGTGACTTCAATCCTTCGCAGAACTGGCAGACAGCAAAGGAGAACGGGGGGTCAGGAGGCTGGCAGGCAGGGAAGGACAAAGGGGGGGACCTCCTTGCCCTCGGTCCTGCCTGCACCCCTTCAGGAGCAGGCTGTGGGGGTGGGAATAATCCCACTAGGAGCTACTAAACCACCAAAAGCTCTTCCAGCAGAACGGCCACCCGTTTTCCCCTGCCCAAGGACTCACCGGTTTCAATGGTTTGGGCAAACATCTCGAGCCCCTCCAGGGGCTGGGGGGTGTCCGAGGGCTCCTCGGCCTGCTCCTTCAGGCACTCCTGTGCCAGCTGCATGCTGGTGGTCATGCATGATGCCCAGCTCTGTGACTCAGAGCCAGGGGCAGCTGCAGGAGGGCAGAGGGAGAAGAGAGAGCCACCAGGTGAGGCAGGCAGGAGGCTGCCCACTTGCCCACCCCCAGCTTCCAGATCAGTACTGTCCCCTCTCTCCCTCTCCTCCGGTTCTCACCAGTACGATACTTCGGCCGGCACGTGATCTGCAGGCCGCTCACTTCCACGGTGCAGTTCTCTGTGACTAAGGCGGACCAGGGGATGGTGACGGCGATGCTGTCGATGAAGCCGTCGACGATCTCCAAGGGGGCTCCGACGGACTCCAGGAACTCGTTGACGGACTGCAGCAGAGAGAGAGACAGGGCTGGGTTGAGGGAGCAAGGACTGGCCCCGTGAAAGGCTAACCAGCTTCCCATGGATACAGTTCCAGGGATACAGCCCACAAGTATTGAGTGGGGTGCGGGGGGAGAGAAAGGATTGTGGTTATGCAGCAGGGGGGTGCAAGTGGGGTCCCATAGATGTACCCACACAGCACTGGAAAGGTAACTGATTCCATAGCTAAGGGCTGGGGAATCCTCTTCCAGCCTGAGGGCCACACTCCCTTCTAGGCAACCCTCCAAGGGCCACATGTGGGGCAGGCGGGGCCAGAGGCAAAAGTAGGTGGAGCAACAAATGTAAATTTTACCTCTGGGACACAGGCTACGCTCTACACCTACTTGCACACCGTTCTCCATCCAGACAAGCACAAGACATGATAAGGGTTCATCTCAGTCAGGCAAGAATTCTCAAGACTGGGTGAAGCAGACCCAGTGAGGGCTATGGCCTCGGAGAGGAGGGGTGGCCTGAGGTTAGTTCTCCAGCCTTGATATAGTGCCATCACTTTGCCTGCTGCTTTGCAGAGTCCCTGCCCCAAGGAGCTTACAATCTAAAATCTAACACAAGGGAGATCAGACAGCTGAAGGAGAGCGAAGAGGAGGCAGGCAGGCGTAGGCTGTGGGACTCCCTCCCCACAGAGGTGTGTCTGGCACCTTCCAATATGCACCTCTTTGCCCTTACCTATGACACCTGAGGTATATCTTTTTAGGACCCACCTTGTTTCTGCAATTGTATGTTGTTTTAAACTGTTTTAAATACTGTGTTTTAATGGTGTAACTTCACCTGAGGGTAAACACCTAGTAATTAATAATAATAATAATCAGGATGCATGTGTGGTTATTTCAGTTGCTGCAGAGCATAGAGAGCATAAGGGCTGTAGAAAAGGGTTCATGGAAAAGCTTGGTTCTGAAAAGAGATTCGATCACACAGGTGGTGTGGGAGGCTGTCCCAAAAATACAGGGACAGGGCAGAACATTTTGCAACCACACTTAATATTGTTCACAGTTCAGATTGCGTCACCGAAAAAACAAAGATATTGTAGAGCTGGAAATGGTTAAGAAAAGTTGAAGGGGATGGAGCAACCTCCCCTGGGAAGAAAACACTGCAAAAGTTGGGCTTTCCAGTTTAGAAAAAAATGAAAGTAAGCGAGGAGGACATGATAAAGGTGCATAAGATTAAGTGCAGGGTGAAGAAAGCGGATAGAGATTTTCTCTCTCTCCTTTTCTCACCATAGCAGCAGAACTCAGGGGCATCCAGTGAAGCTGAATGTCCCTGAGATTCAGGACAGATAAAAAAGAAAGTCCTTCACACAGCGCACAGTTAAGCCATGGAGCCCCCTCCCGCAGCAGGCAGTGAGGCCACCAACCTAGATGGCTTTACAACACGATCTAACAAATTAATGGAGGACAAGAAGGCTATCTGTGGCTACCAGGCGTGAGGGCCAACGCTCTGCCTCCAGTGCCAGAGGCAGCCTATCTCCAAATGAAAGTCACACGTGAGCAAAGAGTGTTGCTGTTGCACCCAGCTTTGCAAGCTTAGCAGAAAAATCTGTGTGGCTACTGTGAGAACAAATGCCTGATCCAGCAGTAAGGCTCTCTTCATGTTCCTGTGTTCTTATTCCTCTGACAGCAGATATGCCCTGGATAATTCCCCTGCCCCCCCCCCCCAAGCAGGCTTTCCTTGAGAGAAAACAGGCCGGGACTTCTGCAGCTGTGAGTCTAGCATCAGCCATGCCAGTGAGGCAACAGCAATGACGTGGTGAGGAAGCATGTGAGTCCAGGAGACAAACAAGCCAGAATTCCTCAGGCTACTTGATACCTCCCATCCTGTCTTGCTGCTCCAGGAAGCTGCTGAGATCCACCGGGCAAGAACCCCCCTAATCTCTCTATCACACACCTTTGGGGGCACTCCCCTGCCTAAGGTTCCTTTGGGAGGAAGGGCAGGATATAAACAAGAAGAGGAATTTGAGGGTTGCAGGATTGCCTGAACCAGAGGAAACTGCCCCAGCAGGGAGCATCCACATCACCCTAACCCTGTGTCCTGTACTGAAGCAGAGGCGGAGGGGGCTTCATTCTAGATTGCACCCTAGAAGGAAGATGGGGCAGGGAGGGCTGTGAAGCAAGTGGGAATAGGGCCCCAAAGGACCTAGGCCTCCCTAAGCCACCCAAATTCTGCTTGGGCTAAAAGAGTCAGGCAAGCTCCCTTCAGCACAATCTTGTGACTTCTTGCAGAAAAGCTAAGAACAGGGAGGAGGAAGTGTGGGGAGAAACTGGGGGAAAGATGTGAAAGGACAGCAGGGGAGCAGGAGGCAGTGACTTGCGAGGATAATTATAGACAGCTGGCCTTTCTCCAGAGCAGGATAGTGGATCACAGCACCAACAGCCTGGGGAACAGCACCACCTCCCCACTCCATCACAAGACAGGCCGACGACAAGCCACAGCCGCCTACTTCAGAGGCTTGTTGGTTCTGGAGTAACAACCATCCTCCCCATTTGGAGATGTGGGGTGGGGAAACCCACTGATTTGCCACCAGGACTGCAACTACGGCCAGAAGGCCAAAGGGTCTCAAGGGGAGTGATCACACCTTGCCTGCTCCATAGACTGGCAGAGAATTCCCAGGGAATGCCTGCATGCAGAGCTTCCTTTTAGGCAGGTCCCAAACACTAAGTTCCTTGTTTACATGTCCCCTTTTATTTGAAAAAGAATGAGACGGTTCTCACAATGTGCTTCCAACAAGATGCCCATTTGCCTGAGATGGGAGCAAATAATGGCTGAAGGCTGGTCAAAAGCCAACCTACATGAGCCTCGGGGTCCCTTCCAACGTCACCGTTCTAGGATTCCTGCCTTTAGTGGCCGCCTTACCTGGGCTTCCTATTGTAGTGCAAGCTTTCCCCCGTTTAGCACTTGAGAAGATGGGTCATCTGCACTCATGCACCCACTGTTCATCCCAAGCCCTCCATCACAGCCCCCAGCCCCAAATGCCTCTTCAAAGGCTGGAGCAAAGTGGGCTGCATTACAGGCCAAGATACCTGGTTACAACAAGGTAAGATGAAGTGGAGGTGGAGAGGGGCAATTAGGGTGCTGGCTCATGCCAAGCCCTGAGTGTTGGTCCACAAAGCACAGTACAGCATTGTCAACCTGGACAAGCGGTGGCTATCAGACAGGAGACTTTTCTGGCGCTACCTGGAAATGCCAGGGATTGAACCTGGGAGATTCGGCATGGTAAGGAGGAGCCTGGCCACCAAGCTGCCGTCAATCTGCCTAAGCCCCATCCCCAGTTATCAAAGGGTCAAATGGCAGACATCACTGAAAAGAGGCCAGGAGGCTGCCCCATTGCCACTAAGCAGGGCAAGGCTGGCTGTGCTCAGCCACCAGCAGGAAAAACCTAGCAAAAGCTCAGCCCAACAACAACCTGTAGAGGAAACCCAGAGCACATTCCTCCAAGAGAGTGCCCCACTGCAAGGGTGGTGGGGCAAGGCCAGCTCTGACACTGGGCCCAGGGTCAGCAAAAGACATCAGCTTGCATTCGCTCCCCCCAGCACTGCACCTCCGAACAGGAGACACGGCATGTGGCTTTCCAGATGTGTCTGGATTGCAACATCATTCCTGGACATTGGCTTTGGCGATGGGTGTCAGGAGTCCAAGGCTACTGGGAGGGCCCAGAGATGCCCCTCTGCCCTTGCCACAAATCCCATTCCTGTCCAAATACAACAGGCACCCACTATATCTGCAATTTCTGGAAAGAGTTGAAGACATTTTCATTCAACAAGCATTCCCAGCTGGGTAAATGGGTAATTATTACTTTGTTAAACTTTTAGTCTAGCTTTAAATATGTTTGTTGTTTTTAACTGTCTTATGTAACTGTAATAATAATAATACGTAATAATAACAACAACAATCTCCGTGCAGTAAGGCAGGCTGTCCCTCTTCCTGCTTAGAGGATAATCTGGCATTGTCAAGACAATGGTTACATGCTGAAATGCTCAAACTGGTTGTTGATCTACCTGTTAGTTACCTTATCGAGAACTCATGTGCTTCTAAGAGGAAGTCCCTCCCTCCCTCTCTCAACAACAGCAACAATGGCTGGTGGCACCTTAATAGTCTAACTCTAATCAACTGTATTATGACAGAAGCTTTTGGCAAACAAATGCATTATTAATACTCATAACAATTTCCATTTTGCACAGAATTCTAGACCCAAGGAACTGAAAAATATGAAGCTTGTCATACTATACTAAGGCTCAATAGAAAGTATTTTTTTTCACCAACATAGCAAAGCAAAACTAGGCCCAAGTAAAATAAAGAGAAAACCCTGCTGGCTCCCAACATCATTCCACAATGGGGAGTGGGGAGACTCACGCCACACCTACCCCAACCCCAGCTAGAGCAACAAACATAACTCTGGAGGGAAAGCCCACACTTTTAGCGGAGTGCTTCCTGGAGCCCACTAAAGAAGAGGCTCGGTGTGTTCTACAGAAAGCCAGTGTGGTGGTGTTGTATTCTTATTAATTACCTGCCCTTCACCCTAAGGTCCCAGGGCAGGTGTCAGCATTAAAAATGTAATGTTGAATGTTTAGCTAGGACTGGGAAGATCCAGGTTCAAATCCCAAACCAGGCACAAAGCTCACTAGGTGGCCTTACTCCAATGCACACACCTTCCACCTAACCTGCCTTACAGGGCTGTTGTGAGGATAACATGGGAGGCTGGAGAGACATGTGAACTCCTGGGCCAGCCACCCCACCTGAGGTTTGCTGTGGGCAGGAGGAAGTGCCCCAGCGATGCCACCTTATTCTCCTTGGGAAGCCCAGTTGGCACGACATATTATGGGGCAGATATTTATAACTCATAACAGGAGGACGCCTGACCGAGGAAGGACAGCCAGGTAGGCCGTGACAAGCGGGGCGACTGCGACTGGAGAGCAAGAGGCAGCCCTCCGCTCAGCCACAGCCACCTGCAAAGAGTGAGGGGATGGAGTGCTTTACCGGTGGGACTGCCTGCCTGCCTGGGGTACCCTTCCTGGCCTGCCCTTCCTCCCACTCCCGGGGGTGGGGAGGCCCAAGAAGGCCGGGCTCGAGGCAGAGGCGGACGGGCCACCCTCCCTGGGGCTTCGTGAGCCTCACCCAGACGTCGAGGTGGATGCGGCTGAGCTTCCCAGCGCCAGCGTAGAGGTCGAGGCTGAGCTGCTCCAGCCCGAGCCGCTCCTCTAGGAAGTGTCCCAGGTAGTGCTGCAGCAGGTACCGGCAGGCGCGCTTCTTGATCGAGCTCGACCACGGGAAGAACCATCGCGACATGGCCGGCCCCGGCGGCCTCTCGCCCGGCCGCCACGATCACTTGACGCCCCGGCTCCGCGCCCGGCTTCTTTGGCCCCCTAGGCCCGGCCCCGCTGGCGGCCCGGCGCGCTCATTGGCCCCGCCGCCCTCCTGCGCTCGTCTCATTGGCTCGCCGAGCAGCAGCGGGGGGTGGATGACGTCGCGCTCGGGGCGGGGATAAGACGCGGAAGGGGGAAGAAAGGAAAACACACAACCCCCCGCCGGGCGTGATATAAGTCCTCGTTGTGGAGATGCGCGAGCGCGAAATAAGTCCCCTGTATCTCTATACAAGAGAAGCTGAGCAGAGTAACCCGCGCTGCTTTGTGGATAGGCAACTTCCGGGAACACTTCCCACGCTATACTGTATGTATTAACATCCATAAAGGATGTAAAAATCAGTGAGGGTTTTTCTTTATACTGTATTGGTGTGCTGCTCCCTCAAAGCAGAGGTACAGTATAACATAGTTTAACTATACGCTGCGTGGAGAAGGCCTTTCTTTTCTCTGCCCTGAACCTTCCAACATTCAGCGCCATTGTTGTTGTTTAGTCGTGTCCGACTCTTCGTGACCCCCTGGACCAGAGCAGCCAGGCACTCCTGTCTTCCACTGCCTCCCGCAGTTTGGTCAAACTCATGCTGGTAGCTTCGAGAACACCGTCCAACCATTTCGTCCTCTGTCGTCCCCTTCTCCTTGTGCCCTCCATCTTTCCCAGCATCAGGGTCTTTTCCAGGGAGTCTTCTCTTCTCATGAGGTGGCCAAAGTATTGGAGCCTCAGCTTCAGGATCTGTCCTTCCAGTGAGCACTCAGGGCTGATTTCCTTGAGAATGGATAGGTTTGATCTTATTGCAGTCCATGGGACTCTCAATGGTCTCCTCCAGCACCATAATTCAAAAGCATCAATTCTTCGGCGATCAGCCTTCTTTATGGTCCAGCTCTCACTTCCATACATCACTACTGGGAAAACCATAGCTTTAACTATACGGACCTTTGTTGGCAAGGTGATATCTCTGCTTTTTAAGATGCTGTCTAGGTTTGTCATTGCTTCAGCGCCATTAGATGTCCTCAAATTCTAGGGCTCCGAGAGAGGAAGGAAAGCTTTTCTCTTATCACCATTCCCACACCCCCCCCCGCGGCATTTCTGTCAAATTTTGCCATGGAGAGGAAAATGGGCCGGAAACAGGAAGTTGGCGCTTTAAAAAAAAGCGCGGGAAACAGAAGCCTCAGCCATCTCTATCACAATCCGCATCTCTGATCTGTGACTGCAATAAATTGATTCATTCATCGCTTGGGGGGAGGGAGTTTCTGTCAATCGCCTCCGGTCACCTCTTGGCTGTAGGCATAACCAGGATATTTATTTTAGGGAGGGGCAGGCTTTATAGGTTTTTTGGGGGGAGGGGCGCAGAACCGACGGAATTGGTCAGTTAAGTATTTTTATTTCCTCACTTGATTTAGAGGGGGGGCTGAGGAGGAAGCCAGGCAGGGCAGGGGGGCAAGCTGTGTCCCTCCCCATCAAGTAAGGAAATAAAAATATTTAACTAACTGACCAATTGCGTAGGTTCTGCGCCCCCCCCCAAAAGCAGGAGCTGTCACGTGAGGGAATGGGGTGTCACACGAAGGCTGCCTCTTGCTTGCGGGTGTAGAATAAGGGGTGCAACGTGGAAGGAAGAATCAGGTTTATGAAATGGGCCCTTCTGAAGGGGACGCATTAAAAGGATCCCTTTGGGTTAGGCAGAGAAAGAAGATGCTCCTTTGCCGCAGCCACGTGGCGTTTCCTCAGTTGCCACTAGCCCAGTGTTTCCCAAACTTGGGTCTCCAGCTGTTGTTGGTGTTTTTTTTTTTTAAGACTACAGTTCCCATCATCCCGGATCACTGGTCTTGCTAGCTAGGGATGATGGGAGTTGTAGTCCAAAAACAGCTGGAGACCCAAGTTTGGGGAACACTGCACTAGAAGCTTCCTGGAATATTGTGTAGGTTTTCTGGGGGAAGGACTGTGCCCTTATTTCAATTCCCCCAGGAAAGTTGGAGAGAGCAATAAAATAGCTCCCCCTGTCAAACAGTAGTGGTGGCACCATGGGTAAAAAAAAGAATACAATATGCCTTATAAATAGGACTGGGGTGGGTGGGGAAGCCTTGTCCTACCTGTTTCGTATGAAAGGTGGGGGGTGCTCCCTATTGTAAATGTATTTCCTCCCAAGTGTCTTTTTAATTTGAGGGAGTTAATTTTCAAGTAAGCAATCTGGAATCATGACAGAATTTCTGGATTACGTTTCTCCTATAATTTGTAAGTGGAAAGTGCTTTTTCTTGAAGGTTCAGCAGTTGGGGAGGGAAGCAAACTGCTTCTCTTAGGAGGCACTACTTAAATTTAAATTTCACAAGAATTTATGGTGCTTATGATTAATTTTCATCTATAGACCATTTACTACCTGCTCGTATACTCATTATGAGTAAAATAAGTAATTACGGTAGTTTATGCCAGTGAGTAAAAGAAGGAAGGCTGAAGAGGCAGCAGAAAGTATTGAATCTACTTCTGATCCTTTAAAACATCACATTTTAAACATTTTTCTTGTTATAAAGACATAACAGCAAAAGTGTTTTGAACTGCTTATAAAGTTGCCAAAGAAAATCAAGCATTTAACAACTTTGAAGATGAAATAAAGTTACAGGAACTTAATGACCTAGATATGGGGTGTATCCTTCATTCTAAAAATGCTTGCATCAATATTGTAAACCATATTGCAGATGAAATGAGAAAAACATTAATAAGCAACATAGTGAACTCTTAAGAACAAAATGTCCTTAATTATTGATGAATCGACAGCTGTGGGTAACAGCACAACTTTGATTGTTATTGTTCGCGTAGTTCTTCCCAAAATTTTGGCTCCAATAAGTCTCTTCCTAGATTTGATTGAGTTTACAAGATACAACAGCAAGCTGAATTTTAACCTCATTAATCACTCATCTATGAAAGTCTGAAAGAAACTCTTAGAAAGTGTATACTTGAAGGAGATGATGCTGATTTGCCTGGATGTGCCAAGGTTTTCAATTCCAAATATTGGCTTAGAAAGCAAAAAACCTTTGGTGAAACTGAAATCAGAAAACTAGCACAAAAGTTTCACTTAGATGAAACGGAAACAGTTCATGGCTTTCGTGAATATCTTCAAGAAAATGTAGTCCTGGATGAACTACTTCCTCTAAAGCACACTTTAAGCACAATTTTAATATCTTCAAGTGAATGTGAAAGGATTTTCTTAGGTGAATCTTACAGTAACTTCATCAAGATCGTCTCTGTTTACACAGACAACTTCATCACTGATGTTCATCAGGATGGTAGGACCTCCTCTTACTCGGTCCAACCCTACCAAATATTTGGCACCATGGCTGCTACAAGGCCATCATTCTGCAGTTGATACAAAAAGCAGGAAGCTATCTAGAAAAGATGATGGTACATCAGAGGATATGTTAAAAGTGTGGCGCTTACTGTAACAACTTCATGGTGAGTAGAGGCACCTTTTTTTCTAGAAAAAAACACTCCCCTTTCTCCATGCAGGATTTTATAAAATTCTATAGTGTTGCCTCTTACTTTTCATGTTGCTCCTCACCCAGCTTGCTCAGTTCATCTTGCAGACTCCCCTTGCTGGGCTGCTCTAAATTCCTGCTAGGCCTAGATCAAAGTGTTACTATCTGTATATATAAAGCCCTTAACAACTTGGCATCAGTTTATTTGTGAGATCGCCTAACCCCACATATGCCCACTCAGCTTGTTAAATTGGCAGGACTGTCAATGGCACAGAACTAAAAGAACTCGGTCTTTTAGTGTGGCACCACTGACCCTCTGGAACTCCCTGCCTATTGATATATCAAGCAGGCACCTTCACTGTCCCCTTTTTAGTGCCTGCTAAAAACATTTTCATTTAGGCAAGCCTACCCCAGTTTTTATTGGTGATAGGTAAGTGATCACTGTACTGAAGCCATGAGGTTCACCAGGGCTGTCAGCTTGACCAGCTGGACAAAGACCTGGGCAACTGGGAAAGAGGTTCTCTGCAGCCCACAGGAGAGGAGAGACACCAGCTCGGATTCGGCCTTCCTCCAGTCCTCCAGTTCTTCAGCTCATGTTTACTCTGGTTCTAAGAAGACTGGTAACTTTCCCAGTAAATCTTTGACCAGCACCAAGCAGGGAGGGCTAAGACCAGGCCTAGAAAGGATAATAGGCATGGTTCAGTGGATTTCTCAGAAGGATTAATTGTTCTAGAATGTTAAAAATAAATGAAAAATAAATAAAGCCTCAGACAGAGCTCTGTCTATGTCTTCCTGAAGATCTAACCTTGCAGATTTGCTTTTTGGTCCCCATATTCCTTGGATCATCACCCTGATGAGACTGTATAAAACTTCTTGTTTGGACGTCAATAGGATCCACTCTGCTTAGATTTTGTCCCAAGGCAATCAGAGACACAGAATTAGGACACCATTTAGCTTTCCAGCTAGCCACCCCCCCCTCCCGTGATAGCAGTATTTAATTTTTATAAAGCACCTAAAATTTTTGAAGCTCTCTACAGATATTAAAAGCCAAGACAGGACTTGGCTACTGACTCCCAGTCTAATAGAAGAAACATACAAGGAACAAGGAAGGTAGAGGAAAATGGGTGTTAGATGTAAGTGTTCTTTGTGGCAGGGATTGCATGGAGAGGGGAGGCCAGTTGCTCCCTGCTCCTTCTCTGGCTAGTGGATGAGGTCATACTGGTCCCATCATTGCCTTAATGTTCCTCCTGGGCAGTGAGGGAAGCATCCTTCTGCGTGGGCTTTGTGCCACTGACCAGTGGCAGAGGACATGTGCTTCCCTTCAGTTCTGCAGCTCCTCTTTTTCTTTTGTTTAGAGGTATGAACAGGGTTCTGCATTGCTACCTTTGGCTACTGTCTTCCAGTACTGTCTTACTGAGGACACCTGAGATAAGGGACTCATACTGCTCAGCAGGTGAAACTTACAAAGGAGCCTTTCACACACCACAATTTAGCAGCGCCTAATCCTTGCTAATCTGCTTTAAACTATAAATGGAATAGCAGCTCTGCTTCCAGACTTCTGGAACCCAAATAACATTTTGTAGCCAATATTTCCCCAGCCCCAAATGTTGGGGGGGGGGAGGACCCTGATTTTCATTGGGCAACCATTGTGTTAAGTACTCCCAGTCATGAATCCCTGACCCCTGATATTGTTTGGAAAGTGAAGGGGTTAAGTGACAGAGCTGATTCCTAGAAAGAAGAAACAGACCACAGAGAGAGAAATGTCTAGAGCAATCTATGTGGGCCATAACTAGTCAGATTTTCTGAGCTCAGTGAGGAGGGAGAACTGAAAACGTGAGAGGGATATGCTTGGTTCATGATGTCGTGCAGATGCCCTGTAAAAAGGGAGTATACAAAGTGTGACTATTCCACGGCAAATGTCCATTGTGGAAAGAGCATCAGTGTTTAATGTTTCTCAGCTCTAATGCTCTGTAGTTCCCCAATTTTATGCTTTCCCAAGAACTCGGCATCACCACCAGGTAAGAAATGCAACTGTTTATTTATTAACAATCAACTATCAATAGACACAAAATAAATAATGCTCAGGACTTGTTCTGGAAGCAAAGCCCCTGTGCAGAGCAGTCGTGCAAGCAAGTCAAGAAAGGCAGGCTAATCTGTCAACCCAGGGGGGAGGCCTCTCTTCTTGTATTCCTCTGAGATTTGTCTCCCACAGGCAGGTATGTGTAGAGTCTTGAGGTTGTTCCAGCGGCGTTTCCATCCATCTGTCAGTTTAGGGGATAAGTCACACCTCCCATCCCACCAGTCTCTCGAATCCCAGACTGAGAAAATTCATCCCAGTCTCTGCAATTTCCACATCCAACTTTCTGTCCAACCAACGACAAAAAGGTGGTCTGGCAACCAAGATGGAGAAATAGTCGGGCAGGGCTGGTTATGACAAGGGGAGTGTATGTGAGAGAAAGGCAGAGTGCCCGCTTTGATGCTTGCTGAATCATTATTATCTTTAAATACAAACCATAAAACTGGCAGCAATAGCATCACCGTTGAAAGTTTTAAAAAGCTGGAGTGAAGAAGAAGAAGAAGAGTTTGGATTTGATATCCCGCTTTATCACTACCCGAAGGAGTCTCAAAGCGGCTAACATTCTCCTTTCCCTTCCTCTCCCACAACAAACACTCTGTGAGGTGAGTGGGGCTGAGAGACTTCAAAGAAGTGTGACTAGCCCAAGGTCACATAGCAGCTACATGTGGAAGAGTGGAGACACGAACCCGGTTCACCAGATTACGAGTTTACTGCTCTTAACCACTACACCACACTGGCTCTCTGGGGAGGTATTTGCTTGGCACCACAAAGGTTACAAAGCAGGGGCTTAGCAGGCCTCCCTGGGGAGAGGATTCCATCAATGAGCGGCCACCACTGAGAAGGTCCTTCCTCCAGTCGCCTCCCATCACACTTCAGATGGAGGAAGCACTCGGAGGAGGCCCTCAGGCGGTGAGCTCACTTGCACAGGTGGGCAAGGAGGCAGGAAGGTGTTCCTCAAGGTTCCATTTCTCTCTGGGATATGGATGTCCACAGCCTAATTGTCCCATGCACTACAGAGTCCCTCAAAAGAGGCTGAGCTCCAGTAGGGAATGTTGCTCTGCCTGCCCAGGCTGGCTCCCAGAGAATGATCCTGTTTCTCGTACATCTGAAGCTCAGAAGTATGTCGACCAGACGACTTGAGCCCTGCTCTTCTCCTGCGTCTCCTTGAGAACTGCTTTGGATTTCCGTCTGGCTCTAGGAACATGACATTCAACAGTATTAAAAGCAGATACTCCTATTGGTTAGAGGAAGAGGAGATGGGAAAATGCAGCCTTTTGGGAAGGGAATAGAATATGAACAGAGCTGAGCTCGATGCGCATGAAGGAAGGATGTTAAAGTGAGGCGCGGGGAGAGGGAGAGAAAATCATTTTGAAATGAGACAGGAAAGAGCATGTGATCGGAAAATCGGAAGAGACCAAAGCAGCTGCATTTGGCCCCACAGAAGCAGCTGTGGGGAACAGGAGGGAGGCGAGATAGCACATTTTATTCCCATTAACTGCTCATTGAAGTGTAGAGCACCAGCTTTTGTGTCACATAGGACTCTTCCTCCAGATTGGATGTTCAAGGTTGATAAAACAACAAGCTTTCTCCACCATAGGAAGAAGGGAGAGGGGCTTTGATGATGATTATTATTATTTGTTGTCAGCTGCTATTATGATTGTTACTAAGACTGGTGTGTTTGGCTAATACTGGCTGTTGTGCATAAGGATGTGTAACAAAGAAAGAAGAAAGCCCTATTAAAGGTGTGGTGGTTGGTGAAAGGGAAAGATTGTGAGAACAGGTGTGGGGGTAGAAAGCTTTTGAGAAATTGATTAGTGTTTAACAGTATACACAGAGAAACATTTTGTCCGGCTGTATATTGATACAATTATTGCTGTAAAAGGATATTGTCTTGTACTGTACATCAATGGCCTTGGATTTTCTTTCTTTCTCAAACTAAGAACTTAAGAGCCTGCTGGATCTGGCCAAAGGGGGCCCATCTAGTCCAGCATCCTGTTCTCACAGCGGCCCACCAGATGCCCGTGGGAAACCTGCAAGCAGGATCCAAGCACAAGAGCTTTCTCCCCTCCTGTGGCTTCCAGCAAACTCAAAAGCATTGCCGCCTCTTGATTGTGGAGACAGAGCTGAGACATCATGGCTTGCAGCCATTAACAGGTCTGTCCTCCATGAAACTGCTGGGGGGCAGTGGAATTACCTAGAGAGGCACTAAGAGGGCAGTGGGGGGTGAGGCGCAGGAGGCAAGTATCAGATTTCAAAAAGTTGGCATCACTGGATCAAGTCCATCCATTTTGTTGAATTAATTAAACCAAATAATTTTAATTGGATTTTGAATAAACGTGCAATTGTTACTACTTTGAATTTTATTGCGTTGCTATCTTCTTTACGGGGTCGGCTATTCTGAATAATGCTTTCTGCCTAGGGTAGGGTAGAGAGGCACTGGTTTATGGGAAGAAGTGGGTGGTGGCACTAGACACCCCCACACAAACCTAGAGGAAAGAAAACAAGACCCACCTTTCTTCCACTTCTTCTACCGTATCCAGGAGGGGGAGGTTGTGTATCTCGGGAAGGAAACCAGCGGCAAGGCCGGAGACTATGGGAGTGATGCCAAATATCACCAGGGGCAAGAAGGGCTGGAAGTCGCCGGCCGTCAGCACCCCTGGGGCTACGATGCCACCCAGACGGGCCATCACCATGGTGAAGCTGGTGCCTGTTTGCCTGCCAAGGAAAAGAGCAGGGGTAAGATCTGACAGAGCACCCGCCTCTCCTGGGACTTGAGGCTCTCTGCCTGCAATGCTTTGACATGCACATATCAGAAATAGATGATGATGATGATGATTAGAATTTATATACCGCCCTATACCCGGGGGTGTCACAGAACAAAATCAAGATATGAAACCACAAAATATGTAATAAAAATAAAAACAACCAACACTTTCTCATGGCTAGGGTTGAGTAACATCCCTTTTCATGGATTCGCCATCTTACCCCTGATATTATTATTATTATTATTATTATTATTATTATTATTCTATACAACTTTTAGAAGGCATCTGAAGGCATCCCTGTATAGGGAGGTTTTTAATGTTTGATGTTTTTCTACATGTCGGAAGCTGCCCAGAGTGGCTGGGGCAACGCAGCCAGATGAGCAGGGTACAAATAATAAAATTATGATTAAAATTGTTTTTAAATACATCAGAGGCCTTTTTTCTGCCAGTATTCAGAACTGTACAGAGTACCAGCATTCATACAAACCGATCCAATTTCAGGGGTTTGGACAACACCACTTTGTGTCCCTGTGTCTCTTTTTTTGCTGCCCGTGGCAGCCATTTTATGGTGGCACCCTTGGTTTTTGTCAATATCTGAGTACCAGTACCCCGCTGTCGTTTTTTACTCAAAAAAATGCTGAGTACATTTATAACCATCCTCTCCTCCACAAATCTAAAGGTAGCACACATGGTTCTCTTCCACCTGTCTTTGTCCTTTGTGAGGTACATTAGGCTGAGATGTGGCGATTAACCCAAGGTCACCCAGGAAGGCTGTGTGGAGGTTGGAGGAGGGGCCTCCCCTGTCCAAGGCTGATACTCTAATAAAACAGGGAGCAGGAGCAGATTCTAAGGGGCAGCCACAATTTCCCAGGGTCAACATCCAGTTCACACATGCACACACTTTTTTCATCCTTGCCCAGTGCTGAGCTCACCTCACGACAGTTGGGAAAAGCTCCCCGCCATAGAGATACAGGCACATGGAGGAGGCCGCCAGGCAGCCTTTCCCCAGCACCACAAGGGCCAGGCGGCCTGTCAACATTTCTAGAAACAAATAGGGGGGAGAAGAGGAAAAATAGGTTAGAATCATGATTCTAGAGTTGGAAGGGACCCCCACAGGAATCTGAATCAAGCGAGTCAGAATTCTTGCTCCATCCTCACAGGAAGACACACCCCAATTGTACGGTGTGGTAGCGGTGGGCACACGGACCCCCACCCCAGACCCCTAACCCCACTCTCTGGTAGCCAAATCTCTGTCCCCCAGCTTGCACAGGGTGGGAAAGCCAACCCCATGGTTTTTCAGAGGCTCTTGCTGCAGCATCCTGTCCTGGAACATCTCAGCTGTGAACTGACTGCTCCAGAAGAGGCCTCCCCAAGGGTCAATGGGGGGGGCTCACACCCAGCCCCTTCAGCCACAGGTTGCTCCTTACCAGAGGGTACCGCGAGGGTGAGCAAGAGGAAAACTCCAGCCAGGATGAGGGAGAGGCTCTGGATGGTTCTTCGGCCGAAGAATGCCAGCAAAAGGGCGCAGCCCATCTTGGCCAGCAGGTCAATGGTCCCGAAGAAGAGCTGGACCACAAAGACATCCAGGCCAAAGACAGAGAGGTCCATGGAGAGGCCAAAGTAGGCCAGGTTGATGGAGAAGCTGTGTGGGGAGGAGGAGGGAGGGGGTCAGAAGGAGGCTCACCCCTTGCATTGAGATAAGACAGCATTCTGGCAGAGTCGCCGGAGATATGCAGTGGACCTTTGGGAGATCTAGTCCTCTCATTCTACATCAGTGGTGGAGGACCTCCCAAGGTCTGCATCCCCCTGTAAGCACCCCTTTGGGGTCCACATGCAGTTTGTTTGTAGGCAGGGCTGGAGGCAAAAGTGGGCAGGCCAGTTGGATGTGGCTATTATTTTTGTATAGGGGGCTGCATTGCAGCCATGCCAAGACCAGAGGTTCCTCCCATTTCTCCATCCATGGATGTAAAAGGCATCATCACAGATCAGGGACATATTCAAGCTGGGAGAGGGGGAGTCCTGATGCCTACACATGGCCTGAGGCTGCCCACCCCTCTTCTGTAGCTGCTTCTGCCCCCTACCCCACCTGTTGTTTTTTTTTGCCCCAGCCCATTCTGGGAGCCTCTTGGGGTACCTTATCAACATGAGGCAGCAAGAGATGCGTCTCAGGGTCGGAGTGCGGAAGAGGTCCAAGCAGGAGTGGGAGCCCCTCTTTGAAGTGCTGTTCGCCACTTCGGTCTCCAACATCTGAGGAGGAACGGAAAGCAAGAAATCTCAGTGCACCGGGTAGGGGGAAGAGGATGTGATGCCTGAGACACCAGAGTCTCTGCTGTGCCTCATTTCCAAGGGAAAAAGGAACCCTGGGTAAGGACCAAGACCCCTGGAATCTCACACCCAGGGCCGGATTTAGGTTTGATGAGGCCCTAAACTACTGAAGGTAATGGGGCCCTTTATATGTACAGCTGTCCTTTGTCAACAACAAATTGTTGCTCTTTTTGTGTTGAGTATATGCTATATGGCAATTTATGGACCAAATAGGTATCTAAAGCCATTTGAATATAACACAATCTGTATTTTATCAAAGTAATTGTTGAACTGAAATACAATTAAGAAGAAGTATATTAATAGTTAAATACAATTATGAAGAAGTATATGGGGGGGGGTCAAGAGAGTGGGGCCCTAAGCTATAGCTTGTTTAGCTTATACGTAAATCCAGCAGTGCTCACACTGCTGAGGGATTGAGGAGGCATGTAACAATAAGTATTATCATAGAAACTGTGAACACACATTTTATTTTCTATCCCCTGTAAAGATTCTTAGTTGGTCCAACCTTGCTGGCGGACCTTGGAAAACATTCACTAGGGCCCAAACCCACTCTCAGTGACCCTGCCCCACTTTTCAGGACTGTCAGCAACTAAAGATCTATGGGGTGATCTTTGATCTTCCCCTCTCTCCTTTCCCATCTCCTAGGCCAGTGTTCATCTTCAGCCTTGGGTTCCCAGATGTGGTTGGACTACAAAACCCTTCATCCCCAGCGATCTAAGACAATGGTCTGGGACCCAAGGCTGTTCTGGGAAGGTGGGTCCACTGCATTTCTGAGTATGGTGCCCAGTAGCTGCCAAAGCCACACACAAATGTTGTGTGCCACTAACACAGTAGGGTGTGTGCCCAAAACGTATTTCCACCAGGACCCATGAACGCTCAGCTGCCAGACTGACCCTTGGCAGTGGGTCATGCTGCAACCAAAGATGACCGAGGGTCTTCACTCACCTCCAGAACCACGGCCTCCCCTGTAGCCGCCTTCCCATTGATCTTGGCCACACGCTTCAGGTTGTGGAGGGCGGCCTCCCGCTCATTGTTCATAAGGAGCCACCGGGCTGATTCTGGTAGCCACCTGAGGAAGAATCCCAGGACTTGCTTGAAACTGGCCATCTATTCATTTATATGTATTGACAGCAGAAAAAAAGCCTTCCCCACTTTCTGTGTGACAGCCCTTCAGATATTTGAAGATGGCTATCCCATCGCCTCTCCATCTCCTCTCCTCCAGGCTAAACACCCCCAACTCACTTAACCGTTCTCCTCCATTAAGGCTTGGTTTTCAGACCATTTGTTATCTTGGTCGCCCTCCTCTGCACACCTTCTATCTTGTCAACATCCTTCTTAAATTGTGGTGCCTAGAACTGGACACAGGACTCCAGGTGGGGTCTGACCAAGGCAGAATAAGTGGTAATATGACTTCCCTTGATCTGGACATTCGACTTCTGTTGATACAGCCTAGCTCCTGTGCTCTTTTGCTCTTCATTCCCCTTCTCCATTTCAGCTACAGGGGTTGGGACCCCAAACTCACCAAGAGTAGGCGAAGAAGACAAAAAACGGGGCGGAGATGGCCAGCTGCAGCCAGCGCCAGTCGCGGAGGCCATAGGCCAGGCCGGCAAGGAGCACCTGCCCAGCTGTGCTGCTGTAACTCTGTGTGGCCACCACCGTGGCACGATGCTTGGTGGGCACCCACTCCAGGCCTGGGGAAGGGAGAACAGGAAATCCCAAAGTCTGAATATGGAGCTGGACCTAGAGGAACCAAGGCGGTTCAACAGTGTCTCTACCTGTGTGCTTATACATGGAGAATATTGGTTGGTGGATTTTTTTTTAAATAACAGGTTTATTATTATTACGTATTGCATTTACATCACATATCCAATGCCCTTTTAAAATGTGTTGGGGGGTTATTGGGTTTTTGTTTTTATTTTGATTATGTATTTTGTGTTTTTATATTGTGATTTTATCTTGTAAGATGCCCTGAGACCTGAGGGTAAAGGGTGTCTACAAATTTGTTCTTGTTGTTGTTGTTATCAAAGCTCAAGGTGGTACACACTGTTCTCCCTCTCCTCATTTAATCCCCACAACAGCACTGCAAGGTAGGTTGGGATGAGAGAAGCAGTGAGTGGCCCCCAAAGTCACACCCAGTGAGCTTCATGGCTGAGTGAGGATTTGAACCCAGGTCTCCCAGGTTTTAGTCTGACACTCTAATGACTACACCACACTGGCTATCTCAAGATGGACAAACATTATGGGAAGCGGCAATTGCTCTGCACAGGCAAGGCCTCAGTTTCAATCCCTGACATTTAATAAAAGTATCAGGTGACAAAAGTAATGGAGAAGACCTTCCTCTGCCCTTGACCCCAGAGAGCTGAGCAGCTGTGGAGAGAGAAATGGGGAAATGCCAGGGGCACCCATGGGAGATTTCCCCCACCCCTGAAGCAAAGACCAGTTTCAGCAAAGGCCTTTTCCTCAGAGCAGGGAGGGTGTTGTTGTTCTCCATCCCCTCCACCATCATCCCAGGTTGTCTCCAGGGCACAACCAGTGGCACTCACTGAGGCAGACGTAGTTCAGCAGGAAGCCAGAGATGCCCACGCCGCTTAGGAAGCGGAAGATGCAGTAGGTGGCAAAGGTGGCAGAGAAGGCAGCCCCTGTTCCCGTGACAGCGACCAGCAGCAGCGACCAGATGAGGATCAGACGGCGCCCAAACCTGTACAGCATAGATGTCAATGGTCAGCTCTGAGAAATGCCTTGTAGGCAGCATGTGGGAAGTTGCTGAACTGTTCTAGCTGGTCATTAGAAGAACAACGGTGCCTGAGCTTGATTTTTTCCTCTTCCCTCCCTTTCCCCCTTCCCTTGTGTGCCCTGTCTTTTTTTATTTATTGTAAGCCTGCCAGAGCAGAGACTGATTGCATTTAAACAGTAGCATGTAAGCCACTCTGGGAGCCTTTTTGGCTGAACAGTGGGGTATAAATACTCTCAATAAATAAATAATATTAGGAGGGTTCGTATGACTATGAGGGATGGGTTGTGACTGGCCTTGTGTGCTCGGTCCTCCCCTCTCCTCCTCTGGCATAGGCTGTGGAATTGGTACCTTCCACTTCCATTTTCAAGTAAACACAGTTCAGCATTAAGAAGAGCCCTGCTGCCTCAGGTGGTCCATACTTGGGGGGGGGGAGTGGGCAGAGCAGTATACAGTGGTACCTCGGGTTAAGTACTTAATTCGTTCCGGAGGTCCATTCTTAACCTGAAACTGTTCTTAATCTGAAGCACCACTTTAGCTAATGGGGCTTTCTGCTGCTGCCGCGCCACCGAAGCCCGATTTCTGTTCTTATCCTGAAGCAAAGTTCTTAACCTGAAGCACTATTTCTGGGTTAGCAGAGTCTGTAACCTGAAGCGTATGTAACCCAAGGTACCACTGTATGCCTGTTCTGAACCCTGAAGCTAGGCCACATCCATAGCATACATTTAAAGCACTGTTGTGTCACTTTTAAGCAGTCAGGGCTACTACCCCCAAAGAATCCTGGGAGCTGCAGTTTGCGAAGGGTGCTGACAGGTTGCTGCTGACAGGAAGAAACCCCACCACCATCCCCCTCACAGAACTACAGTTCCCAGAGTGGTTTTAACATCCAATCCCTCTTCACGGCGGACTCTGGGAATTGTAGTTCTGAGAGGGGAGTAGAGGTTTCCTAGCAACTCTCAGCACCCTTAGCCAACCACAGCTCCCATAATTCTCTGGGGGAAGCCATAACTGTTCAAAGTGGCAGGATAGCTCTTTATAGGCATGGTGTGTGAACATGGTCGTTGTCACCAGCCCTCTGGTATACTGGAGGAAGTTGACTGGCAGCTGGCAACCTGCTTAGCTTTTGTTCCTGGAAGAAGAGGAGGAGCCATCTTGTCCCTGGTCTTAGGCAGCATCATTTCTTGGGCCGGCCCTGTGGATCACACTCCCTAAGGCACCTGACTGGCCCTGGTGGGAGCAGCATGTGGGACTAGATAGGCCTTTGGCCTTAAATGACCCAGTTGCAGGTCTCGCGTTGTTCTGCTCTTCCTGTCAACCTAATACAGTAATGATTAAGTGAGGCTTGTGAATCAATTACAGGCCCATCGAGCAAGGCTGCAGGATTCCCATTGCTGGGTTATTGATGCCACTAGGGAGCCTGTGGCCCTCTGGGTGTGCCTGCACCCCAGCTCCCACCAGCCCCAGACCCACAGAGAACAACAATGGGACCTGCAGTCCAGAAACACACCAGTTCCCCACCTCTGACACAGATTGTGATTTGGAGTGTTATGGGGAGCAAGGGCCAATGTCTGGGAGAGAGAGAGACTTGTAGGAACACAAGAAGAACCTGATGGATCTGACCAGTGGCCTCACTGGAAAAACCTCAATCAGGATTCGAACACAGGAGCAACTCTCCCCTCCTGCTGTTTCCAGCAACTGGGATTCAGAAGCACTGCTGCCTCCACGGTGGAGGCAGAGAATAGCCGTTGTGGCTAGGAGCTGTTGACCGTCAGCTGAATGGCCTCTTTGAGTCCAGGAGAGGTAAGGATTTTGTGTGTGTGTGTTATGATTATTCAAGCTGACAGATCCAGAAGGAGAGGTTAGGGTTTTTGAGGGAGATGGGACCACCCAGTTGAAGAACAAGGTGAGGCAAGCAGGCTGGCTTCTTACCTGTCGGAGAGGTCTCCAAAGATGAAGGCTCCCACCAGGACCCCTCCCATGAAGAGGGACTGAGCCAGGCTCTTGAGGGGTTGTAGGTGACAGACCAGATCCCACTGCAGGGAAGAGAGAGGGAGACAGATTTAGTGAGGCAGCCTTCGGGGAGGGGGAGAAACATGAGGTGTCAAACTGGTCCTTGTGGGCAGCATGCAATGGAGGGGAGTGGGTAGAGACTGGGGGAGGGGAACCCCACTCAAGTACCTATTATTATTATTATTATTTGCCCTTCACCAAGTCCCAGAGAGGGTTGCAACAATTTAAAACTCAGAATGAAAAACAGTTAAAGCACATTGCATTCACAATACTGTAATAGGGTGGGTCCTGAAGGCAGGGTGGTGTAGTGGTTAGAATGTTGGACTAGGACTTGGGAGAGACAGGGGTTCAAATCCCCACTTGGGCTGTGAAGTTTACTGAGTGTGTGACCCTGATGGAAGGCAGACACCTAGCTCACAGGGTTGCTGTTGTGGGGGATTAAATGAGGGGAGGGGACCTCCGATTGCCAATTTGAGCTCTTTGGTTAAAAATTGTGGGATAAAAATGAAATAAAACAAACAAAACACTGGTGTCAAAGGCCAGGGTAAACAAGTGCATCGCCTCCTGGGTCATTTCAAAGCTGCCTCCAAGATGGGCTGCCAGGCTGCCTTGGCATCTGATAGCCTTCCCTCCTTGTCTGTTGTCACCCTCCCTGCAGTCTCCCTGTGACATGTTTTGAGGCCACCCATATTTGTCATTTGGAACTGGGTTTTGCCTGGGGGTCCAAAGTGAGTGTTGGGTTAGAGACAGGGAGGCCTGGGGCTATTTATTTATATAGTGGCACAGCAATAAAACCACTATCCTATTCGCAAAGCTAAGCAGGGTCCGGTATGGTTTCAAATTGGATAGGGAGCTGCATGTCGAAATTCCTGCATTGCAGTGGGTTGGACTAGATGACCCTCAGGGTCCCAACTCTCTGATTCTATCCCATATTGTTTAAGGAGCTCAAAGTGGCCCACATACTTCTCCTCCCCATTTTGTCCTCATTTAATCCTTGCAACAACCTCCCTCTGAGGTAGGTTAGGCTGAAGGGCAGGGACTGGCCTGAAGTCACCCGGTGAGCTTCACGGCCAAGTGGGGATTTGAACCCTGATCTTTCCCAGGTCCTAGCATGGCACTCTAACCACCACACCACCACTAACTCTCCCATTGGTTTCAAATCCCCATGGAACCATGACGCTCACTTGAGCCATCCTCTCTCTCCACTTAACTTACCTCAGAGGGCTGTTGTGAGCATAAAAAGTGGGGAGAAGCCAGGTGTGTTACCCTGCCTCTTTGGAGGAAGGTGTTAATGTTATTCATACCTCAGTGACGATGGTGGAGGTGAAGGTGCTGCGGTCATACTGCCAGCCATCCTGGCATGGCTCCAGCTCAGGGTCCCTATCCTGGCTCAGGGAGCCATTGGCGTCAAGGGCCAGCCTGACGGCAAAGCGGTGGCATCTGTCTGGCCAAACGCTCTGGTCCAGAAGGAGAGGGTGACCATGATGGGAGGTGTTGGCCGGCGACGGCAGGCGACATCGGTGCTCCGGGGAGGCGGCGCTGAAGTTCTGCACCAGGTTGTGACTGGCGAGGAGCAGGACTGGCAAGGTGAGCAGCAGGACGGAAAAGAACTGGAAGGGGCCCATGCTGCCCACTTTCTCCAGCAGGTCCCCAAAGGGGATAGCAGCTACGGGGCCCTTGGGGCAGAGGGAGAGGCGACGCAGGCCTTTGGCAGGAGACATCCTTCCTCTTGGCGTTACCTTTGTCTCAAGCGCAGGGTGCCCTTTTATGCCAGGAGGAAGGATGTGGAGGGAGGTTGGGGAGGTGGGTTAATCAGTCACCACCAGACCATTGGGGTGGCTGTGGCTAGGACTGTGCGCATGGGTGTGTATGTGTGAACAGATACCTGCTCTCTTCCTGGTCTGCAGCAGCATGCAGTGCCCAGTTGCTGAGAAAGATGCAACTAGAGTAAAATTGTAGAGTTGGAAGGGACCCCAAGGGTTGTCTAGCACAACCCAATGGCCACATTCACATCAAGCATTTAAAGCACCATGATACCACTTTAAACAGCCATGCCTTCCTCCAAAGAATTATGGGGGCTGTTGTTTGTTAAGGGTGTGGTGAGATTTCTTAAGAGACCCCCTATCCCACCCCCGGAACTACCATATTTTTCGCTCTATAAGACGCACTTTTTCCCTCCTAAAAAGTAAGGGGAAATGTGTGTGCGTCTTATGGAGCAAATGCAGGCTGTGCAGCTATCGCTGAAGCTAGAACAGCAAGAGGGATCGCTGCGCAGCAATCCCTCTTGCTGTTCTGGCTTCAGGGATAGCCGCGCAAAGCTTCTTCAACAACATTTGATTCAGAATATTTTTTTCTTGTTTTCCTCCTCTTAAAATCTAGGTGCGTCTTATAGAGCGAAAAATACGGTACCTGTTCAGGGTAGGATAGCTCAGTTGGTTGGATAGGTAAATAATTGGATAGGTAGTTGGATAGGTAAATAATATTCCTGCATTGCAGGGGGTTGGACTGGAATCCACAGGGTCCCTTCCAACTCTACAATTCTGTGATTCTATAAATCTAATTCCCAGAGTGGTTAGCAATCCATTCCTCTACACAAGGCATTATGGGAATTGTAGAATGGTGGCTTCCTAACAAATTTCAGCACCTTTACCATACTACAGCTCCCAGGATTCTTTGGGGGAAGAGGCCATGGCAGTTTAAATTGGGTATCCTAGCACTTTAAATGTATCATATGAAGAGAAGAACAAATTTCCCTCCCCAAGGCATCACGTCCAGGACCAGCAGCAAGCTGTTTTGCCACATGATGCAGAAAATCCCACAAGCATAATACTATGTTACTGAGGTAAAAAGAACTTGCTGCCCTTCCAGGATTCTCAGAATCAGTTGCCCAAGGGTAGACACCTCAAACCTAATGATAGGGCTGGCTCTGATTCAAATGCATTTGGCAGTGTGTGGGTCTCATTACATTCCCTTTTTCTATAGATACTGGAGCTAAAGAAGAAGAGATTCCTTGTCCCACCCCTGTTAAAGCCCCCCCCCCAACTCCCTGTTTTCTTTCTGACTGGAGAGGCAGCTTAGAGGGATTCTCCCCTCAATCACCCCACAGACACAGGCACATTATGCAAGGGTTCCCCCAGTTAATCAATATAAAGACACAATAAACTGAGGGTGCATTATTTGGTCCTGCCCCCCCCCCAAAGATTGACCTACTTACGTGTGAGGAAGAAAGAGCAATACACAAATAGTTAATGATTCATGATTTAACCATCTTATTTCCTGCCAGGCACGAGGCCATTGCCCCGCTTCCCCTGTGCCCTGAATCATGGCCACTGGGCTGCAAATTCCTAGAAACTGCTTCTGTCCCTCTCTCACAAACAAACAATGCCACACACCCTGTCCTGCTTCTCCAATGGGGGCGATTCCCTCCAGGTCTCTCCTCCAGGCATGTGATGATGCAGAGCTTGTTTCTGTTGCACAATTTGAGGAGTGCAGTGACAAATAGCTAGACACTCCGCATACACAAACACTTGGTTTGAGTCAGGATTACCTGGTCTCAAACCAAGTGTTTAGTACTGGTGCTGGAGCTGGACATGAATAAAAATTGCCTCTGAGTGCGTGCAAAGGGCACTGTTTCATTTTAAAAGATTTACCATATATACTGCAAAGAAACATTTGCAAAAAACAGGATCAATGCTGCTTCCAGTTATAAGTCACAGGGTGTTAAAATAGCATATATATAATATAGCGGTTAGAATGCTGGACCTGGGAGACCCGGGTGAGAACAGGACATTAGACTAGGTGGCCGCTAGGCCTGACCCTGCAGGCTCTTCTTAAGTTATTCTGGATGTGCCTGAATAGCTCAGTTGGTTAGAGCATGGTGCTGATAACACCAAGGTTGCAAGTTCGATCCCCGTATGGGACAGCTGCATATTCCTGCATTGCAGGGAGTTGGTACCAGGGTCCTTTCCAACTCTACAATTCTATGTATCTATCATACTATGAACCTGCAGATGGCTTCTTGGAATCCAGAGAAGACTCTGGGGTGAGCCAGGGCCTTTTCTCTTGCACGTTCCAACCTCAAAGTTTCGTCATCTCTGGCCATGGGTCAGCGCCCAGGGAGCCTGCAAGTTCTGCCAGATTCATCCCTGGCTTGCCCTGGAGTTGCTCCATAGGGCAACTCTTCTTCCTGTGAGATGCCTAATGAGTTCAGTTAAGGAGGAAGGACAAAGCCACCGACGCAGAGGATGTGAGCGGGTGCAGCGGGAGGGAGATTATGATATGCTAGCAGCCAGCTATTGCTCAGCTGAACAGGGCTGGCTCCAGGTTCTCAAGCACCTTCGGGCAAGATGCCCACTCGCCTGCCCTGTCCCTTTGGGCCCAAACCACAGCTGCTCAGAAGGAGATGGCAAAGGGAGCACACTTGGAGGGGGCAGGCATCAGCAGCCAGGAGAAAGATGGGTTGCCAAGGGGTTGGAAGACAAGGTGCAACTCAGGTTGTTATAGAGGCTTGTATGGCTTTAAGGCAGATAGGAGAGGCAGTCTCCAGATTCCCAAACTGTCTCTGTCCCTTTGATCTCTGTGCCCACCTGTCCTTTGAAATGAAGGTGGAGTGTGTGAGGCTTGAAAGCGACTGGACAAATTCATGGAGAGGGCGAACTAACCATGATGGTGGGCTCTGCCTCTATGGTTGGAGGTAGCAATGCTGGAGACTGCAGGAGGGGAGAGGGCTCTCATGCTCAAAGCCTGCATGTAAGTTTCCCATTAAGAGCATCTGGCTGGCCACTCTGTGAACAGGATGCTGGGCTAGATGGGCCATTGGCCTGATCCAGCAGGCTCTTCCTATGCTCTTATGACCAGGGTACCTGGAGGCCCGTCTGTCTCCACACTGACCTACCTGTTCTGCAGCCTTTGGCAGCCAGCAGCCCTGGTCGCCAGGTGATTTTTGGACAACTCTCCTACAACTTCCCAACTGTGGTTGCCCCACAAATTGGTATAACAGCATTTATTTTCGATCTCTCAAAGGAAAAAAGGGCCACTGCAGTCCTCTAGGAGACGCCCTGTACTTGGGCCCTGTTCAAAGGCATTTTTGTTTTGTTCTGGAAGGGCTTTACGTGAGGTGTGTAACCTAGGCATAAAATTCATATACTGCTTCATTGTAAAAAAAGAAAGAAAGAAGACCCCTTCAGAGCAGTTTACACAAAAGAACAAACCAATAACATTACCAGTAAGAACAGTCAAAAACAGCTATTTAAAACATTTTAAAAAAACAATTGAAATCAGCGAGGAACTAAAAAATTAAAACACACTTCAACATTCTACTGTGTCTGGGCAAGCTTGGCAGGTGCCAAAAAGAGTGTGGCAAAGGAGCCTTCCTGACGTCAATAGGCAGGGAGTTCCAAAGTGTAGGTGCTGCTGCACTAAAAGATCGATTTCTTACAAATGTGGAATGAGTATTATGTAGCACCTGTAACAGTGCCAGTTCTGCAAGCTGAGGAGGCCGAGTGGAAACTGCTGATGAAATGCTTCTGCTTTTAGAGTTTGTATGGGTGGTTTTAGTGTTCTAGAGCAGGGGTCAGCAACCTTTTTCAGTCATGGGCCGGTCCACCGTCCCTCAGACCATGTGGTGGGCCAGACTATATTTTGAAAAAATAATAATGAACGAATTCCTATGCCCCACAAATAACCCAGAGATGCATTTTAAATAAAAGCACATATTCTACTCATGTAAAAACAAGCTGTCCTCGGGCCGGTTTTAGAAGGCAAATGGGTCACATCCGGCCCCTGGGCCTTAGGTTGCCTACCCATGTTCTTTTGCTCAATTGATTTTATTCTTCTTAGAGCCTGTATTCCTGCATTTCATTTTTTCTACCCTGTCCACCGCTTTGATGGCTAATTTGTCTTTACATTTGTTTAAAAATCTTAATCAGTGGTTCCCAAAGTGGGCAGTAGTGCTGGGGGCGGGGGTAGGATTACTTAGGTGGGCAGTAAGAGGCAAGGGGGTAGTGGGGGTGTGTGGAGGTGTAAGAGACTGTCAGACTTTGAAAAGCGGGTCTCACTGGATCAAGTTCATAAATTTTGTTGAATTCATTAAAGCAAAGAGTTTTATTTGGATGTTAAATAAATATGCAATTAATTGTTACTGCTTTGAATTTTACTGCGTTATAATCTTCCTTAGCTGGTTGTGCAAACAGATATTTTGAATAATGCTTTTTATAGGGGAGGAAGCATTGGGGATGAGTTTATGGAACCAAAGGCATAGTGGCCCTCAAAAGTTTGGGAACTGCTGATCCAAATGAATGATAGCTATATAAATAAAGGCTGCGGTGTTAGGCAAAGCCAGGCTTCCTTGGGCAAAAGGACTGATGCACAGGATCTGGCTGCCTGCCTAACCTCCTCCACCTGCAAGATGGGAATCACCGTGGGGAGAAAATCCACAAGGGTGATGCCAACCAGCACTCTCTTGTACTTCCCCTCTGGCCTGCCTCCCTTCCCAGGCCTGTTATGAGACAGCGCTAATCGCCAGCGCCTAAATGGATTAATGGGCCCATTATCGCTCATCTCGCAACTCAACTCTTCCCCCGGAGAGCGGCTCGGACAGCCGCAGCCGCCACGAGGAGGGGAGGCTGCAACAGCTTAAATGCACAGGCAAGCAAGTGCTCCCTTGCATTAATCCTTGCGCTCAACAGAGATATATATATATATATATATATGCAGATGAGATGGGTGCGCGCGCGCGCGCTTAACAGCAATCACCTGCTCGCAAAAAGAGCGGCGCGAGTGCCAATCCACCTGTTTCTTCCCTGTTCCCCTGCAAAGGACAGCGTCAATGTCAATTAAACGGCTGGCCTTAATAAAATGTGTAGCATCGATGCGATTAAGAGTGGTGCATCGGAGGGGGGCGGTGGAGGTTATTATTCTCCTCTTCCAAGTAACAGGAAGCAGCGGCGAGATCTCAAAGGGGGGAAAAAAAACATCGAACGGGTACAATTAAAGACCAACTCCATCGCGCAAAAGAAAAGAAAAGAAGAGCAGTGAAGGCTTTGGGTTGGGAGGCCCAGCCAACCTTGCATTGTGGGTGTAGGAAGCTGCCTTATACCGAGTCAGACCGCTAATCCGTCTAGCTCAGTGCCGTCTGCACTGACTGGCAGGGGACAATCTCCCAACCCTGCCTGGAGACGCCAGCGGGCAAAGCAGGGGCTCTGCCCTCCCCCGTGGTGCAATGCCATGGGGACAGCGCAGGTGACCTCCCAGGGCTTTTGCAACACCCCCCTCCTTGCAGGGAGCGCGGAGGCAGCCCAGCCGTGTCTGGAGCGCGCCTGGGCTTCTGCCCTGATAGGGCAAGGCAGGCCTCGCTCTCCAGCCACCGCAGCTCTTTCCTTCCTCACTTCTCCTCCTCCTCCCTCCTCCCTCCTCCCTCCTCCTTCCTCCTCCTCCTCCTCGGATGGCCAGTGGAGATGACATCATCCCTTAAGCGGATGACGCAGGTTCTATTTTTAAGGGGCCAATGGGAGCGCTCCGGCGAGGGTCACGTGGGCCGGGAAGGTTACTTAGTGTTACAGCTTAAGCGAGGAGGAGCGCATCAAAGGAAAAGGCAGAGCGCGTGCGCGTGCGCAATAGAGGCGGAGGCAGGCTTTGGGGCTGGGTCCGACGCGAGGAGGAGGAGGAGGGGGTACGCGCGTGCGCGCACACGCACCGTATTAGCCTGCTGTTGCTGCTGCACCGGGATTAGGTCTCAGTCTCTCTCTCGCGCGCGCTTCCTTTTCCTTGTATTGCGCGGGGGAAAGCAGCACCGGGAGCTGCCGCCGTTGCTGCTGCATTAGCAGCAGCAGAGGAGCCAAAGGCGGAGGAGGGCAGAGGAAAGAGGCAGGGGCCTGCCTTGCTTGGCTGCCGCTGCTGCTCCTGGTGACGGTGCGCCGGGGCCGCGCAATGCACCTGCCCGCACCTGCCGCCGGGTAGAGAAAACAGCCAGGCCGTGCCGGGCGCCCTCTTCCTCCTGCGAGCCAGCTGCTGCCGGGTGCCCCATGGGAGAGGGAGGAGGACGACGGCGACGACGACAAGGGGCTCTGGCAGGAGGCCGGCCCCGCCTGCTTCCTTGCCCCCAGGATGCCTCCTGCGCCGCTACCGCCGCCTCCGCCTTCGGCCTGAACTAGGAAACAGACGGCCTCTGCATCTTCTCCAGCCCCACAGGCTGGTCCCCTGGACGTGGGGAAGAAGAGGAGCCGCTTGGCCTGGGCGCTGCCCCTCCAATCCTTTGGACCCCGTGGCAGATCTTGAGGGGTGCCCCCTGGGTTCAGGCTCCTGCGCCCGGATTGTGCCTGGAGCTGTTAAGGCAGGTTGCTGTGGAGGGGGGTGCCCCACTTTTCACCTCAGCAAGGCACCAGGTTTTTTGGGGAGGTGGGCCTTTGCAACAGCTGGGAAAAGCCACCTTTGCAGCCCCAGAGGCCTCCTTGCACCACAACTTGGGGGGGGGTTTCCACCCTCCATGCTCCTCGCTGGCATTCAGCTCCTCTTGGCCCCAAGTCATCCAGCCATGGCAGCCAAGTAGGCCAGGAGTCACGCTGGAGGTGAGCCCCCTTGGGCTTGGACGCGCCGACGAGACCCTGAGCCAAGGACTCGGACCGCAGAAGGAGGCCCCGGCCTGTGTCATGGGGCGGCTGCTCCTGAGGCCTAAGGAGACGCCAGACGCCGTTGCTGGGTACTAAGGGCAGCCTTCCTCCCCAGGGCCCTCCTGGCATAGACTCACAGCAGTGGGGGCTCGCCTGCCTGCCGACATGGAGACCAAGATCCCGCCTGCCGTGACCCCCACCAGCCCCTCCTCCCCGGGGCTGTCCCCTGTGCCGCCCCCGGACAAAGTGGACGGCTTCTCCCGCCGGTCACTCCGCCGTTCCCGCCAGAGGCGTTCCCACAGCTCCTCTCAGTTCCGGTACCAGAGCAACCAGCAGGAGCTCACGCCTCTCCCTCTGCTCAAAGGTGAGTCCCCAGAGGCTGGAGGGCTGGGCTTGCCTCCACACCTGGGTCCTTCTAGCAGGGAGACCTGCCACAGAATCATTGGGTGGGAAGAAACACCCAAGGTTCATCTAGTCCAACCCCCTGCAATGTGGGAACTGCAGCCAAAGAATCCCTGACAGATGGTCATCCAACCTCTGTTTAAAAAACTCCAGTGAAGGAGAGTCTGCCACCTTCCAAGGTCCAACATGTCAGCAGAGGCCTGCCATAAGCGTGGGGGGCGGTGTTAGTGGGGGGACACACCCTATACCAGCGGTTCTCAACCTGTGGGTCCCCAGATGTTTTTGGACTACAACTCCCATCATCCCAGAGCTCTGGCCTTGCTAGCTAGAGGTGATGGGAGTTGTAGTTCAACATCATCTGGGGACCCACAGATTGAGAAAGGCTGCAGAAAGCCCTGTGTCGAGACTTCCTCAATCTTTGGTTTGGGGATACCGCCTCATTGCTGAGCTTTCAAGAGATGCCATTACATCTGGATCTTCGTTTTGGTCACCAAAAATGGGGTTTGGGTGTACCTATTCATTTTTATAGATTCAGTACATTTGTTGCACTTTCCTTGCAAGGAGCTCAAGGTGCTGTGCTCAGTTATCTGCTGTCTATCCTCACAACAACCCTGTGCGGTAGGGTTAGGCTTGAGAGACCACAACCTGCCCAAGCTCACCCCGTGAGCTTCATGATGGAGAGGGGTGCAAATGCTGGTCTGCCCCAGGTCCTGGTCCGACGCTCTAACCACTACACCACACAGGCTCTTATATTGAGCTCCAGGAGGGTAGCCCTGGTTTTCTGTTGCAGGGAAGGGCATCTTCACCTCAACAAGAGCATTGGGCTTGGCCCTGGCCAAACGCAGGCTCAGAGCTTTGTGGCGAAGCTCTCCTGTGGCCTCTCTGCTTACTTTGGAATGCAGCTTTGAGCAAGAGGCAAGCAAAGTAAAATGCAATTTGGGGAACAATATTCATCATACTTGGAGCAGTCCTAAGCTGCAGGTGTGTTTCGGGGGCAGGGAGTGGTCCAGCCCATGCTCAGTGTTCTCATGTGCATCATGCTCACAGTCACCCCTTAGTCCCCGACCTTCTCAGAGTTGCATGGGGAAGGTGTGCAGGGATCTTCCACTTGTGATCAGGCAAATGCAACTGGAAAGCCTTGTGGACCATCCCCCGCTTAACATAAAACCATAGAACTTTAGTATTGGAGGGGACCACAAGAGTCATCTAGCCCAACCTACTGCAATGCAGGAATTCTTTGCCCAATGTGCGGCTCGAACCCCCCACAACCCTGGGATTATGAGTCTCATGCTTCAACTGAGCTAAAGGCATTTTCGTTTGCATGGGTGTCATTGGGGGCTGAGTGTGTGGCGTGTTGGGGGCATGTCTTGTGTGGCCACACAGGTGAAGTTTGCACGTTCAGGCAAATTTGGCTTTCCAGCAAAGCACCTGCAGACGGTCCCAGGTCCAGGCCCCATCTGCATCTCACAAGTAGGGAAGGTCCCCTGCTTGTAACCCTAGGCAGCTGCTGCCAGTCGGCATGGATAATCCAGATGAACCCATAGTTTGACACTGTCTAGAGCAGCTTCCTATGGACCTCTGGCTGGAGTGATGCGGCTGCTTCTTGGTGGTGAAAGCCTTTCTTCACGCAGCGCATCATCAAATTGTGGAACTCTCCTCCCCCAGGAGGCAGTAATGCCCACCAACCTAGATGGCTGGGGAAATCCATGAAAGATCAGACTGTCAGTGACTGCTAGCCACGATAGCTATGCTCTGCCTCTTGGAGACAGAGCATATGCTTCTGAACGCCGGTTGCTGGAAGCCACAGGAGAGAGTGCTCTTGCGCTTGGATCCTACTTGTGGGTTTTCCGTACGAGCCACTGTAAGAGCAGGATGCCAGACCTGGTGGGCCGTTGCACTGATTTGGCAGGCTCCACTGATGCTCCTCAGTCCTCCTTGGGTACCACTTTGCAACTGAGAGCATCCGCTGGGAGTTGTCCTCTCTCCTACCACTCTGGTATTGTTGGATGCAGCCAGCAGGCCAGGCCAGCATCTTCCACCCCTTATGCATCCTCCTCCTCCTCAGCTGGGGAGGCAACCCCCAGCATCCTGCCTTCTTCTGTAGCCATGCTCCATCAGAATCGCACATTGGAGTCCTTGTGTCACTAAGTAAGCTCCCATGGGAGAGGACCACAGCTCAGACGTGCCTATACAGGCAGAATGTCGTGGCTCTTTCAGCTAAAAGTCAAGTCCGCAAATGATGGGAAATGCCCTTCTCGGCCTAAGACCCCTGAAGAGTTGCTGTCTGTCAGATATGGACAGATGTCTGACCCAGTATTAAAGCAACTTGCTGTGTTCCCATCCTGAGGATTTCTGTGTCCATCCAGAGAATTGCCCACTCAGGGGCCTGCCTTTGGGGGTCTGCAGCGGCCAGATAATGGGGAGGGGCAGAGTTCCAGGAAGTGCTGAAATTGCAGGTGTGTGTTAGAGGGGACCTTAGTCCCCATACCTTTTGGGGCAGCCTCCACCACGCCCTGTCCTCACAGGAGGGAGCCATGATTTGACTAAAAAACGGGAGGGAGTTGGTGGGTTGCAAATAAACACATAATAATGCAAATAACACAGATTAATTTCTGTTGGTGAGCTCAGAGTGGCCTTCAGCATGGATAAAAGCAGCCGCAAAATACATTGCAAATAGGCAATTAGCTAAAATCAGCAGCGATGAAAACAGATGATGCATTAACTCAGTGGGAAGCATTGTAAAATCGGGCAGAGTTTCGTTAGCCACCCCCGTTCCCCTCAAACACTGGGCCAGGCCTTACTGTTGACTTAATTGAGGCGGAGTTGCAACATCAAGAAAAGTTTCCTCTATGCCAGACTGGAGTGTCCTGCTGGCTTCTCTATTAGAGGCATCTTGGAATGAGGAAATGCCATCTTTATTTATTAATGGTATTTCTTGCCTGCTCTTAAGGTCCCATGAGCTAAAATGCAATCACAGAATAATGAATCATCAACAAACCATAAGACAACAGAAGCACAAAACATATTAAACTAATAGCACCCTTTACAGGAGAGACAACCAAAAATTCATATATTGCTTCCAAAAGTGGGAGGCAGAGCAGCCAGCCCCACCCCACCCCGAAACTGACTGCAATAGAAGCTGTTTAAATGCCCTGGGTTTGGTTTCCTTCAATTTGGTTAATATATTGGCTTTTCGCCCTAACCTTCCTCCAGAAGGAGCCCACATTAGCTGTACAGCATCAGATTTATACAAAATTTAAAACCACTCTGCTGCAGATGCTCTTTTACCCTGACTTTTGACACTTGAGATGCATATTTATTTATACATGTTTATTTTTAGGAACCACCTTCTGTGATTTCGTATTGCTTTAAACTGTCCTTAAATGTTGTTTTAATTATTGTTACGCACCCTGGGCAGGGTGAATAATTAATAGTAATCATAATAAAATGATAAGTGGGAAATGGGAGTGTCTGGCCGCATGCTGGGCCGGGGGCAGAAATGGCTCTCTTCGACTGCTCTCCGTTTCCTGGCCTTGATTGCTCCTCAGTTTCAAAATACATTTTAGACTCCCTCTTCCTCCGCAGGCATAAATATTTTTTGACTTTGGAGAAAAAACCAGAATAGGTTCTCAAGTCTTGGGAGATGCCCATTGCATTCGTCTAGGCAGTCCCCCCTCCAAATATTCCTGCATCCTTACTGATCCCAGAACTCAGAGCTGCTCATCATCTCTGTCTCCGGATGCGGCTGATCAGCCTTATGGCTGCCATGGTTACAGTTCCCAGGGGGATTCCCAGGGCTGCTTCTTGCCCCAAGGGGTAAGGAGAAGAGGCTGCAACAGCAGTATGGCTTGTGTGCCTGAGTCTTACTTATTAGGGCGCTTTTATACTGCCCTTCAGAGGCACACACACACAACTGTTACAGGGCAGTTTACAGCGAAATAGTTGACTGAAACAGAATCCAGCCAATCAAAAAGAATTCACGTCAAAATACCTGCATAACTAAGTATAATAGCATCATCCTGCTTAAAACTGACTTCAGCCTTCCCAACCCTCCACCTCTAAGATCCTGATATTTTTTTGTTAAGTAACTGCTGCATTTCATCCTTGACTTCCTGCTCTCCTAGGGCGATCTTGGTGCTTTCCAGGGGCTCATCAGTTGACCAGTGCCTCATTTCCCTGTTTTGGAAATGGCTACTCTTGGCTCCTCCTGTTGTTTTTAAATATCATCATGGGAAAAGCACCCAATCTGGCACCTTCTGGAGTGGACCCAGCTCCCTGTCAAGGAAAAGGCTGAGATGGGCTCTCCAGGATGACTAGGGCAACTTGGGTGGCAGGCTTGGTTAATTTTGGAAGGCTGAGCGTTTGAGTGTGCCACTCCACTCTTGACCTCACACAGGGCTAGTGTCTTGCAGAGTTTACTGGTGCCACAGCCAAGGAGTTGGAGAGCAGGAATTGCTGACTCTTAACTCATTGATGGGCACAAGTGACAGGCAGCTCCGACTTGCTGAGGTGGTCGTCCCCAGAGAATGACGTGAGTTTTCTGGAAATTTTGGGATCGGAAATTTTTCCCACTGCACTAAATCACTGGAGATCTGATTTAACACGTTTGTTTTTAAGAAAAAAATTACGCAGTGTTCATTTTCTATGCTATATAAATACAAAGCCTTTTCAAGTGCCTTGGAAACAAAATGTTTAATCTAGGGAAAGAATTCAGTAAAGCACCACTTAATGTGGTTTAAACATGGTGGTGGAAACTGCACTTGGAAACTGTTTTTATTGCAATACTTGGAAATAACTGGAGAAAAAATGAAAGGAAAAACAACCACCTTGGTTTCAGGAAGAGCCATAACACAGCGGTAGACCATCTGCCTTGCATGCAGGATATCGCATGTTCAATCCCCAGCTGCGTCTCCAGGCAGGGCTGGGAATGCCCCCTGCTTATAACCCTGGGGAGTGCCTGCTAGTGTCCTGAACCACATGGGCCCATAGTCTCACCTTGGAGAAGGCAGGTTCCTATGTACTGCTGTCTGGAATTATGGGTCTTGCAAGGTTGCCACTGGGGGTCTCTGGGTCCTGGTCTGGCCTTGCCACTGCGCCCAGCCAGTGTTGGGGGGATGCAGCTGCCAGAGGCCACATTGGCAGGATGGTCAGGCTCCCCCCTGCGTGGGGGGCAGGCGGTTTGGCCCTGTGAACCCTCCATGCTCTCTGCTTGGTGCTGGTGGCAGTGGCAAGGGTTGGGCTGGCATGGGGAGCTTTGTTTGCCCTGCCCGCCCAACCCCTGGTCCTGCCTGTTGCATGTTCCCTGGGCTCCAGCAAAGGACACAACTCCGCTGGTGTTCTGCCTGTGGAGCTGTGCTTTCTTCCCCCAGAGCACAATTCAAAGTGTTGGTGCTGACCTTTAAAGCCCTAAACAGCCTCGGTCCAGTATACCTGAAGGAGCGTCTCCACCCCCATCATTCTGCCCGGACACTGAGGTCCAGCGCTGAGGGCCTTCTGGGGGTTCCCTCCCTGTGAGAAGTGAGGTTACAGGAAACCAGGCAGAGGGCCTTCTCGGTAGTGGCACCCGCCCTGTGGAACGCCCTCCCACCAGATGTCAAATAGAAAAACAACTAACAGACTTTTAGAAGATATCTGAAGGCAGCCCTGTTTAGGGAAGCTTTTAATGTTTGATAGATTATTGTATTTTAATATTCTGTTGGAAGCCGCCCAGAGTAGCTGGGGAAACCCAGCCAGATGGGTAGGGTATAAATAATTTATTATTATTATTATTATTATTATTATTATTATTATTATTATTTATTACCACCTTTTGCCAGCTCAGGTTATTTGTCCACTTGTATCTCCAGAGTTTCAGATGGGTCTCTTCTTCCCAGCCCTTCCTGGGGGTGACATGGATTGAACCCTCTGTGTGTATAACAAGTGTCTCCCCACCCTGGCCAATGGCCTTTTCCTTACAAATAATTAAAAAAGAGCAAAAATGCGCATAGTCTGCTTTTTCTCCACTACTAAGTAGCTGCAACCGGACCACCCTGATGGATTATGGAGAAGGGGGCTCCGATGTGTTGGAGGGTGAGACCGGCCAGCATGTTTGAGCCCCAGCACCTCTTGCGCCAGCACCTGCTGAGCCCTGTGTGTGTGGTCGCTTCCTCCCCCCTGCAGATGCTCCTGTCTCAGAGCTGCACGACCTCCTGTGCAAGAAGCTGCAGCAGTGCTCCGTCCTCTTCGACTTCCTCGACTGCGTCGCTGACCTGAAGGGGAAAGAGATCAAGCGGGCAGCCCTCAACGAGCTGGTGGAGTGCGTGGCCACCAACCGTGGCATCCTCATTGAGCCGCTCTACCCTGAGATCATCAAGATGGTAGGCAGGGAGAGGAGAGGGAAGAGGATGGGCTCCCCCGTCACACAATCACAAGCAGGGCGGCTCAATTGGTTGCTCGTCACTGGCGGCAGCCAGGGAGGCTGCATTGGTTGCTGGCAACAGCCAGGGAGGCTGAAGGCTAGGAATGTGTTCTGCCAGCTTGAGCAAGAGACCCCTGGCACAGATTATGACTCAAGGGGAGGCAAAATGACCTCCAGTTAGGGATGGATGGAGCACTCTCCAAATCTTTCCTGTTCCTTTTCTGCATTTAATGTGTATGGGTTAACACACAGACACAGTGAAAAGTAATAATTTAAAAATAATGCCTTTCTGGACAGAAGTGTTGACTATTATGCAAGCAAGTACAGGCTATGATCTCCCTCCTTTTACTTCTCTCTGAAGTTAATAGTAGGGTGCCAGGGAAGATCTCATAACAGTGCCATTGCAGCTATGGGCACCATGTTGGCAACCCCTGTTAATGATCTCATTGCCCTTTCCCTGAGATTCTTTGGGCATCTGGCTGGTCCCTGTCAAAGCCAGAAGCTCGAGGGGTGTATTTTTATTGGGGGCAAGGGTGTACCTTGCTTGAAGTGGTAACTAGTCTGTATAGCAGGAATAGGCAAACTCGGCCCTTCAGATGTTTTGGGACTACAACTCCCATCATCCCTGACCACTGGTCCTGCTAGCTAGGGATGATGGGATCTGTAGTCCCAAAACATCTGTAGGGGCAAGTCTGCCTATGTCTGCTGTATAGCTTTGCTGATTTCTTCTCTCCCTTCCCTACAGATCTCAGTCAACATTTTCCGGACGCTTCCGCCCAGCGAGAACCCTGAGTTTGACCCCGAAGAGGATGAGCCCAACCTAGAACCCTCGTGGCCACATCTCCAGGTAGGACTCCTCCGTGGGGCTGCCTCGTGTGGGCATGTGTCATTTTGCCTGCATGGCAGAAAAGTAGTGGGTGCAGTCTTAGCCACCTCCACCCCTGGCTTGCTGGTGGATGCCTTAAACCAGTGGTTCCCAAAGTGGGTGGTGGGTTTACTTGCAATGGCGAGTGGTGAGGGGTGCTAAGAGTCAAGAGGGCAGCAGGGGCGGGGCGTGTGCTGGGCATGTGACTCTCTGAAAAGCTGGTATCACTAGATTTTTTTGTTGAATTAATTAAACTAAAATAGTTTTAATTGGGTTTTGAACAAATGTGCAATTAACTGTGACCGCCTTTAATTTTATTGTGCTATTATCTTTCTTCGTGGTTGGGCAAACTGCTATTCTAAAAAATGTGTTTGATAGGGTAAGGGGGCACCAGGGATAAATTTATGGAACCAAAGGGAAGGTGACCTAAATTTGGGGGGAGCAAAAGTGCCTTGGGGGCAGGCGGGGGCAGGGAATTGGAAGAATTTTTGGTGGTGATTAATGGTTCCACCTCTCTACCTCTTTCCAGCTTGTGTATGAATTTTTCCTCCGGTTCCTCGAGAGCCCAGACTTCCAACCTTCGGTCGCCAAGCGTTACATAGACCAGAAATTTGTATTGCTGGTGAGTGAGAAGGAGCAAGAAGGCTGAGCAAGGGAGTGTGTGAGTGTTGTGTGTGTGTCTGGGGCAGCAAAGCCAGGTTACTGGGCATCGAGTGCGAGTCCTCTTTGCAGGTGGGTCACAAGCCATGCTTCTTCTGCAGTGACTCTGTTGTGGTACTGCAGAGAAATGAGGCTGTTTCAACTTCCAAAACTCCCGTTGAAAACTTTTCTATTCCATCAAACTTATGCGGGCAGTTGAGAATGCATCTTTTCGCAATGGCTGATGGTCTCTGATTCTAAAGCTTTTTTGTGTGTGTGCATGTTAATTATATACAGACATCCTTGTCATAAACTTCTTTGACATTTTTTAAATCAGGCAGCAACACATAAATATTTTTGGAAGTAAATAAATAAGACACGGCCAGGAAGGAGCTGGATGCCCTCCTGGGAAACTGGGGCCCAAATAATAATAATAATACAGTGGTACCTCAGGTTACATACGCTTCAGGTTACAGACTTTGCTAACCCAGAAATAGTGCTTCAGGTTAAGAACTTTGTTTCAGGATGAGAACAGAAATTGTGCTGTGGCGGTGCGGCAGCAGCAGGAGGCCCCATTAGCTAAAGTGGTGCTTCAGGTTAAGAACAGTTTCAGGTTAAGAACAGACCTCTGGAACAAATTAAGTACTTAACCCGAGGTACCACTGTAATAATAATTTATTTATATGCCACCCATCTGACCGGTTTGCCCTAGCCATTCTGGGCAGCTCCCAACAACAAAAGAGTAAAATCACAATACAAGCTTGGCTGCCCTCTGGGACACCTGGTTCGCCACTGTGAGAACAGGCTGCTGTGCCAGGACCCCCTTTGGACTAATCTTAGGCTGTGCACATGACTCTGCTTGCAGAAGGCAGCAAGCTAAATCACTGGCATCTCCCAGTCGTGCTGGAAGCTTGGAGAGCCACTGCCTGGTATTCAGTAGAAGGCCCAGGAAACTCTCCAGGAGTTTCACAGGGGATGTTCCAGGCCCCTTTGCACTGACTCCTCCTCTCCCCTCTCCCTTCCCTTCAGCTACTGGAGCTTTTCGACAGCGAGGACCCTCGGGAGCGCGAGTACCTCAAGACCATCCTCCACCGCGTCTATGGCAAGTTCCTGGGCCTGCGTGCCTACATCCGAAAGCAGTGCAACAACATTTTCTTGCGGTGAGTTCCTCTTTTCTCTGCTCCACCCCAGGGTTGCTCCGCATCCTGGCCTCCTGCAGCACAGGCTTCTCTCCCCACCATTCTGCCCACCCAGTGTGGTCAGAAGCAGTTGCTCAGGTCTCGCTGCCAGCCTCTTTTCTGGCCAAGAAGGCGATTTGCAGGTGGCCTGCATCCGAATGTTGGAAGGTTCGGAACATGTAAAAGAAAGTATCTTCTTCCTAAATCCCTAAATCCCCTTTGACACATAAACTACAGGATAAGGATAACTGTGACTTTAAAGATGAATGAGAACCTTTTACAAAATACCATATTTTCCGCTCTATAAGACGCACCAGACCACAAGATGCAGGAGCAGGAAAACAAGAAAAAAAAATATTCTGAATCTCAGAAGCCAGCACAGCAAGAGGGATTGCTGCGCAGTGAAAGCAGCAATCCCTCTTGCTGTTCTGGCTTCTGGGATAGCTGCGCAGCCTGCCTTTGCTCCATAAGACGCACACACATTCCCCCTTACTTTTTAGGAGGGAAAAAGTGAGTCTTATAGAGCAAAAAATACGGTACTTAAAGAAACAACAAAGTGAACTGGACTCCTTGGCAGGTTTTGAATAAACACTCACAAACTTTCTATTGACAATAACCAGTCAGATAAATTAAGGATTTATACAGTTTTGTAACATGCAGAGAATAGCATTTGTAGAGAAACCAGAGATTGGAGCTGAGGGAAGTCAGGGGGGGAGGGGAGGGGGTTATTTTATGGGGGGAGGGGGGAAATGAGGGGGGGTCAAGGATGATATGTAATAAGATAATATGTTTTGTTTAAATTCTTAATAAAAAATGTTTTTTTAAAAAAAGAAAGTATCTTCTCCACACAGCCCAAAGTTAAACTGTGGAACTCCCTCCCACAGGAGGGAGTAGCCTAGACGGCTTTAAAAGAGGATTGGGACAGATTCATGTAGAATCACAGAGTTGGAAGGAACCTCAAGGGTCCTCTAGCCCAACTCCCTCCAAGGCAGGAATATTTTGCCCAGTGTGGGGCTCGAACCCATGACCCTGAGGTCAAGAGTCTGATGCTCTACCAACTGAGCTAACAAGGGCTACTAGTCATGATGTTCTGTGCTGTGCCTCCACAGTCGGAGGCAATAATGCTTCTCAATACCAGTTTCTGGAAACCACAGGAGGAGAGAGTGTTCCTGTACTCAGATCTGGCTTGCAGGATTCCCTTGGGTGGCCACTGTGAGAACAAGATGCTGGACTAGATGGGCCACTGGCCTGATCCAGCGGGCTCTTAAGTTCTTACCCATGTGGTGAGAGCTCATTCAGGGGGATAATGTAGCCTGCTGTCCACTAGAGGGCAGGATGACCTCGTCCTGTGTTCTCCCTTCATTCCCTAGCTAGGGACTCCCCCACTTTTCTAGCTGGCAGGTAAGGATGAGTAGCATATTCTGGGTGGTGCAGGAGCTGCCAGACCCAAGGGATGGGGAACCCGTAGCCCTTCAGATGTTGTTGGACACCCAACTCCCAGCAGCCAGCATGGCCAATGGGAGGGAGTTGTAGTCTAGCAACACGCACAAGACTCTTAATCTCAGGGTTGTGGGTTTGAGCCCCACATTGGGCAAAAAGATTTCCTGCATTGCAGGGGTTGGACTAGATGACTCTTGGGGTACCTTCCAGCTCTACAATTCTAGAATTCTGTGGTAGGAGAGGCTTACTCTGGTCTGGTGCCCTGAATACCCTTACTGGGGGCCAACTTGACATCACAGCACCCTTGTAATATAATAATAATTTATTATTTATACCCCACCCATCTGGCTGGGCCTCCCCAGCCACTCTGGGTGGCTTCCAACCGAATATTAAAAACAATACAGCATCAGACATCAAAAACTTCCCTAAACAGGGCCGCCTTCAGTTGTCTTTTAAAAGTAAAATAGTTGTTTATTGCCTTGACATCTGCTGGGAGGGTGTTTCCTAGCTGGGCTAGGAAAGAAGAGGATCCAAGCAGAAAGTGGCAGTGGAGCCCATGGTGGCAGTTCTGCCCTTCTCCCCAATCTGTGGTGATGCGATGTGATGTGATGTGATGTGTTGTGTTGCTGCTGTTTGTTTATATGCCGCCTTTCAGCCGAAAAGGCTTCTGAGGCAGCTCACAAGAATAAACTGACAACAGTATACAGGCAGATACAAATGCAAAGCATTTCAACTATATTAAAAGCCCAGCATGGCTCTGTTCCTGCCAGAAAAGCCAGGAGCAGTCCCTGCAAAAAAAATGTTAAGAGAAGTGAGCCTGTGGTGGTGCAGTGGTTAGAGTGTTGGACTCTGGGAGAGATTTGGGTTCGAATCCCCACTCGGGCATCACGAAGCTCACTGGGTGACCTTGGGCCAGTTGCTCACTCTCAGCCCTAGCCTACTTTGCAGGGCTGTTGTGGGGAATTAAAGAGCACATGAGCCACCTTGAACTCCTTGGAGAAAAAGCTGAGATATAAACGCAATAAATAAAAATGAAGAATACTTCAGCAGCATCTTTGCCATACAGTGGTCCCTGGCGGGGTGGGGCAAGGCAGGTGGAAAAGCTGGTGGCCATGATGGTGATGTGATCCCTACCTCTTCCCTGTCCCACCCCCAGGTTTATCTACGAGACGGAGCATTTCAACGGCGTGGCGGAGCTGCTTGAGATCCTGGGAAGGTAAGCACCTGAGGACATGGAGGACAGGCGTCAGCCAGAGCTGCACCTTCCTGCCTCTGTTGAATGTTGAGGGGCCTCTTTCCTACCCTCCTCTCCCCTTCAGCTTCCGCCATGCACCAGCTGGGCTCCTTCCTGGCTGTTGCTGCTTCTGCTGCTGTGGGCGGAGCAAAAGGGCAAGACGCTGAGTCATCGGAAGCTCAGCCATGTGCTCGTCACCCACGACTCGGGAGTCTGGGTTGCATGACAATACAGTCCACGAGATGCAACAAGCTCACGCTGTTTTTATTTTACTTCATTTTGCCACATTTTGAGATTTAAATGTTTTTGTTTGATCCACCTCGCCTTCATCGCACCGGTGGCTACGTAGAAGTATTTGTTAAACAACAACAATACTTATGCTGTACAGTGGTACCTTGGGTTACAGACGCTTCAGGTTACATATGCTTCAGGTTACAGACTCCTCTAACCCAGAAATAGTACCTTGGGTTAAGAACTTTGCTTCAGGATGAGAACAGAAATCGCGTGGCGGCAGTGGGAGTCCCCATTAGCTAAAGTGGCGCTTCAGGTTAAGAACAGTTTCAGGTTAAGAAGGGACCTCCGGAACAAATTAAGTACTTAACCCGAGGTACCACTGTATTCGTATTCTGTGGGTGCTGCACAATGCTTTTCTTTTGGCATCTTCTCCTCCTTATTTCTTACTTCCCCCTCTATAATTTTTCCCTTCGCTTATAATTTAAAAAAATTGAAATAAGTTAAAAGGAAGGGTGAGATGTAATTTAAATTTCTTAAAATTCTGACATTTCCTGTAAAGTCCAGGGAATTTTGGGGGGGTGGATGGAGAGGCATTGGAACAGTAGTGCTGGTTTCTTCTCCCCCACAAATCTTCCCTGCCGGCAATCAGGTGTTGAAGATGGGAGGTGAAGGCTCCTCTTTCTCAGAACTACTCGGGAGAAAAGGCAGAGGTGCTCCTTCCTCTGTTTGGGGGACAGCAGCATTCCCAACCACTCCCTCCCCCAGTTTTCTATTTATTTATTTTGCTGCAAAAAATATATATCGCAGAAACTTCCAAGCAGTTTGCAAAAAGAAAAAGAAAAAAACAATTACCGAAAACAATTAAAACATCCCAAAGATTTAAAGCCAGCAATAAACTAAAAACGCACATCAGCATTCTGCATATCTGGGCAGGCTTGTCTAACCAGAAATGTTTTCGGCAGGCGCCAAAGAGTGTGCAGTGAAGGTGCCTGCCCGATGTCGCCATCAATAGGCAGGGAGTTCCGAAGTTGTAGGTGCCGCCACACTAAAGAGATCGATTTCTTGCAGTTGCGGAACGGGTGTCGCGCGGCACCGGCTTTGATGCCTCCCACTGTGTTTCCTCCCTCCCCTCCCCTCCCCAGTATAATCAACGGGTTTGCTTTGCCCCTGAAGACGGAGCACAAGCAGTTCCTGGTCCGGGTCCTCATCCCGCTGCACTCTGTGAAGTCCCTCTCCATCTTCCACGCCCAGGTGAGCCTCACTCTGCAGGGAACCTCCGTCTCCCTTGATGGCCAAAGGGGCCTCTGCTGTCAGGTGGGGTGGGAGGGTGGGGAAGATCTGCAGTGGAGTGATGCTTGAGCCTCTGGTGGGGGTTGTGAGGAGGGGGGGTGCTCCTGGGTGTCCCCGAGCTCTAACCTCCGACCCTTGACCCCGCTTTGTCTCCTGCAGCTGGCTTACTGTGTGGTCCAGTTCCTGGAGAAAGACGCGACGCTGACCGAGCATGTGAGTCGGGATTTGGCCATGTGGGGTGCTGGTTGTGGGGTGCAGCAGAGCAGCAGGTGGGGGGGAGAAAACCCAAGTCCCATGGGGAACAGTTAAGGGAGTACCAAATAAAAATAATACAGTGGTACCTCGGGTTACATACGCTTCAGGTTACATACGCTTCAGGTTACATACGCTTCAGGTTACATACGCTTCAGGTTACAGACTCCGCTAACCCAGAAATAGTGCTTCAGGTTAAGAACTTTGCTTCAGGATGAAAACAGAAATCGTTCTCTGGCGGCGCGGCAGCAGCAGGAGGCCCCATTAGCTAAAGTGGTGCTTCAGGTTAAGAACAGTTTCAGGTTAAGAACAAATTAAGTACTTAACCCGAGGTACTACTGTATTATTATTATTATTATTATTATTATTATTATTATGCCAGTGCCAGGATGTGCGTCTTAACGTTTCCATGTTTTGACCTCTCTCCTCACCTTCCCAGGTGATACGTGGCCTTCTGAAGTACTGGCCGAAGACCTGCACCCAGAAGGAGGTACAGAAGGGTCAAGTGGGGACGAGGGTGGGAGTGGAGGCAGATGGGGGAAGCCTTGGTGCTGTTGCCCCATCTTGGCCCAGTGGCACCGCCAGTGCCCGCATCCCAGCCTAATCCCAACATATTCTGCTCACCTTTCCCTGCCCGTCTGTCCACCCAGGTGATGTTCCTGGGAGAAATCGAGGAGATTCTGGATGTCATTGAGCCCTCTCAGTTTGTGAAGATCCAGGAGCCCCTCTTCAAGCAAGTGGCTCGGTGTATTGCCAGCCCCCACTTCCAGGTGCTCTTGGGGCAGCGGCAGGGGGGTGAGGTGAAGGGAGGGGAGATGGGTCCAGAGCTCATTCAGCTTGGGAGTTTGGCTATTTTTGAGAGGACAGTGGCAGGAGGGCACACTGATACTTCTCTTCCATGAAATTGTCCAATCCTCTTTTTTAAGGCTGTCCAACTTTGGTACTTCCTCCTGCAGGAATGAGTTCCATAGTTTAACTTTGTACTGCATGAAAGACAACGACCTTTTATCTGAGTCTTCCGACATCCAATTTCCATTTCCTCCCACTTCTAGTTTGTTTGCTGTCTTTCTAAAGGCGGTTTACAAGCTGAGGAAACAACAAACTATCCAATACCAAATACAAAATCATAATAAAAACATGCTTTGTTTTTATTTAAGCTGTTTATCTTAAATCTAACATTCAATAATCCATTAGAATATAATAGCGCATAATAAATTAAATACCGGTAAATAATAATTAAGCATAAATTCACTCTCTAACAAGTACAGTGAAAATAATTATAATCCATAAAAATAAATGTGCATAAGATACCACGATACATACAAAAACTTCTAAAAGGATCAAATTGGGAAACAAAGACATGCAGCTTATAATATTACTGGATGTCCACCAGTTCTAGTGTTCTGAGTGAGGAATAGAAACGTTTCTTCATTCACTTTCTGGGTGTGACATGTTTACTGCGTGAAACAGCGTGGAGGAAACTTTGAATTTTTGTACTTAGGGGGGCGCTTTGTTTGAGGAGAGCCTGCTGGAACTCTCCCCTCTATTGCTGCCTTTGACCATGGAGGCAGAGAGTAGCCATTTTGGCTAGTAGTAGCCTTCCTCCCCTCTGAGCCCTCCTCTCGCTCCAGGTTGCAGAGCGGGCTCTGTATTTCTGGAACAACGAATACATCCTGAGCCTGGTTGAGGACAACTGCCACACGGTGCTGCCCACCATTTTCGGCACCCTCTATCGCGTCTCCAAGGAGCACTGGAACCCGTAAGTGGCTGCCTGGGTTGGGGTGCCTACAGGACCCCTGGGGTGGAGGTGGGCCAGTCCTGCAGTGTCCCTCTGTCCCCAGTCGCCAGCAAAGCCTCATTGCTCCCATTGCCCAACTTTGGGGAAAGGCCACAGATTTATATCCTGCCCTGTATCACTTTTATTTATTTGTTGCTCTTATCTTTGGCGCTGTGGGTTAAACCACAGAGCCTAGGACTTGCTGATCAGAAACTTGGCGGTTCGAATCCCCGCGACGGGATGAGCTCCTGTTGCTCGGTCCCTGCTCCTGCCAAGCTACCAGTTCGAAAGCATGTCAAAGTGCAAGTAGATAAATAGGTACCGCTCCAGCGGGAAGGTAAACGGCGTTTCCGTGCGCTGCTCTGGTTCGCCAGAAGTGGCTTAGTCATGCTGGCCACATGACCCGGAAGCTGTACGCCGGCTCCCTCGGCCAATAAAGCGAGATGAGCGCCGCAACCCCAGAGTCGGCCACGACTGGACCTAATGGCCAGGGGTCCCTTTATCTTTTGCTCTGAAGAGCTAAAAGTGGCAGACATGGTTATTCCCACCTCGTTTAATCCCCTACTACAACCTTGTGAGGTAGGTTAGGCTACCTGAGAGGCACTGACGGAGCTCAACGTCACCCAGTGAGCTTCATGGCTGAGCGGGGATTTGAACCCTGGTCTCTCCCAGGCCCTAGTCTTAGGCTCGAACCACTCCACCGCACTGTCTCTCTTTAAGTGTAAGGCTGGCTACACCTTCCAGGGCCTCAGTAAGCAGAAGGGAACCCACTTTTAGGTTGAAAGATAATCCAGCTGTTGACTGATGGGGTGGGGCTGGAGGTGGCTTAGCAGTCCTGGGGTGTAACATCTAGATTTCCTCTCCCCCCCCCCCGGCACTGTCACCCTCTTATCCAGGACCATTGTTTCTCTGGTCTACAATGTCCTCAAGACCTTTATGGAGATGAACGGGAAACTATTTGACGAACTTACGGCCTCCTACAAGGTGGAAAAACAGCAGTAAGTGTCTACGTGGCAGACAAGAGAGAGAAATTGCAAGTCTGGGCAGCTTCTCCTGTTTATTTATTTATGAATATTCATTGGGAGCATTTATACCCTGCTGGCTTGGGCTGATGGGATTTGGGAGTCTAGCGCCACCCGCAGGGCCCCCACAGGTTCTCGATCTTCTCTGCATCTTTCTCAGCAGCACATGTGAAAGCAGAGTATATATAGGGTTCTTCGCAGACCGCCAGCTTAGCATGAGTCAGCGGTGTGATGCAGCAGCAAAAAAAGCGAATGCAATTCTAGGCTGCATCAACAGACGTATAGTGTCCAGATCAAGGGAAGTAACAGACTATTGCTCTATTCTACCTTGGTCAGACCACACCTGGAATACTGTGTCCCATTCTGGGCACCCCTGTTTAAGAAGAATATTGACAAGCTGGAGTATGGGCCGATGGGGTAATCAAGATGATCAAGGGTCTGGAAACCAAGACTTATGAGGCACCGTTGAGGGAGCTGGGTATGTTTAGCCTGGAAAAGAGGAGACTGAGAGGGGATAGGCTGGCTGAAGAGCTGCCACAGAGAAGATGGAGCAAACTTGTTTTCTGCTGCTCCAGAGGGGAGGACCCAAATCAAAGGACACGAATGACAAGACAGGAGATTCAGACTAACCATTAAGGATGACTTTCTGAGGGGAAGAGCTGTTTGACAGTGGAAAGTATTCCCTCAGAAGGTGGTGGGCTCCCCTTCAGTGGAGGGGTTCCAACAGAGGTTGGATGGCCATTGGTCAGGGATTCTGAGATGCTTGCATTGCAGGGGGTTGGACTAGATGACCCTTACAGGTCCCTTCCAACTGTGTCTGATGTTTTATTGTATTTTTAATATTTTGTTTGAGGGCGCCCAGAGTGGCTGGGGAAACCCAGCCAGATGGGTGGGGTATAAATAACAAATTATTTTATTATTATTATGTGTTCAATTCTACGATTCTCCATTTTCAAACCGTGGAGGCAGAGCATAGCCGTTGTGGCTAGCCGTTGGTAGCCTTCTCCACAAATTTGTCCAGTCCTCTTTTTAAAGACATCTAGCTTGGTTGCCCTCAGCTGCCTCCCGTGGGAGTGAGTTCCACAGTTTACTTTGTGAAGGAAGCACATTCTTTTTTCCTATCCTGAATACAAAGCCAAAAAGAACCGTTCTGCCTTAAAAAAAAAAAAAAGGTGCATTTATGGAAAATACCATGAAATCTTTGGGAATTCGAATACAGACCCCAAATAACAAAACACTCTTGGCTCACTCCAAACGCCGACCCTTGGAGGATGGCATGCCGTATTGCAGAACTTTATAGAGTTGGAAGGGGGGGGTCCCCAAGGGTCATCTACTGCAGCCCCCCATGATGCAGGAACTGCAACTATTTGCATCCTTCACTGCATCTCCCTCCCTCTCCTTTTAAATTTCTCTACTCCCAGGGAACTGAAGAAGGCGAAGGAACGGCAGGAGCTCTGGAGGCAGCTGGACGAGCTGCAGTTGCGGAAGCTGCAAGGACTGGAAGAGGCCAAGATGAACCGCCTAAACCTGCAGCACTCCCTGGCTGTGCAGAGCGGAGGGGCCAGCTAGGAGCCCCCCTCCCTCCCCTGGAGCCCCCCACCCCCTGCCCTCCCCACCCACCCACTGTGGCTTGTGGGAGCAGCCCACCCGGGTGCAGGGCCCATCCCAGAGAGCCGGACGCTCCCTACCCGCCCCCAACCAGCCTGTGCCAAACCAGAGCTCCTGCCTTTCGCTCCTCTTGGGGGGGTGGGCCTGGCCCCCACCCACCCAGGGGGGTGACCACGGAGGAGGCCCGTTTGCTGTGAAGCAAAATGGTCTGAGTGCATGGCTATGTTTGCTGGGTGTGGGCAGAAGGAGGCATCGGAGGGGCTCCCCTGCTGGGCTTGTTTTGGGGAGGGGGAAGAATGGTGGTGAGGGGGGGTCTTAAGAGCTGTGAGGCCAGAGTTTGGGGTGGGGATCTGGTGGATGGTACCCAAAGCAAGATTAAGCAATAGGCCTCTTGATCCAAAGCTGCCCTCCCCATAGTGGTGGGGTTTTCTGTTTCGGAAGAGTGGGGAGCACAAAACAATGAGGGGGTGTCCTGATTTTTTGGGGGGGCTCCCTGGCTCCCTATTGGGGGGCATAGGGGTGAAGGAGGGAAACCCCCCTCTGTCTCTGAGGACCTTGTTCACCAAGGCCTAGTCTGGTGGTTTCAAGCCCTAAACTGCTGCCCCCCTCCCCAAGTGGAAGAGCCGCAGCATTTCTCTCCCCCCCCTTCCCCTGTTCTGTCTGCCCCCCCCATTTGCTCAGCCAGAAACTGAGCAAGATTTCGGGGAAGAAAGGTGGAAGAGGGCTTTCCACAAAAACAGAAATGGCACGGTTGAGGAGGGAGTTGTATGTGTGCAGATCTGGGCCTATGCATGCTCTCATGGGACGCTGCAGCGGGGGGAGCGCACTGGGGTTCTTCCCTCTGGGTTTAGGGCTGTGGGGGGCTGGCAGCTGCTTTCCCCCTTCAGCAGTTTATTTGGGGGGGGGGCGGTGGGGAGGTTGGTGTGTATCCCCCTGGAAGAGATTCCTCCCCTCTGGGACTTTTATAGTTTTCACACTTTTGCATTCTTGGGTGGTCAGGAGTGTGTGGGGAGGGAGAGAGACTCAGGTGCACTTTGCTTAGATTCTCACAGCCCCCTACCCCCCCCCCCAAGATGGAGCGTAGCTCTAACACGTTCCCCCGTTCAGCTCCCCTATTTCCACCAGAGCCGCGAATTAGAGGGGAGGGAGGGGGCGAGCTTGACGGGAGAAGAGTGTTCAAACTCCTGCACTTTAGAAGGGCTGGTTGTTGCACAGGTGGAAAGCAGGGATGCCTCTGGTTATGGGGTGGGGGGGTGGGAGTGGGTAGGAAATGCTTGCTGGGAAATTGAGTTTTTTTGGGGGGGGCATTGAGGGTCAGGACATTTCAAGGGTAAGCAGACAAGGATGTACCACCTCTCTGCAGGAGGAGGGGGAGGCGGTGGCTGCAATCTCGCTCCTTCTCTCTCAGGTCTTGCGGCGGGTGGGGGGGGATGACAACATTTGGTCTTGTGGGACTCCGCCATCCCTGACTGGGGCTGGTGGTAGCTGGGAGAAACATCTGGGGTGTTCCAGGTCCAAAATACTAGGGTGCTGTGGTTGTGGTGGCGATAAAGGGGTCGGGGGGGGGAGGCCTTGGTTTGCTGACTATATCGTTCCCCCTCCACCAAAGGGTTTAGTATCTGTGTGTGGGGAGCAGGGGGGTTTAAAAGCTCCCCACTACCACCACTGCCACCCCTCCCTCTTTGCTTGGCATGATGACCTCAAAACATTATCTGTAACCAGAAGAATAGTCACTGGGTGGTTATTTTGGGGAAGGGGGGGCATTGAGTGTATTACAGTTTTATTTTTTAGCAGAACACTGAAGCCAGTTGGGCACTGTAGTATCTGGGGACACCTCCTCTTCTATAGTCTATTTAGATGCCACACTCGTGTAGTTTCCACAGGGGGGGAGGCCCCGAGGCACCCAGGGGTGGGGTGGGGCGGGTGGGGGGGGAGGGAGGATGCTGCAGAAGAGAGCTATTTTGTTGAAGGGGGGCAGGGGCGTCGTCGGTCTTATTTATTAAAAGTTTCGCCCTTGCCCTGTGTTCCTTTTGCTGGACGAGTCTGTATTCAATAAAGAGAAACCTTCCATGTCACGGCTGATTTTGACGTCTGATGTCAGTGACTTTGGGGGGAGCGCGGCTAGGCAGGTGGCACTGATGCCTCTGAGATCTGAACGGTGAAAAGAGCTGGGAGAATCATGGTTGTGGTTTTATATTTATTTTATTTCATTGCATTTATATCCTCCTTATTTCCACAAAAGGTTTCTTCTGCCTGCTTGTGTATGTGACTTGTGGGGCAGAGCCCCCACAAGGGGGGGGGGGAAGTGGCCCCGGCCTCTCCCACCACTGCAGCCTTCAGGCTAGTTGAGTTTGCTAGTTTGCCAAGTATGTAAGGAGGCAATATTTGGGGGATGTCGTAGGTGTCAGTGTGGCTCTGCAGGCAGCTGCCCCTGGGCTACATCCTTGAATTAAGCAAACTCTGGTTGGGAGAGGGGAAGGGGGAGACCAGGGTAGTGAGAGCCGGCAATTGATAGCATAGAAAGGCCGCAAGCAGGGATGGCTACCGCTGATTCCCTAATATCTGGAGAGGCGGCAGACGTCACACTGGCAAGTCTTTGCTGTGAAGACTTCTATGGTCTCGGGCCGGGTGGCCCCACAACGCAGATGCACCTTTATCTGTAGGAGAAAGAAAAGAGCAGAAGATGGTATGTTTAGCTAGGAGAAGACAAAGAGGTGAAAGGAGAGCCATATTCAACTATCTAAAGGGCTGTCCCATGGAAGATGGAGCAAGCTTGTTTTCTGCTGCTCCAGAGGGGCGGACCTGAACATACGGATTCAAATGACACGGAAGGAGATTCAAGCTAAACATTAGGAATAACTTTTCTGACAGTAAGAGCTGTACTTTGGAAGGTGGTGGACTCTTCTTCACTGATGGTTAAGCAGAGGTGGGATGGTCGTCGGTCAGGGATTATTTAGCTGCGATTCCTGCCTTAAAAGGGGGCAGAGGTTATCCTTCGAATTCTACAGTTCTAGGATTGTAGAATCCTAGAATTGTATTCGGAAGCGATCCTGACAAGGATCTAGTCCAACCCCCTGCTTTGCAGGACTATGTAGCTGTTCCATAAGGGGATCAAATCTGCAACCTTGGCATTTTCAGCACCATGCTGTGGGAGCCTGGCTTTTCCTGCTCCAGCCGCCCAGTTCAGCCCCTTTTCTAACCAGGCCTTTGCCATGTTATGCTCACCTTCAACCCAGTCCAGAGGTTTGTGAGCTGCAACCTACCCCTTTCTCTAGATTATTTTATACGGGGAAAGGGCCATAACTCAGCGGCAGAGCATCTGCCTTGCAAGCAGGAGGTCCCAGTTTCAATCCCTGCTGGCATCCCCTGGGAGAGATTCCTGCCTGAAAACTGAGAGAGCTGCTGCCAGTCAGTGTAGACAACACTGAGCTAAATGAACCAATGGGTCTGACTTGGTGCCTTTCATTCTCTCCACCTCCACTGGCTGAACCAACCAAACAGGAGGGGCTGGGGCCACCACCAACCTTTCCATCACCACATTGTCAGTTATAGGAACATAAGAAGAGCTGGCTGGATCAGGCCAAAGGGACTCCATCTGGTCCAGCATCCTGTTCTCACAGTGGCCAGCCAGATGTCATTCGGAAACCCACAAGCAGGACCCCCGAGCACACGTGCCCTCTCCCCTCCTGTGGCTTCCAGCAACTGGTATTCAAAAGCATTGCTGCCCCAACAGTGCCAGCAGACCCTCCAGGTGTCCCTATTATCCAGGGATAGTCCCGGATTTACAGAAGCTGTCCCAGTTTCTGATTTGATCCCGGAAAGTCCTGCTTTTCCTGTTTTCAGCGGAGAAATGTTGGATGGTATGGAATTATGCAAATCCAGAGCCGAGGAGATAAAAGTAACTACAGCCTTTAGAAGACATCTGAAGGCAGTCCTGTATGGGGAAGTTTTTTTTAAAATGTTCAATGTTTTATTACTTTTTTTAATATGTTGGAAGCTGCCCAGAGTGGCTGGGGCAACCCAGTCAGACAGGCAAAGTATAAATAACAAATTATTATTATTTCATCAGACAAATATTGGGGAGTATGCAGTGGAGGCAGAGCCCAGACACTGAGGTCCAGCTCCAAGGGCCTTCTGGCGGTTCCCTCGCTGTGAGAAGTGAGGTTACAGGGAAACAGGCAGAGGGCCTTTTCGGTAGTGGCGCCTGCCCTGTGGAACGCCCTCCCAGCAGATGTCAAGGCAATAAGCAACTATTTTACTTTTAAAAGACAACTGAAGGCAGCCCTGTTTAGGGAAGTTTTTAATGTTTGATGCTGTATTGTTTTTAATATTCAGTTGGAAGCCGCCCAGAGTGGCTGGGGAAACCCAGCCAGATGGACAGGGTATAAATAAATTATTATTATTATTATTATTATTATTAGCCAGAGCATAGCTAGAAGCCACCAATAGCCTTATTCTCCATGGATTTGCCCAATCCTCTTTTAAAGCCATCCAGGTTGGCGAGCATCCTGCGACAGTGAGTTCCGCAGTTTAACTCTGTGTTTGCGTGAAGCAACCACCATCAAACCGGTTGCAGGGTGTGTGTAAGTTCCAGTTACTGAGATGGGTGTCCGTTTCACTCACCTTCTGCATCTTGGCGATGGTGCAGCACTGGGAGACGGACGTGATGTTGTGCTTGAAGTTGCTGGCCAGGAGGACGGAGTACTTTGAGGGGAAGGCGCTGGATTCGCAGTAGCCCACACAGGCCTGGACTGTTTGCCTGCTGCGGCAGCTCCCTCGGGGGTCACTCTTGATGGTCACGCTGAAAGCTGGGAGAGGAGGAGGAAGAGCAGGGCAATCGTGGGTGGGCAGCAAAAGAGGACACATGACATTTTCGCAAATATAAGAAATCCACCAGGGCGGAAATTTTACCCCTGAAAAAGAGGACGTCCTGGGGGGAAAAAGGACACATGGCATCCCTAAAAACATGCCAAAGGAAGGAATGCTTTTGCTTTAGAACAGGGCTGGGGTTCTCTATCTCGTTCAGGGCCAGATGCGGCCCCCTCTGGCCCCCAGTCTCCCTACCGCCCACTCCACCCCACACAGCAGTTAGGCTCAATACAAAGGGTATTCCCAACCCCTGTTTTAAAAAAAAGGGGGGAGGGGCTTTTATTGGCCTATGGTCATAACATTCCTGCTGTTGTTTGAGTTTTTTTAAAAAAACAAAATCTGCTCAAATTCTTAATATATACTCTCTATTGTTTTCTTTTGGGGTGGGAGGAATCTTATCGTGAACCTATCCACCAAGGATGGATTCCAAATAATTGGTGTTAATCCAGAATGATCCAAAAACCTGCTTTGACAATTAAAAAAAAGGCAAGAGTTTCCAGTTTTGTTTTGTTTTGTTTTGTTGTCTCCTGCCTTCCTAGTCTGAGATCCTTGCATCTCCAGCAGGGCTCAAATCCCTGGAAGGTCTCCCGTTTTGTGGGTCTTTATGACACTGAACCCACTGCTTCTGAAAGGCTTTGGATCGGTATCGCTGTTGCATTGATCTATGTAATTGCATAGCTTTGCTGGAGCCAGCCCAGAACTTTTATTATAGAATCCCAGAATTGTGGGGTTGGGAGGGACCCCCCCAAGGATCACCTAGTCCAATCCCTGCAGGATTTACAGCGAATTGAGCAAGACACCTGGGAACGCTGGATGCCAGGCCCTACAGGTGTAAGTAGTGAACGAGGCTGGGTGTCTCAGCAAGGGCCCAGACACCTTCCCTCCCCACCACTTCTTTGCTGAGGCATACAGTCCCCTGCTGAGGACTGGCTGCTTTTTCCCCTAACCCCCAAGCCCTGCAGCTCACGATGGAGGTGGCAACCGACTCCAGGGGTGGCGTCATAAGTCCAGCAGCCTGTGGCCAGCAGCACCGAGAGGACGGTGGCAGAGAGGAGAGTTGGCATGGCCTCTGGGGTCTCTGAAAGAGAGAGGCTTGGCATTAGTAAATACACAAGGCAACATCAGTGTGTGTGTGTGTGTGTGAGAGAGAGAGAGAGAGAGAGAGAGAGAGAGCATGCACAAAACAACACACATAGGACTGTTGGGTGAGACCCAAAGTCATCTAGTTCGTCCCCCTGAAATGCAGAAATCACAGCTAAAGAATCCCTGGCAGATGGCCATCTAATCTCTTTTTTAAAAACTGCAAGGAAGGAGAGTCCACTACCTTCCGAGGAAGCCCATTCCACTGTCAAACAGCTCGGAATGTTCTTCCTAATGTTTACCTGGAATTTCCTTCCTTGCCATTTGAATCTGTTGGTTCAGGTCCTCCCCCCTGGAGCAGCAGAAAACAAGCTTGCTCCATCCTCCATGTGACAGCCCTTCAGATATTTGAAGACGTCTATCCTATCCCCTGTCCGTCTTCTCTGGTTGTGGCATCAAAGCCACCTGCCTCCCTCCAAATGCTTTGGACTGCAAACTCCCACCACCCCCAGCCAACATGGCCATTTTGAACTACAACTCCCAGTCATCTTGGCCGAGGCTGATGGGAGTTGTAGATTTCTCCCAGATGTTTTGGACTAAAGCATAGCTGTCAACTTTCAGATTTGAAAATAAGGGATCAGCAGCCTCGAAAATAAGGGATCAGCAGCCTCACCTGTCCCGGGGACAGTCTACAGGATATCTAACAATCCGGGATAGCAGCGGGAAGCAGCGCTGGAATAAGGGAATTTCCTGCAAAAAAAGGGAAGGTTGATAGCTATGCTAAAGTTTTTAAAAACTGCAACAGCTGCTGGCAATGATCTGCTTGTGATGTCTCAGCAACCTATTTGCAGCATCAAGCCCAGCTTGCAAGTCCTCTGCCCCACCCTCTCCAGGCCTATTTGTGCGCCAATCAACGGGGATGTGCCATTTGCACATCATGTTGAGTGTGCAAAGTGGTTTTGAACAAAAGAACTTGTTTGCAGGATCAGGCCAGTGGCCCACCCAGTCCAGTATCCTGTTCTTACAGTGGCCAACCAGATGCCTGTGGGAAACCAGCAACTCTCACCTGGTATTCAGAAGCATTTTTGCTCCAACTGTGGAGGCAGAGCATAGCCAATGCAGCTAGTAGCCATCGATACCCCCATGAATCTGTCTAATCCTCTTTTAAAGCTGTCTAGGTTGCTGGCCTTCACTGACTCCTGTGGCAGGGAGTTCCATAGGCAAACTACATTAAAAGCAGTGGATAAAGTTAAGCTTTATTTTGCAACCTTTATCCCTTGCAGCAGCACTCCAAGGCTGACTGTGACTTGCCCAAAATCCCAGCTTCTGCTTGCAGGTCAGTTTGCATCACCCAGATTATCCTTGCAAACTGTGCTCTGAGTCCGAACCAGCCCCCATGTACTCATGCACTTACCTGCAGAGCTTGATGGAATTATTCCAGCCCACTAACAAAGCAGACTTTGACTTGTCTCTAGTCCCAAGAGGTGTCTGTAGCTCAGGTGGCTGCCTCTCCTCTTCCCCTGGGCTCTTCCCTTTTTAAGCTCCCACCTCCCTTGTCTCCCCACCCACTTCATCTTGACTGGGAGCAGTAAAGCAGTGCCACTCACACAGCAGCCCGCCCATCTGCCAAAACCAAAGCCCCACTGAAACCCAAGCGCCACAACTTGTCTGCCCTTCAAAGTTCCTGGAATGATTCTGCTGTTCTGAGCCCTGCTGCCCTGCAGTAACTGAGCCCGCAGCTGGCTAGCTAGACTTCCAAGAGAGTCAGAGTGGTGTAGTGGTTAAGAGCGGTGGACTCATAATCTGGGGAACCGGGTTCGCTTCCCCGCTCCTCCACATGCAGCTGCTGGGTGACCTTGGGCTAGTCACACTTTCCTGAAGTCTCTCAGCCCCACTCACCTCACAGAGTGTTTGTTGGGGGGGAGGAAGGGAAAGGAGATTGTTAGCCGCTTTGAGACTCCTTCGGGTAGTGATAAAGCGGGATATCAAATCCAAACTCTTCTTCTTCTTCTTCTTCTACTTCCCCAAACACCTGCAATCCGCCCCCAACATAGAATATCTGCGCAAGAAAAAGCACAGAATGTGGGGGGAGCCTTGGCTGAGGCGTGTTAAGAACACAAGAAGGGCTTGCTGGGTCAGGCCTGTGGCCTACCTAGTCCAGCATCCTATTCTCACAGTGGCCCACCCACAAGGGAAACATACCACCATCAGGATTTGAGCACAAGCGCCCTCTCCTCTCCTGCAGTTTCCAGCAACTGGTATTCAGAAACGTTTCCTGCCTCTGACCATGATCTTGGTGGCCATTCACTGCCTCCTGTGGCAGTGAGTTCCATAGTTCAGCAATATAAGTTCACCCCAGTGTTATCTCCTCCTGCCACCATGACATTCTCTGACAGCCCCCTTGGCACTCGTCAAGGCCCTGTTCTCTCCCCCACCCCCCATTCAAATTTAAATCAAGCTTTTATGGGGTGTGGCTGTCCCGGGGAGGGTGTTGTCTATTCCTTCCTTTCTTTCATTTATGTTGGGATGTGTTTAGGTGTCTTGCAGAGAGGTTCTGAGCACAGCCAGTTGTTTTTTTCTGCTGCAGAATAAGCATTTTGCCATGCCCACCACAACTCTCAGATGTGGCCCCGGAACCCAAGAAGGTAGAGGACTCTAAGGCAAGGGATCAGGCCTGGAAAGCTGGAATTCTCTCCGCCTTGGATAGAGGCAAATCTTCCCTTTGTTCATCATGCTCTGACCTGGATAGCTCACTTGGTTAGAGCATGGTGCTGATAACGCCAAGGTTGCAAGTTCAAATCCCTGTATGGGACAGCTACATATTCCTGCATTGCAGGGGTTGGACTAGATGATCCTTGGGGTCCCTTCCAATTCTACAATTCTAGGATATGTGAGTGTAAGGAGATAGGTGGATGGATTGGCTGAGATTGGGCCAAGGGGCATCAGTGGCTGTTGCCCAACCAGTCCACCTCCTCCTGGGGAAACTGCCCAATGGGGACAGCAGGCGAAGGCTCATAGCTCAGTGGAAGTGCTTTGAAGGCACCAGGTTCAATCCTCACTGGCATCTCCAGGGAGGGCTGGGAGAGAGAAGAGCTGCTGCCAGTCAGAGTAGGTAATACAGAACTAGATGGACCAATGGTTTGGCACAGGGCATGGCAGCTTCCTCCTGTTCCTGTGCTGGGAATCAGGAAGGAGAAGCTCCAGACTGAAGGTGTTCAAGGGACCAGAAAGGGAAACCCCTGCGGGCCAAGCTCTGTGATCTGAGCTAGCAGGCAGGCGCCAAGGCAGCCCGTTTCCTTGCCAAGGGGCCTGACAGTCTTCTGGCTCTTATGTGCATTAAGTGGGTAATTCTGTTGCTTCGGCAAAGATGCAATCGCCCTTTCAAGCGGTGCTTTATCCAGTTTGGCGCGGAGGTTATTCCAGGACACAAGGCTCTTGCTCCAACCAGGAGGACCCTCGCAGAGATGCCGCTGGATTGGGACTACCAGGTCTGCAGCCACATTTATTTATTGGATATATATGCCCTCCTTCTCCCCAAAGGAGCAGAGGGCATCAAACAACAAGTGATGAAATAATACTAATAAAAACAATCCCAGGACAGTGGTACCTCGGGTTACATACACTTCAGGTTACATACGCTTCAGGTTACAGACTCCACTAACCCAGAAATATTGCTTCAGGTTAAGAACTTTGCTTCAGGATGAGAACAGAAATCGTGCTCCGGCGGCGCGGCAGCAGCTGGAGGCCCCATTAGCTAAAGTGGTGCTTCAAGTTAAGAACAGTTTCAGGTTAAGAACGGACCTCCGGAACGAATTAGGTAAGTACTTAACTCGAGGTACCACTGTACAGGTGCAGATGAGAGTTGAGATCCACACTTAAAAGGCTCATTGGGAAAGGAAGGTGCTGGAAAAAATGACAGAGATGGTGTCTAAGACAGTGAATAGTTCCCAAAGTGAGGGTACCACCCCCTGGGCGGCAGTGGAATTCCCGGGGGGGGGTCTCTAAGAAGCAAGGGGGCAGCAAGGGGTGCTATAAGCAGGAACATATGTAGGCTCCCTTGCACCCTTGGCAAGAAGATGTTGGTCATTTGGAGGAGCGAAGGAGCACATGGCAAAGCAGGTGAGCTCCTAGCTACTCCCAGCCAGAGTGGGGAGGCACAATTTTGTGCCTCTGTCCCCAATTCCAGGCCTGCACCCTTGTGTGGGGGGTGTCAACCTTTCCAACTCCTGTCTAGAAGTATGAATGACTATAAGGCTTTGAAAAGCTGGTATTATCAGTGCATCAAGTTAATCCGTTTGGTGGAATTTACTTGGATTTTGTACAAATGTGCAATTAAATTGTTCCTGATTTGAATGTTATTGAGTTATTGTCTTCCTAGGTGGTTCATGCAAGATACTATTCCGAATCATGCTTTTTACAGGGTAGGGTAAGGGGGCACGGGGGATGAGTCTATGGAACCAAAGGGGCAGCGGCTGGAAAAAGTTTGGGAACCACTGCTCTAGGAAGTCACCTTCCACCAGGTCAAACTCTTGGTCTAGCCAACCCCAATATTGTCTGCTCTGACAGGCAGCAGCTCAGGCAGAGGCCATTCCCATCCATTCCTACCGGATCTTTCGAACTGGAGATACTGGGAATTGAACCAGTGACCTTGTGCATGCTGAGTCTGGGTTCTTCTGCCATTGAGCAATGACCTTCCCTAAATGAATTGTCTCTGTGTTCATTTATAAATTTAATAAATAAATAAAATTTGTAGCCCATTCAATCCCCTTTGCATCGTGCTGGGGCATTTCAGGGACATGTTAAGGATATCGCAAGCATAATTGGAGTCAAACTGGAATCTTTTAACTGCCAAGAGAAGCTGCCTTCATGGACCATGTTGGTCCCCCTACCTCTGTATTGCCTGCTCTGACTGGCAGCATTTATCTAATCTCTGGGCAGGGAAAAGGTCTGTATGCAGAGAGTGTGCTCTGTCATTGGCATGAGACTTTACTGCTAAGTATACATGCTAAGTATACATGTATAGGGATGTGGGTGGTGCTGTGGGTTAAACCACAGAGCCTAGGACTTGCCGATCAGAAGGTTGGCAGTTCGAATCCCTGCGACAGCGTGAGTTCCCATTCCTCGATCCCTGCTCCTGCCAACCTAGCAGTTCGAAAGCATGTCAAAGTGCAAGTAGATAAATAGGTACCGCTCTGGTGGGAAGATAAACGGCGTTTCTGTGCGCTGCTCTGGTTCACCAGAAGGAGCTTAGTCATGCTGGCCACATGACCTGGAAGCTGTACTCCGGCTCCCTCAGCCAATAAAGCGAGATGAGCACTGCAACCCCAGAGTTGGTCACGACTGGACCTAATGGTCAGGGGTCCCTTTACCTTTTTATACATGCTTTAACAAGCACTGCAGCGGTGAATTGCATTCATGCATCCTGGTTTCAAGTCCAACTCTGCTTTGCCCAGTAACTGGGTTCCCTTGGTGGGGCAGAAAATCAGTGCTGCGCACCACTCATCTAGGTCCAGTGGCTTGCCTTTTCAGCCTTGGTGGAGGCTGGGCTCTTCAGCCAGACAAGGCAGTTCCTCCTCCTTCTCCTCTTGGGAGTTTCCACACACCTGCCCTGGGCGAGAGAAGACTTGCTCTATCCAACTGAAGAACAGGAGACTGAAGGGCCTTTGTGTGCCAGAGAAGCTTGCGCCGCTTTTTCCACAGTGCCTCCAGAGCAAAAGATAAGCCACCCATTGTTTGGTTCCTTGAGCGCCTCTGATGGAATTGCTCAGTCAGAAAAGCTGAAGGGTGTCAAATCCACAAATCCGCTGGTTCCAAAACTGCCTGAAGGGAAGAAAGGGCAGAGTGCAGCAAGAACAACTCAGATGTATGTATGCATCTCTCTCTCTCTCTCTCTCTCTCTCTCTCTCTCTCTCCTGAGGGCTAGGCAGGTGCTCAACCACAGCACTTTAAAAGTGGGTGCTACTGTCCCAGGGGGGGATTACCTAGGGGCGCAAGGGGGTGGCAGGAGGGGTCTGGAAGTATAAATGACTATCAGACTTTGAAAAACTGTCCTGAATCTTCTGACATTCCACTTCATTGGATCCAGTAGCATACCCTCCAACATTTCTCAGATGAAAATGGCCATGTCCTATTCCATTATTATTATTATTATTATTATTATTATTATTATTATTACACTATCAATCTGACTGGGTTGCCCCAGCCACTCTGGACAGCTTTCAACACACACACACACCCAAAACATTAAAAGAACTATACAGTGGTACCTCAGTTTACAAACTTAATCCGTTCCGGAAGTCCATTCTTAAACCGAGGTGCACTTTCCCTAATGAGGCCTCCTGCCGCCAGTGCCTTTCCACGGTTCGGATTCCGTTCTTAGACTGAGGTAAAGTTCTCAAACCAAGACACTATTTCCGGTTTTGTGGAGTTTGTAAACCAAATCGTTCTTAAACCGGACTGTTCTTAAACCGAGGTACCACTGTACAGGGTTGCCTCCAGACGTCTACTAAAGGTTGTATAGTTAGTTACTTATCTGCTTGGCTCGGGGGTTGCATAACTCCATACCCTCCAACGTTTCTCCAATGAAAATAGGGACGTCCTAAGGACGTTTCAGGATCAAATAAGAAACTGGGATGGCTTCTGTAAATCCAGGACTGTCCCTGGAAAATAGGGACACTTGGAGGGTCTGTAGTAGGAAAGGCAATGATTAGAAATGTCTCTTTGTAAGAAAACGGCCATAGCTGCCGGTCAGTTAAGTGCTTCTCACAGCATCTAAATGAGGTTGCCCTGTTGCCATAGAGACAAATGGGTGGGCCTTTCCCCACCTCATCTGGCTGGAAGCCACCATCCTCCTAGGGTGGGGAACAATAGGCCAAGCAATGATTCTGTGTAGGGAAGGGTTGTACGCAAGTGTTGGGCTGATGAGGGAAGTGGGAGACACAGAGGCATCTCTGCTCTGTGCTAGACTTTGAGGCTCCCCTGGAACCCTAAGGAGGAAGCAAGATCTGTTGGGATGTTGATTCTGTGAGCATCTCTATCCTAGGCTCAGGTGGCATATACATGTGTGTGTGTGTGTGTTAATAAAACCATATCTTATGTATATTAGGGGTGTATATTGAGGGGAGAGTTCTGCAGCAAATGTGCACATGTGGTAAAATTGCATGCCAAAATGGGAAATATGAGAAATGGAGGCTAAAAATGCCAATGAATTTTCATCAGCAGAATTAATAATAATAATAATAATAATAATAATAATAATATGCCACTACTGTGGCCTGTGTTTTGTTAGCCCAAAAATGGAAAATGAGTGAGGTCCCAGTTAGGAAGAATGGCAACTTAAGCTGACAGAATATGCACAGTTTGCAGACTTGACATATAGAATAAGAAAATAATAATAATAATAATAATAATAATAATAATAATACCTTTATTGTCAATGTAAAACCTGTGTACCATGAAATTAACTGAGCCTCCCCACCCTCCACAAACACTCAACCTCATTGCACTCTGTGTGCTTGTCGCACAACACACCAACCCTGAAAGTCAGATCAAGAAGAACATACGTTTAGAGAAGATTGAAAAATGTTTATTGACTATATGGGGGGGTGGGAATTGTGTACACTTGAAAATGTTGGCAGCATAAAGATAAATTCAAATGTGTAAATAAGTTTTGACGGATGTAATAATGGAATACTGAATGGCTTCGTTTTTGTAAAATATGCAGGGATTTATGAAACCTAAAATGAACCATGAAAAGAGAAGATGGGAAGTCACTGGTATTTTAAGGATGTTTAAATGATTATTCTAAATTGTAAAACAGAAAATTCAAATTATTATTATTATTATTAATAATAATGCATTTATGTGGAAATCTGTGGGGCTGAGCTTAAGGCTTTGAAAAATGAGAAACGCAGTAAAACTGAAATGGCTAGATTCACCCACCCCTCTTTCCTGAGCAGATGTTTCTGCGCTGAGAATGCCAGCTGTTTAGCAGACCACCACCAGCTGCGATTCCAGCATTGCGGTGGGTTGAACTAAAAGACCCTTGGGATCCCATCCAACTCACCAGTTCTCTGATTCTGCCACGCCAGGGACAAATGCTGTCCAGTGAAGCCCCAATGAGCTGCTCTTAAGTCCCACCCAGACTCATCTCTCCCACTCAGCTGTGTGCACCCCTCCCCTCCCCCCTGGCAGAGCTGGCCTGGCAGAGCTTAAAATAGGAAATGGCCCATTAGCCTTTGGGTTGTACATCTGCCTTGTGCCCAGGGGCAGGGGCCAGGAGAAGTTACTGGAAGCAATAACGCAGGATAAAGCTCTTGCCATCAATATTTCATGGCAAGCGGGGGGGGGGGGGGGTGTTGGATGCAGTCCTTGGGGAAGACGGGCTGCAAGCAATCTGCGGTGCTGCCAGGGCAGGACTTTGGGGCAGAAGTCCAGGGAAGGAGTAGAAGGGCTTCCCAGTGCAGCAGCAGAGGATGGCGGCTTGGCATATAATCTCAGGTGGGCTAAATCCTGTTCCCATTGAAAGAGGGAACCCCCCTCCTGCAAGTTCAGCCTTGGTCAACCAGATGTTTTGGACTAAAATATTGTGGGGAGGGGAAGGGAGTACAGTGTCAGACCCTCCAAGTGTCCGTATTTTCCAGGGACATCCCCGATTTAGAGAAGCCGTCCCAGTTTCTGATTTGATCCCAGAATGTCCCGCTTTTCCTTAAGAAGTCCCTATTTTCATTGGAGAAACGTTGGAGAGTATGGAGTTATCCAACCCCTGAGCTGTCTGAAGGCAATCCTATATAGGGAAGTTTTTTAAAAAAAATGTGTAATGTTTTATTATGCTTTTATATATGTTGGAAGCCGCCCAGAGTGGCAGGGGCAGTGCTTTTTTTCTGGGGGCACGCATACCCCTAAACATTTTGTGAATCTTTGTACTTTTGTCCATTTACTGTATTTATATTTCCTGATTTGAACGATAAATTTTTGATTTTCTTGAGTCAAAATGAGAGTACCCCTAAACATTTTTTTAAAGAAAAAAAGCACTGGGCTGGGGCAACCCAGTAAGATTTGTGGGGTATAAATAATAAACTTATCATTATGGAATGGGACGTCCCTATTTTCATTGGAGAAATGTTGGAGGGTATGCAGTATGTGTATGTGGGGAAACAACAGGTTTTAAAAACCACCTCCTTCCACCCTGGTCCTGATCTGGATTGGAGGCCCAGCACAGCTGCTTTTTCCTCATAAGAAAGAAAGCTGGGTGATCCTGAGCAGACTTTTAAGGAAATGCATTTAACATAATGTGTAGTTTGCAGTGCCCTTTTTAAGAAAAAAGGTGCTGGTATTCACCATGAAGCTGTTACAGTAAGTGCCACATTTTAAACATGTTGAGGAAAAGGTGCCAGTACTGTGTGCCATTGAGTACCCCCCAGGGGGGAAGCACTGGTAGTTTCACATAGGAAAAATCCCCCACCCCAAAACTGGTGACAGCAGCCGCGAAATTAAAAGACACCTGCTTCTTGGGAGAAAAGCAATGACAAACCTAGACAGCATCTTAAAAAGCAGAGACATCACCTTGCCAACAAAGGTCCGTATAGTTAAAGCCATGGTTTTCCCAGTAGTGATGTATGGAAGTGAGAGCTGGACCATAAAGAAGGCTGATCACCGAAGAATTGATGCTTTTGAATTATGGTGCTGGAGGAGACTCCTGAGAGTCCCATGGACTGCAAGAAGATCAAACCTCTACATTCTTAAGGAAATCAGCCCTGAGTGCACACTGGAAGGACAGATCTTGAAGCTGAGACTCCAATACTTTGGCCACCTCATGAGAAGAGAAGACTCCCTGGAAAAGACCCTGATGTTGGGAAAGATGGAGGGCACAAGGAGACGACAGAGGACGAGATGGTTGGACAGTGTTCTCGAAGCTACCAGCATGAGTTTGACCAAACTGCGGGAGGCAGTGGAACACAGGAGTGCCTGGTGTGCTCTGGTCCATGGGGTCACAGAGTCGGACACGACTAAACGACTAAACAACAACAACAACAAAACTTGCTGCAATAATATAATACTCTGAATTTATTATTTGTTTCATAAAATTTATATACCGCTTGTAGGTCAAAAAAAACCACCACAGCTAACTACAAAAAAGATGAAACAATACAGTTCTTAATAAGAAAAATTAACAGTAGCTTTGGATTTTAAAGAAGTTGATATAACAAGAGACTAAAAGCAGATCAAGGATCGCACCAACTTTCCAAACATCTGGGTCGGCTTGCCTAAACAAAAATGTTTTTTTCACAGGAACGAAATAAGTACAGCGAAGGCGCCTGCCTGATATCAATAGGCAGGGAGTTCCAAAGTGTAGGTCCTGCCACACGCAAAAATACCGAGTTCTTACAAATGTGGAATGGGTATTATGTGGCACTTGTAACAGGGCCATTTCTGCCAACAGAAGTGGCCAGGTAGGAGTGAGGTGATCTCATTGTCCCAAGTTGTTTTGGGCCCAAAATGTCCCTAGGAATTGTGAGATATGCTCTGCGGAAAGCAGCTGCCCATCTCCGTGCTCAGCTTGGGAATCCCCCCCACAAATTCCTCTGCATCCTGCCAAATAAAACAGAAGGAAAATTGGGACATTGAATGCCAAAACTCAAGAGAGCATGAGGAGTGGGAGGTGGGAACAGGGGGTCTAGACAGACCCCTGTGGATGACACTGTTTGAATGAAGTCTGAAGTGCCCTGGCACTCTCTGCTGACAGCGGAATCTTCCTGCCTGATCTTGCCCCGGCTAATAGCTTGCCTGTGTGCTTTTCAGAGAAATGATCTAACTTGGAAACAAAGATGAGGTGCGATTCAAAAGAAAGAGAAGAAAGGAGGGCTTGTTCAGAGGTGGGGTGGCTTTCATGCTGTGTTTTCTTCTGCCCGTAGCCATAGAGACTGGGGGGGGGGGAGACCACCAGGATGGCGAGATGGAAACATTCCCAAAGGAGAAAGCAGAGACTTTCTCCAGGGCTACCCTGTGAATTTCATGGATGACCTATAAAGCCCCATATGGCTTAGGCCCAGCCTATCTGAAGGACCGCATTCTCCCATACGAACCTGCCTGGGCTCTGAGATCTTCAGGAAAGGCCCATCTCTCAGTCCTGCTACCTCCACAGGTACGCTTGGAGGAGGGCGCAGGAGAGGGCCTTCTCCGTGGCTGCTCCCAGACTCTGGAACTCCCTCCCTGGAGAAGTCAGACAGGCTCCCTCCTTGTTGTCCTTCAGCTGGCAGGTGAAAACTCTTTTATTTTGACAGGCCTTTCTGAACTGACTGTTTTTTAAAGGAAAGGCTTTTTCAATAGTGCTTTGCTATTGTATTTTAATAATTTTTTTTTTTGCATTGTTTTTATTCTGTTAGAATTGAATTACCTTTAAACAATGAACATATATGTTTTTAGGGGGGGTTGTATTTTATCTGTGTGGTTTTAATTTGTGTAAGGTCTTGAGTAATAATGAAACATAATAATGGAGACTTCAGTCCAGGTTACGAGTTCAGCACCCTGTTTGGGGCTCTCGCCTGACAAATGGGGCTCATCACACATCAAGTCTGAGGAGCCCGTGGCCCTTGCATTGTTTGGGGCTGAGACTCAGGCTTTGAGCACATGACTCTGGCTCCAATGTGCTCCCACTGTTAGCCACAGTCCATAGGTATCCTGTAGACAAAATACTGCCGTTGAATGAGTTTTCCCTCAAACCAACTCTCATCCAATTTGAAAATGCATGTACCCCTTGTGTGTTCTTTAATTTCCTCTCGTTTGTACATCGTTGACCAGAAATAGCAGCTGTCCCGAACGTTATCCCTGCCAAATCTGGTGTTTCCCTATCCTTGGAAAATCCCCAAAGGGACCTGCTCTTCTTTAGGTGTACTCCTACCAGTTTTCTGTGTTCTCCCGCCACTGGTTGCACTGTGGATTTATATAATACCATTTTAATAGTTTTATTTTCGATCCCTTTTCTGGCAATCTCTAACATCTGCCTTGCAGGGGGTTGGACTAGATGATCCTTGGCATCCCTTCCAACTCTACAGTTCTGTGAATTCACCTTTTTGCACAGCATCTTTGCTGAGCGGTCCATTTCAGTCCTAAGGCCTTGTTTCTGGCCAGTCCCCTCCAGATCAACCCCCATGAGCTTATGTGTGGAGTTAAAACGTTTCTGTCCCGCTATGCATCACTTTACACTGGATTACACTGAAATGTTTTTTTGCCATTTTAACGCCCAGCTTGGAGAGACCCAGGAAGGTTCTTTGCAATTTGAGCCAGGGATGGGGAAACCTGTAGCAACGCTGATTTTGCCGGACCACAAACCCCAACATCCCTGACCACAGACCATCCTGGCTGGTGCTGATGGGAGCGCAGAGTCCAGCAACATCTGCAAGGTTGCTGGTTCCCCGTCCCAGATTTAGACCATAGCAATTCTCCTGGAACCAAGTCAAAAGCAGACTTAAGATCAATAAAGGCGGGAGGGCGTTGAAGGCTTAGTGCCAGGAACTGAAGTATACATCTCTCTGCCAGGTGAGCTAATACACAGCGATGGTTGAGCGACCGGCTTTAAATCTAATCTCTGCCTTCCAAATAATACTATTATCCTCCTCCATACAAAGTTAAAGCTTATGTTTTAAAAACCTGGCATAAAGTTTTCCAATAACTGCCTTCCAAGAAGGCTAATGGGGCAATAATGATCTGGATTGGTCCCATCACCTTTTCTTAATGTGATGAGCTAGGATAGCTTTACTCAGTCCTCCCCCCCCAAAAAAATAGGTGCCAGTACTCCCCATGGCTGTTAGTTAAGTCCCACACTTTTTAACAACAAAAAAAGAGGTGCCGGTACGCTTTTCCTTGAGTACCCCCTGAAAAAAGCACTGGCTTTACTGCATATACTGGGAGTCTTTCCAGTTCTGTTAATAAAATACGAAGGAATGAGAGTAAAGATATCCCACTGTTCTGGGAGAGATTTTAAGATACGAGGAGGTATATAATCTTGCTTTCCCAGAGCAATCAGATTAAGGATTTCACCTGTCACTGCAGGTTGCCACTCTGTGGCATAAAGAAATGGTTCAAAACAACTGGAGGGTGCTGGCTTGGCTAGTCTTTTGCATTCCCAGTTTTATGTTTAGGATGATTGCAACAAAGCTCAGCTTACAACTCACATGCTTTCAGGAATGCCCTGAAACCAAAAGATGCTCTGCTGGGTCACACCAGAGTGCCAGACCAGAAGATGCTTCATTTTCAGTCTGACTCTCTGGCACAAATCAGCTCATATTTTGCTCTTGCTTGCCTTTTGCTCAGGACCAAAAAAGGAGCGTCCCGAATTTGGTCCCAAGAATGTTGGAGGGTATGCAGCTTGCAACAGCTTTGTCATCCCTATAAAAGCAGAGAACATCCTATTGATCAACTCAAGGAGTCTAGCTGAGGCGGGTTTTCTCCAAGACGGTTGTCTTGTCTTAGGGCTCATCCATTTCCTGTGCTTTATAAACACGGGTCCAAGAGGTTTTTCATTTGCCCTGCTGCTTTTCCCAGAAAAACCCGTGATTTAGCTCTGAATTGTAATTGTAAAGGTAAAGGGACCCCTGACCATTAGGTCCAGCTGCGGACAACTCAGGGTTGCGGCGCTCATCTCGCTGTATTGGCCGAGGGAGCCGGCGTACAGCTTCCGGGTCATGTGGCCATGACTTCCGGGTCATGACGAACCAGAGCAGCGCACGGAAACACCGTTTACCTTCCCGCCAGAGCGGTACCTATTTATCTACTTGCACTTCGTGCTTTCGAACTGCTAGGTTGGCAGGAGCAGGGACCGAGCAACGGGAGCTTGCAGGGATTCGAACTGCCGACCTTCTGATCGGCAAGCCCTAGGCTCTGTGGTTTAACCCACAGTGCCACCCGCGTCCGCTGAATTGTAACAAATGTCAATCAGGTTTTCTGCAGAAAAGCACAGGACAAACAGAAGTGTGGATGGGCAAACCTCTACCCTAATTGCAGTGCAAAGGCTTGGTTTTTCTTCCACTGAAAAGAAGCCTGGAGTCTGTTATGGCCAAGAGGGAGGACTCCAGTTTTTCTACCTGGAAGGCAAACTTGTTTTGCTGGCTTAAGTACATGGCAAAGTGCCAACAAGATCATCGTGCAGAATTCACTGTTTATTTCTCATTCCGCCGCATCTTCCCAGGTTCCTCTGCTCCGTCTGGGGCACTGCCTATGTCTCGTCCTGGACTGCGTAGATCACAAAGTCATCGGGAAGGTCGGCCTGGGTGCTCCTCCTCTGCCTGTTTGCGGTGAGCCAGCCCGTGGCCAGGGCCATCTTGAGCTTGCGCAGCCTGTACATCAAGCTCACCAGCTCCTGCTCCATGTACCCCAGCGACTTCAGGCCTGACCGGACAGAGCAGCCACGCCGGGGCCCACAAGGCGTGTGCGGTGGGGGCATGTGGCTGTCCGTGACCTGATCAGAAAAAGGCAGCAGTGAGCAGTTGTTAAGACAGGGGCTGGGGAAGGCCACATTCCCTTGGAGGGGTCTGGGGAGCCACAACCAGGTAGGCTTCCCTTTCCTCGCTTGTTTTCTCCCACCCGCCTCTGGCATTTGCTGCCGGTTCATTTCCGGGCTCAACCTAAGGTGCTTGCAATAGTGTTTAAAACCCTGACAAACACAGGCCCCAAAGACCTGAAACATGCCTCCTTTCCTAATGACCCTCCTCAGCCCTGGTGATTCTTCCTCTTCCTTCTGCTTCCCACCACTGAGCCCTGGAGATGGAGGTTAATTGGGAAAGGAGAAGTCAAAATGTCTGTGCAATAATTTGCAGCTGGCTCCTTCCTGGCTGAAGCTTGCAAGCTGCACGTACAGGAAGAGGAAGAGGAGGAAGAGGAGGAGGAGGAGGAATAAGAAGAAGAAGAAGACACCACCTGGAAATTCAAGCCCTCCCTCTGCTACTTGGAGGGGCCAGGCAAACCTGGAGAGCCCTGGAGGTCTGGCCACCCTATGCAGGCTTCTGCCCTTTGCCCCACATGCCAGAGGGTGGGTTTGGCACCAGTTCTCTGCCGCCCCCAGGCACTCACCTCTGTGTCCCGCTGAGCCACTGGGCACTGCTCCATGGAGAAACCTCCCAGGAGCCAGACCAGGCTGTAGAAACACGCCAGGCTGAGGAGCCACAGCAGAATCTGCCCGTGCACCTGGTAGTTCTCCTGGTCCTCCGAGAGGCTGTTGTCCTGGTTGCTCAGGGCCCAGGTGGGGGCCAGCCACCCTAGCAAGCAGCAGATCCACCCACCCAGGACAACATCCATGGCCATTTCTTGCCTTCCTCTGAGCCTTACCATGGCACTGAGCCACTAGCAGCAGTGACATCACAAACCCCTGGGCAGGTGAGGTGGCCTCTTGCCCTCTCCTGGCAGGGAGAGCTGAGCCAAGAGGCCCAGCAGGGACAGATGTCCTCTTTGATGGGTGGCCTTGTCTCCTTGAGAGGCTGTCAGAGGACAGTCCTCTCTATCTGGGGGGGGGGGGGGTTGTGGGGGGGCCATCCAAGGGGAGCAGAGCAAGGGCAGAAGCAGCAGACTGAGCAGGCACACCCGCAATGGTGAGATGTATTTTATCTCTTATTTAAAACATAGTCAATGGTTTCTGAACTGGGTAATTAGCATATGCAAATGATATGCACCACCGGGGGTCCTTCAAGAGGAAGGGAAGGATATGAATGGAATCAAGAAATAAATAAATGATATCATGCCCTCTTTTCTGGAGGGGGGCAATGTACTAAGTGGCCACTTCTGGAGCTTGGGGATAACAACCAGGTGGTGGTTTGCACTATCTTGGGGTCCCAATTATTTGAATATGCAGGATTGTTTTCATTCTTTTTTAAAAATGCAAATAGCATCAGCTGTGTAGTGGCGGAGAAAGCTGATAATTATCAGAATTGCAATAAGCTTCTGAAAGTGCTATTTGGCATGATGGGGACAGCCCTCGCTGGTGTTGAATGTGATCTTTCCTCCCCATGCAAATAGCAGCTTCAAAGGATTGAATTCAGGCAAGGAAATCAAAGAGTTCAAGCAAAAACACACATACATGCAATGATGAGAGGTAACATTGGATCTATCCTCTGACAACAAAGGAGCAAGTATGGTTGCCTTTGCCTTCTCTAGATCAGTTAAGTTAGCTTACAACGAGAAACCTATCCAAGTTACGTACATATAATAAACTACTTTATTATCCGCTTACTCTGCAAGCATCTCTCTGTGTATAACTGCAAAAGATAAGGTCTACTTTCCAACCAAAATTCACAAGCTGTCTCCTCCAACAGGTAATTTGGCTTGGGTGGGACGGGCAAAGTCCACTTGGCAGCTAGCCACAGGGGGAGGGTACACACAATGGTGCAAGGGTCTGGGTACACACAATGTTTGTGTACATGCAGAACCCTTAGAACTGAACCCCTGCTTAAAATGCAATCATACTGCTATCAATGCCCCTCTCCAGTAGGGCTGGGCGATATCTGGTTTTCAAGATCGTGATGGCTCACCAACTAAACATTGAGATATAGTGATATATCACAATGTCTGAAATGAGGATGGAGCTATAGAGATGCATTGCTTGGCTTCATGGTTTTTCCCGCATTGAGATTTTTGCTGGCGCCTACTCTTCTGACTCGCTGCAGGAATCAGGGGCTGCAGGAATCAAGAGAAGCATAGGCTGGCTTAACGTTTCCCCCCACATTGTGATTTTTGCCTAGCACACGCAGGCGTGTGCACACACACACACACACACACAAAACCACACACATCATGATTTGCAATATACTGCCAGGTCAAAAATTATGATATGGACTTCAAACCAGTTTGGGATGATATATTGAGATATATCGCCCAGCCCTGCTCTCCAGCATTATTCCCCCACCCCGACTTCTCCCTCTTCCCGGTGCCTTCCCTGTGGCACTTCTGCCTGCATTTCCCAATTCCTTTGGCTGCAGAACCGGCGCAATTTCTGCCCCCATGAAGGTGCCCTGCGGCCTCCTCTGCCATAGATTTATTATTACTATTTTGAGTATTGCTTTCCAAACCCTCCCCGGTCCCCAGGCTCAGTCCTCCTCTTCGATGTCAAACACCACCAAGTTGAAGGCCTTGGCGCTTTCCCTGGCCAGCTGGCACTCGGGTGCCCGGCAGCCACGGTGGCGCAGGGTGAGGGCGGCCTTGTGGTTCCGCACAAGCGTCACCAGCTTCACAAGCTCCAGCTCCATCTGGAAGAAGGCGTGCAAGAGGTGCCGCTCCAGATCTTGTTCGTGGGCCAGCTGGGCTTCTTCCTGCGGAGGAGGAGGAGGAGGATGTTGGTCAGGCAGCAGGAGGGGCTGTGAACATTACAGGAAGATGCTTGAGATAAAACAGGCCAAGGGTGCCCCTAGCAGCCAGAGCAATGGTTGCCAAATTGCTGATTGGGTCGAAAGGAAACCAGAGCAATGCTTTTTATCGAAGGAGGAGTCCAAGGCACCATCCAACTGTCTTAGGGACTCCACTCCAGATTTGTGTAGGGTTTGCTAATAATAATAATAATAAATTTGTTATTTATACCCCACCCATCTGGTTGGGTATCCTCAGCCACTCTGGGCAGCTTCCAACAAAAGATTAAAAATACATTACAACATCCGTCATTAAAAACTTCCCTAAACAGGGCTGCCTTCAGATGTCTTTGAAATGTCAGAAAGTTGTTTATTTCTTTGACATCTGATGGGAGGGCGTTCCACAGGGCGGGTGCCACTACTGAGAAGGCCCTCTGCCTGTTTCCCTGTAACTTCGCTTCTCGCAGTGAAGGCCCTCGGAGCTGGACCTCAGCGTCCAGGCTGAACGATGGGAGTGGAGACGCTCCTTCAGGTATACTGGGCCGAGGCCTTAGCCTGTTCTTCTCCCAGCAGAGATTTAGGACTTGAGTTTTCCTTCTCCTAGATGAGCTACCTTCCCAAGTGGCCAATCTCTTCCAGTATGCCTCTGAATAACAGTTGCTCAGAATCCCGAGTGGGGAAGAGAGCATTGCTGTTGCACCCAGGTCCTGCTTGCTGGCGGCATCCCAGGACACTGGATTAGACAGGCCCCCTATGATCTGACCCAGCTACAGGCCTCTCCTTGCAGAAGTCTAGTGGTACCTCGGGTTAAGTACTTAATTCGTTCTGGAGGTCCGAACCTGAAACTGTTCTTAACCTGAAGCACCACTTTAGCTAATGGGGCCTCCTGCTGCCGCCGCACCACCAGAGCACAATTTCTGTTCTCATCCTGAAGCAAAGTTCTTAACCTGAGGTACTATTTCTGGGTTAGTGAAGTCTGTAACCTGAAGCGTATGTAACCCGAGGGACCACTGTATTTGTGATAACAGAACCTCCACGCTCAGGGACAGTCTACCTCTGAATACCAGCTGATGGGGAACGATGACTGGAGAGTTGCCTTTGTGCTCAGGTCCTGCTTGTGGGTTTCTCTTTGGAAAGCTGGTCACTGTGAGGGCAGGATGGGCCCCCTTTGGCTCTTCTAATCTCCTTCTGTTTGTCTCCTGGAACCCCCCTCCACCCCCCTTTCCTTTCTTACCCCTGCTGCTTCTGCCTTGGGCTTCGTGTGCAGCCATTTCACCCCCAGGGCCAGCACCAGAACCACGATGGAGCCGAATGCCAAGCTGTCCCAAGCCGGTTGTGGGGAGACGGCTTCCTTCTGCTCTTCCACCGCAGCACGGCGTACAGCAGAGCTTCCCTGGCAGAGCCACAACACCCACAGCAGGCTGTGCATGGTGAATACAAATGGTGGCGGAGTCCCTGGGGCCAAGCGGGCCCTGGTCTGTGATGTCACAGATGTGCCAGCCCCATTGGCCAGTCGCGTGGGTGACATCGGGAGAGGGTTCCATCAGCTGGCCAATTGCTTATTTATTTGCTACCTTTTAATCCCCTGCTTTCCTCCTGCATGTGGCACATATATAAAAAAGGTAAAGGGACCCCCGACCGTTAGGTCCAGTCGTGGCCGACTCTGGGGTTGTGGCGCTCATCTCGCTTTATTGGCCGAGGAAGCTGGCGTACAGCTTCTGGGTCATGTGGCCAGCGTGACTAAGCCGCTTCTGGTGAACCAGAGCAGCGCATGGAAACACCGTTTACCTTCCCGCTGGAGCGGTACCTATTTATCTACTTGCACTCTGACGTGCTTTCAAACTGCTAGGTTGCCAGGAGCAGGGACTGAGCAACGGGAGCTCACCCCGTTGCGGGGATTCGAACCGCCGACCTTCTGATCGGCAAGTCCTAGGCTCTGTGGTTTAACCCACAGCGCCACCCATGTCACAAATAAACAAATAAATGCCATGGGCCCAACTGTGAGGAACTCCCTTCCGCAAGAAGTTAGACAGGCACTGTCCCTTCAGAGTTTCTGGCACCTGGTCAAAGCTGTTCTATTTCAGGAAGCCTTTGCACCCTGAATGTTCCTTGCTTTCTTTCCTTTCTCTTTCTCTCTTATTTTATATATAAATATGGGTTTTTTTATTTAAAAAACCCCAATTATTGTTATTTATATTAAATCCTCAAGGTTATTAGATACTGGAGGCTCAATTTATGTTTTAATTTAATGTTTTAATATTGCATATTTTATTGCTGTAAGCTGCCTTGAGGCCTTCAGGGTGAAAAGCGGGAGAAGCGTTTTTAAATAAATAAAGAACATATTTAAGCAATGTAAAGGTTCTACTATTATTTTGCCTTACTTGGAATTCCGATAAATACCGGTTGGAGGGGAGAGAAACTCTGGTGCTCAAATCCTGGTTGCGGGTTTCACAAAATGGGCATCTGGTTGGCTGCTGTGAGAACAGGATGCTGGCCTAGATGGGCCATGGGCCTGATCCCACAGGCTCTTCTTAGGTTCTTAGGAGCAGGCATTGAGACATACTCCAAGCGACTAGACCCGGTTAGTACCCTGGAAGCTGTAGCCTGTCCTAGCTGCGATTTTGGGGCCACCTTCAAGGGCAGTCCTGCAAACAATGCACCGCAGTAGTCTACCCCAGGGCCTGACTCCCGCTCACACCCCTCACTTGCACAAAAGGGTCCTGTGTGGTGGTCTTTGCCTGAGCGGCCTTCAGATCAAAAGCTAGCCATCAAATCAAAGGTGGCGTTAAACGTGCGATTGCACTTAAGGAGTCTAGGTCACAACAACAGTGGGAGAAGCAGGGTGAGGAATGCCATACTCAGGGAGGAAAGGCACCTTATTAATCCCATTTCTAGCCCACCTTTTTTCCTCCAAGGAGCTCCAGGTGTGGTGCGCAGGGTTCTCCCCCTCCTCATTTAATTTACCCCACAACAACCCTGTGAGGTAGGTTAAGCGGAGAAGCAGTGACCGGCCCCCAAAGTCACACCCAGGGCTGAGTGGGGATTTGAACCCGCGTCTGCCAGGTTCTAGTAGGTCAGCGCTCTAACCACTACGTATCACTGCCTCAGCCCCACTCAAGACGCCGGGCTCCCTCCCCCAGCAGCTGCAGAGAGCAGCCTCGCCTTGCTGTTTGCAGGACCTTGGTGCGCCCTTCGTGCAAAGCCTGGGCGCGTTCCCACGTGCAAAGCCTGCCTTAGGGAGGAGCAGCCGCGCCCCCTCCCCAACGAACAGCTTCGGGGCGGATCGCTCGTTCTGTGTCTGTGTGTGTCCCCCCCACCCACACCAGCCACGTGATGGAGCAGCAGCCCAACATGGCGCAGTCCTCCTAGGCCGCTCCATCCCAGCCCGGCGGGGAGGCCATCTGGCCTTGCACATCATCCCGGAGACCGGCAGGTAAGTGAGGCGGGGGTAGGGGTGGAGGGGGCGCACCAGAGTCCCTCCCCCCCGTGCAAAACCCCACGCCTTGCACGGGTCCCCAAAGTGCCTTTCCCGCCCCTACCCCCCAGGTCCGCTGCTGGGATGGAGCCACGTGCCGGGTGGGGTGGGTGGGGGTCGCCTTCTTGTGCCCTCCCCCGCCAGAGAAGGACCCGAGAGCCAGGGACAAGCTGCCCCGCCCCGTCGAGGAGAAGCAGGAGCCTTGCATCCAGGCGGCAAGGCGAGGATGGAGGACGTTGTGGTCCATCCAGATGCGGCTCCCATCACCAACATCCTTGCGCCCTGGTTGGGGCTGTAGGTGTAGGGCATTGGAGGCCAGCAGCACATTTGGGGGGGCGGGGTCTTTCCCCACCATTTCTGCTCTGCTGTTCAGAAGGTGGGAGGGATCTGCCAGGGTTCCACCGACTCTGCAAACCTTGTGGGGTGCTGGACTGGTGGGGGAGAGTGGGCTTCTCAGGGGCGAGGGGAGGAAATTGGGGCACCTCACTGAACTCACCCCATGTGCTTCTCCACCAGATTATAGTCCTAGCAGTTTAGGGTAGATCTCTTGGAAGAGCCAGATATAGAACATTGCGAAATATCTCATGAACCGGTGACCAAGATCAAAATAGTTAATCTCTGTTGAATATATCTGTTTAGCAGAGATAAGCAGAACAATGCAAATTTTTATTATGATTGCTACTATTGTACTGCATTTGCTCAAAGAAGCTAAAGGTGGCATGCATGATTCTCCTCCCCCCCCCATCCTATCCTCACAACAACCCTTTGAGGTAGGTTGGGATGAGAGAGGCAGTGACTGGCCCCAAGGTCACCCAGTGAGTTTGATGGCTCACAGAGATTTGATCCTGGACTCCCAGGTCCTAGTGCCGTGGGTAGCAAACTAAGGCCTGGGGGTTGGATCTGGCCCAATCGTCTTCTAAATCCGGCCCGCGGACGGTTCAGGAATCAGCATGTTTTTACATGAGTAGAATGTGTCCTTTTATTTTAAAATGCATCTCTGGGTTATTTGTGGGGCCTGCCTGGTGTTTTTACATTAGAATATGTGATTTTATTTAAAATGCATCTCTGGGTTATTTGTGGGGCATAGGAATTCGTTCATTCCCCCCCAAAAAATATAGTCCGGCCCCCCACAAGGTCTGAGGGACAGTGGACCAGCCCCCTGCTGAAAAAGTTTACTGACCCCTGTGACAATCTAACTTCTACAACTACCAGTGTTCAATATCCTTATCCAAGATCTTTTGAACAAGTAGAACAATTTATTTATTTCATAAAATGTATACACCACTTGATTGTTTTTTTAAAAAAGGCACTTCAAAGCAATTTACAAAAAGAATAAAACAATAAAATAAGAAAGTAAGAAAAAAAGTAATGTAAGAAATTCAAAGAGTTAAAACAACAATATACGAAAACAAGATGTAACAACTCTCTAAACAATGCAAAATGTGCTATGAAACAATGACCGATCTCAATAACCCAGCCAGTAAGTTGGAAGGGGGTTGTAAGTCAGTGGGCAGTGCCCGTGCATGGCATGTAGAAGGCATCAGGTTGAATCCCCACCAGCATCTCCAGGTGGGGCTAGAAATGTCTGAAGCCCTGATAAGCCGCTGCCTGCCAGTGTTGACCAGCCTCTTCCAGCATGGTGCCATCTAGATGTGCTCAGTTGGGCTGAACATCTGGAGGGGGAGTTGTAGCCCAAAACATCTGGAAGGGGCACCAGGTTGGGCAAGGCTTGGAGGAAAAACCAGATATCTGCAGATGTGGAGATGATGATGATAGTATTTATATGCCACCCATCTGACTGGGTTGCCCCAGCCACTTGGGGCAGCTTCCAACAAAATATTAGAAACATCAACCATTAAAACTTTCCCTGAACAGGGCTGCCTTCAAGTGTCAAATAGTTGTTTATCTGTTGGACACCTGTTCGGAAGGGTGGGAAATTGATGCCTTTGCATGAGAGAGGGAGAAGGGAGCTCCTTTCCCTTCTGCTCTGACTCCTTTCCCTCCTCCTTTCCCTCAGCAAAATTCACCCGCCATGGTGAAGATCTTTGTGGGGGGCCTGTCTCCCGTGGTGACGGCCGAGGAGCTGAGGAAGCTCTTTGAGCAGTACGGGCAGGTGAACGAGTGCGACATCCTCAAGAACTTTGCCTTTGTGCACATGGAGAAGGAGGACGAGGCCCACCAGGCCATCAGCGCCCTTCACAAGAGCGAGTTCTACGGGGCCCACCTGACGGTGGAATACGCCACCTCCAAGATCCGAAACGCCACCAAGATCTACGTGGGGAACGTCTCCGCCAAGGCCACCACCTCCCAGATCCGCCAGCTCTTCGAGAGGTTCGGCAAAGTGGTGGAGTGCGACATCGTCAAGAACTACGCCTTCGTCCACATGGCCAAGGAGAGGGAGGCCATGGACGCCATCTTGAACCTCAACGACACCCCTCTGGAGGACCAGAAAATCTTCGTCACCCTTTCCAAGAGCAACAGCTCCTTGCGGGCTGCCAAGGGGGCGGCAGCAGCAGCAGCAGCAGCAGCGGTGCCCACCCCGCCTCCCCCGTCCCCAAGCTACTACTTCTCCAGGGGGCGGCTGCCACCCCCGCCCCCGGCTTACACCCCCTACTGCCCCCGGGCCTGGTACGACAGGGAGTACTGCGACCGCTACTCGTACGAGCTCTACGACCGGGCCCGGGCCGCCTACGACCGGGCCTTGCCTCCTCCCCCTGCCGCCTATAGGGAAAGGAGCCCCGTGGGCAGGCGGACAGCTGCCTCCACCGCCGTTGTGGCCCAGTACGCAGACCCCTACGCGGCCGCCGCTGCTGCGGCTGCTGCCGCTGCCGCCACCGCCGCTGCCAACCAGACCTACAACCCGGCCTACAGCCAGCCAGGGTACGCAGCCGCTGCTGCAGCTGCCGCCACATACTCCCAGTACAGCATAGGAACCGCCTACAACGTGGCGGAGTACTACGAGAGGTACGCCAGCGCATACGCCGCCCAGTATGCGCAGACCTTCTGAGCACAGTGTGCCTTTTCCGGCAGTAAGTGTCTGGAGGTCCTTGGTTGCTTGGCGTGGGGGGTGGCGGCGGGATGGGAGGGAGCAGGGGGCCATGGGCAGGAGAAGGGATTGCCTCAGAAACACCCCACCTGGGCTTCAGCTCTACAGTGCTGGGGAAACCCAGCCAGATGGGCGGGGTATAAATAATATGTTTATATTATTATTACAGTGTGTTCCCCTGCATGTGGGCATTTGATTTCTGCACCCTGCCTTCTCCCGGTAATCGAGGGTATGCAGGGACACTTTCTAGCCAGGAATGAAAGAATTTGCGGAGGGTTCAATGAGGGGCAGGGCCTGGGGAATATATGTGGAGGGCCAGATCAAGGCCTGGGGGGCCACAGTTGACACGAGCACAGTATTGTCTGTCCTGGCCGGCAGCTGCTGTTTAAGGCAGGCTTCGCCAAGCTGTTGCCCTCCAGATGTTAGAGGGAAGGGAAAGCTTGGGAGGTTGTGGGATCAGCCCAGCAAGGTGGGCTCTCAGCTAGCTGGCAGGCTGGTTGGCCGGCTGGTGTGTGTGTGTGTGCACGGGGTCCGAGATTGTGCCCACCCCCCATGTCTCTTTGTTTGCCTGTGTAAAATACAGTACATAGGATGCAAACCTCTGTGTATATACGATGCACACTTATTACGTCTGTGTATATACAGACACACACATGCATGCATACACCTGAATTGTGTAGATCTCTTTGCAGGCATCGCCACCGCAGTGTCTGTGAGGCCCTTTGCTGATCACACGCTGACTTTTTACTCCAGCTTCCTTCCAAGGTTGGTGATGCTGCATTTTTTTTACCCCCTACCCTCCGTCCTTCCTGCCCTCTTGCCTTTTTCTTCCTTCACCCTCTTTCCTTTTTTTTTGATCCGGTCGTTGCCTTTTTGTTTTTTTTAAAAAAAACCTGCTTCGAAGACCCGCCGCCTGCCTCGCCAACCCCCACCTTTCGAACCCGCCGTGAGCCGAAGACGGTTTTGCTCGTAGAAACGTGCCCGCTTTTTTGAACTCTCCTCGTGCCCGGAGCAGCGGGCCTTTGCCAACCTCCGAACTCTCTGCCAGCTAATTCTTTGCTTGCCCCGTGGTGTTGCTGCCTGCCGAACCTCTGACCCCCGTGTCGCCCAGATCTCTGCCGGGCTCCTGAGCCGGGGAGAGAGGTCTCCTTTTGCTTCTGCTGTATTCCTGGGTACCGTTCTGTTCTGTTTGTTGCCTTTGTACAATCGGTTAATGGAGCTTGTTCCTGTCGTGGCAACTCGTTTGCTTTTTCCCCTTATTTTTTTAAATGTCGATCATTAAATGGCTTTTACAGAACCTCTCGCGTCTCGTCGTGAAATTACACCCACCCCAATCCCCGCCGCCGCCCGACTTCGCCTCTGCCTTCGATTTCCTACACCCCACTTTCTGCATGGGGCGGGAGGGAATTGCCCATTCTTGCTGATCTCTACCGCATCCCCCCGTCCCCAAGTTTACTTCCTGCCTTCCCTCCCTCTGCTTTCCCTCAAGAGTGATCCTCTCTTTGGGCTCTGCCTCTCTCTTTGCCGCCACTAACTCCATCCGTCCGTCTGTCTCGACCGGAAAGTTAGGGAACCCTTGTCAAATCCGCAGCAAATTCTGGCTCCCGTCTGTAGGGCTGACTAACGCAGCCTGGGCTGGGCATCTTGCGGTTTTTTAACCCTGTTTTTTCTCCCTCCATTGACTTTCTCTTTTTGTGGACAGCTGCTTCTGGAAGGCGACCTCGGGCAGGCAGAGCTGACCCGAAGCGACTCAGCGCCACCAGCCAACCGAGAAGAAGGCGAAACCCCTGCAAGCGAACCTTCGGCCTCTTGCACTCGTAGCGTAGGCACTGGGAAGGAATGGGGTGTTTGGGCAGGGGTGAGCGAGGGGCCTGGAAAGAGGGGGGTTGTCTGGGTTAGGGTTCTACCGTAAGATGCTTTCCCCTCGCCTTCCTCCCCCCAGGCGGAAAGACCACTCAAGAGGAGGGTACGGGCGTGATCTGCCCCTGGGCTGGGGTGCCCGGTCTGGTTCTTTCTGCGGAGAGACAGCTGGGGTTGTCTGGGCTAGGAGAGACAGCCAGGCTCAGACACAGCCTTCCTGTCCTTGGGTTCCCATTTGCTCTGCCCAAAAGGGTTGGTTTTGTCTCTCTGAAAGGTAAGCAGAAGGACGGAGCCTCTGAGGTGTAAAGAAAATAGTCCCCTTGCTGCCTGGTCCCACTCGTTTGTTTTAGACCCCTCTTTGTCCTGCTGTCAGCTGACGGATCCCCCGACAGCAGAGCCAGATCTGAACTCGGGACCTCATGATGTGGGGAAGCCTGTGAGGTAAGCAAGCTCTTTCTCCACCCCACCCCCTGGCTGGGGCTGAGGGAGGGGTGGTCCTTTGCGGAGCCAAGAGGGGGGGAGAAGCTCTTGCAGGAGAAGCCTTCAGCTCCAAACTGCCCCCTCCACTCGCTTGTACGTGACCTTTCTTCGGTGTCCTCTGGGTGTGGCTTCTGGGGACCCTCAATCATCAGAAGCTGAGGCAAGAGACAGATGTCTGTGGAGCCCTTGGGGGACACCTCCATCCCCATCTCCTCACAAAGCAATACAGTCGTCTCTCGGAAGTCGAACAGAATCCATTCCGGGAGGTCCATTCAACTTCCAAAAAGTTCAGAAACCAAATCACAGCTTCTGATTGGCTGCCGGAAGCTCCTGCAGCCAATCGGAAGCCCCGCCGGACATTCGGGTTCCCAAAGAATGTAGGCAAACCGGAACAACCACTTTCCGGGTTTGCGGCATTCTGGAGCCAAAATGTCCAAGTTCCAGGGCATTCAACAACCAAGATCTGACCGTACTTGTGCCCCCGCCCCCTGCTTTCCCTCCTCCCCGGGTTCTCCCTTATCCTCCAAGTGGGGCCGTGAGCTTCACCCTTTGAGCTGTGGTATGGCAAGAGGTGAGTTTGCACCTCCCTGGCTTGGCTGGGGCTTGTAGGATGCAGAATCACAACCCGCCATGATTGTGTGGGTTTCACTTCCTGGCATGAACTCTTTTCTGTGCGACAATAAAAGCAGGTTGGCACAAGGACCCCCAAAGAGACGGCTTTTCATCCATGTGGCCCTCGCTCCCCAGCTCTGGCCACTTGGCACAGGATCGTGCTGGAGTTGGGATTCCAGCCGGCAGCGCCGCCTAATGGTCAGAGATCCCTGGAGTTGGCCAGGTATGGAGAGCTCCCACAGGTGCTTTGTGGGAAGGAAGAGGAAGCAGTGGACGAAGGGAAAGAAGCAGGAGTTTTCCCTAGTGGTTGCCGCTTCTGCTGCTGCACGGTCTTCCCACACGTAGGGGAATAAAGCGGATAGAGAACAGTTTTTATCCCTCCCTTGGAAGTCATGGGCATCCACAGAAGCTGGATGTTGGAAGATTGAGGGCAAGGTCCTTCACGCAGCACACAGTTAAACTGTGGAACTCCCTTCCACAGGAGGCAGTGATGACCACCAACTTGGATGGCTTTAAAAGGGAACTGGACAAATTCATAGAGGAGGAGGATGCTGCAATAAGCCATGATGGCCATGACCCTGCCTCCTGGGAGGCAGCAATGCTTCTGAATATCAGTTGCTGGAAACCACAGGAGGGGAGAATTGCTCTTGAATTCATGTCCTGCTTGGGAGTTTCCCAGTGGAGGCACCTGGCTGGCCACTGAGAACAGGATGCTGGACCAGATAGGCCCTCTTCGGCCCGATTCAGCAGGCTCTTACTCCATTCCTTAGGAGAAAATGCTTTTAATGCGTAACTCCCAGGGATTGCTAAAAGGAAGCTGCTGCAGCGTGCAAACCCAACCTGCCAGGGGGAGGGGCAGAGCGGAGGAGGCAGGTGAGCAGGGATTGGGTAGAGCAAGTGAGCTCCCTGCCGGCTATGTGAAAAGTGAGAAGCTTCCACAGCCGGTCTTCTCCATCCTCCAGACATCACCAGAGTTCAGGGATGCATCCCAGCCAAGAAATGAAACTTTGGAGCAGGGCTTAGGGATAAGCTTGAAGGTTAGATTGGGGCCTGGAGGGGCACTTTTGACTCCTAAGCTATTTGTAGGCCCTGGGGAGTGGGGCTTGAGACCTCATGGAGCACCAAGGAACATCACGAGTGCCTGAGAAATTAAAACAGCTTTTAAAAATGGTGACTTTGTGTTTTGCTTCCCTGTCCCCCATCCCCTGCTTCCGTTGACTGCTGGCCGTGAGAGGGGACACCCCCACAACCCCTCCGTGCCCCATGCTTCTTTGGCCTGAAACAACTCTCCCGTTTTCGAAGCCCAGCGGCTGAGAATTATCTGCACTCTTTATTATTACAGTGGTACCTCAGGTTACAGAGGCTTCAGGTTACAGACGCTTCAGGTTACAGACTCCGCTAACCCAGAAATAGTGCTTCAGGTTAAGAACTTTGCTTCAGGATAAGAACAGAAATCGGCTCTGGTGGCGCGGCAGCAGCAGGAGGCCCCATTAGCTAAAGTGGTGCTTCCAGTTAAGAACAGTTTCAGGTTAAGAACGGACCTCCGGAACGAATTAAGTACTTAACCTGAGGTACCACTGTATTGTGTTTATACTCCACCTTTTCCTCCAAGGAGCTCATCAAGATGGCATACATGGTTCTCCCCTTCCTCATTTAATCCCCACAACAACCCTGTGAGGGAGGTTCGGCTGAGAGGCAGTGAGCTGAGTGGCTGAGTGGAGGATTTGAACCCTAGTCTCCCAGGTCCTGGTCTGACACTCTTTAACCACAACACCACCGCCACCACTGGCTCTTGGGGGGGGGGGAATAGCTGTGTGTATGTTTTCAGGGGCAGGCAGTACCTGCTGGCTGGGGCTGATGGGAGTTGTAGTCTGAGGACATCTGGGGGGAGATAACAGGCTGCCCTAGCGCATGCCCCCCACCCCGCCATCATGTGTGCCAGATTTGAGGTGTGCCAGCAAGGAAGCACCCCAAGTACAGTCTGGAATGAGTTAAATCACTGGAGCATCACTCTAGTGACGCAGAAGGCCTATCAAGCCTTCTGCCTTGAAACTGAGAAGAAAGAAACATCAGTTTGGCCTGTCTTTTTGTGGCCTCCCTCCCCTCCCCCCCGCCCCCGCCCAGCTCCTGCAGGTTTGGACCCAAAGATGAATGCAGACCTCAGGCCAAAAAGATCAGCCCCCCGCCCTTATCTAGCCTTCCCGTTGTCAAATGCAGGAACCCTACCAAATTCCAGGTTCCCTACCATGGGACAAGAGCCCAGCATGGTGTGTTTGGGTGGGCAGGGGGAGTCCCAAAGCCTCGCAACACTTCTCCCCCACCCCCGAAATAACCCTTCTTTGGTATGTGAAGAGGTGGGGAAAAACTGCCTCCTAATATTTTAAAAGAGCTATAATTTATAGAGCATTTTTCACTCGATATGTCTGAAATTTGGAAGAGTGAATTTTATAATGTGCAGCCAGGGAGAATTACTGGAAGAACTACCTCTTGGCTTGGATTAAGCAGATCCATCCTTTCGATAGGCTAATTGCTGCTCTCTTCTTGAACATTTGTAAGAAATAGCTTACCGTAAAGATATTTTAAGGATGTGACCCTCTGCACATTTTGACTTTGGAGTCTACTGATGAACTCTGTGGACCTTGTTTCTAAGTAAACACGGATCCTATCAGTCTCTGTTGCCCCTCTTACCTACAGATTGTTACTGTTGTTAATTACTATGATTAATGTTAACATGTATGGCCCACTCTTCACTAGCAGGTCCCAGGGCAGGTTACAAGCGAAAATTCTGAATTAAAAACAGTTAAAACAGATGGCAATTGCAGGAGCAGGCTGGGCCCTGGAACACAAGGGCCCCTTCCCCCAATTTCAGCTATGCATTTTACAAAATGCAGAATAGTTAAAATGCACTTTTTCCTCTCTTGCATTAAAGTTCCCTAGGTGGGAAGAGAACCAAAAGCTGACCGAGTTCCTGGGCAGATTCAGGCTTCAGGACAGATTAAAAAAAAGAACTTACTCATGCAGCACATATCTGATATAAAGGAGGCAGTGATGGCTACCAACTTGGATGGCTTTAAAAGAAGATGAGACAGATTCATGGAGGAAAAGGCTATTGATGGCTACTAGCCAGGATGGCTCTGTTCTGGCTCCGGGAGGAGAGAGAGCTCTGGTGCTCAAGTCCTGCTTGCAGGTTTCCTCAAAGAAAACCACCCGTGCAGGTAATAGCTTATAAATCACTGCAATAAGATTTGTTCCAATGACATTGTTTGCGATAAAAACCAATTGTTTGGGCATCAGTGGGGAGGCTTGGTCAGTTGCCGACAGAAAAAGGATGCATAACTGAAAAAGCAAACAATGTGAAACAGATAAATACCGGAAATCTCTATAATTTATTGGAGAAGCGAGTTTTGTACAGGGTGAGTCTTTTAAAAGAGGCCCTGTGGAACATGTGTACTCTGTATCCACAGGGCCTCTTTTAAAGGACTCTCCCTGTGAAAATGACAAGGAAAAGTTTTATTCATTGAGAAGCAAGTTTTAAAATGTGGAAAGCTCCTGAGGGATCAAATTTTGTTGGTACAAATCTTATTGCTGTAATTTATAAGCTGCTGCCTGCATGGGTTGTTTTCTCTTTCCCCCCAAACTGACACATGCAGTTCCTGAGTTTGATGGAGGTTTCCTAGAAGAGGCACCAGGTTGGCCACTCTGAGAAAAGAATGATGGACAAGGGAGGCCCTCGGCCTGATCCAGCAGGTTCTACGGTCGTCCAGGCGCAGTGGGAATAAACCAAGACACACGGGTGGAAAGGAGATTTACAAACATGTATTGTTTTTACAGTGCGGCCTGAGTTCCCAACGAAAGTGAGGCAGGGTTCGGGTGAAGTCAAGGGGCTGGATCTGTTCCGGGCAGCTTATGCCAGAGTGAGGCTGTGGGTCAGCGAGGAAGCAAATGGCCATTCTGCTCCCAAGCTGACGCACGGCCACTGCGGGTGGAGTGCGGGGTTTGGAAGCCCCACTCACAGCTGTAGATGCTTCAGGTGCAGCTGGAAGATTTCCTCGGCCCTCTGGAGGTACTCTGCTGTCTTCTTCTTCACGGCCTCCCTGCGAGCTGCGTCAGGGTCCCCTGAAAGAAGGGAGGAGCAGGTCTTGGCTGATGGCTACAACCCTCCTGGCAACAAAAGGGTGGGAGGGCGGTGGCTTAGCAGTTAGAGCAATCTGCCTTGCATGCAGAAGGCCCAAAGCCCAACAAAGACGAGTAAGAGGACAGGTGAAATTAAGTACGTGGTTAAACCTCTGGAACTCATGCCTTTAGCAGGCAGTGATGGCTAGGGCTGGGCGACATCTGGTTTTCATCATCGCGATATATCACTGGCTAAGCATCGCAATATACCAATATATCACGATGTCTGAAATAAGGTTGGAGCTATGTAGAGGCATTGGGTGTCTTTACCGCATTGTGATATTTGCATCGCGTGCCCACACGTGATTCACGATAAATTGGCAGGTCAAAAATTATGAAACCATTCTCTCCCCCCCCCCCACCCCCAATTTTGAGGTTTCTTCTTGCAATCAACCAGTATATAAATCTTTTGAAATAAATAAATAAAAGAGATTAAAGTGAGGGGGGGCAGGATCCCCTCAGAGACCTTGAAAAGGCAAAGTTTACAGCCACGTTTACTTGGAAGCAAGCCTCAGCGAGTTGAAACGGGCTAACTTCCTAGAAGCCACATGGACTTGTGGCTCTGACTCTCGGAGACCAATTCCCAGGCCCTCCACATGGGGAGGTGCCCAGAGGAGGGGAGCTGGAACATAGTTTGGGGACCAGGCATCGCCCGTTACCTTGCAGTCCCTGCAGCAAGAGGTCAACACCGCTGCGGTAGCCACAGAAAGCCGCCTTGTAGTCCTTGGCAGCTTCACTCTCCAAGGCCTGCCTGATGCGCTCTGTGGCCAACGGCAGGTAACTGCCTGGGTCCGATGCAGCAGCTCCTTCCTGGGCTACCTGGCCCGCTCCTGCGCTGGGGACAGAAAGCGCTGGTCCATGTCCTGAGGCAGCGAGAGCGGCCAGCTCTTCCTCGTGGGAGAGGCTGGCTGCACCGGGGTCTGGACAGAACAAAGAAAAATGTTATTTATCTATTAACTTACAAAAATATTTGCACACCACTGCAGTTTTTTAAACAAAGAAAAAATTACAACAGCTTATGGCAATAAAAACAAAACCGTACAATGAAACTATTAAAAAGTTAAAAACAGACCTCAATGAACCATTGCAGAACGATGCACTTTTAATTGCCTACACAGATATGGCGGAATAGAAAAGTCTCCAGCAGGCATTTAAAAGTTGGCACAAAAGGCGCCTGCTGAATCTGTAGGGGCAGAGAGTTCCACAGGACCAGGCCAACAACACTGAAGGCTTCAGGTTCTTCTTGTTGTCAAATGAGCCTTGGCAGCTCTGGGAATGACCAGCGACATTCCTGCAGATGACCTTAGTGGTCAAAGTGAAATACCCTGGACCAAAGTTGTTTTGTAAATTAATAAAAGGGCCTTGAACCTGGCTCAGCTGTTTTAACAAGGCTGTCACATGTTCTTGGTCAGATGCTCCCATCAGCAGTCTAGTTGCTGCATTCTGCACCAGCTGAAGCGTTTGAACTAGGCCCAAGGGCAGCCCCACACAAAGCACATTGCAGTAGTCCAGCTTCACAGACTACAGTGGTCAGGCTATCCCTGACCAGGAACGGCCATAGCTAGCAAACCAAGGAGGAGGATTTGGCCCCTAAGATGTAACCAGGAGTACCCTGCAAGCCATATGCTTGCTCCATCCAGAATACTTTCCACTGCCAAACATCGTGGCAACAGTACAGAAAAACTAAAAGTAAAATCCCAACAATGCAATGCAGCTTGCTGTTCATCTTCCTGGAACCGGTCAGTGTTCAGAAGTGGGGAGGGACCCTGCAACTTGGCTACCTATATCCTACATGGTCCAGGGCCCCCCCCTCCCCGCCACTTGGCGTTTGAGCCCACCTACCTTCCTTTGAGAAGGGATCAAACAGGGCTAACTCCTGGAGCGACAAGGGGCCGCGGGAGGGCGACCCCAGACCCTTCTCGCCTTCCTCCTCCTCTTCGTCGCCGCCAAAGGCAAAGAGAGCATCCAAGGCCTCGTCGTCACACTTCTCGGGCGAGGAGGGCCTCCCTGTGGAGGGGACACTGATCAGTGCAAGACATCGATAAGCCCCAACCCAGAAAACGCCTAGAGCAGGGGTCAGCAAACGTTTTCAGCAGGGGGCCGGTCCCCTGTCCCTCAGACCTTGTGGGGGGCTGGATTATATATATATATTTAAAAAGAACCAATTCCTATGCTCCACAAATAACCCAGAGATGCATTTTAAATAAAAGGACACATTCTACTCATGTAAAAACACACTGATTCCTGATTTAGAAGGTGATTGGGCCGGATCCAGGCCCCGGGCCTTAGTTTGCCTACCCATGGCCTAGAGCAGGGGTCTGCAACCCGCGGCTCTGGAGCCGCATGTGGCTCTTTTACACCTTTGCCGTGGCTCCGGGGCGGATACTAGCGAGGGGAGGAGGCGCATTGTGCGCCCCGACACTCCCCACTGTGGCGGGCACTGTACTGGCTGTGACGTCGCATGGGGGCGGTGCGTGCGTTAGTCACGCACCGTCCCGACATCACCTTCCCGCCCGCTGTCAGATCGGAGGGCAGCGGCGCGCATGCTTTAAATGTCGCAATGGTTTTGCAGCTCCCAGGTTTTTTTTTCTTCGGAAACGGGTCCAAGTGGCTCTTTTTGTCTTAAAGGTTGCAGACCCCTGGCCTAGAGTGACAAGGCTTTGCAATGGCCCAATCAGCACTCGGACTCAAATGGGCTACAGAGGTGGTCCTGGCCAGACTGGCGGAAGGAATGGCGCACTCTGGACGTGCACAGGGCCTTTAGGATCTTCCACAGGTGCACAGAGAAAGTGTGCCAGTCAGAGGTCAGATTGTTTCCCCTCCTATCCAGTTCCAAGAGGCAAAAGCCCCCCGCCCCCGCGTCATTGTAACGACTCACCTTCATGAGTCCTTACAAGCTAAGCCTTAGCAGAGGCTTCCTTTGGCAGGTGAACACCATAAAAGGTATAGCCTGCAGCGGCCCACATCCAATCTGGAAACTGCTGAGATAATTCCCATATCGGCTGCATTACAGCAGTCCAGGCAGGAGGTCACTAGAGTGTGGACAGCTGGGGCCAGGATGTCCTGATCTAGGACTGGCCACAAATCTGGCTCAGCTGGGTATCGTCAGGGAATGGGCTCAAGAGGGCGAGATGGATCATTGCCCCCCACCCCCTTTATGACACTGCAGGAGAAGGCGGCTGTAGCATTGATTTATAGCAGGGGTTTGAGGAAAGTCACAGCTCAGATGAACAGAAGAGTTGGGAAGGGCTAGAAGAAGGGGGGTGGGAATTGTGGCAGGGCAGCCAGGTGACGCGTTGTCATCGGAGGGTATTTCCGATTTCCCTTCTCCCAGAACTCGTCAGGGTTCGTTAAGAGTGCAGGAACAAAGGAATCAAAGACGTTTGACCACAAGTGGACACCGTAAAGGGAGATGCTGTTGCTAGGGAGGAGGGAGGAGGAGCCCAGTTTGGAGCAACACCATTGTTAAGGCTTGCTGCGTTCTTTTGTCTCTCACTACAGTGGTACCATGGGATGCGGGTGGCCTAGGACTTGCCGATCAGAAGGTCGGCGGTTCGAATCCCCGCAACAGGGTGAGCTCCCGTTGCTCGGTCCCTGCTCCTCCCAACCTAGCAGTTCGAAAGCGCATCAAAGTGCAAGTAGATAAGTAGGTACTGCTCCGTCAGGAAGGTAAACGGCGTTTCCGTGCGCTGCTCTGGTTCGCCAGAAGTGGCTTAGTCATGCTGGCCACATGACCCGGAAGCTGTACGCCGGCTCCCTTGGCTAATAAAGCAAGATGAGCGCCGCTACTCCAGAGTCGGTCACGACTGGACCTAATGATCAGGGGTCCCTTTACGTTTTTACAGTGGTACCTCGGGTTAAGTACTTAATTCGTTCCGGAGGTCCGTTCTAAATCTGAAACTGTTCTTAACCTGAAGCACCACTTTAGTTAATGGGGCCTCCTGCTGCTGCCACGCCGCCGGAGCACAATTTCTGTTCTCATCCTGAAGCAAATTTCTTAACCCGAGGTACTATTTCTGGATTAGCGGAGTCTGTAACCTGAAGCGTATGTAACCCGAGGTACCACTGTATTATGATTGAATAAAATCATTAAAAAGGACCCTACCTTGTTCCTTCTGCTCTTGCTGCAACAGGGGGAGGAATAGCTTTTCCGAAGCCTTGACAGGTATAGGCGCTCCTGGTTGCAAAAGCCACTTGGGAGTCCAGGGACAATTTGGAATCTAGGAGTATCCCCCGGGTGACCAACCTGGCCCTTCAGGGGGAGTACAACCCCTCCCAGGAAATACTCCTAATTCCTGGACACCGGAACAGCCAAGCCACGACGTTTCTATCCTTAAAGGTTTCAGCCTTGGTTTATTGGTCCCCATCACTGCCAGCAGACACCTGCCCAGCCTCTCCTCCTTCTGATGGTATGGAGAGATACAGGTGTTTGCCACCAGCATACCTGCTCCCAATCCCCAGGTGACAGCTCCCAAGGGTTTCATACAGGTGTTAAATAGTGTGGGAGACAGGCCATGGAGCTGGGTCACCATCTCCTACTTTCTGGCAGTGGCCCTGTAGGTAGGGACAGAACCTCTATGCAAGGCAGCACCCTCCATCTCCCACCTGCCCAGGTCACTCCAGAAGGACACCAGTGTGAGCCAGTGTGGTGTAGTGGTTAAGAGCGGTAGATTTGTAATCTGGGGAATCGGGTTCACGTCTCTGCTCCTCCACATGCAGCTGCTGGGTGACCTTGGGCTAGTCACACTTCTTTGAAGTCTCTCAGCCCCACTCACCTCACAGAGTGTTTGTTGTGGAGGAGGAAGGGAAAGGAGAATGTTAGCTGCTTTGAGACTCCTTCAGGTAGTGATAAAGCGGGATATCAAATCCAAACCAGTGGTGTCAAAAGCCACTGAGAGGTCAAGGAGGACCACCAGGGCCACACGTCCCCTGCCTTCCTTACGTTAAAAATCTTATTCAAATCTCCAGCCAGACCCACTTTTGCCATCGGTGAAATGTGGCCCCTGGAAGGTTGTGGCCCTCAGGCTAGTAATAGGTTCAGCTGTTTTAAATCCACCAGCACCCCATCATTGCAAGGGCTCCCACTGCTCCCTCTACGGGTGAGGAGAGGGAGAAGGAACAGGAAAAGAAGAAGAAATGTCTCCTAGTTGTCCTACCCATCTCTTCTCTCCAAAAATACCCTTATCATGGTCTCTGTTCAAGTAAGGAAAAAAATTAAATACCGCGCCTGAGCATGTGCAGAGTGCCTTTCTCTCCATGAGGAAAACAAAACGCAAACCAGATCCACAACTTGTCTTGTCTTATGCCCGAAGCTCTAGAAGGCTGTACCTTCCTCCTCCGTTCGGGGCTGCAGGGCACCACACTCCTCGCTCGCTGCCTCCGGAGCAACATCAGGGTTCTGCTGCTCCAAATCCAGGCCCCCCTGTGTGGAGTCCAGGAGCACCTGCTCATCCACAGATCCCAGAGCATCCTCCGCTGGCTCCACTCCTTCCGAGGATGGCGGCACTGGGATCAGAGGGGGAGGCAGAGAGGGCAGGTCGCGGGTCTCCAGAGGTCTCCTCCCCTCCCCACTCTGCAAGACAGAAGCAGCAGAGAGTGGGTCCAATGGTCGGTTGGGCGGGGGGCGGGGGTTCCTTTATTTGAGGACCAGGGCAAAACTTCAGGCAAGGACCCAGTCCAACCAAGGAGGGAGCCAGGAACACAACTCCAAAGATGGCTTTAGCGTTTTTGGAGTGGTAGTGGCAGTGGGCAGGGAGACCACTTGGAAATTGCTGTGGGGGTGTGGGGGGGGGTCTTGGTGGGCCCATTAACTATGTGTTTCCTTATTCACACAGCACAGAGTTAAACTACGGAACTCCCTCCCACAGGAGGCAGAGATGGCCACCAACCTGAAGCACCTTGGGGGGAAAAGGTGGGATATAAATAAATAGATGCAATAAATAAATAAAACCTGCCCAGCCAAAAATACCCGAAAGAACTCCTTCAGCTGAGGGCTGTTGTTCAAGGCTGGGATGTCCACAGTGAAGCGTAGCATGACCTCAGCCGCTTTCCGCCGCTCCTCAATCACCTCAGGCTCAAATCGGCCTGCAAAGAAGAGGAACAGATTCAAATCCTGTGTGTGAGGGGATCAGAGAACACACACACACTGCTCTGCTCTCGTGTACTAGCGACAACGACCCTGAAGCAATGCACAAGAGGCCTCTGTTTTTCCGGCCTAGCAAAAATTCACCAGAACCCAAAGCTTTCAGCTGCAGACCCTCAAAAATGGAATCTGGTGGGGCTGAACGATGGGAGATTTGGGGCAGACAACATGAGGCACACCTTCACATAGTTTAGCTGTGAAATTTGCTACCACAAGATATTGTGATTGCCCCCCCCCAATTTAAATGGTTTTTAAAAGAAGATTACTGGGAATCACAAGTTCAGGTCCTAGACTGGGGCAACCCAGTCAGAAGCATAAAGTACAAGTAATTTATTATTATCCTCATCATTATTATTTTAGCCTCTGGAGCAGCAGGAAGAAAGCTTCCATGTTACAGCCATTTAGTCACCTTCAAATATCTGAAGGGCTGGCACATGGAAGATGGAGCAAGCTTTTTTTTCTGCTTCTCCAGAGCGGAGGACCCGAACCAATGGATTAAAATGGCAAGAAAAAAGGAGACCCCGGCTAAATTAAACATTAGGAAGAACTTTCCGAGGGTAGGAGCTGTTTTGACAGTGGAACGGACGCCCTCAGAAGGTGGTGAGTTCTCCTTCAGTGGAGGTTTTTAAAGTGAGGTCGGGCAGCCATTTGTCAGAGATTCTTTAGCTGGGATTCCTGCATTGCAGGGGGTTGGACAAGATGACACGGGGGAGGGGGGGTCCCTTCCAATTCCATGTTTCCAATTCCATGTTTTGCTCAGTTCCTGCTCAGCGGCTTCCCAGAAGGGGTGTCTGGCTGCCCCTATGGGGACGGGATGTCAGATCAGATGTGGCCCCCCCTTTTGGCTCGACCCAGCAGCTGCCCATCTCCCACCCAGCCGGAGACCCTCACCAAAGACGTGAGCCTTGGGGAAGGGGGGGAAATCCTCCAGTCGACGGAAGAGGTTGCGATGCGTGTACGCCAGGTCCCCGTGCAGCTTCTTGAAGTCACTGTACCGTTTCCAGACCACGATCTGTAGGAAGAGGCATGAGGACCATGCTTGGAGTGCCCTTTCTCCTGTGGAAGATCTACAAAGCTGCCTCAGAGTCAGACCAATGGCCCACTTACTGCAGCTAAATACTGCCCACACAGTACTGCCCACAGAGAGCCAGTGTGGTGTAGTGGCTAGGAGCGGTAGACTCATAATCTGGGTTCGCGTCTCCGCTCCTCCACATTCAGCTGCTGGGTGACCTTGGGCCAGTCACACTTCTCTGAAGTCTCTCAGCCCCACTCACCTCACAGAGTGTTTGTTGTGGGGGAGGAAGGGAAAGGAGAATGTTAGCCGCTCTGCTTTGAGACTCCTTCAGGTAGTGATAAAGCAGGATATCAAATCCAAACTCTTCTTCTTCACACCATTAGTTCCCAAACCTTATGGGTCCCACAAACTCCTCCCCAGTGCTCGCTACCGTATCCATCAGAAAGCACTGCTCAGAATAGCACTTTGCATGACCCACTGAGGACAAAATCCCAAATGGCAACTGTTAATTCACATTTGTTCGAAATCCAGTTAAACATCACTTTCGTTTAATTAACTCAACAGAACCGAGGAACATGACCCAAGTCTGGGAGATACCGGTATGTGCACCACCAGCACTCCAGCCTCTTAGCAGCACCCTAGGTAATCCCATTGTCCCCGGGTACCACCTGCTTTATGAAACTGTCTTGAGCTCCTTGGAGGCATGACAGGGTAGAAACAAAATGGATAACATTTCTGAAGCGGCTGGCAAGGCCCACACTCCCACCCCACCTGGGTCACCCAGCAAGGACCTACCTCCTTGACATCTTCTGGGTTCACCTTTGAGACAAACTGGAAAGGGGACAAAAAGTGAGATTTTGAGCATGAGCAAGGAATTTCCAGCCAGCAAGGGGTGTGTGTGTGTGTGTGTGTGTGTTGGAGGGGGCACGTTCTTTTCCTCCTGCACCAAGGAAGGTGGGGTTTCCTTGGGGCATCTTCCTTGGGGTGGAGTGTGCCCTGCGATCTCTATGGTCTCCAAAAAACTGGCAGAAAATATTTTTAAAAGATAAACCAACCAGGCATATAGGGAAGAAAAAGCCTCGCTGAAGCAGAGCCAGCATGGCTTTCGCCAGAGTAAGACCTGTTTCACGCACCTATTGGGAGTTATTTGAGAGGGACAACAAGCATCTCGATTCATCTGTATTTGACATAGTTATTTGGGGCTTTCGAAAGGTACCTCACCTGATAAGGTACCTCACCAAAGACTCCTGAGTAAGCTTAGCAGTCAAGGAATAAGAGGCTCGAATCCTGCTTGCAGGTTTGTCTCTGTGGCAACTGGTTGGCCACTGTGAGAACAGGATGCTGGCCAGATGGGCCCGCCGTGGCCTGATCCAGAAAGCTCTTCTCAGGTTCTCCCAACAGACTCCCCCTACCCCCTGTTTTAAGGGTCTCCAGTATCCAAAGCTCTCTGCCATTCCTGAGACACAGCTGAACCCCCAAGGGCGGAGCAGAGAGCAGGGTGTGGGTACAAATGCCAGAGCTGAGGCCCACTCTGGGCCAGAAGGCGGTCCTTATTATTTCCAGGTTAAGGAGAGAGGATGGGAGCTGTTATCCTACCGGGATGTACTCAAGAGTTCAATGAAACTTACAGGGATGCATGCAGGATTGCAGCCATGTAGCCTGCAATAGTGCTACCTTATACCAGGTCAGACCAACTCAGTACTGCCGACGCTGACTGGCAGCGGCGGCAGCAGCAGCAGCAGCAGCAGCTCTTTGGGATTTCAGGCCAGCAGGCAGGGCTCTCTCCCAGACCTACCTGGAGCTGCCCCTGCAGCTCGAACCTGGGATGCTCTGCTTGCAAGGCGGCCGCTTTTTCACCACGCTACGGCCCTTCCTGTGTGTCTACTCGGACGTAAGCCCCACTGAGCTCAGCTGGGTTTACTTCCAGGTAAAAGCAAGAGGGGAGAACCAGAAGCCTCTGCAAGGAAAGGAAGCCCACCCTAAGCTGGAAGCCACCGCCCCTTTGCCCGAGCCTGCTCTGAGCTTCCACTCTGCACATGCACAGAGGCTCGACGTCCAGCGAACAGGTGCAGCGGATTCAAATCCCTCCAGGTGAGCATCTAGGCGGCTCCCCAGGTACGGGGTCCCCCCCTCCCTGCAGCAGCCCCTTCCTCACCTTGGCAGTCACTTTGTACTCGGTGTAGCCCTTGGGGTGGCTGCGGTGCTCGGTCACCGTGTAGTGCCGCTGGTACTCCTCCTTCACCCGGCGGGACATCCTGCCGCCCCTCCGGGCGCTGCGGCCCCTTTAAATCCAGGACCGCCGGGCTGGGCGGCTCCTGCCCTCCTTTCCCTCTGGCGCCCAGACTCCCCCAGTAGTGCGCATGCGCGGCCCGTTGGCCGCTCCCATTGCCCAATACTCCAGGGACGAGGGAGCGTCTTCCAAGTGCAAGCCCAGGGAGCACGCGTCAGGGCTCCTCTGCAAAGTGCCTGACGCGCATTGCGTCCTGCTGCAAGGCTAAGGGAGCAGAATAGGGTGGGGCTCGCTGGGCCTGCGGAGTTTATGCTGGACACGTTTTGCATAGTAAGCCTGGAGTGGGCAGTCAATCCGGCGAGAAGAAAGCTCCATCTGTCTTTCCAAGGGGACCACGTTTTCAGGAGGGTGGGGCGCCTGAAGTTTAAGGAGGACCGGCTTAGGTTGCTTCTTTAGTGAGAAATAGAGGAGTGGGGATTTTTTTCCTGCAAAAATCTGAATATTAAAAATACTTTTTCTTCCTCATCAATGAAATATGGGCTAGCAGAGGTGTGTGTGTCCGTCCGTCCCCCACTCCCCTATTCTTTCCTTTGCCTTTTTTGTCATTCCCCTGGATTTCCAGACCATCCCTCCCTCTCTTCTCACATTCATCTCCCTTGTTGCTGCCCTGTCATTTACTCTCTTATTTTTATTTACTTGCTATTTAACAAAATGTCATATACCACTCATAGTAAACCTCTCTAAACGGTATACAATAAATATCAATAATAGTAGTTTAATACACTTAAAAATAATCAAAAGCAACATGTCAGCATCTAGATATCTGGATGGGCCCCTAAAATAGGGAGTAGGGTGTGGGCGCAAGGTGGGAGAACCTGAGATAGGCTTGCCTAAATTAAAACGTTTTCAGCCTGCACCCAAAAAGAGAACAGTGAAGACACTTGCTTGCCTGATGTCCGTAGGCAGGAAAATGTAAGCTGCTGCACTAAGTCTGATAGTTTGCAATTGTTTTTGTTGTTGCTGTTGTTAAAAAATGTTCCAGGGTGCAGCAGTGGTTTCAGGTTGAGGGGGGAAAGCTCACAACAGTCTTTGGCAACCATAGGGTGAAAAGGCGGCTCACTGCTACTAGTACCAATCTACTCTTGCTCTGCCTGACATTTTTGTGAGGAATGCCCTTTGCCTTTTGTGGAGGTAAAATTATGCATTTGTTTTTTAGTATTTGGGGGGAAATAGTTAAGGTTCCTCACAGGGTTGTTGCACGGGTTAAATGAGTTTTGGGAGAACCGTGCATTTGCCACCTTGAGCTTCTTGGATAATAAATTAATAATAATGAACGTCTGGAGGGCACCACACTGGCGACCTGTGAGAAGACAACCTCGGCAGTTAGATTTCCTCCAGCACAAGCCCGAGGAGATCTCCTTGCCCACACAAGGCAGAGGAATCCCCAGCCATCCATGCCGGGACGAAGACAACCAGCCAGGCTGCTCCAGGGCCTAGGAACCCATCCAATGTGCCAGTCCTGAGAGCCACAACAACAGCTTTATTAGCATGTTCTTAATATAACATGATCCTGTACAGAGAACTGGGGTGTTGGGGAGACCCCGAACATACACCTTCATTGTCCTTCCGCAGGCGGGGCCTGGCTCATGGCCTAGGACAGAAACAAGAGGGGCGCCCCACTCTTGCCCAACATAGCCGAGCAGCCTTCTCAATGAGGGCTGCACCCAGGAAAGGCCCTTAAAACGCCCAGCAGGGGAAAACAGTTCCAGGTTATTAAGCCACGCAAAGCAGGTGAGCTGGAGGTGTTTGCGCCCGTTTCCCCCTTCCTCCTCTCAGTCCGCAGTAAATATCCGGCTGGATATATCGTCCAGCAGCCAATCGATACCCACAAGCAGGTTCTCCCCAGTGTAGGCGCTGCAGCCTTGAATGCACCAGTGGTGGCTGTGGATGCTGTCGAGGTCGAGAGCCTGGAAAGAGGCAGAAAGATTGGGGGGGGTGAGGGCCACGGATCTGGCAAGCTCAAAGGGAAAGCCTGCAAGTGGGCCTTGAAACCAGGCTCACCTGAAGAGATGGTGGGTAGCACCCAGAAAGGCTACAGGCCGGGCAGGACAGCCTTTGTAAAGCAGGCTCCTTCCAGATGTTTGGGACTACAACTCCCATCAGCCCTGCGCTGGCTAGGGCTGATGTGCTTCCCGACTTCTCCAATTCCAAAAAATACAGACGTCCGTAATTTTAAGCATTCTTGACTCATCATGGCTTATTTTACTCTCTTATTTTAAAAGGCACAATTTGTGTGGGTGAAAATTGTGTTGTGTCCATGCTGTGGTCGTCTAGATCAGGCATCCCCAACCTGCAGCCCTCCAGATGTTTTGGCCTACAACTCCCATGATCCCTAGCTAACAGGACCAGTGGTCAGGGATGATGGGAATTGTAGTCCAAAACATCTGGAGGGCCGAAGGTTGGGGATGCCTGGTCTAGATAATGCTATGCCATATCCAATGTTTATGGTCTGCTGGCCAAATAAACTGAGCTGAAATTAACTTCCTCAAAACCATAAGAGGCACCCTGCCGTCCTTGGTTTGCCCGGTACCCAAAGCCACCCCATCTGCTCCCGCCAGGACTGCTAGTGATCCTCACCTCCTGGATGGCGCTGGAGCTCAGGGCCCCAGGCAGGTCCTGCTTGTTGGCAAAGATGAGCAAGGTGGCCCCCGCCAGGCGCTGTTGAGGCAGAAACAAAGATGTGACATAGGAAGGAGGGAAGCTTATCCCAAGTCGTCCGATTGGTCCACCAAGCTCGGTATGGTCCACACTGGCTGGCAGAGGCTCTCCAGGGTTCTTCTTGGAGATGCCAGTGGGAAACGAACCCGGGGCCTTCTGCGTACAAGGCAAGTGCTCTGCCACTGACCTATGACCCTAAAAACAAACTAAGATTCTGCAAGCAGAGTGTGCATTGCCTACCATGAGCTATGGTCCTTGTGATTCTGAATAAAGGGCTGATTTAAAGAGGGACACAGGAAGGGGCTTTACTCCAAGTCAGGCCAATGGGCCAGCTAGCCAGTATCGTCTACTCTATGCCAGCCATTTTTGACTACAACTCCCAGTGATCACTGGGGCTGATGGGAGGGCTTGGGGAAGATTGGCCCACCATGACAGGAAGTGGGCAGTGCTTTTTTCTGGGGGGACGCAGGGGTAGCATACTCCCAAACATTTTGTGAATCTACGTTTGGCCTCATTGAGGGGCCATATTTCAATATGAGTAGGAAAATGAGAGTACCCCTAAACATTTTTTAAGGGGAAAAAGCACTGGAAGTGGGTCTCCAGAGTTTTACTGTTATTATTTTATTAATCACCTTTCATTAGGGCTGGGCGAAATACCGTCCAAAACCGGTTTGAAGTTCATATCGTCATATTGGGTTTCATAACTTTTGACCTGGCAATATATTACGAATCATGATATGTGTGTGTGTTCTGCAAAAAACACAATGTGGGAAAAACTGCGAAGCCAGCCAATGCTTCTCCATAGCTCCATCCTTATTTCAGACACTGTGATATATCGGTAGTATCCCGATGTTTAGCTGGTGATATATTGTGATGTTGAAAACCAGGTATCACCCAGGCCTACCCTTCACCTTAAGATGCCTGAGCAGGTCGCAACATTAAAATGCAACCTTAAATACAATTTAAAGCAGATTGCAAACGTAAGAAAAAGGTGTATCCTAAAAATATACACCTCAGGTGTCAAAGGCCAGAGTAAAGAAATGTGTCTTCGGCATTCTCCAAAGCTGTTTAATGAAGGTGGCAGGCGCACCTCTGTGGGGAGGGAGTTCCCCACAGCTTAGGGGCCGCCACAAAGAAGGCCCTCCTCCAGGCTGCCACCCCAACTGAGGCTCTGGGGGTTGAGGAGCTACCAATGGGACCCCCCTCTGCCAATATCAGCACCCGAGAGGGTCTGTGGGGAAGGAGGCAACCTTTCAGATCTTTGGGGCCTAATAACAACTTGGGCACCTTGAATCAGACACAGTAACAAACAGGCATTTTAAGCAGGGGTCTCCACCTGGAGACTGAAGCGGAGAGCTCTTGCATGCCAAGCAAGTGTCCTACCACACAGCGTCAAATCCCCCTCCCCGGTTAACCCTTGCAGCACCAAGGCCAGGCAGAGCTCAAGGTCTACTCTGTCCTCTGCTGCAGAGCAGGTAGGCACTCCCAGCCCCCCTGGGCTCCTACCTCCTCCACCAGAAGGCTCTGGAGTTCCCTCTTGCAGTCATCTAGGCGCTGGCGGTCAGCGCTGTCCACCACCCAGATGAGGCCATCGGTGCTCTCAAAGTAGTTCCGCCAGTAGGAGCGCAGGGATTTCTGCCCCCCAACGTCCCAGATGTTCAGCTTGAACCTGCAAAGAGGAGACCCACAGGCAGGTGACAAAGGGGTGGAGGAAATGGGGAGGGGGGTTTCTAGGCCAGCAATGAAGGAGAAAGGGAGGGAGGAATGCAGAGAGGAGCCCCTTCCTCCAGTCACAGCAGCACCCTGGCAGCTATGGGGAAAGGGGATGGGATGGAGCCCCTCACCCGCGGTGCTCCAAGGTCTTGATGTTGAAGCCCAGCGTGGGAGAGATGGTGTCGATCTCATCCCCGTTGAACTTCTTCAGAATCGTAGTCTTTCCGGCATTGTCCAGGCCACTGACATAGGGAGGTGAGTTAAAGGGACACAATTGCAAGAGAGGAGGAGGTGGCAGCCTGCTGCATACACACCCTCAATTCCCTTCAGGTTTCTTCAGGGAACCTCAAAGCAAGGGCAAAGCCTGCTGCTCAGTGGCAGACAGAGTGTGCTTTGCATGCAAAACACCCCAGGTTCAGTCCTTGCTGGCACCTCCAGGTAGGGCCTGGAACCCTAGAGAGCCGCTGCTGCCAGCCAGTGTAGGCAATACTGAGATAGATGTGCCAACGGTCTGACTGGGTATAAGGCAGCTTCCCGTCTTCCTATGCAGTCTGCTAGGAAACTGCTGGCTCTCGCCATATACCCTGCGGGATGCGTGGACGCGCGGGTTCGGTTTGCACGGGCTCTGAGAGGCAAAGGCACTCTGCACACGCACAGAGGCGCCCTTTGCCACTTAGGTTCAGAAGACCCTGAGGATGCAGCTTAGAAATGCTGCCTGGTCCCCAGCCCTGGCCCTGCTCAACGCCTCGGAGCAAAAGGAGGTGGCGGAGGAATGCGAAGCCCCGCGTGGACCCTCGCCCGGCCCCGCCACCCCTTCCCCTCTCCCTTCGCCCCTCTGCCCCGCGCGGAAGGATACAGCATCAGCAGCCGCAGCTCCCGCTCCTTCTGCTTCATCTTCTTCAGGATGCTGAGCAGCCCCATCTCCCTCTCGCGCCGGCGGAAGGAGCCGCCCCGCCCACGCAGGAATGCCAGGGGCTTTTGGGACCAAAGAGGTACAAACAGAAAAGAGGCTTTTGTACAATTCGGGCTTCCGACCGCCGCTCTATCAAGACCGCCATATGCGGGGCATCCTAGAGGGGTCTTCTCCCAACCATCTCCTTTCTTTTTTAATCTATTGGAATAAGGAATATTGCAATAAGGAAGCACAGCTGCTAGAGGTTTGAATGGTAAAGTCGGGAGGAACCCAAGCAGTCATCTAATCCAACCCCCAGCCCGCAATGCGCTTCGATACAGCGCTTTGAAATAATCCGAAGAAAATACTTTTGCTCAATGAACTTGTCCGCTTCTCCATTTGACTTTTGGGCGGGGATTATGAAAGAGATTTCTTTGAACTTATGAATGTCTGCTCAGAAAAGCCCAATAGAGTTCAGTGGGGCGTCCTCCCAGGTAAGTGCGTATATTAGCATCACTGCATTGCAGCCTTCGGACACTTTGCTGGTCTAGGAGTTACTTCTGAGCAGACCATGTGCTAAGATTCCGCGAAAAGTCCCTATTCGTTGATCTTCTCGTGCAAACGGGAACCCGAAGTCGAGATAGTGGGAGATTCTCCGACTGCGCTGCGCCACTTCCCTCTCCATTGCTTCTTATTCGCCAGGACACGCCCCTTCCCTATCCTGCCCAATGGAAAGGAAGACCAGCTGCCTGGTCGATGGCGAAAAAACTCGTAACTTGAAGACTGACATATAGGGCCGGAAAACGGATTCAATATAATTTCTCTCTCTCTCCCCCCCCCACTTTGGAAAGCTGGCCATGGAAAGAAAAAAGTCACGGTTTCCCCCACCCCCTAAATTCAGGTCCTAAACTGAAGGGTCCTTCTGAAGGAAAGACGAGATAACAGAAAGAGGCATATAAGCACCATTTTATGAATGAATGAATGAATGAATGGAATGAATGAACAATGTGATGTATTTTAAAAAAACGCTTCTGGCTATTTTAGAAGAGCAACGTGGCAAATCAGCGGCTGAGCGCTGGATCTGGGCCGAGGGAGTCGAAAAGGCAAAATGTTTATTAATTTTTACTGCAACCTGAGAGGTATTTTCTGTTGAGAGGTTGGCTGGAAATCCACACCAGCCTCGACCCCACTTCTGACCTGGACTGCACTGCAGGGCTGTTGTAACTCTACCGGTCATCCATGAAGCACCGCAGAGGACTACATTGCATGGTTGTTGTAACCGAGTCCTTCACTTTCAGGCTGACCCCTACCCCCTCGCCTGAACCTACACTAAGGGGAGAAGATGAGACTGCATCCGTGTTGGAATTGGCAGAGTTTTTCTTTTTTTCTTTTCAACAATGTTGAAAACTATGTTGGGGAGAACTCTCCGCCCTTGAGGCAAAAAAGTTGATCCGGAAGCTGGTCGCAGTGTATGAGTCTACTGATATAAGTCTAAGGAAGGCATAGTTTTCAAGTGCCGCTCTTGATGTCATGTGGCCTTCTTGACCGATCTTTCCTCTAGCCAATAAACAGCCACAAGGCCAGAAGCACTTCCGGGGAAGCTCCATTCCACGGAAATAAGAACACATAGAGCTGCACCTTATTAGTTTGTATACTCAATATCCGGGTTTTCGAGAATACAAAGCCATTTAAAAAATCTCCCCTTGGAGCTCAAATGAAATGCGGGATTTTAGACCAGTTATAATTGGGCGTCACCAACCAACAAAACGAAGCAGCAAAGAGAAATGAGGCTTTTTCTGTCTGTAACCCGTGTGTTGCTTCGTGTGAAAGATGCCATTTTTAAAAAGTTTATTATGCTGCAATCCTAAACCCATTGAGGGGTAGCCTGTATGCTTGAGCCCTCTTCGAATTCCTGGATCCAGCACGGAAGCTAGCCTGCCTATTCCAGGAACTGAATCCGTGCTGGATCCAGAAATTCGAAGGCGGCTCATGTGTACAGCCTGTTGTCTTTGTCCATGGAGTTTTCTTGGCAGGGATACTGGACTGGCTTGCAGGTTCCTGCTCCAGGTGGATCACGTTTGGTCAAAACTCTCCACTATGACCTGTCCATCTTGGGTGGCCCTGCACGGCATAGCTCATAGCTTCTCTGAGTTATTCAAGCCCCTTCGCCACGGCAAGGCAGTGATCCATGAAGGAGAAGACTCCCTGGAAAAGACCCTGATGTTGGGAAAGATGGAGGGCACAAGGAGAAGGGGACGACAGAGGACGAGATGGTTGGACAGTGTTCTCGAAGCTACCAGCATGAGTTTGACCAAAATGCGGGAGGCAGTGGAAGACAGGAGTGCCTGGCGTGCTCTGGTCCAGGGGGTCACGAAGAGTCGGACACGACTAAACAACGACATGTGTACAGCCTACCCCTCACTCCCAAACTCAGTATCATCCCCAATGCAAATAACACAGGAAAGAGGAGCCGAGTTCCGGAAGAGAGTTGCAGCAGCAGCGGCAGCAAGATTCCTGCATTGCAGCGGATTGGACTAGATGTCCCTCGGGGTGCCTTCCAACTGTACAAGTCTATGAACCGAAGGCCTCCCGCCCCAGCTCTTCCTCTTTGTCCCGGGCAGGGTCCTTTGGCGCCTCCTCCCCGCCCGGGCCAGCCTCTCCTCCTCCAGCTGCTGCTTCTGCCGTCGATGCCGAGCTCGGAGGCCGCCCCTCTCCGGGGCACGTGCCCGGGGATGTGCCCGGCCGAGGAGTTCGCGCGGCGGCGCCGGGAAGGCCGCCTGCACCGGCTGGAGCTGGGCGCGGGGCGCGAGGCGGACCCGGCGCTGGCCGTCAAGGAGTACTCGCGCCCGGCCGCCGGCATGGCGCCCCCGCGGCCCGAGGAGCCGCGCCCGCCCGACGTGCTGCTGGCCACCGTCCGGCACCTGCTGGAGCGGGAGGACCGGGGATCGGACGCCGGGGACTCCGCCGAGGCTGCGGAGCGCGGAGCCTTCGTAACCGACCGGCTGCGCGCGGTGCGTCTGGACGCGGCACTGCAGCGGCTCCCCGGCGCGCCCTGCGCCGCCCTCCACGAGCGCGCCCTGATCTGGCTGCTCCGCGCCGGGACGCGCCTTTGCGCCCAGCCGCCCGCCCGCTTCGACGCCCATCTGCACCGCGCCCACCTGCAGGAGACCTTCGCCGCCCTCCGGCGCGCCTACCGGGAGCATGAGGACGGAGCCCGGCCCGCCGCCCAGCCCCGCTTCCAAGCCCTCTTCCTTCTCTACAACCTGGGTGAGGGATCCAGGGACGGGCTGGAAGAGGGGTGGTGGTCAAAGCTTTATTCATCCCGGGAATTTGGTCGGATGCTGTAGCTCAGCCTTGCATACCTGGCAGGGTTGTTGTGGCGATCAGATGAATACAGTACTAGGAACTGGAAGAGACATGGGCTTACAATCCTCACCCTGCCCAGCCATATAGCTCACTGTGTGGCATCGGGCCAGTCAGTGCCTCTCAGCCTAACCTACCTCGCAGGTTTGTTGTGGGCATAGCTGTCAACTTTCAGATTTGAAAATAAGGGACCAGCAGCCTCACCTGTCCTGGGGACAGTCTACGGGATATCTAACAATCCAGGATAGCAGCGGGAAACGGGCACTGGAATAAGGGAATTTCCCACAAAAAAAGGGAAGGTTGACAGCTATGGTTGTGGGGATTAAATAAGGAGGGGGAGGACCATACAAGCCACCTTGAGTATCTTGCGGGGGAAGCTGGGATATAAAAGCAGTAAGAAATACGGTAAATATGCTTCCATGGAAAGGTGAGATATCAATGCAGTAAGAAATAAATTCCATCCCTGAAAACAGGGGTGCCCACTGGAGGGGGGGTTCACATAATCAATCACATGACGTGCATGCACACCATTTGAATGGCAATGCCCATCAACTTTGGGGAGGGGGCCCAGCCCCCTCAAATATTTTATGGAGGGGCTGAAGCCCCCTCGTCCCCTAGGAGTTGGCTCCTATGCCTAAAAGGTTGGGATATAAATATAGCAATAAATGAATTTTCTTCCCTGGTCCTTCTATAAAGCCCGGTCATCCTGACCTTTTGCTCCTTTCTCCTCCCACCCCAAACAGGCTCTCCAGTAGCTCTCTGGGAGACCCTGCAGCTCCCCGATGCCATCCGAACCTCCCCAGATGTCTCCACTGCGCTGACCATCAATTGGGCCTTCCTGGAGCGGAATTTTGCCCGCTTCTTCCGCCTGGCCCGGGAGCTGCCTTACCTGCCCAGCTGCGCCCTTCACCCCCACCTGGCTGGGGCCCACCGCCTGGCCTTGATGACCTTCAGCCACGGCTTCAGCGCCAGGAACTCCCGCTACCCTCTGGCACGGCTGGCACGGCTGCTGGCCATGGACAGCGTGGAAGAGGCAGCGGACTTATGCCAGGCCCATGGCTTGACCGTGTTGGAGGGGGACGTGGTCTTCCAGAAGGGCTCCTTCAAGGACGGTGTGCCTTTGGTGCATAAGCCTTCCCGCCTGCTTGTGGATGGCAAATGGGGGGAGTCTACTCTGCTGGAGCTCTCGGAGAGGGTCTGCAGCTGACCCCCTTGCAATGACTCTGTGTGCGTGAGCTGAGACTGGAAAGGGGTTTGCAGCTCAGAGTTTTACCCCTAGAGAAGTTAGACAGGCTCCCTCACTGTCGTCTGCCTGGCAGTAGGCTTCAGGTGCAGAAAGTGTACAGTGGTACCTTGGGTGAAGTTCTTAATTCATTCCGGAGGTCCGTACTTAACCTGAAACTGTTTTTAACCTGAAGCACCACTTTAGCTAATGGGGCCTCTTGCTGCTGCCGCGCCGCCGGAGCACAATTTCTGTTCTCATTCTGAAGCAAAGTTCTTAACCTGAAGCACTATTTCTGGGTTAGCGGAGTCTGTAACCTGAAGCATATGTAACCTGAAGTGTATGTAACCCGAGGTACCACTGTGTTTTAATTGCTGGTTCTAAGAGCGTTCTGCTGTATTTTTATTTCATTTACACCCCCCTTTTCCTCCATGAAGCATTGTTGTTGTCGTCCACCCATCCGACTTTGTTGCCCCAGCCACTCTGGGCAGCTTCCGTAATATAAAAACACAGTGAGACATCCTATGTTTAAAAACCTCCCGATACATGTCTTCATTTCCCTTCACTACCTTGAGCTCCTTGGAGGAAAAAGGTTGGGATATGAATGCAATAAATAAGTCAATGTTGTTTTTAAATGTGCCTTGAGTCTCACCTTGGGAGGAAGGTGGGGTAGAAAATATTAAATAATAGCAATATTATTGCTCCTGAAGGCAGTTGAGGGAAGTGTGGGCTCTGACTCTCCTTGGGGGCAGCAGAAGATGGGGAAATGGGACAGCACAGTTTCCATACAGGTCTGACCTTTAAATGCATCCTTCCAGGAAAAAGAAAAATGTTCCCTGTAGATCAAGGGCAGGGAAGCTGTGGCCCTGAATTGGACTTCAGCTTCTGTCAGCCCATTTCATTGACCATGCTGGCTCAAGGTGATGGGAGCTGAGAGTCCAGAACATCTGGAGAACATCTGTTTCAAGAAGGATAAGCCATGTTGCAAAAAAAAAAAAAAGTTTTATGGCAGCTTAAGGTTCCATTCCTCTGCCATTCGAAAGTTAGCACATCTGGGCTAGAGGTTCCAGCAAGGCCCTTTCCTCCACTGTGCTGGCTCCCTTAATGTACGAGAGCATTAAAAATTTAATTATTGCTCCCACCCCTAGTGGCCTTGACGTCGTAGAGTCCATTCTACCACCACATTTTGCTGCTTGCACAGAGTCCACATATTGTCATGCGCTGCCCCCTGCAGGTTTGGAGGACTTTATGCAAGGCTAGAAGGAAGTTTTTACACCCTCCCTGAATTAAGAATGCAAGAGCCCTGCTGGATCAAACCAGTCCTTTCCACCATCCCTTTCCCCACAGTTCTCTGGACACCCCCGTGAATGCTAGTCTCATGTGTGGAGCATTTAGTTATTGTTTGGAAAACTGAACTGAATGTTACTGGAATGTTACTACAGTAATGTCAGCTGTCAGAAGAGATTGCGGTGATGGTAGTTGTTTTGTATACAGTTTGCATGCCGAAGTGATGCTGCATCTGAGAAGCTGTGAGTGAACTATAACCTTGCTTTCTAAAAAAAACCCGGGCCTGCAAACATTAAACGCTTGGACAACTTTAAAATGTAGCCCCACCTGCCAGTGCTGGGGAATGGATGACAAGAAAATGCTTTTCATCACAGAGAACCACTGTAAAAGGTCTGAGCCAAAATTGCCATCTCCTGGGAAGGTACTGATAAATATATGAACCTGAGGGGCCAGAACTTGGGGGGATGCTCAGGAGAAATTGAACTTGCTGCACTTGAGAAGCTCTTGTAAGAGAATTGTGCACAATTGAAGCAAGAAATCCAGAAGGCTGTAAAAGGAGCTTTAATTTTCTTTATGGTATTAAAATGTTTCATTTCCCCCCAAACGGTCAGCATTTGAGATATGGCATTTCCCGCCCCCCACTTTCACTCTAGAGTGTCACTCGTCTTGACCTCACATTGTCTTAAGTGAGGGAGCTTCCCTAAAAATTAAATCCTTACACCCCACCCCCACCCCGCACTTCCCAGGGAAAACGTGGGTGCCTGTGGAAGTAATGCAGAACCTCTTCTCACATCATATGTGCTTGCAGAACAGCTCACTTGTTGTATGTGCGAATGATACACCCTTCTTATGCAGGCCTTTTTCCTCTTGGGCCTGCAACACCTTGCACTCTAACACACAAACATGTGGCCCCTTTAGATGCTGTCGCTTTATAAAGAGAATCTTGTTGATCCAGGCATTCATCAGAAAATACTTTGTAGGCCCCATGTATAACACCGGATTGTAGACCTGAAGAATGCTCAGTAGATCACCTATTCCTGCCCAAGCAAATGCAGGAAAACCCGACAATTATGTCTGTCCTAAGTCTGTGGCTGGTTTTCCTAATGTTTATGTAGTGTGTGAGATGTTTGCTGTTTTAGGAGGCTCCTGTATGAAAAAGTTTATCTGGAGATGTTAAGTGGGAGAGATATTGCTTTGCGTCTGCCTTAACCCCTCAGACCACCCTTTTACATTATGCGCTAACTGACTTGAGTGTAAGAGAAGCCCTGGTAAGATTGGCTCAGGAAATCGTGGCTGCAGTGCAGTATTTAAGTCTGCTGCAGTTCTATGCATGCCTACCTGGGAGCAAGCCCTACTGAGACATACAGTGGTACCTCAGGTTAAGTACTTAATTCGTTCCGGAGGTCCGTTCTTAACCTGAAACTGTTCTTAACCTGAAGCACCACTTTAGCTAATAGGGCCTCCTGCTGCCGCTGCGCCGCCAGAGCCCGATTTCTGTTCTTATCCTGAAGCAAAGTTCTTAACCTGAAGCACTATTTCTGGGTTAGCGGAGTGTGTAACCTGAAGCGTATGTTACCCGAGGTACCACTGTACATCTGAATAAACACGCACAGGATTGCAGTGCATGGTAGAAAGAGACCAGGGTCAGTTTTGGAAGGAGCCATAACTTGGCAGTAGGTCATCTGCTTGGCATGTTCAATCTCCTCTTTGCCTGAGACCCTGGAGTACCACTGCTGGTCAGTCAGGGGACAAGGCAAAGGGGACAAGGCAGCTTTATATACTCGAAGGTATATAATGTGCATGAGGTTCTTTTATACTATGAGCATGGAGTGTTCCAATTTTGCTCCTCTCCTAAATCAACACACACTTCTCTCTGGTAATTTTCACTTTGCTGAGTTTTGGCTCTTCCTCCAGGTTCACCTGTTCCAGGTGTTCAGCCTCAAATTGTGAAGGCACAAGCTGCTGCACGTCCGACTTCTGCTCAGAGTGGGAAGATCCTAAGGGGGCTTCTCACTGCATTAGGCTGAATGCTTTTCCAAGTCCCCTCACAATCAGCTATGCGGCTATGGCAAGGCTACTGAGGCCCAACTCTGGTTGCAGTAGATCAGACTGCATTGAAACCAGTGAATGCATAACATAAGCACATTCCATCTATCAGTGATGGTGTTGCAAAACATAAGATGCAAAGACATAATAATAGACTGTGACATAGCATGGATTCTTGGATGGGCCTACATTGTGAGGCAGGTATATGGCATTCTTTAATCACTGTGACCCATCCTGCATAATTATTTAATCCCCAGCCTTAAAAATATAAAACCCTAAAGGTTTGCTAGGGCTCAGTTGTATCTGAAATGTACAGTCTGCCTCCTGCTGTCTCTTGCTGCGAATTACGACTCCTGGTATGGAGTGGACTTTACCCCTGGACTTTGACAGCTTCGATAAATATATTTAAGGATCTACCCTGTTCTCTTGATTGAGGTTTCTTTTCATTGGTTTTAATATAGTATTTTTTAATTGTTGCAACCCGCCCTGGCGCCTTAGGATGAAAGTCGGGCAAGTAATCTTCAAAGCCCCCTTCAGACCTCCCCACACAACGATGGAAGGTTGGGGTGGCTTTTAGTCTGGGTTCACACCTATGTGTTGCTTGGAAATGCAGCTGGGATACTGGGGAATAAAAGGTTCAGGAGGTCAAAAGGTTAATAAACACTTTATTTCCATTTTACAATATCAGTTATTCTCAATTAATTTGCTTTTAAAGTGCTGAAAAGATTTTCCTTTTACTGTTTTGTTTTAAAATTGAGATACATTTGTTAAACAAAAAGATGAAGTAGATAACAAATAGCATCTGTAAGGTTGGGAGGGAATATAGAAGGCCTTGAAGAATTTTGCTCCACATCTCAGAAAACTTTCATTTCATTATACAAAAATAACAAATATATAGAGATGACTAAGATGGTGTCAGAATGTACACAAAATCTTTGGTTAATTTATTTTATCGTGACTTTTTTAACCAGACAAAATTGGAAAATTATACCATGGGTGTTTTATTACATCTGTCCTGTATCAAATGAATACAAAAAACCTGACCTTTATGCAGCAATGTAAGACTGTGAGGCCCCAAATTTGACACATCTCAGTTGCATCTATATATTTTTACAGAGTTTTTTTCTTTTTCTTTTAACACATCCAATTTTTAAACAACAGAATTTTTTTAGCTGCCCCCTTCCACAGATAAAAGCAGGAGGGGGAGGGGAGTCATTGAAATGGAAAACAATTGCCATAGATCAACACTGAAGATATTTAGCAAGTCGAAAAGTATATATATTTATATGTTTTTAAAAGCTTGCTTAAGTAAACGTAAAGCTCTCAGCGTACGAAGCGCAAACCCCCAACCCTAAAACACAAGAGAGAACTTCCAAAATACATCTGAGGAACTGTACACCCCACCTTCCTAATGGCACAGCTTTAAATATCACATAAATCCAGGTTCTACCTCTTTTCAAACTGGTAGCCGGAAGAAGTGCCCATCACACAATCGGCATTATTACCCATGGCACAAATGATACTGTTTAATTCAAACTGATACAGCTGATTCACCAAGCAGCATTCTGTGTTACGTGTGCGTTGCCGCTTTTTTAAAAAAAATGGCACTACTTAACCGTTATTACAGCCACAGTGCATTGTGGGAAGCACGGCAATGCATTCTGGGATGCAAGTTTACCTGCCATATCACTGCTTTAAGAACTTTGCAAAACAAAAAAGCCGCTGTATCAGTTTCTGTGAGATATTTATACATATAATCTATGGAAGAGATAATCATGTTGGGACGACTCCCTGACCACAGTAAAAACATGGTTATTTCTCAGTTAAGGCCTACCATTTCACTGGGCACCCTGTTTTTATTGCTGAGCATTTCAAGCTAGGAAATTTGTATATACACACATATAAGGGAGATAGATAAGATATATACACACAGAGACAATATGTACACGAGAAACCCCCCCCCATTCACTCATTTCATTTCGTCATCACTTCCCGATACCTCATAAGAACCTTTAGTTTTTGCCCCTATCCCCCCAAACGTACCAAATTTCAGCTTGGCCTGTTTGCCTTTGTCATGCTCCAGTGTGCCTGTTGGCGTCGAATGTGAGGAATGCTCGTCGCTGAAAGACGACGACCGGTGCCGGGACTTTTTGCCCTTAAAGAAGGAGAACTTCCCTTTCGGAGAAGCAGACCCTTCCACTTCCACACCCCCCTCCAAGGAACCCAGGCTGGCCTGTAACTCCCCTTCGCACCCTGAGGCAGACACTGAGATCTCTGGGGAGCCAACGCTGCCTTTGACCTTAGATTTTGAGAAAGGGAACTTTGGCATTTTGATTTTAGATTTCTTAAGCTTAATGTCAGGCTCTTCCAGTTCGACATTCACTGCCCCGGCATGGAAACTTGCCTCTGGCGCCTGAGGGAACTCAACATCAACTCCAACCTCCCTTCCTGTTAGCTCTTGCCCTGCAACCACAAATTTTGGCATTTTCATTTTGGGGAACGACACTTGTCCAGATGGGCTTTCTACATGGCCGTGTGGAACATTCACCCCAACAGAAGGACCTTTGACCTCTAATTTGGGACCTTTGAGATCAACCCCTGCCTTTGGTCCAGAAAACTGAAGGCCTCCAGACCCCTGCATGCCCATGTTTAGCTCTGGCCCAGAAACTTTGGGAGCTGACACATTGAGCGAAGGTCCTCTCAAGCTGAAATCAGGAGCGCCAGCGTCCAAGCCCATGCCAGAAATCTTCACACCTGGTGCCCCCATGCCGATCTGTTGACCTTTCATGCCACCAGATACGTTAACGTCACCTTTCAAACTTGGTCCTTTCACATTCAAGTCAAAGCCTGGGGCAGAAATGTCATGTCCTTTGAGATCTACTTCAGGCCCTTTGATCTGTGGTCCTGAAATACTTCCTCCTTCACTGGCGATGCCAAACTGGGGCAGCTTCATGCAGGGAATCTTAATTCCAACTCCAGAGCCTTCCACGTTAACGTCAGGTGCCTCGACAGCCACCTTGGGAGATGTAATGCCACCAGAAATGCCGAAGTCTCCTTTGATCTTTGGTCCTTTCAGATTCACATCAAAGTCAGGCGCTGAAATGCCTCCTCCAGAGGCCATTTTTACTGTTGGCGCTTTCACGTCCAGGTCTGGAGCACTCACATTGACATCTAGGCCTGGGGCCTTTGGCATTTTAAGCTTTCCTTCAAAACCACTGACGTCAACATCTGGTGTGCCAAATCCGATCTTTGGACCTTTAATGTCACCAGAAAGGCCCACGTCTCCTCCAAATTTTGGTCCTTTCAAGCTTACATCCACTGCAGGAGCGCTCACACTTCCTCCGATGCTTGGGGCCGAAACATCAACACTTGCTGAGGGCAGTTTTCCTTGAAGGTCCACCTCGGGCCCCTCCACTTTCACACCTGGCTTCCCAATCTTTGGCAAGCCAAATTTTGGCATTTTCAATTTCCCTTCTAGGCCTTGTCCTTCCATCTGGGGAAGGTCAATATCACCTTTCAGCTTTGGTCCTTTCAAGTTAATGTCAGGGGCTGACATGGAAGGAGCAGAAACACCCATGGATGGCAGGTTCACTGATGGACCTTTCAGGCTGATGTCAGGCGCGCTGAGGTTGGCATCAACACTAGGGCCTCGAAGGTCTCCTTCCAGTTTGGGACCAGCCAGATCGACATTTCCACCTGAGAATTTGAACTTTGGCTTCTTGAGATGGATGTCAGGACCTCCAATATTGACATCGGGGAGGCTGGCACTTCCGCTGGGAACTGTGATGTCAAGATCTGGAGATTTCAGAGATGGTGATGAGACATCTATTCCTGGTGACTTGATTTCCCCTTCCACCTTTGGCAAAGAAGCATCAGCCTTGAACATAGGTGATTTGATATCAAACTCGACGTCAGGAAAAGAGAGTTTCCCAAACATAGACTTCTTTCCTTTGGGTGACTTGATATTCATGTCTCCTTTCAGGGATGCTTCAGGGACAGAAATGCTTCCTTCCAAATCTGGCGATTTCATACTTGCATCCATATCTCCACTCACGGCAAAGCCAGCCTTCTTGCCTTTGACTTTAGGCCCACTCATGTGGATTTTAGGCATTTTGAATTTGCTTTTCTTCCCTTTTCCAGAAATGGAGATGTCAGGCGATTCAACATTCAGCTCACCTTCTGGGAGGGAGATGTCTGCCTTGGGGCTTTTTGCTCCAAATCCAAACTTTGGCATTTTAAATTTAGGGAGTTTAACGTTTCCCTCTGGCCCTTCAAGGTTTACATCTGGACACTCCAAGTCAATCTCAGGGCCCTTAGCTTCAATTCCTGGCCCTTGAATATCAATTCCTGGACCTTTTAAGCTGCCTTCAACCTTGGGAAGAGCGACATCAACATCACCCTTCACTTTAGGTCCCTTCAGATTTAAGTCAATCTCTGGCATGGATATTTGAGGTGTCTTGATTTTGGGACCCTTCAGTTTTCCTTCTGGTCCTTCTATGTTCAAGCTGGGGCCTGATAATTCCAATTCACCCTTGGGTACATTTACATCGATATGAGGTCCTTCCCCTTTGAACTCAGGCATGCCAAATTTGGGCAGCTTCATCTTGGGGAATTTCACCTTTCCGTCTGGACCATAAATATCAACATTGGGAGCATCAATGTCCAATTGAGGGCCTTTGATGTCAATTTCCGGACCCTTGAAATCACCACCAACCTTTGGTAGGGAAACGTCCACATCTCCTTTCAGTTTGGGGCCTTTGAGGTTGAAATCCACATCAGGCATGGAGATTTTAGGTCCTTTGATGTTCATTTCAGGCATCTTGAATTTAGGGCTTTTCCATTTTCCTTCTGGGCCTTCAAGTTCAACATCAGGAACATCTACATCAAGTTTGGGTCCTTTGATATCAATTTCGGGGCCCTTCAGGTCACCTTCCAACTTTGGCACTGAAACATCCACATCCCCCTTCACTTTGGGACCTTTCAAGTTCAAGTCAAAATCTGGCATGGAGATTTTGGGGGTTTTAAAATGCATATCAGGCATCTTAAACTTGGGACCTTTAAGTTTTCCTTCAGGGCATTCAAGCTCAACATCAGGAACAGAAACATCCAGTTTAGGGCCATGTATATCCACATCTGGTGCTTTCAAATCACCTTCCAGCTTGGGAAGAGATACATCCACATCTCCCTTCAGTTTTGGGCCCTTCAAGTTGAGATCAACATCTGGCATGGATAATTTTGGCGCTTTGATGTTCATTTCAGGCATCTTAAATTTAGGTCCTTTCAGTTTTCCATCAGGTCCCTCAATGTCAATGTCAGGAGCATCTATCTTAGGACCTTTGATATCTATTTCAGGCCCTCTTAGATCCCCTTCAAATTCTGGGATGGAAACATCCACATCACCTTTAAGTTTAGGCCCTTTCAAGTTTAGATTCATGTCTGGCATGGAGATTTTAGGTGCCTTGAAATGCATGTCTGGCATCTTGAATTTAGGGCTTTTCCATTTTCCTTCTGGGCCTTCAAGTTCAACATCAGGAACATCTACGTCTAATTTCGGCCCTTTGATATCCACGTCAGGCCCCTTCAGATCACCTTCCAACTTCGGTACAGACATATCCACGTCACCCTTCACTTTCGGCCCTTTGAGATTTAGATCGAAATCTGGCATGGAGATTTTGGGTGCCTTAAAGTGCATGTCAGGCATCTTAAACTTGGGACCTCTGAGTTTTCCTTCAGGACCTTCAAGCTCAACATCAGGAAGGTCAACATCTAGTTTGGGACCCTTGATATCCACATCTGGGCCTTTCAGGTCACCTTCCAGCTTTGGAACTGAAACGTCAACATCTCCCTTCAGTTTAGGGCCTTTCAAATTGAAATCAACATCTGGCATGGAGATTTTGGGTGCTTTGAAGTGCATGTCAGGCATCTTAAACTTGGGACCTTTCACTTTTCCTTCTGGGCCTTCGATGTCCAGGCTTGGTGCATCAATGTCCACCTTCGGAAGAGAAACATCAAGGTCTGCTTTTGGGAGGCTCACGTCCACATCTGGGCCCTCAGCCTTGAAGCTAGGCATTCCAAATTTGGGCATTTTGAATTTTGGCATTTTCAGTTTTCCTTCTGGGCCATGGAGGTCGACATCTGGAGCATCAATATCCAGCTTGGGACCTTTGATGTCAATTTCTGGACCCTTCAAATCACCTTCAACCTTTGGTAGGGAAACATCCACATCTCCTTTCAGTTTGGGGCCTTTGAGGTTGAAATCCACATCAGGCATGGAGATTTTTGGTCCTTTGATGTTCATTTCAGGCATTTTGAATTTAGGGCCTTTCCACTTTCCATCTGGGCCTTCGAGTTCAACATCAGGAACATCTACATCAAGTTTGGGTCCTTTGATATCAATTTCAGGGCCCTTCAGATCACCTTCCAACTTTGGCACCGAAACATCCACATCCCCCTTCACTTTGGGACCTTTCAAGTTCAAGTCAAAATCTGGCATGGAGATTTTGGGTGCCTTAAAGTGCATGTCAGGCATCTTAAACTTGGGACCTCTGAGTTTTCCTTCAGGACCTTCAAGCTCAACATCAGGAAGGTCAACATCTAGTTTGGGACCCTTGATATCCACATCTGGGCCTTTCAGGTCACCTTCCAGCTTTGGAACCGAAACATCTACATCTCCCTTCAGTTTAGGGCCTTTCAAATTGAAATCAACATCTGGCATGGAGATTTTGGGTGCTTTGAAGTGCATGTCAGGCATTTTAAACTTGGGACCTTTCACTTTTCCTTCTGGGCCTTCAATGTCCAGGCTTGGTGCATCAATGTCCACTTTCGGAAGAGAAACATCAAGGTCTGCTTTTGGGAGGCTCACGTCTACATCTGGGCCCTCTGCCTTGAAGCCAGGCATTCCAAATTTGGGCATTTTGAATTTTGGCATTTTCAGTTTTCCTTCTGGGCCATGGAGGTCGACATCTGGAGCATCAATATCCAGCTTGGGACCTTTGATGTCAATTTCTGGACCCTTCAAATCACCTTCAACCTTTGGTAGGGAAACGTCCACATCTCCTTTCAGTTTGGGGCCTTTGAGGTTGAAATCCACATCAGGCATGGAGATTTTGGGTGCTTTGATGTTCATTTCAGGCATCTTGAATTTAGGGCTTTTCCATTTTCCTTCTGGGCCTTCAAGTTCAACATCAGGAACATCTACGTCTAATTTCGGCCCTTTGATATCCACGTCAAGCGCCTTCAGATCACCTTCCAACTTCGGTACAGACATATCCACGTCACCCTTCACTTTCGGCCCTTTGAGATTTAGATCGAAATCTGGCATGGAGATTTTGGGTGCCTTAAAGTGCATGTCAGGCATCTTAAACTTGGGACCTCTGAGTTTTCCTTCAGGACCTTCAAGCTCAACATCAGGAAGGTCAACATCTAGTTTGGGACCCTTGATATCCACATCTGGGCCTTTCAGGTCACCTTCCAGCTTTGGAACTGAAACATCAACATCTCCCTTCAGTTTAGGGCCTTTCAAATTGAAATCAACATCTGGCATGGAGATTTTGGGTGCTTTGAAGTGCATGTCAGGCATCTTAAACTTGGGACCTTTCACTTTTCCTTCTGGGCCTTCGATGTCCAGGCTTGGTGCGTCAATGTCCACTTTTGGAAGAGAAACATCAAGGTCTGCTTTTGGGAGGCTCACGTCCACATCTGGGCCCTCTGCCTTGAAGCCAGGCATCCCAAATTTGGGCATTTTGAATTTTGGCATTTTCAGTTTTCCTTCTGGGCCATGGAGGTCGACATCTGGGGCATCAATATCCACCTTGGGACCTTTGATGTCAATTTCTGGACCTTTGAAATCACCTTCAACCTTTGGTAGGGAAACGTCTACATCTCCTTTCAGTTTGGGGCCTTTGAGGTTGAAATCCACATCAGGCATGGAGATTTTAGGTCCTTTGATGTTCATTTCAGGCATCTTGAATTTAGGGCTTTTCCATTTTCCTTCTGGGCCTTCAAGTTCAACATCAGGAACATCTACGTCTAATTTCGGCCCTTTGATATCCACGTCAGGCCCCTTCAGATCACCTTCCAACTTTGGCACCGAAACATCCACATCCCCCTTCACTTTGGGACCTTTCAAGTTCAAGTCAAAATCAGGCATGGAGATTTTGGGGGTCTTAAAATGCATATCAGGCATCTTAAACTTGGGACCTTTGAGTTTTCCTTCAGGACCTTCAAGCTCAACATCAGGAAGGTCAACATCTAGTTTGGGACCCTTGATATCCACATCTGGGCCTTTCAGGTCACCTTCCAGCTTTGGAACCGAAACATCAACATCTCCCTTCAGTTTAGGGCCTTTCAGATTTATGTCCGGCATTGAAATCTTGGGCACATTAAAATGCATTTCAGGCATCTTTAATTTGGGACCTTTGATCTTGCCCTCTGGGCCCTCTATATCCAAGTCGGGAGTTTCAATGTCCACTTTGGGTCCTGATACATCAATTTCTGCTTTGGGGAGGTTTATATCTACCTCAGGACCCTCTGCCTTGAAGCCTGGCATTCCAAATTTGGGCATTTTGAATTTGGGCATTTTGAGTTTGCCTTCTGGTCCATGGAGATCAACATCTGGAACATCAATGTCCAACTTGGGGCCTTTGATATCTATGTCAGGACCTTTCAAATCCCCTTCCAGGCTTGGTGCAGAAACATCAAGGTCACCTTTTAATTTAGGACCTTTCAAATTCAATTCCACATCAGGCTTTGAAACTTTAGGTGATGAAATATTCAGGGAAGGCATTTTAAATTTAGGGCCTTTCACTTTTCCATGAACATCAACATCTGGGCCTTGGACATCAACTTTGGGCCCTGAGATATTAACATCTGGTTTCTTAAGCTTCACGTCAACCTCTGGAGTGTGAACCTTTGGACCAGAAAAACTGAACTTTGGAAGCTTAAATCTTGATTTCTTTGTTTTCGCTTCGATATCTATTTTTGGTGCTTCTAAGTCAACTTCAGGTCCTTTCAATTCAACATTAGGACCTTTGATGTCGCCTTCCAAGTCTCCCTTTAATTTAGGACCTTTCAAATTCAAGTCAATGTCTGGCATTGAGATCTTTGGAACATTAATTTCAGGCTTCTTAAACTTGGGACCCCTTAATTTTCCTTCAGGGCCTTCGATTTCCAAATCAGGTGTTTCAATGTCTAGGCTGGGGCCAGATATATCCACTTCTCCCTTAGGTAAGCTCACATCCACGGAAGGGCCTTCTCCCTTGAAACCAGGCATTCCAAATTTGGGCATTTTAAACTTGGGCATTTTGAGTTTGCCCTCCGGACCGTGCAAGTCAACATCTGGTGCGTCAATGTCCAATTTGGGGCCTTTGATGTCAATGTCAGGCCCTTTCAATCCACCTTCGACCTTTGGCAGAGAAACATCCACATCTCCTTTCAGTTTTGGACCCTTCAAATTAAGATCCACATCTGGCATGGAAAGCTTTGGCGCTTTGATGTGCATTTCTGGCATCTTAAACTTGGGGCCTTTAATTTTACCATCTGGACCTTCAATGTCTAACTCAGGGCCTTCAATGTCCACCTTGGGAGCAGATATATCAATGTCTCCCTTTGGGAGATTTACATCCAATTCAGGGCCTTCTCCCTTGAAGCCAGGCATTCCAAATTTGGGCATTTTGAATTTTGGCATTTTCAGTTTTCCTTCTGGGCCATGGAGGTCGACATCTGGAGCATCAATATCCAGCTTGGGACCTTTGATGTCAATTTCTGGACCCTTCAAATCACCTTCAACCTTTGGTAGGAAACATCCACATCTCCTTTCAGTTTGGGGCCTTTGAGGTTGAAATCCACATCAGGCATGGAGATTTTTGGTCCTTTGATGTTCATTTCAGGCATCTTGAATTTAGGGCCTTTCCACTTTCCATCTGGGCCTTCAAGTTCAACATCAGGAACATCTACGTCAAGTTTGGGTCCTTTGATATCAATTTCAGGGCCCTTCAGATCACCTTCCAACTTTGGCACCGAAACATCCACATCCCCCTTCACTTTGGGACCTTTCAAGTTCAAGTCAAAATCTGGCATGGAGATTTTGGGGGTCTTAAAATGCATGTCAGGCATCTTAAACTTGGGACCTCTGAGTTTTCCTTCAGGACCTTCAAGCTCAACATCAGGAAGGTCAACATCTAGTTTGGGACCCTTGATATCCACATCTGGGCCTTTCAGGTCACCTTCCAGCTTTGGAACCGAAACGTCAACATCTCCTTTCAGTTTAGGGCCTTTCAAATTGAAATCAACATCTGGCATGGAGATTTTGGGTGCTTTGAAGTGCATGTCAGGCATCTTAAACTTGGGACCTTTCACTTTTCCCTCTGGACCATCTATACTGAAGTCAGGAGCATCAATATCTAGTTTGGGACCTTTGATATCAACATCTGGTCCTTTCAGATCCCCCTCTACCTTTGGCAAAGAAACATCTACATCCCCCTTCAGTTTGGGACCCTTCAGGTTCAGGTCAAAATCTGGCATGGAGATTTTGGGTGCTTTGATGTTCATTTCAGGCATCTTAAATTTGGGCCCTTTGAGTTTTCCTTCAGGGCCTTCAAGCTCAACATCAGGGATGTCAACATCTAGTTTGGGACCCTTTATGTCAACATTTGGGCCCTTCAAGTCACCCTCCAATTTAGGAACAGAAACATCAGCATCTCCTTTTATTTTGGGACCCCTCCAGTTCAAATCAATGTCCGGCATGGAGATCTTAGGGACATTAAAATGCATTTCTGGCATCTTAAATTTGGGCCCTTTGAGTTTTCCTTCAGGTCCTTCAATCTCAACATCAGGAATATCTACGCCAACTTTAGGACCTTTGATGTTGACATCAGGGCCTTTCAGATCACCTTCCAACTTCGGCACTGAAACATCCACATCCCCCTTCACTTTGGGTCCTTTCAAACCCAGGTCTAAATCTGGCATGGAGATTTTGGGAGCTTTGATATGCATTTCAGGCATTTTGAATTTGGGGCCCTTTAGCTTCCCTTCAGGTCCTTCCAGGTCAACATCAGGAACGTCAATGTCCAATTTGGGCCCTTTGAGATCCACCTCCGGGCCTTTCAAGTCACCTTCCAACTTTGGCACAGACACATCCAGATCGCCTTTTACTTTGGGACCCCTTAGGTTCAAATCAATGTCAGGCATAGAGATCTTAGGTGCCTTAATGTGCACTTCTGGCATCTTAAATTTGGGGCTCTTCCACTTTCCTTCTGGACCTTCAATGTTAACATCAGGAGCATCAATGTCCAATCCTGGCCCTTTAATGTCAATATTGGGGCCCTTCAGATCACCTTCCAACTTCGGCACTGAAACATCCACATCCCCCTTCACTTTCGGACCTTTCAAGTTCAAGTCAAAATCTGGCATGGAGATTTTGGGGGTCTTAAAATGCATGTCAGGCATCTTAAACTTGGGACCTCTGAGTTTTCCTTCAGGACCTTCAAGCTCAACATCAGGAAGGTCAACATCTAGTTTGGGACCCTTGATATCCACATCTGGGCCTTTCAGGTCACCTTCCAGCTTTGGAACTGAAACGTCAACATCTCCCTTCAGTTTAGGGCCTTTCAAATTGAAATCAACATCTGGCATGGATATCTTTGGAGCTTTGAAGTGCATGTCAGGCATCTTAAATCTGGGCCCTTTCACTTTTCCTTCTGGGCCTTCGATGTCTAGGCTTGGTGCATCAACATCAACTTTTGGAACAGAAACATCAATGTCTGCTTTGGGGAGGCTCACGTCAACATCTGGGCCTTCTCCTTTGAAGCCAGGCATTCCAAATTTGGGCATTTTGAATTTGGGCATCTTCAATTTGCCTTCAGGTCCATGGAGATCAACATCAGGCATGTCAATGTCCAATTTGGGTCCTTTGATATCAAATTCTGGGCCTTTCAAGTCTCCTTCAAGTTTGGGGACTGAAACATCCACATCACCCTTGATTTTGGGACCTTTCAGATTCAAATCAACATCTGGCATGGAGATTTTTGGAGCCTTGATGTGCATTTCGGGCATCTTAAACTTTGGACTCTTCCATTTTCCTTCGGGGCCTTCAATGTCAACATCAGGAGCATCTATGTCTAGCTTAGGACCCTTAATGTTGAAGTCTGGTCCTTTCAAGTCACCTTCCAGCTTTGGAACTGTAACATCATACTCTCCCTTCACTTTAGGGCCTTTCAGGTTCAAGTCAACATCTGGCAGAGAGATCTTTGGAGCTTTGAAGTGCATGTCAGGCATCTTAAATCTGGGCCCTTTCACTTTTCCTTCTGGGCCTTCAATGTCCAGGCTTGGTGCATCAACATCAACTTTTGGAACAGAAACATCAATGTCTGCTTTGGGGAGGCTCACGTCAACATCTGGGCCTTCCCCTTTGAAGCCTGGCATTCCAAATTTGGGCATTTTGAATTTGGGCATCTTCAGTTTTCCCTCTGGCCCATGGAGATCAACATCTGGCATGTCAATATCCAATTTGGGTCCTTTGATATCAAATTCTGGGCCTTTCAAGTCTCCTTCAAGTTTGGGGACTGAAACATCCACATCACCCTTGATTTTGGGACCTTTCAGATTCAAATCAACATCTGGCATGGAGATTTTTGGAGCCTTGATGTGCATTTCGGGCATCTTAAACTTCGGACTCTTCCATTTTCCTTCGGGGCCTTCAATGTCAATATCTGGAGCTTCGATATCCACTTTGGGGCCCTTGATATCCATTTGGGGTCCTTTCAAATTGCCTTCAATATTTGGGACAGTTACATCCATCTCCCCTCTCGCTCTGGGACCTTTCAAGTTTAAGTCAATATCTGGCATGGAGATTTTGGGTGTCTTGAAATGCATTTCAGGCATTTTGAACTTGGGACCTTTCAGTTTTCCCTCTGGACCTTCGATGTCTATGCTCGGCATATCAGCATTCAGTTTTGGTCCCGAAACATCAATGTCTGCTTTAGGAAGGCTCATGTCAACATCAGGGCCTTCCCCTTTGAAGCCAGGCACCCCAAACTTGGGCAGCTTCATCTTGGGCATCTTAATTTTAGCATCTGGGCCTTCAAGGTCAACATCTGGGAGATCCACATCAAGTCTGGGGCCCTTTATGTCAATGCTGGGTCCTTTCATATCACCCTCAATCTTTGGGACAGATACATCCATTTCACCCTTCATTTTGGGGGCCTTGAGATTCAAGTCGACATCTGGCATGGAGATTTTAGGAGATTTAATATTGAGTTTTGGCATCTTGAATCTGGAACCTTTGATTTTTCCTTCAGGACCCTCCAGTTCCACATCTGGGACATCAACATCCAAGTTAGGACCCTCAATGTTGACCTTGGGTCCTTTCAGGTCACCTTCTATCTTTGGCCCAGAGATATCCACATCTCCCTTCAGTTTTGGCCCTTTCAGATTGAAATCCACATCTGGCATTGATATCTTGGGTGCATGGATATTCAGTTCAGGCATCTTAAACTTGGGCCCTTTCAGTTTTCCTTCTGGGCCTTCAATGTCCAAGGCTGGTGCTTCAATGTCTACTTTGGGAGCAGAAAGGTCAATGTCTGCTTTTGGAAGATTTACATCCACCTCTGGACCTTCTGCTTTGAAGCTTGGCATTCCAAATTTGGGCATTTTGAATTTGGGCATTTTCAGTTTTCCTTCTGGGCCATGGAGGTCGACGTCTGGAGCATCAATATCCACCTTGGGACCTTTGATGTCAATTTCTGGACCCTTGAAATCACCTTCAACCTTTGGTAGGGAAACGTCCACATCTCCTTTCAGTTTGGGGCCTTTGAGGTTGAAATCCACATCAGGCATGGAGATTTTTGGTGCTTTGATGTTCATTTCAGGCATCTTGAATTTAGGGCCTTTCCACTTTCCATCTGGGCCTTCAAGTTCAACATCAGGAACATCTACGTCAAGTCTGGGTCCTTTGATATCAATTTCAGGGCCCTTCAGATCACCTTCCAACTTTGGCACCGAAACATCCACATCCCCCTTCACTTTGGGACCTTTCAAGTTCAAGTCAAAATCTGGCATGGAGATTTTGGGTGCTTTGATGTTCATCTCTGGCATCTTAAATTTGGGGCCTTTAATTTTGCCTTCGGGTCCTTCAATGTCCAGTCCAGGAGCTTCAACGTCTACTTTGGGACCTGATATACTGATGTCACCCTTTGGAAGACTGACATCCACACCAGGGCTTTCTCCTTTGAAACCTGGCATTCCAAATTTGGGCATTTTCATTTTGGGCATCTTCAATTTTCCTTCAGGACCATGAAGGTCAACATCGGGCACATCAATGTCTACTTGGGGCCCCTTGATATCAATTGCAGGACCTTTTAAGCCACCTTCTAATTTTGGCACAGAAACATCAAAGTCCCCTTTCACTTTAGGCCCTTTCAAGTTCAAATCAATGTCCGGCATGGAGATCTGAGGAGTTTTAATATGCATTTCAGGCATCTTGAATTTAGGACCTTTTATTCTGCCTTCTGGTCCTTCAATATCTAATCCAGGAGCTTCAATGTCCACCTTTGGAGCTGAAACATCGATGCTTCCCTTTGGAAGACTGACATCCACATCAGGCATTTCACCTTTCACACCAAACTTGGGCAATTTCATCTTCGGCATTTTGAGTTCAGGTCCATGAAGTTCGACATCTGGTGTTCCAATGTCCAATTTGGGGCCTTTGATGTCCACAGCTGGGCCCTTTAATTCTCCTTCCACTTTTGGGATTGAAACGTCGACACCCCCCTTGACTTTAGGGCCTTTCACATTCAGGTCAATGTCTGGCACGGATATTTGGGGGGCCCCCTTGACTTTGGGGCCTTTCAGATTCAGGTCAATGTCTGGCATGGATATTTGCGGGGTCTTAACATGCATTTCTGGCATCTTGACATGGGGGCCCTTCAGTTGTCCTCCAGGACCTTTGATGTTGAAGGTGGGAGCTTCAATGTCTACACCTGGAGCTGAAACATCGATGCTTCCCTTTGGAAGACTGACGTCTACATCAGGCACTTCACCTTTCACGCCAAACTTGGGCAATTTCATCTTCGGCATTTTAAGTTCAGGTCCATGAAGTTCGACATCTGGTGTTCCAATGTCCAATTTGGGGCCTTTGATGTCCACAGCTGGGCCCTTTAATTCTCCTTCCACTTTTGGGATTGAAACGTCGACACCCCCCTTGACTTTAGGGCCTTTCACATTCAGGTCAATGTCTGGCACGGATATTTGGGGGGCCCCCTTGACTTTGGGGCCTTTCAGATTCAGGTCAATGTCTGGCATGGATATTTGCGGGGTCTTAACATGCATTTCTGGCATCTTGACATGAGGACCTTTCAGTTGTCCTCCAGGACCTTTGATGTTGAAGGTGGGAGCTTCAATGTTTACATCTGGAGCTGAAACATCGATGCTTCCCTTTGGAAGACTGACATCTACATCAGGCACTTCACCTTTCACGCCAAACTTGGGCAATTTCATCTTCGGCATTTTGAGTTCAGGTCCGTGAAGTTCGACATCTGGTGTTCCAATGTCCAATTTGGGGCCCTTGATGTCCACAGCTGGGCCCTTTAATTCTCCTTCCACTTTTGGGATTGAAACGTCGACACCCCCCTTGACTTTGGGGCCTTTCACATTCAGGTCAATGTCTGGCACGGATATTTGGGGGGCCCCCTTGACTTTGGGGCCTTTCAGATTCAGGTCAATGTCTGGCATGGATATTTGCGGGGTCTTAACATGCATTTCTGGCATCTTGACATGAGGACCTTTCAGTTGTCCTCCAGGACCTTTGATGTTGAAGGTGGGAGCTTCAATGTCTACATTTGGAGCTGAAACATCGATGCTTCCCTTTGGAAGACTGACGTCTACATCAGGCACTTCACCTTTCACGCCAAACTTGGGCAATTTCATCTTCGGCATTTTGAGTTCAGGTCCGTGAAGTTCGACATCTGGTGTTCCAATGTCCAATTTGGGGCCCTTGATGTCCACAGCTGGGCCCTTTAATTCTCCTTCCACTTTTGGGATTGAAACGTCGACACCCCCCTTGACTTTGGGGCCTTTCACATTCAGGTCAATGTCTGGGATGGAAATTTGAGGAGCCTTAACATGCATTTCAGGCATCTTGACATGAGGACCCTTCAGTTGTCCTCCAGGGCCTTTGATACCAATGTCAGGTGCAGCTATGTCCACTTTGGGGCCTTTTAGATCCATCTGGGGCCCCTTGAGGCCGCCTTCTATCTTTGGCACAGAAACAGCCACATCGCCCTTTAGGTTTGGCCCTTGGACATTCAAGTCCACATCTGGCACAGTGACTTTTACTGGTGATGTTTGCATGGACGGCATTGAGACTTTTGGACCTTTCAGGTCAACGTTGGCAGTTTCAATATCTAGTTTGGGACCCTTAATATTCATTCCAGGCCCTTTTAAGTGGCCTTCCACCCTTGGCCCTGAAATGTCCATGGCGCCTTTCCCTTTAGGGCCCCTGAGATTCAAGTCAACATCTGACATAGAAATTTGGGGTGTCTGACCAGCTATTTCAGGCTTACCAAATCTGGGTCCTTTCACATGGGTTTCAAGGGTCACGTCAGGAGCTTGCAAATCCACTTTAGGTCCTGAGATGTTAAGTCCCCCTTTTGGAACAGTCACAGTCACTGCAGGGTCTGGTGCAGAAAATTTAGGAAGTTTCATGTGGGGTATTTTAAGTTTTCCTCCGCCCCCTTCAAGACCGACATCTGGAGCCCCAAGATCCACCGCAGGCCCTTTGATATCCACCTTGGGGCCTTCCAATGTTGGAGAGGTGGTCTTTAGGCCACCCTTCAAGTCCACACCTTTCAGGCCCACGTCCATCTGTGGTTGTGGGATTCCAGGTTCTCCCATGGCCCATTTGGAGCCTTTCAAGGACACTTCTGGGCCTTTTATTGAAGCCGATGGAGCCACTGCATCAAGCTGAGGAACCTCAACATCAGAAACTGATATACCAAATTTGGGCATTTTCATTGCAGGAAACGCCACCTTTCCTGTGCTTCCAGTGTTGATATCTGGAGATTTGATGTTGCCTTCGACGCTGGTACTGGAGATGTCCACTTTTGGACCTTTCAGATCACCTTGAATTTGGGGTCCCGAAATACCAACTGAAGGCCCCTTGAGGTGGGGCAATGATAAATCAGCTTGCAGCCCTCCCACATCACCTTGGATTTTACCCCGACCTCCTTTCCCATTCACTTCTGGTGTTGTAACATGGAAACCAGCTTCCTGGCCTCCTGGTATAAAGTCAGTCTGGGTTCTCAGATCTACACCTGTGACATGAGGCCCAAATATTCGAATATCAGTTTTCCCAACCTTAGGCTGTTCCATGTGGATGCCAGGAACACCAAACTCCAACCTCTGAGAGGGTGACTCAATAGTTGGTCCGGTATACGTAACGTCAGGTCTTCCTCTCACTCCTGCGTGGGAGTCTGTTATCTGGGTGGTTGTTCTCCCTGACAAGTCAACGTGTGGGATCTTGATGACAGTTTTCCCAGGTTCTGTTTCAATCTCGGCTTTGGAAATGTGGGTGAGTTCATGTTTCGGAATCTTAATTTTAAACTCCGGGCTGCTGATGTCAATCTCTTTGGCTCCCTCATGACCTGTGACGTCGACAGTGTAAGCAGTAACTCTCTTGGTGACTGTGATGGTTCTGCTTTGGGTTCCTGTGTGCTCAACTTCCATGCCATCTTCCGATTTAAGGCGAGGCTTGATTTTTGTGGTATAAATCCGTTTGTACTCTTCGTCATCTCCGCTCTGGAACAGAGAGGAATGAGTTGTTACTGCCAACAGTAGTCTAAACATAAAATACTGATATCTACACCTATTAGTCTATCACATCTAAATCTACAAGTGTAGTATGGATTGATGCACATACAGAAAGTGGATGTCGCTTGTAGACAGTTGAAGAGGCCTTAGTTCTCTGCAGGGCTTTTTTTCCAAATAAAAAACTAAAATTCCTGCACATAGAAAGCAAGATATCAGCAAAATCAACAACACTGTAGTCTTGCCTTTCTCCTTGATAATTTGCTTTCCACATGCAGAGAATTTTGTAGTGCCAACCAGTAACATAAGGCCTCACCCACAAAACTTGAAGTGAAACAGCCCAGACGTGGGACGATCAACTCTGAAAGAATTTGTTCCGCTTCAAATAACTAGTGCGAGGATATTCATTTCACTTTTAATTTTTAAACTGCTTTTTTTTTAACTTTTATTTTGCTTTAAACAGGTACATATATATATAGACAACCAAAATTACAAAGGAAAATTCCTTAATAGTAATGGAAAAAAAACTTTAAAAACTACAAAAAATATCAAAGTACATAACACAGAACATAAGCAACTATGGAAAAGATAAAAGAAAAGAAAAAAGAAAAATAGGAAAAAAAATAAAAAGGAAGATGAGCCAAAGCAGGAAGGCTCATCTATTGTACACTTCCGTCAAGTTCACAACAGATCATTATTCTTATCAAATATCTCTATCTGCATTCCAAAGGAATCCCTCATCTTGGTATCAGGAAACATTTCTCTATGCGGCATCATTCTAAACATAGCCAGATCTTTCTTGCTGAGCTCTTGTCCCCTAAATAATTATTTAAACATTCCCATTCTTCTTTCACCAATTTTTTAGGTTTATCTCTTATTGCATCTTTTATACTGCTTTTTTTATATTACCATACACAAGGCGGTTTATAAGCTGAAGAAACGACAAAATAGACAGCAAAGATCACACACCTACTAACAATCTGATCCAATACCAAAAAAAAGTCATAATAAAAAACATAACTTTAAAGTAAACAACCAGTGGCCCTCCGGGTGCAGTTGAACTACAACTCCCATCATCCCTGATTATACTGGCTGGAACTGTTGAGGGTCCAACAAGTTACCTGTCCCTGAACTCACCTTTTGGTACCTGCCCTCAACTCCTTAACTGATTGCATTTGTAAATTTGATAAAAGTCTTCCTCTGGTGTCCTGGAATATCCAAGGCGCCACAGGTGTATGGAAAGAGCCAGGTCTCAAGTTACCCCAGCCCACCCTTAGATCCTTCCTCCATCATCTACAGAAGGGGGTCCTCTCCATGACAATGCTCACTCACCAAAACAACCTCTGGACTCCTTGAGGCAAAGACGTCATGGGACCAGGACTGTCCTGGCAATGGAGACCGGTCGCCTTTCCTCTGCAGCCGAAGGCCAACAGTGTGGTGGCCCACGTTCTTCAGGAGCTCTGTGACTTCCCCGGACTGCAGGTTGTCGAAGTAGATTGTGGCACTCACGATCTGATCCCCTGAGGGGGGTGGGGGTGGGATTAAGAACATTAAGAAAAAGCCCTGCATCCACACTGGCCAACCAGAGGCCTCTGAGAAACCCGCACCATAGGGCAGGAGCACTTGTTTGCTCCCCAGCAGCTGGTATTCAGAGACAGACTGCCCCTAAACTTGGAGGCTCCAGTTAGCTGTCATGGCTAGCAGCAGTTGATAAACCTATTGTCCTCCATGAACTTATCGAAAAGCCAGCCCATTTTAAGAAGATAATTGAACTAGTCCATGATGTGCTGTGTGTAGAGCTGCTTCATTCTTTTTAATTATTATTTTTGCCTCTCCTAAACCTAACACATCTGGTATTAAGAGAGCCCAGCTGAGTGCAAAATGTCCTGAAGGGATAGCTTGCCGACGTGGGCTGAGCAAAGTTCTGCAATCCTTACCCTTCTGTTTTTAATTTATTTTCCCCCCATTTCTATCACACTCTCCAAAAATAGCACATTAGGCCAGTCCTTTGTCACAGGTCCCATCTGCACGACACTTTTAAAGCAGCATCATACCGCTTTAGAACAGTCAAGGAATCTTGGGAACTTCAATATGTTAAGGGTGCCAAGAGTTGTTGGGTGACCCCATTCCCTTCACAGAGCTACAACTCCCAAAGGTTTCTGAGAAGAGGGATAGACTGCTAAACCACTCTGGGAACTGTAGCTCTGGGGTGGGGGAATAGGGGTCTCTAAACACCCTTCAGCACCATTAACAGACTGCAGCCCCCAGGATTCTCTGCAGGAAGCCGTGACTGTTTAAAGTAGTATTGCAGTGCTTTAAAAGTATGGTGTGGATATTGAGCACGTGACTCTTCCAAGATGTCATGGGGGACTCTTTGTGACCATAAAGAGGATGCCCTCTGGTGGCTTTAAAAGTTGATGATGTCCAGCCACTCTGCCCCCACCCAGACCACCCCCCACAAACCACCTCACTGACCTTCTTTCACAATGCCTGCTTTGGCAGCGGGTGAGTCCTGTTGAACCTGTTTCACGAAAACGCCTTCGTTCGTCTGGTCGATGGTAAGTCCGCGAGAGCCAATGCCTTCCCAGTCGGGGAGCAGAATCTCCCGGGTCTCTTCTTCCTCCTTCTCCATCTTAAGGAAGGAAGGAAGTGTGTAAATAGGAACTCAAGAGGCTGCGCATAAAAAGGAGAACTCCTTCTCAAATTCTGCACCTCAAAAGTATGCTACAGGCTTAGTCTATTTCAGAAAATGCATTTTGCTCTATTATATTTTCATCCCAATCTTGCTCCAACAATCTCAGGGCAGTTATATAAGGACATAATATGATCCTGCAGGATCAGGCCAAAGGTGGTCCATCAAGCCCACAATCCTGTTCTCACAGTGACCAACCAGAGGCTTGTGGGAAACCTGTCAGCAGGATTCGAGCACAAGAGTCCTCTCCCCTCCTGTGGTTTCCAGCAACTGGTATTCAGAAGCACTGGTGCCACCAAATGTTTAGTTGAGATGCCATTATCCACACAATAGCCTGGTGAGGTTGGTTACGTCAATGGCCGTTTGCCCCAAGGTGACCCACCAAGTTGCTGGGCTGAATTGCTGTGTTCCAAATCCAGTGCTCTACCCTGTGCTGTACATAGCTTCTCTCCAGGACTAGGAGATCTGGATAAATACGGCACAGTAGTACCACTGCTTTACTAATAAAGAATAGACTGAATCACCTTTCTAGGACTTTGGTCCAGGCCGGAACCGCCCCAGGAATTCCCTTCTCGTCACTTGCCAATCCTTTGGTAATGTTTCTTCCAACTTCCCAACCTAGAAGAGAAAACAAAACAAAGCCTTGTTGGTGAAAGAGAACTTGCCACGTCCAGGCGTCATGTTTGCATCTGATGAATCCTCATCGAGCGCAGGGGATGGGGAATCTGAATTCTGTTGGGAGAAGAACTGGGGTCCCTGAAAATATGAGCTACCCCCCGACACACGTTTAAGGAAGTCCCCATTTCAGGGATGGGGAACCTGTGACCCTCCTAGACATTATGAGACCACACTTCCCAGCATCACTGCCATCCCTTGTGGCTGGTGCAAACTGGAGTCACGAGGCATCTGCAAAGCCGCAGGTTCCCTCACCCCTGCTCTGTTTGCAAAAGCAGGTTCCAAAGAATGTCAGCAATGCCTTTCGAAGTTTATAGGATGGTGAAAGTAGGTTTGTTGAGAGGAAGAATCAGAACTATTTTCAAAAGCTAACGAGGAATGCTGCTTTCGCGTTCCACTCGGCAAAATTGTTCTCTGTGGTGTACATATTTCTACACCAACTGCCGCCCATCACAAAAAGATGTCCCTTTAATTGCCAAATAAAACATACTAGGAAGGGTATACGGAGAGTATTTGGCGCAGCTGATGTCTATACCCACTTAAGAACTGCCTTGCTCAATCTGGCTGGTTCAGTAATCTGTCCAGAAAGTGGCCATCTGGGTGCCTGTGGGGAAGGTGTCTAGGAGTCCCCGCCACCTGGCATTCAGAATTACTGCCTCTAAAGATGGAGGATCCATTTATGTATCACTCCCTCTGTCTGTGATGTTCAGGCGTATGTAGGCAAAAGAGCATCACCCCAGCAGGCTCGGGGGAAACCTGCAGAATTCTTTAGGGATGGAACCCCCCAAGCAGGACGAAACCTCAAAACCAGCTCAATAAGGGCATGCATAAAATTATCAAGGCGGCTTACAACAGAATATGTGAGTACGCTAAAACATAAAGTGCCATAAAAGCAACGCAAAATAATTATTAAGATGATTATATAATCGGCGGAGGGGGGATATTTTTATGTACTCCCTCTGCATCATTCGATGTTATCTCTATATTTTCCCACAAACACTCAAGTCATTCCCCCCCCGAACTAAAAATCCAGCTCCTTGATCCATTTGCTGCCCTTTACTCATTCCTTTCCAATAACCAGAACCAAGACATTTCACTGTCTCAAGTAGTTTACAAATGGCGTCACACACCCACACCCTCACCCCGTTTTAGAAGTCTTGCTGCAACCCTTAGACACTAATTCCTGCTTTTCATCTATTTCCCAGCCTCCCTTTGTGTTGCCGCCTGAGGCACCTTGATTCACCCTGGGGCATGGCAGGGCTGGTGCTGACTATAAGAACGTAAGAAGAGCCAATGGCACTCTTTCCTCCTGCAGTTTCAGCAGGTGGCATTCAGAAGCATTGGTGGAGGCAGAGCACAGTCGCCATGCTCTGAGATGGGGCACAAGAACACTGACCTGTTTCAGAGCCAGAAATACCACATCGCTTAAGCACGCATAAAAGGCAACTGCTCCCTTCCCTTACCCGCTTCCCTTCCTCTTCTTCCTCGTGAGCCTGTGCACACTTCTGCCCCGGCTGAGCATGCTACATGCCAGACACAGCCCCTCCCACAGCCTGAGCATGCAAGGCATGGTACATATGCTGGCAGGAATGCGAAGCCTGTGTTCTCCCTACCCCTGGACTCTAAAAGGAGGAACCTTCCAGGGCACAAGTGGCATTGCAACGCAAGGAAGCAGTGGGAAACATCAAAACCTGTAGAAGCCAAGGAGTTAATAGGCAGGCAGGTGTAGCTCAGCAGCAGAGAACATGGCTTGCCTGCAGAAGGTCCCGGGTTCAATCCTTCCTCAAAAGGACCAGGTGGCAGATGGTGGAAACATTCTCCTCTGCCTGAGAGGGCAGTAAATCAAAGTGGGGCTTCCACATTCAGGAACAGTCTAGCTCTGAGTGCCAGAAGCTCCCAGATCAGATAAAGGGTTTGTTGAGGTTTTTTCGTAGCCCTGATTTCTGCACGCTATCAAAATCCTAAAACGTATTTTGTTTTTGTCCTTCATTTGTTGCAATTTGCTTACTCTAGTACAATCTCTTTTCTTAATGGTTCATTAATAAAAGCTGCTGCCTTATAGAATGAGCCTGTAGGGTTTCAGGAAGGGAAAAGTCTTGCCCCTCACCAGCTACCTGAAATCCTTTTGGTGGGGGTGCTGACACTGGGGCCTTCTGCATGCTGAGCTCTCATGCTGCAGACTCTCCCTTGAAGCATAGGAGGCTGCCTTATTCCAAGTCTGTTTCTTTGTCCATCTGGCCCAGCTCTGACTGGCAGCCACTCTGAAAGAGAGATCTCAGGCAGAGACGAGTCCTTCGCACCACCGGGGATTTGAACTTGGGACTTTGTCCATGAAAAGCATGAGCTACAGTCCCTCCTTGCGCAGGTAGACTTCCCCTTGGTGGAATTGGGCCTTCATTTAAAAGATGCAATACCATTTATCAGCGGAGTGGAAAGGACTTGTTATGAAGGAGAAGGAGAAGAAAGGACAGAGCACAACTGGACATGTTGCATAAGTGTTTTTAAAGGGTGCAGCCAGGGGGCGGCCATGCCTTCACGATCGATGCTTTGCAACGCTCTGGCTCCCATACCCAATCCCAGCTCAAACGCCCCACCTTCCACACCGAGACCGTGCCAACTTTCAGCGAAGCAACAAGAGGGGAAAGTTTTCCACTTCCAAACAGCTACAGACATGCATGCTCAGGTCATGCATGAAACCTGATCAGCCCAGACAGGAGGAGGGGAGGCTGCAGAAGAGGCTCCCACTGACATCAGCTCCTGGCCCCAACTGGAGAGTCTTCACAAGCCAGCATTTGAAGTGGGAACAGGATACCAGCACTCACCCACCCCTCACAAGACGGCAAACGACATATCCAGGCTTGTTTCCTTAATCTCTGTGGTCTTGTAGACTCCACCAGCCCCCAGTTACAGAGAGGAAAACAACTTCTCACAACAACCATCACTGGCCAAGTGTGTCCACACACAGGCTGAAGAAAGCTGCTGGAACAAGTGTGGTGTATTGGGAGACCAGGGTTCAAATCCCCACCCCCCCAGCCATGAAGATCACAGGATTGTTATGGAGATAAGTTGGGGAGGGACAGAAACATCTATGCCCCCATGAGCTCCTTGGAGGAAAAGCTAGGATGTGAATGCAATCAGTCAATAACTAAAAGAGGGAATCTGTTTGCAATGTCTGGAAATGTCTCTGAAGCCAGAAGGTTAGAAGAACTCAACAGACACCCAGCAGACACTGTCTATGCTCTGCCCTTAATGTCCCCCTCCCCCACCAGCCTATGTTTGGTCTTTATTGTACACCATCCCTTCCTCCCACAAAACATAGGGAATTCTGTAAAAGCAGAGACACTGCAATCAAGTTGTGGAAATGGGCTGTCTGTGGTTGGTCAAGTACCAAGCTTGCTTGGTTTCCTAAGTACACACGGCTCTTTCCTCTTTGCCTTTTATGGGTTGGGTTCCTCCATAAGGCAAAGTTTAAAAAATCCATATCCCATTACAACATTATTATTTTTAAGGCAATCAACCGGGGCGGGTATCAAATTATGGACAATGGGTCATGGTAACCTGCATCACAATTTAGGCCATCCCAGAATCTATGCTATTTCATAGCCGTTAATGTCTTCTTTGCCATGCTTTTGCAACACCACTGATAGATAAGATAGGATGTCTTTATGTATTTATCCATTCAATGCAGTGATGATCTCCAGCAGTCAATGTTGCCCTCCAGATTTTTGGGACTGCAGCTTCCCATAGTCCCAGCCAGCATGGCCCAAAAAATCTGAAGGGCATCAGGTTGTTGAAGGCTGATCTTCAGCGAGTGCAACCTCTGAAGTCAGGCAAGATGGAGGAGGAAACGCCGCAGGATTCCAGACTACAGAAGCCAGCCAGAGGTGGGGCGGAGCTGCTACTTAAGATATTTCACCTCCATCTCTAAAGGCACTAGGGGATGGTCATGTCTTCAGGAATGCACTTTGCTGGTGCGCCCTTTCAGATCCGGAAATTCCCAAATAATTACGATGACCCCAGAAGTGCTGTTTTTCTAGAAAACCTTCCAGCTGCAGACCAAGGAAAGCAGACTTGCCAAAAATCCCCACCCCACATGTCAGGGATGGAAATATCATCCCACAAGCACACTTCTGCCTTTGGTTTTTCAAGCCCTAAACAGTTTTGGGAGCAGGTTATCCAAAGGACAGCCTGCACACGTGATATGTCCCTGCCCAAAGTCTAAGACCGTCTTTGGAGGCCCCAAAGATAAGAGAGGTCAGGCTGACTGGGCCCCGTCAGTGACAGCCTCATATTTCTGGAATACGCTTCCTCATGAGGTTCATAGCGCACCTTCACTGGAGAGTTTTAAAAGAGTTCTTGAGAAAGATTTCCCTCTGCTTTTTTATTAACTGCTGTGTTTTAACCATGTTTTGCTGCTTGTTTTTAAAAGGGCATGAAACAGATTTTAAACTGTTGGCTGCATATGTTTCTAAGACTGCCTTTGCACTTTCCCTGAAAGGCAGGGCAGAGATTATTTAACAAATGCTTCCCCCCAGTGTCAGGATCCGTAAGCTTGCAATTTAACCCTGTCCACAATGAGGTGAGCACACTTCTAGAGGTGCTCACCTGCTCAAATTAACACATGTTTGCACGCACTCTTGCTACAGTGTAAATCCTTTCAATTTCAGTGAGGTCGTCTTCTCAGTAAACCAGTGAGTGAGCTATTAACCTTGGTTCCTCAGCTACATCTGGGCATCAGATTCTCTGTATCAATAGTGGTTCCACAACATCTTGTTCCTTCTTTTATTTATATCTGCGTTCGTTAACTTATGAAATGAGTTCTCTGGGTGCCATCTTAGACCTTGACAATTTTTAGGTGGGATTATTTAAAACGATCCCACCTAACAGATAGGTGAAGAACCGATGCTTTTATCAAAGATTCCAGACTCTTTTGAGGTGCCTGGATGAGTTTCAAGTGCTGTTTACTCTTAGCTTGGGGGATGGGGGGGGAGGACTGCTGAAGCTTTGTTCAGGTGTTTTGGCTGCTCTGGTGCAGATATCACAATAATATAGAGGGAAAATACCATGCTTCCAGCATGATTCCCTCACAGGGGAAACAGCTGCTGTAGCAGCTGTCCTTGGGGCTTCCTAGGGTGAGGAGCCAGATGCACACTAAACGGTACCTTCTTTGCAAAAGCAAGGACCTAAAATCCCAGGGAGAGAACACACTGGTTGTTCGGCTTTCCCATCACCTGCAATGAATTCTCGCCTCTCATAACCACTATCTTACACACACACACACACACACACACACACACACACACACTGCCTCGCCCAGCAAACCACAAAAGGTAATGCTGGCAGTTGAGAAAGCGTTTGTATTCCCCTACTGCCAGTTCCTTGTGGTTCCCGCTTGCAAACACAATTAATTTAAGAGGCTTGTTTAGACAAGAAAAGCTCACTGGTTTTAATAGAAAGTGTTTCCTTTTTGAAATGTATCTCTTGCTCGCTCGCCTCGTGAAAAGCCTCCCTCCCCAGATTTAACCAGATTCATCATTTCCAGCTAATTCCCACCCTGGAAAATAGCAGCTGGCTAATCTATCCCCAAGATGACCCCAGGGCAAAGGTTGCAGAAATATTTTGCAATCAACCATTCCTGCATTTCTGTGACTCAGCTAAGGCTATCTGTGTTCACCTTTTGTGGCAGTGACGCCACTGGGCTACCGAGATGGCACAGAATGTTCACTGACATTCCAACTGCTTAGAGAACATAGGTGTTGGAATGCCTGCAATTCTGCTTTTGTGGGGGGTAGGGGAACTGGCAATCTGGCTGGGAGCAAAGGATCACATTATCCCTAGGGGCAGAGATAGCTTTGTGAAGTAGGCAGTCAGGAAGATGTTCCCTAAAGAAGGGTTAGTGAACCCAGAGGCCGTGTTGAATCCAGGGGTGGTTGAGTTTTTTGAAATTGAGCCGGCTAGCAAATTCTTTGGTTGAAAATTCCCAATTTATTTAAAATATATTGAAATTTACATTTCATAAAAAGGGAACTGCTAGGTCTGGCCTCCTGCTGCCAGACGTGGTTGGTCGGATACCTCTGCTGGATTGGGTATGAAGGCAACAGAGCTCTCTATTTATAGGTCTCCCAACATCTAGTATTCAGAAGCAGACTTCCTCTGAATTAAATCTCATGGTTCGTAACTAGCATCTCCTCCATGAATCACAACCTCTCTGCAGCAGACACTGCTTCTATCTGCATGCTTTCAAACATATCTCCACAATCATGAGGTCTAGAAATTTCCTTTGCAATGAAAACAGATTCTCAGGGAATTTACTCCATGCATGCCAGGCAATGCATGATGCACAATCAAAAGGACCACCTACAGGGAAGTTTGCAAAGTGACACGTGGCATCAGTAAGCATTTAGATATTTCTGGCAAAACTAGGGTGCTTTTTACTATTATTTTTAATTATGTTGTTGCGAATTAGGAAGGGTAAATGGAAAAAAGGAAGCCTTTCACCTTTGGGTGCAGGAAAAACTTTTTAAGTACATTTAACTGGAGGGGGGAAGCAAACTTCCTTTTCTGGGAGGGGCAGAACTTGAAACAGTACAAGTTCCCTATTATGGAGTAAATTTATCTCAACTTTTATTATGCATGTGCAACCCCGATGGGACGCTGGAATCTGCTTAACACTCGTTTAGTACCAGCGAGCTTGGGATCCTGTTTCCCTGTGTGGGAATCTCAGCTCTCCCTACATTCCTAAAAAGCCTCTGTCCCAGACTCTTTCTGCTTCCTTCTAAAAAAAAAAAAGTGTGTGTGTGTGTGTGTGTGTGTGTACGCGCGTCTAGATTTATTGTGGCACAAACTTTCATATGCAAGAAGCTACAATAAACCGAGCCCAGATTTTTCCATTATGAAGTGCAAAGCTCTATGGCTCCGATGATCGTGGCTTTAATCTACAAAGGCTTCTGTCACAATAAAATCTGCTGGACTTTAAAGGTGTGGCAGGACTCTTTGTTGCTTTTCAGTAAAGAGAGAGAAAGAGAATGAAGAAGACGCCAGAGGGAGGGGAAGAAGAAACAACAGTACAGTAGTACCTCAGGTTACATACCCTTCAGGTTACATACGCTTCAGGTTACACACTCCACTAAGCCAGAAATAGTGCTTCAGGTTAAGAACTTTGCTTCAGGATGAGAACAGAAATCGTGCTCCAGCGGCACAGCAGCAGCAGGAGGCCCCATTAGCTAAAGTGGTGCTTCAGGTTAAAAACAGTTTCAGGTTAAGAACGGACCTCCGGAACGAATTAAGTACTTAACCTGAGGTACCACTGTAATGATAGATGGATGTGGAGCAGAGGAGCAGCAAGCTGTCTTTTTTGACTGAACCAGTCCATTGGACTATCTAGGCTCAGTATGCCAATTGGAAGCAGTGGCTCTCCAGAGTTTCAGGCAAAAGTCTCTCCAAGCCTATCTGGAGATACCGGGACCTGAACCCGGGACTTTCTGCATGCAAGGCAGATGTGAGCTCTATCCCTTTCCCAAACGGGGGCAGATGCTGCAACCTTCTGCTCTGCTCCTCAGCGGTGGGGCCTCCAAAAACACAAGCTGTAGTTTAGCTTTCTCTGCTATTTTGCACTGCCTTCTACGGCACAGACACCAGAAATCCCCTGGCAAGGTCACCCTCTGGCACAGACCTTCTGATAACTTTCCCTGCCCCATCCTCACATTACAGCTGCCAAGATCTTTTCCCGTTAGTCCTTAGCATCAAGCACAGCATCCTTCTCAGGAGCAGGAAACATCTCAGCGGAGAGGATCTGCTTTGGCTGCAGAAGGAGCACATTTCCAGGCCCTACCCAGAAACCCTGGAGACCTGCAGCCCCCAGGGAAGAAAATGCTGAGCTGGAGAGCCTGACAGCTTTCTACGCTCCTATCAAATGCAGGCAAGCAGGTACGTCTGCTTTTCCACAGGCAAGGACTTTGCGGCACAGCTGCAAAAGTGGTTTCGCCCCGCCACTTTTCACCCAGTGGCACACATCATCCTGCAACTGACATTCACCCTGTTTTTTGGGGGGGGGCGTAGATGCAGGACCCCCTGAGCCAAGATTGTTCAGTTACTGATCTCTTGGGGAAAGCGGAGACAAAAGGACCACACCCAGCTTTGTTCCTCTGGACATAAGCCTGCAGGCTGGGTGTGATTGCCTCACAGAGATGACTCACAGCACACTCATGCACACAAACAGGCTGGATCAGAGCAAAGGGAGAGGCTTCGGCAACCTTTGTGGAGTCTTGCAGCCAAGCCAGCCCAGACATTTTAGCGACGCGCAGGCCTGGAGTTAAGAGAACCAACGACTGAAAATGGAACTCGTTTTTTAAAGCTTCTACATGCATATTCCAGGCACGCTGTTGGCGCTGTGGGTTAAACCACAGAGCCTAGGATTGCCGATCAGAAGGTCGGCAGTTCGAATGCCCGCGACGGGGTGAGCTCCCGTTGCTCAGTCCCTGCTCCTGCCAACCTAGCAGTTTGAAAGCACGTCAAAGTGCAAGTAGATAAATAGGTACTGCTCCGGTGGGAAGGTAAACGGCGTTTCCATGCGCTGCTCTGTTTCACCAGAAGCGGCTTAGTCATGCTGGCCACATGACCCGGAAGCTGTACGCCAGCTCCCTTGGCCAGTAAAGCAAGATGAGTGCCGCAACCCCAGAGTCGGTCACGACTGGACCGAATGGTCAGGGGTCCCCTTTACCTTACATGCATATTCCACTTTGTGAAGTGCAAGGAGTACCAAGCCCTCTGCGTTATCCTCACAAAAATCTGCACCAAGTTAGCTTTCTGGCTGAATGAAGATTCAGATCTGGGTCTCTCCAAGTCCTGGTCCAGCATTCTGAACCACTACAACTCGCTGCCTTTTGACCCAGTAAAAGAATCCCTTTCTGGATTTCCGATAGCACAACTTGCACCCCCAAAAAGACCTGTTTAGGAAGGCTGCACAAGGATTAGCCTCACAGCGAGAGGAGCCCCTCAAACCTCGTTGCTGCATAAGTCACTCTTTCTGGGTGTGCGTCCTGACTGGACTCGTCCAGAGATGCAACAGGGCATCCTCCTTGAAGAACAGGTAATTTATATTGGTGTAGGAGCAAAATTACCTGCCTCCTGGGTGGCAACAGATCTTTGGGCCAACAAAAGTTACTGTGTTTCCAGTTTTATATCTGTTAAAAATCTAAACAGCAGAAACTCAAGTTTTGCCTCCCACCTGCCAAATGCACGGCCCATGGTCAACAAACCACACCTTGCGAAGCCAAGTGATACAACCCTCAGCCAATCAGTAAGTGACTAACGAACAGGTGAAGGATGTCCGGAGTCTGTTGCAGTTTTAACTCTCCCACAGAGGGCTGTGGGCGTCTTGCTCCCAATATCTTTTCTCTCACACATATAATTCTTTTCTTTTAATTTTTTTTAAATCTATATTTTCCTGCAAAGCATAGATAGAAAATTTTAAACAAGCAGCAATCATTGAATTACATTAAGGAAAACAAGGGCTGCCAACAAACTTTGGTATCACACAGAAAACGAGACAGTTCAGTATCAACCTACAGTCACAATAAATAAATAATAGTGTATTTCACACATCTGGTGTTTTTGGTCTCATAATTTATGTTGCTCAAACAAGTGACCAGGGACTCAGGTATACAGCTGCAAATAAAACATTTTAAGTGCGTTGTAAAGTGCAATATGCAAATGTGGCACTAGATGGCGACAGGGAGCTATGAAAATTCAATGTATTTTTTCAAAACTTTTTTTAAAAAGCATTTTCACAATGTTTTGTTATATGTGTTTAGATTCCACCCAGCAGTGCTTGGGGAAAGTATCCATCGGATAGATTTCTGACAAGCAGAATAAATTTCAACTGAAACAGGCAGTCTGCAAGCCTGGCACACGGCCTCTACTAGGCAGGAATGAGGATAGTCGAAATTTAAAATGTTGCTGTTCCTCGTGGGGGTGGGGAAGAAATCTTGCTCCCAAATGAGTGGAGGATGAAATCTGGAGCAGAAGGCACCATGTTTTTTGCACCCACCACTTTTCAGAAAAAATGCTATGCGTGTGGCATTCTGAGGTCATGAAAACAATGGCCAGAAGTCATCACCACAGACAGCAGCAAAATAAAGTAAGAAGTAAGAAGATGACCCAGCAGTCCTGGTCAAAGTAGACTGCCTTCCCCCAAACACGGCAGTGGTTTTCGCTGCCCAAAGAACATCAGCAAAACGGCTTCACAAATTTCAGGTGGCATCTTTGGGTACAATGCCCACAACTGTCTGCTCTAAGAGCTCCTCCTTTTCCCTACAGAATCCTGGGAACTGTAGTTCTGTAAAGTGGGTAAGGGATTTCAGTAGAGGATTCACAGCATCCTTCAGCAAACCACCATGGCCAAGATTCCTAGTGATGAATTAACGTGTGTTTTTTCCAATTAAAAAAACTTTTTAATAATTCTGCTGTATGGTTTCTTGTTTTTTAGTGTTGTAAACCACTGGATATATTTTATAATACAGTGGTATGCAAGTATTTTTTATCAATAAACAAATACAATTGTAATATAGCAATGCCTAGAGTGTTAGTTTCAGCTAACAGGCATAACGAACACCTTCTTTTTTAAAATAAACCCACTGCGCCCAACATTGGGAGATACTGTATTTTTTGCTCTATAAGACTCACTTTTTCCCTCCTAAAAAGTAAGGAGAAATGTGTGTGCGTCTTATGGAGCGAATGCAGGCTGCACAGCTATCCCAGAAGCCAGAACAGCAAGAGGGATTGCTGCTTTCACTGCGCAGCGATCCTTCTTGCTGTTCTGGCTTCTGAGATTCAGAATATTTTTTTTCTTGTTTTCCTCCTCCAAAAACTAGGTGCGTCTTGTGGTCTGGTGCGTCTTATAGAGCGAAAAATACGGTATTTCTTGCGGCTCAGAAGGTGGCTCGTGGAATGTTTCACATCAGATATTATCAGAAATTATTACAAGACTCTCAGAAGCTAAGCCACTTTTCATTTCCTCCTATCAGTCTGGGTTTTCCAGATATCTAATGCAATCCAAGCTGCATGGTATTTATACACTGACTAGCTTCATGGTTTGTAATAAACTGCAATAATTTATAATCATTAGAACACAGCAGCCAAACTAATGCAAGAATCACAGACATTAGAACAAGATGCTAGCAAACGCGCAGCATGCTCATGAAATACTGAGCAAATCTCAGGGTGTGGGTGACTTTATACTTGCGTGGGGTTTTTTGGCTCTGCAGAAGCTTTGTGGGCCAGCACGCGCTGTGTGCAAAAGTTCCATCGCTGCTATTGATGTGTGTGGTCAAACGTTCAGGTATGCAGCAACAATAAAGAAGCCTTTTTTTTCTGATGAGAAGTCCCAGACAAAGTATTCCTGAGCATCTCAAAAACAAATCTGAATGCAGGTGCAGACTGGGACGAAGCTCTCCAGTTAAAAGGCTTGTCGGAAGTGGAAAGTCTTTGGTCGGCATCAAGAAACAGCAGAGACAGCACATGTCTAATATTCCAGGGGAAGGGATTCCCGAGGGCAAGGGTGCCACCACACGAAAGGCCCAATTCCTACACAGTATGGAACGGATCTCCTGATAAGACAGCAGGAGGCCATCAGCTGCAGAAAGCAGTGATCAACTGGATATATAAGAGGTAAGACGATCTTGTAGGTGTCGTAGTCCCAAGCTGCATATACCAGCACCTTGAACTTATCCTAGATGCTAATTGAGAGCCAGTGCCATTCTTCCAACAGTGGGGTAAGGTTTCGGTGATATCCTGCCCCGGTGAGCAGTTAAGTCGCCACATTTTGCAACAGCTTCCAGAGCACCCTCAAGAGCAAGCCCAGAGCAGAAAAAAATGGGCTAGATGCACAGAGAGTTTTACCTGGTATTTGGGGGTTTCCTGTGTCTACTGATCCAGGGCACACACACACACACACCCCGTCCACCAGGCCCCAGTCTTGAAACTTATGCTGCCACATCACTGCAAACCACTCCTAGCTTTACACACCTGCTGGCTGGCTGCATCCAGTCCCAGTTCCTTTGTAGGTGTATCTAGATAATGCACACTGTTAAAAATCAGTATGGTGTAGGATGTTAAAAAAGATTCGGATCACAGAGATCTGGGCCATGAAGCTCATTGGGTGACGCTGGGCAAAATTGCTCTCTCTCAGCCTAACCTACCTCACAGGGTTGTTCTGCAGATAAAATTTGGCCGGGAGGCAGGGGAGAGATCACTTGAGTGACCGAATTGAGATGAAACACTTACGGTACTTTCATGTAATAACATTTATATAACCGCTTGATTGTAAAAAAACAACAACAACCCACACATCCCTAAGAGGGCTACATGTTGCACTTGAGTGGAGAACAAGATAAAAATGCAACAGACACGTTTTCAGATACAAATATTAAGGCACGTGTTTTCAGATTAAAAAAAGTACCGCACACATTTTCAGATGAAAACGTACTGCGCACCTTTTCAGGAGTACAGGAAATAGTCCTTCTAGATGGACTCGTACGTTTTACGTCTGAAACTCTCACCAAACATAACTACTGGCTACGCAAGCCAAGGGGTCCTACCCCATAACGCCCCAAGGAATGCCCCCGCCCTCCCCTCTTCTACTGCCCCCCCCCCGGTGGAGTTCGGTGCCAGCTGCTCTGTGGCCTTGGCAGCAAGGAGGGCCATTGAGTGAGGCAGGATCCTGGCTCATCATGCCTGCCTGTCCCCAGCTTTGAAAGAAGAAACCAGCCATTGCAAGGGAGCTATGCCAACCACGAGGGCCCCGCCAGTTGCTTCTATTCGGAGGGGGGCCACGTGCTTGAATTCTCCGTATTTTTAGAACCAACTGCTTGGCCTGCAGAGCTATGAGCCGGTCAGGCTTTCTTGGGATCGCCGGGGTTATTACTGGAAAAGGGGAGGTTGCAAAACACAGCACGACATTCCCACAATGTCACGGGAGAGGGTATTCTGCGGCAGAATATCTCACTGGGCTCGAGATAGGAAGTCGTCAAAACAGGGGCCGCGTTTCTGTGGGGAAAGCCCAGAGGCAGCCCTTCCAGGAGGCAAGGGAGACACTTGGTAATCTGAGAGTGGTGGTCTTCAAGCAGTCAGCCGTGCCCTCATACCCAGGGGCTCCCCAAAGGAGGCACCCCAGAGCCCTAGCACCTCTGAGGTATGGCCAGTGGTTAGAATGTCAGGCCGGGACTGGGTTCAAATCCTACAAAGCTCACCATATGACACTCAGCCTGACCTACCTCACAGAGTTGTTGTGTGAGGATAAGGCAAGGCGAGAAACCTCGCATGCTGCCACCCTGAGCAACTTCAAAGAAAGGTGGGGCTGAAGATGTGCGAAATAAATGCACCTGCTCGCCCCAAATACCCAATGCCTTAGATTTTAAGGGTGGCAAGGGAGGAGATGAATGGATCTGACTGGCACAAAAAAACCCATTGAAATTGTTTATTTATTAAAATGTATACACTCCCCCCACACCCATTTTATAATGTATATAAAACAGAGAGAGCCATTAAAACAGATGAAAATTAAAAGATGAAAAACAAAATTATGAAACAGTCACGCAAAAGAAGTGCAACTGCACACATGGCTTAAAATAACAACATCCAAGTAAAGTCTATCAACGTGATCAGATTATCAAGTATAGTTCCAGATTTGCCAGGCTTATTTATACATTCATAGAATCATAGAATCATAGAGCTGGAAGAGACCACAAGGGCCATCGAGTCCAACCCCCTGCCAAACATTGCTTGACTGGGGGGTGGGGGAACTATCAAAGGGGGTTTATAAAAATGATAAAAGAGTAAAATTATCAATAAGAAGAATCAGCAATAATTTAAGACTTTTGAAAAACAAAAAGAACAATAGACTAAGGACAGATTAGGCAGTGAGTTCCGAAGTGCAGGTGCTGCCACGCTAAAAGACCAAGCTCTTACAAAAAGCACTCTGTACATGCTCGGCAGCCCTTGATTCTTTATCCTCACTTCACGCGCAGCAGAAGCTAAGCCTTGGCCATGAAAATGATTCCCAAGGCCATGGCTTGGCAGGATCTGGGTGTTTTGCAATATCACATAGTTCAACAATTCTTTACAAAGGCATGTCTTCGGACCCCAGGGAGGCGGCTTTTCCACTCAGGCTCTCAGCTCAGCCCAACCCCTTGCTCACTGTTCATCAGTCTATGGAGATAACCCTAACCCTTTAATAAGGTGATAGCTGCAGAGCTGTTGGTGGGGGACACTCACACATCCCTCAGTGGTATTTCAGGTCCCTGAATTTTCAGCTTTCATTCTTTTCTGAAAGGAGAGGGGAAGGGTGTGCCACTCAACACGGGGGAAGAAGCAGAGCCAAGAAAGCAGCTATCTGCCCAGCAGAAGCACGTGGAGTACTCTCAGATTTCAGATTCCACCCCAAGATTCTGCACTCAGGCAAACGCATTAACCTAGTTTGCAAAACGATAACCTGCTCCTGCTATCTTAAAAGACCACCTTATTTACAATGGCACAAGCTGTCATGGACTCTAGGTCCAAGAAATCAATGTGCAACAGCATACCTGGCAGTTGCTACAAGACTGTCCGTCGTGGTTAAGTCCAGGGCCCCCAACACAGCAGAATGAGCTGTGGTAATTAAGTGAAATAATAATACATATAATTGCAATCTGAAAAGCTCCCCCTCCCCTAATAAGACCATTAACTCCAGATTCCAAATGTGCTTCTGTCTCTATGCTGTTTTTGTTGCAACTGGTCAAACAGACGCCCTTTCAAGAGTTCCCTGATTCTCTTTCGGGTGGCACAGGAGGATCCCAAATGGGGTCCCCACCTTCTTTGCCTGCCCCACTCCACCACATCTGCATGCTGCTTCCGGCCCCCAATCAATCTTTCGTTGCCTTTTGGTCTTAAGTGTCCCTCAATATCACACAACAGGATTATTCAAAAAAGAGAGAGGCCGGACCGATAAACACACCCAGACTCTGGAATGCTACGTGGGTGGAGACTGAGATGTTATGGAGTGGGGGTGGGGAGATGCAATGGAACAAAAGTCAATGTAATATAAGACGAAGTCTTGTGCAGGTCAGTGCAATAGAAAAAACCCCTCTAAATATAATTCTATTAAGCTTAAAAGGCGATTTAGTGCATGATCCTACAAAACTCCCTGGGAGCAGCCTCCCATTTGGGATGTCAAAGTGTGTGTGTGTGTGTGTGTGTGTGTGTGTGTGTGTGTGTGAACATTGTCCATGCTGAACTCTGTGGGTACCATTCTAGGCAGAAGCAGTAATCCCTTTATCCTGGCTGGGCATTTTTTAAATTGTTGCTGTTGTGTTTGCCGGGATGGCAGACTGATGCAATGGCTGACTTGACGCTCCAGAACATGAAAAGGGGAGATGAGAGGAGCAAAATGAAGGCTGCTGTGTCCCCCCCCCAAAGCTAATCCCCACACCACTGCCACCACCACCAGGCGAGGCAACACACTCAAAAGCACCAGCAGCAAAGATCATACTATGGGTCAGCAAGTGAACCACATGGAGGGTGGGGAGATACCACTAGCACTGCAGGTCGTACATATGCTTTTTGCTTCTCCTGGACGGGGGGGAAATACCCTTCATGGTGTCTGTTCATTTGGAGGGGATTTCTCCTTCCCAATTAGGAAGGAGTCCCTTTACAAGACCATTTGGGTTTCCCCTGCTTCTTCCGTGGTTGCCATGCGCTCAAAGAGTCCCATGGAGAGACGCAGGGTGGTTTCTGAGAGTGAAGGCAGCAAAAATAATTAACGCTGGTGAAAAAGCAGTGGAAAATATCTCCTCCTTTCGGGGCCACACGAGAGCAGAGGGAGGGCAGCTGGCGGATGCAGTCCCCAGATTGTGCCCTGGGGATAGGCCTCTCTGTCCTTGTGACTCCCTAGGCTTCAAATATTGCTTCTCTGCCCCTGCAGGTTAGTCTGAGAGGATTGGGTTGGGAGTCATCAAGATGGCGCTCCTCAATAATGTGCCCATCTCGTCCCAAGATGGGGGTGGAGAACCTGCCACCTTCCAGATGCTGCTGGCTCTTAACTGTCCTTAACCACTGGCCAGGCTCGCTACTGGGGCTGGTGGGAACATTTGGAGGGCCCCCAGAGGTTCCCCATCCCTGGGACAGAGTGTTCCCAACGAGGCTAAGAGGGTAACAGTGAGGAGACAGCTTCCCTCTCCATATCCTAGCTAAGGGCTTCCCCCAGAGACATCTCACAAGCCACTCTGGAAAATAAGGGCCTTTTCACCTGGTCTAACAAGGCCTTTCTGATGACACCCCACCCCCAGCTCTTAACTCCCTTCCTTTCAAAACAAAAAAAGAACCTCATCTGCTAAAATGCAACTGCCTCTGCATTTCAATAACAGCTAAGGTGTTATGTTATATTTCTATCCAATTTCTGCCTGGAGAAGGATGCAAGCAAGGTATCAACAGGGCTGCATTTATTTTAATTGCAACACCGGGAGCTTAAGGAAACATCCACATTTTCGGCAAGGGCGGGTGAGGGAGGAAGGGCACGTGACTTGTTATGGGACATGCGGCTCTGCCTGGTGTCAGCATCACAGGGCACCTGTCTAGGGTCACATCCCAGCCTCTGGCCTCTGCTAGCCCTCCTTGCCATTCCTGCCTCTAAACTAGTGAGCAGATGAGAGAGAGAGAGGAGAGGAAGAGGGACAGCTTCTGCTCAACATGGCCTCTTCCTCCACAGTGCAGCCTGGAACAGGAGCTCAGCAAGGCGGACCTGCAAATTATTTGCTAATTATGCAAATGAAGTGGGTGGGGAAGTTAAACAGAGGGTGCCCAGATGGAAAACAATGGCTGCTCTGGGCAGAAGAGGGCATTTCTGCAAGTGTGGATTCTACACCCCAATTAACTTTTTCTCTGAAGCTATTAGGTTTTAGAATGCGGTTAAAATCTAGGAAGGCCAAATGGCTAGGAGGAGGAATACCTGCACATCTGCTTTCATATCTCTGGCTCTATAAGGACTAGTGGCCAGCTTGGTGCTTTTGAAAAGAAACAAAACATGGAAAGCCAGGAATCCAAGCCAAGGAATGGCCGGAATTTATGGGAGGTGGCCTGCCCAGAATCAGGGCAGACCTCAGAAAATGGGACCCTATGACAAGTCTGGGTCTTATTGCACAGCCTCCTTTGCCTTGGTGGGTCCCCCAATTCACAGCCCAGACTTGGGAGGAAAAGGTGCTCTAGCAAACCCAGGCAAAACTTTCCAGCTGTTGCTCTAATGCAAATATAGGCACAACGTACCTGGCTGTGTTTAACTATATAAATTCTTTATACATCATATAAACAGGTAACTCTTTTCACATTATCTAATTGAGTAGAAGCAATTAAGGACCAACATTTAGAACAGGAAATACAAATATATCAGTTCTTATACACGTAATGTCCAAATACAAGCTTTTGTGTTCCACGTATGTATAAATGAATCATGTTTTTTAAACGTAATGTCCAAATAAAAGCTTTTTGTATTCCACGTATGTCTTAGCGAATATACCGGTAAGTGCCAAATGTAACAACTTTAAGGAGCAGTATTTGAAAAAGATGAACTTTTCTTTGTAATGTTCCACATCTGCCTTTGCAAAGTATGGTTATTGTATACAGCTGCTGTGTGCAGGTATCAGACAAAGGATACGAAAGATCTTAACATGTGCCTTTGCAAAAAATAGCTGTTGTATGCCGGTGTCAGACGAAAGAACTTAAATGTGACAAGGATTCCGGAATAATACCTTGTTTCACCCTGCCAGGCTTCGTCAGCCGAGCATACTCATATTTTGTGTATCAGAGACATGGAACAAGTGATGGTCCTGGTTGATCCTTTGGCTCCCTAAAAAAAAGCTCAAGAACTCTGGGTAGATCACTGCCAGTTGTTTTATACTGTGAGTAGATCGCAATCTCTTGGGAGTTGGAGGTGCCTGCTCTAATGCACACCTTCCCTTTTGAAGGAGAATGGCGACCCTCCAGTTATCTGCTTAATTCCAGGCACAAAAGCTTTGCTATCTCACAGCCTCCTCCTAATTGCATCAAATTCTTCAAAGCTTCGCTATCTCACAGCCTCCTCCTGATTGCCCCAAATTCTTCCCTTTGACCCAATTCATGTCGCAAAAAGCCTCGGGCTGAGATACGCTTGCATTCAACCCTCAGTCCTGCCACCCCACAGCTCGCCTTGGCATTGTACAAGGAGTCCTTTATGCTGCGTCTCAACACCCTGGATCCACTCCACAGAGACTTCTGGGCATGGGCGAAGTTCTGCCTGCCTGCCCCTTTCTGCCTTCCAAATTGAGGCTGCAAAACTTGCAGAGGCAGATTCCTTCTCCTCAGTCCCAGCCCTTGCAACTCCTCAGGACCGGAGATGGAAGAGATAAGAGGGTGCTGAGAGTGAGGTTTCACAGGCCTGGTTCATGTGAAGTTAACTTATTCGGGGCGTATCAGAGTATTGTTAAGTCTGGCTGGAGGCAGGTCTCTGGCAGAAAGCAAGGTGCTTTTCCCGCCCACTGCTGCCTGATATTCTTTAGCTGGAGATACCAGGGACTGAATCTGGGAGCGACCACTGAGCTGCAGACCCTACCTTCCATCAGGAGAGGCAGCAATGGCTTTAGAAGAGGACTGGACAAATTCAGGGAACAGGAGAAGACTACTGATGGCTACTAGCCAGGATAGCTGTTCTCTATCTCCAAAGTTGGAGACAGATATGCTTCTGAGGACCATTTCACTGGAAACTGCTCTTGTGTTTGGGGTTTCCCATAATGGGCATCTGTTTGGCCACTGTGAGAACAGGATGCTGGCCAAGATGGGCCACTGGTCTCATCCAGCAGACCCTTCTTACATTCACATGTCTTCTACTCCAGGGTCACTCTCATGCTAGAAACTTAACAACAATCCCAGCTCCAGTCACTGCAGGAATCTCCCAGCCTAATGTTAACATATTTATAAAGCCAAGTGTTCAAAGAGGTTCACACACATTTCTCCTTGTTGCAACCTTTGCACCAATCCTGCGAAGGAGATCAGTATCAATATCGATATTGCATAACGGAGGCTGAGAGCAACACCTTAAAATTCCTATAACAACGTCTAGGACAAACCACCGAGCCAGATTTGCAGCAGGAACTGAATTCTGAACTCGGAACTGCCGCCGCACTTATCTGTACAGATTTGCAAAATCAGGAGGTTGAAGAGAATGCGCAGAGATTCCTTAGCTGAAACACAAACAAGCATCTAGTCCCTTATGTCTGTGGATGAAAGGCAGGCATGGTATCTTCACAGTCATTAAGTTTTGCCCGTTTCCCTCCCACCTGCCCCCAAATCAGACAATGCTTGGGTGTGGTTTCTCAATAGTTAGGGTGACTATCCTCCTTTCATCTGCATGTAAACAAGATTTTGCATCCCCAACACACACAGTATTCCTTTCAAAGCATTTTCTCCAAGGCACAATCTGACCTGACCTTCTGGGTGCAGTGGGTGCCGGTCTGTATGGTATGTCAACCACTGCTGTTTTGTGTTGGACTAATTGTAAGTGGCAGCAACACAGACCAAATGTTACTATTGCTGGAGGGGAGAGAGAGGTACCCTTCTCTGGGTTGCAGATATAAAGCAGAGTCTGCAGGAAGCCACCACACACACACACCCTGCCTCCATCCTGTCTGGTTGTTAAATGCTCCCCCCAAAAGTAATCAACATCCCTTTTCAGAAGCACTTTGGGGTTAGGAATAGGACTAAGCGAGTGCAGCTTAAAATCCATATGCCACTTAACTTGAGGTGTATTATTCAGAAATTCCTGTCTTGGCCCTTAGTGCCCCCCAAAGGAAACCCTCAAATGGGCTACATCCTTTGGTGGTCATGCTGGCCCATTGTAAACTGACCTCCTGATCCGAAACCTACTAGGAGCGAAGAGAAACCCTTGGCTTCTAGCTGCATATCTGGGGCAGCAGGTTGGTGGCTGGGACTGATATGCCTACAGCCTAATGATCCCTCTGTATCAGGGACAGCTCTTTATTTTCTGATACGTCACAGTTGTCTCTAGTTCACCTCTTGAGGATGCCTCTGAGAAACATCACCCCCCATCCCCCTGGCTCCACACATATTCCACCCCTGAGGGAGGGAAGGATGGGTGCATATACCTTGCCTCCAGCACAGTGGTGAGGAACCTGTGACCCTCCATATGTTGTTGGACTCCAAATCCCATTGGTTCCAGAAGCCAGCATGGCCAGTGGTCAGGGATGATGGGAGTTGTAGCCCCACAACTTCTGGAAGGCTACAGTCTTCTCCCCATCCCTGCTCCTTTTGAACTGCTGATAACACATTGCTTGGCTTTCACTGAGGATTTACGTCCTGTCTTTCCCTCCAACCAGTGTTCCCAGCTGCTGACTCCAGATACACACCCACACAAACTCTTAGCAGGAGGGATGTGGCCATCTCCAAGCTCTGATCGGTGTCATATTCCAAAGCACAGGGAGATTCCTAGCTGCCAAGAGACCATTTCCTAACCCTTAGCTCTCACTGGTGAAAGCATGCATGATTCAGTAGCGAACTGCCTAATAAAACCAGCTGCCATTAACAATATTATAGGGCAATCATGTATTTCCAGTGTATACTGGAACATGACAATAAAGCCCCTTTTGCTTTTAAACTACTACAAGAAGAACAGAAGAGGCAGAGAAGGCACATCAGCCCTGAGGAACAAACAGAGGATGAGAAAGAGTCAGGTGCTGGTCACGGGACTGAGAAGAGGAGGCTTACATAGGCATGCCCCAATTTTCACATGTCAAACATTAAGAGGGTGTGACTATGCCCTGGTATGTTTCCTCTGCAATCTTCTTGTCTCACTATTATTCGCTGCTGAGATTTAATAAGTTGCATAACGCCTGTTTTACGAGTTTTATGTATATGTTGTGATGGCTATTTGACATATAAAACAGATGAGTGGGAGGAGGAAGAGAATCAGTCAGCAAGGACAGACTCTTCTGACCTAGGACCAAAAGGTCAAACACTGTAATCAGAGGCTGATTGGCATCTGTCTGTCTCGGGAGACAATGGAGGAGTGTGCCTTCGGGGGGTGAAGTCAACCACTGGAGAGTTACAGCACCCGCTGTCACTGCAGAGACATGTTTTGCAGCTGGGGCAGATGAAGGCATCCAGTTCTGCTCAGGCAGGTGGACCATGTGGCCCTCCAAGCAGTCATTCCTCCTCTGGTCACTGCTGTGGATGTATGACCCGAATGACTGTCTCCAGGCACTGTGGTTTGTCTGCAAGGGATTCCCACACAAGCTGAGTTATCGTCGCCAGCCTTCATGTCACAATTGCAGACATCTTTGTAATGCAGAGCTGGTTTTTCATCTTTGCGTTGGTCATTAGCATCACATTCTTCCATACCCTTTCAGAGAGGAAAGCCATTGCCATAGCTGCCTTGCCAATATGTTTATCCAGCTCAGCATCAATGGAGAGATTGCTGGTTACGATGGAGCCCAGGGAGGCAAAACCATCTACCACCCAAAACATGTGGTCATCAACGCTTGATGTGTGGAGTGTTGGGTGACAACCTGACCCAGGACGTTGGTCTTTGTTAGGCTGATGTAAAGTCTGAACTCCACAGGTAGAGTTTTGTACACAGTGGTGAGAGGGAGAGAGCTTGCACACCTGGCCAGTTCTGCCAGCGAAATTAGGCACAATTCAGTCAATGCACATATATTGAGTTGCTTAGGTACATCATCTGCTTCTACCTGAGCAGGGATGGAAAACCTCTGGCTCTCAAGTTGTTGCTAATCTAGAACTCCCATTGTCCCTGACCACAGGCCATGTTGGTAAACTGAGAATCCCAACAACATCTGAAGGACCATGGGCTCCCCATCCCTCATCTATTTTCAGATTTCACTCACCTATGAAGCTCAGTGGATAGTTTTGCTGGGGTCAGTCATTCTGGAAGGAAGGAAGGAAGGAAGGAAGGAAGGAAGGAAGGAAGGAAGGGACACACACCATCAAGACTAGATGGATCTTTGGTCTCATGCAAGGGCTGTTCTGATTAGATTCTCTAGATTCCAGAAAACTGCACAAGATCAGAGTTTCTCTGTTCTCCAGCACTGCAAACAAAGCTCACATAGACTTAAGCTTTCCATGCATCTGCACTGGTGTATTAGGAGTACTCCAAGAATGCCGGGGGGGGGGGGAGCTGCTTCTGAAGCAAGGACAATCTCTTGTACTGGGGGGCCACCTTCCCCAGGACAAGCAGGATCCTGTTCTCTTCCCCTTTCAATTTCATGCCCCTTCTGCTCCAATCAACGCAGGGATTGAAAGGGTTGGATTGTGTAGAAGAGGAAGAAAATCCTGCCTTTGTTCCACTGGTGATCCAGAGCAACACCAAACCATAAAGTCATATGAGCGGCATTGAAAATTCAATTAGGAAGGCAAAGAACTTGCCAGATACATTGGCTTGGGGGCACCCAGAAAGGAGACAAAAGGGAGTGGGTGTGCATGCATGGGAGAGAGAAAGCATTTCTAGCACAAAGGAAAGGCTCACTGACCGTCCTAGTTGCACAAAGCTGGGACATGGGCATGGACGGGAAAGGAAAGCAGAAATGTTGTTCAAAGTGGGGAGGTGGAGGCACAGTGTGTTTAGAAGCCCATGTTTCCTGCCATCCTCTTGGGGCTGTTGCTTGTGCTGCCATTTTTGCACTTGGGTGTAGCAGCTTCCCAAATATAAAATGCATGTCACTAGCAAACGGCTAGTGATCGCCAAAGAATTGATGCTTTTGAATTATGGTGCTGGAGGAGACTCTTGAGAGTCCCATGGACTGCAAGAAGATCAAACCTCTCCATTCTTAAGGAAATCAGCCCTGAGTGCTCACTGGAAGGACAGATCCTGAAGCTGAGGCTCCAATACTTTGGCCACCTCATGAGAAGAGAAGACTCCCTGGAAAAGACCCTGAAGTTGGGAAAGATGGAGGGCGCAAGCAGAAGGGGACGACACAGGACGAGATGGTTGGATAGTGTTCTCGAAGCTACCAGCATGAGTTTGACCAAACTGCGGGAGGCAGTGGAAGATAGGAGTGCCTGGGGTGCCCTGGTCCATGGGGTCACGAAGAGTCGGACACAACTGAATGACTAAACAACAAGAAGTCCTGAAAACCTAAACTACCTTACAACTGTAAGACTTATGTGGGCAGGGGATTATTTTTCAGGGAAACTGAAAGGGGTCTGAGAAAGGCTTTCACTTCTTCTGGTGCAGGCACACCTCCTTCAATCGCTGCAGTCAAACAGTTTCAGTAGGTTTTGGATGCAATGTGGGGGAAAAACAGCCCTGCAAGACCTTTTTAGCCAGGCTTTAAGAAATGAGAAACAAAACCCTGCCTACATGTGGATTGTGTGGGAAGCAGCAAAGTGGAATGACCGGGGGGGGGGGGGGCAAGAACAGCAAGGTATGAAGACTCTGGCCAACAACTTGTTTGAGATTTGAGTGTGCGCCTTAAAGAGGTGTCCCCTGGAATCCTCTGCTGCACTCATGGGTTCCACCTTGGCAGGCCTAGAGTACACAGACACACGCCCCGCAATCAATTCACACACCCACACATCCCATTGGTATCGTGGAGACCAAGAACACATACCCAGCCCTTCCGTGCGCACATGCTCCTCTGCGATAGCTGACTGTACAATAACCTGGCCAGACACATCCCAGGCTCCTTGGTTCCACCGACTTGCCCTGGCTTGTCCCCTATTGAAGCTGCTGAGCGATCTCCAGGGCATGAACAGGCCCTTTTGCTGGTTCCCCTTTGTCTTGTTTTCAGGTACTGGGGGAACAAGCCCAACCACTGGCACCTTCCTCGCCACCCAGCTCTTCACACCTACTGTGTTGGGGCAAGCCCCAAAGAAGCAAGGGAGATCAGGCTGATAATGATATTTAAAAAACAAGAGAGAGTGGGGAGGCCAGAGCAAGAGAAGTGAGCAGCTTTTGCCACTCCTGTTGCCCCCGGGGGCTGCAGCAGGCTGGGATCTGGCATTCTGCCTCTGCCCCAACCCTGTGACACTCCAATCCTAGAATTCTTGTGGTTGTGTCTCCTCCTTGCATCACCTTCACATGAAGCAAACACGGTGCTGTGTGCTCCAGTCTTTGTGAAATTGGGTCAGACTGGCCTCCAGATTCCTTGTGTCCTATTCCAGACCCTCCCTAAGCTGATTCTAAGCTCACTTGGGCAAAGGAAGCAGCAAATAACTCCTTTTGTCTTGTGTTGAAATTTAATTGTAAGGCAGGGACATCTCTTTATGAACCTAAGAAGATCCCCGCAGGATCAGGCCCATGGCCCATCTAGACCAGCCTCCTGTTTTCACAGTGGCCAACCAGATGCCTGGGGGAGAAACTCCAAGCAGGACCTAAGTACAAGAGCCCTCTCCCGTCCTGCATTCTCACCTCTGGCTGTATGGCATAGCCATCGTGGCTAGTAGCCATCAATAACTCTTTCTTCCTTCGTGAATTTGTCTAATCCTCTTTTAAAGCCATCTAGACTGGTGGTCATCACTGCCTCCTGTGGAAGCGAGTTCCATAGTTTTCTTCATTTTGCACAGTGCAGAGAAAGTATTGTGTGTGTGGGGGGGGTGTTTCCCACATGCAGAACTAAACTCCAGGTCAACAAAACTGATGGGCTTAAGATTCAGGACAGGTAAGAAGAAGCACTACTTTGCAGTGCTTAACTGTTCCTGCCTAAACCTACCTAGTTGCTACGATCAGGAGAGATGGGTAACGAGAGATGGGGGCTTTTAGATTGTGGCACTCCATCTTGGAGGGAGAAGTCCCTTCCCCAAGAGGTCCACACAAAAATGCTTTCGTTCCTCCAATTATACGTTGGAATTTTATCTTATTATAGATCACTTTGGTGCTTTGTTTTATTGTGATTTTGCTTTCAAAAACTATTTGTTGTTTCGACACTGCATTATTTTATTGTAAGGTGGCCATCTAGTCTCTGCTGAACTAGCTCCAGCAAAGCTACTGAACGCCAGTTCTTGGGAGTCAACAATGGCTCAAAGTGGAGTAGGTGGGTGGGTGAGTGCCTCTGGACCCCCCTCCCTTTGAAAGCTTCCCACTGCCTGAAACAGGTCGCTGGGATATATGGCCCTTTGGCCACATCTAGCAAGGCTCTTCTTACAGATTGCCAGTATCCTTCTGTTCAGGACCATGTAGTTGAGAACAATGCCATTATCTTCTGCTGAAGTCAGAGTCTTCAGTCCAGCTCTCAACAATATGCACCTGCAGCAGGAATCAAGCAGCTAGCTGCCTTTATCCTCCCAAGTTCAGTCAAACTCCAGCAGGTTCCACCGACCCAGCCTGCCACATGTCAAAGAGAAAGATGCCTTTGGAGGACTGAGCAACACACCCACATGGCTCCCACAATGCATGGGCTGGTCCCTGCCTCTCATTCCAGAGTCACCGGTTTGGGCAAACAGGCGAAGATCTTTTCTCTCAGGAGGAGGAGGAGGGTGGTGCTTGCCTTTCTCCTGCCAAAGTCTAACTGCCCCTCAATCACCTACGTTCACGGAAGAGGATCTTTACTGTCTGCCTTCCTGTTTAAACGATATCCCCTGCGCATGAATTTTTATTTATTTACGTTAGATTTAAACCTCGCCCTTCCTTCCAAAGGAGCCCAGGAGAAATGGGGTGCAGAGGAGGGAAAGAAGAACAGAACGACGATAGAGACGCCAGGGAAACAGCCCCAAAGGCTGCCCATCCGCAGGCAGATGAGAAGACATTCTCCCACTCCAGAAGGCAGAAGGGGTGAAGTTGCACAGAGTAGCAGAAGCACAGAATCGTAGAGTTGGAAGGGACTCCCAGGGGTCATCGTGTCTAACCCCCTGCAATGCAGGAATCACGGCTAAAGAAGCCCTGACAGAATCAGTAACCCCCACACCGTATGCCAGGAGAGGGCTGTGAGCATGCTCACATAAATAATGACACCCACCCAGCCACAAAGGAGGTTGCCCACTGCTTCTCTGCCTGATCAGGACTTTTAACTCCATCCAATCGGCTCCTGCCAGCGGCAGACGCATTTCCACATCAGGTGCAACCAGATAATTACATCTCACACAATCACTTCCAACCCAGAGATTTAGCCGAATTACCCAACCCCAGCCAAGGCTTCCCGTTGCATCTCTGCATGACTCACAGCTGTGGGAAACAACGGCACACTTTTGGCTTCTCTTGCTTTTTTTGTCCCAATAGCACCCTGGTCCAATCCAGAATGCATAAAGAGCATGATCCACTTCCGAACATGAGGCTGCTTAGGCGGCATACTGAACAAATCCAAAATTACGATCTGCTGGAATTTAAAACCACATATATTTGACAGAATTTATTTGTGTTCTCACAGAAAGCCATGGAATTGAGTCCAGTACTTGACCCTCTGAAAACTCTCCCTGCACTTTCCCCCTTTGTAACCATGAGGGCTTCAAAGTTGGTTGCTAGTGTTAAATGAAACCAAAGGATGCTGAATGTGCGAGTCTAGTGTGTCAATTTCTTCTGTATATGATGCTCACACACAACACACCAGAGACTTGTTTCACATTTTAAAAGAGCCTACTCAAGGCCTAAACGGATGAAGCTTGGAAGACCAGCATGTGCATGTATCATATTTACCTAAAAGTAGCTGGCTGAGGCAGGGACTCCAAAAGTTGCTGGAGCAGAGCAGCAATGGGGAGAGGCGGTTTTATTCCTTCACCTGCACCAGTTCCCAGTTCTAAATTTCCATTCTGCCCCCTGCCCGGAAAGCTATTAGAGCAGTGGCAGAAAAGATATGGGTACCAATAACCAGGAAAGGGGAAGTTTTAATTGATAGCATAGAAAAGCACAAGAGCCAGGGGTGGCAGGGGGAGGGGGGAGATCTTTCTATAGGAAGCTGACGTGCTTGGAGCTAGAAGAAAGGAGAGTTGGCAGCTGTCAGTCAGGAAGCTTGGAACCTCACAAGTCTTCAAAGAACATGGTGGAGGCTCTTACTCTGCCAGCCAGTTACACCCAGGGCCGTCTGCGCTCTGCGCTCTGTACTGAGAGAGGCAGGATTTTGCAACGCGCATAATTTTGCATGCTCTTTCCTTTTGCATGAATACATATGGAGGCATGTAATGTAGATGCCCTAACCGCACTAACTATTTTCCCCAAAACCCCTCTGATATTTCAGTGGGCATAGCCCAGATATCTTCAAGCACAGATACGCGCAACCATTAAGCTAGGAATTTGGTGAGTTTCTTTTTTTTCTCTTTTTTTTTTAAAGGAAAGCTAAGATTCTTTGGGAACTTAGTAATTCCGCACCCAATACTTTTGGGGTTTTCGTCCTCTAATATTTCATGGAATTCTGGCCTAACACACTCTGGCTTAATTTCGCTGCTCTCCAAAGTATGGAGCAAAGCCACAACAGCCCTCATGGATAGTTCAAAGTTTAATTCCCATTAAGGTGGATGACATGTGTCTGGGCAGTATCGCTCCAGACTTGGGGGGTGGGGGGCGGGAGAGAGATCACCTTGAACCAAAGGACTCAACCCCCTGTCCCCATACAGCTGCAACTTGCAATTGGAAGAAGCCACTCCAGACACAAGCGGACCGCCTCAGTAAGAACTAGGCTTAAGTTTGTCCGTCCCTTTGTCAATTATCACACTGTCAACGAAAAGCCAAATTGGTCTTGCAGCTGTTGGTTTTCTAACTAGGCAAGGGAAGCTTCCTCCCCTCCCCTTTTCACCTTCGTTCTCGTGTACCAAAAGAGGAGCAAGGACATGAGGGTCACAGGTCTCTTACACACCCTCAACAAACATGTGAAGTGTCCCAGAACTGCAAAAAACAGGTTACTGCCTTTGATTAAGAGGACGAAGGGATGGGTGTATGGGAGGCTAAATTGTACAGAGCTGTTTTCAAAGGCAGGACTTTGTGTGAATGCTGAGATTTTGGAGAACGACAGGGGCACAACGGATGGGGGACAGAATGGGGACAGTTAAGAACAGGATTCAACTACCTGACAGTCCTGGCTTTTTCTTTTTTAAAAAATCAAGTTTCTAGTCCTTATAGTTGTGAAATGTATGCTTGAAAGCGTGTGAGCTGATGAAATCTCAAGAAGCCGGAGGGGCTGCTAACTGAAACTTTTTCTGAAACGCCAGTGCCCTTGCCCGCTCACCTAGTACCAGCAAAACCAGAATGATGCAAGAGTCGAAGTTATGCAAAGCAATTATGAAAATGGATTGAATTCAGATGATTTTTAATGGGTTACTCACCGCCTCGGCTGAAGGCTCCACCATGCTTCTGAAATTACTAACAGGGACCAGCCTGTGCTTTCTGGATTTCCCAAGAGCGACATACAACCTCCCACTTTTCCTCTCTCTCTTTCTCTCTTCCACGCCCCATATCTTAGCCCCACCAAGGCAATGTTCTCCTCCATTTCTGGAGCTGAAATCCCAGGCGCCTTTTGCTTTCCATTTGTCCTTCTCGTTCAGGATTATTCCACCCTTTTCAAAGACAATACCAAACTGGCAAGGAAACAGTTTTTCTCCAAAGCAGCATCCGCAAAAAATCTTGGACAGGAATCCTGGAAGGACCAGGCCTTTGCAGCACATTCTGAGCTACGTTTCCTTTAGGAACATATGAATTAACTCCACGTCTCACGTGCGCCAACCTCGTGAGCAGAAACGCTGCCGCCGCCCTTGCAGAGCAGGGATGTCCAAAGGAACTCAATTCTCTCCCCCCCCCCCCCAAAAAAGAGGTTTTTGGTTGGGTTTCTTTGCTTTTTAAAGTCACCTACAACTCTCTCCCAGAACTGAGAAGGCACCCCACTCCAAAATCCACAGCTGGGCAACACATCTCTATTTAAATCAGCCAAACTGTTACAAAACAGTGTGCAAACTTTTGAGTTGTCCAGATGAGGTTTAAACTTTGAGATCTGCATTTGAACTCAGTCTGAAGATGGAGATTGCAGACTGATTTAGCCTTCTGCTAGGTGCTTGCAGGGATCAGGTTACACACCTAGGATTCTCTTTGTTTCAAAAAACGCAAAGCCAGGCTATTACCCAGATCTGCCTCACACCGTATACGAAATGCCCAAGTTCCTGGTTAGGCAGAAGTAGAAAAAGAGAGCAACATAACAGCCTTTACATTAGGAAAGCCAGAGATTAATTTTGGGTGGTGCACTAGCTAAAAGAGTCGAGCAAAGCCAAGTTATGTAGTACAATGGTACCACTGGTTACAAACTTAATTCTTTCTGGAGGTCCTTTCTTAACCCGAAACCATTCTTAACCTGAGGTACCACTTCAGCTAATGGGGCCTCCCGCTGATGCCGTTGTGCGATTTCTGTTCTCATCCTGAGGTAAAGTTCTTAACACGAGGTACTACTTCTGGGTTAGCGGAGTCTGTAACCCAAAGTGTTTGTAACCCGAGGTATCACTGTATTACCTAGCAGCTGGCAGGCATGCAATCCTCAAAATGCAAAGCTTCTCTTCAGGTGGTCGAAAACCATCCTCCCTCTGGTTGTCGATTTGTCCCTGAACAGCGAAATTTGGTATTGGGAAGACCACGTCCCAAAACGTACACTAGCAACCTGAAATAATTGCAATCACCCCCCCCTTTTTTTTTAGAAAGACTCCAGTGGAAAAGACCTTCTTTCGGACCCTAAAGTAATGTTAACCTTCAAAGCGGTTTCTCTCTCTGTCTCTTCTCCCATTGCTTAATTGTGCCCTCAACAAACCCTTGCAGCAAAGGGATACATGGTGAAAGGCAAATTAACACACTGTGCCTTGAAGACCAGGCCAGGAACCACCTCATGAACAAACTGGAAGAAGGAATGCAACACAGGCCTTACCAGCCAGGAAGGTGCAAGGTGGACAAGGCAGGGAAGCTGGAAAACACAGAGTCCCTTTCAAGAGCTGAGGGGAAGAAAATGCCAGTGAGGGGGAAAGGAAACGTTTGCGGGGGACTCAGCCAGGGCTGTCTTCAGGTTGCTTTTTAAGCCTTCTTGTCCTGTCCTAGCCATCTCTTAAATCTGCTGTCTTTCAATGGGCGCTTCAAGGTCCTGCTTCTCACTGAGGTGGTAAACTTCTGCCAGGGCTATACAGCTACAGGTTGCAATTTATGTGACTGAATATGCGCCCATGCCAACAAATAAAACCCAGTGATCAGGGAGCATTCAGTCAGCTGAGCCCTCACCTGCAGTCTAGTAATAAAGGCACAGGGTTGGCTACTTGAGGACTACTAGGCCTCAGAATAGGGCAAGAGTGGGGAACATGGGGCACTCCTGACGCAGCCGGACTCCCAACGAGGATGACCAATGTTCAGATGGGAGTTAGATGCCAGCAATATCTGGAGGGCTCCCACTGGCTGCCCACCCCAACAAAGCGTCATGTCAGGAGTTGGGAGTTTTTGAACTTGAAGTTCTCTCCCTCCCTTACCAACCAAGCAAGCCACCCCCTCCATAGCCCCCAAAGTCCTCAGGCCAAAGCCCTAGCTGACCGACTGTGCCTCTGGCGCCAACCATGAATCTTACCACTTTAAAAGAGACAACACACACAAAACTTTGTCCAGCCTGCTAGCCTGGCCAAGACACCCCTTGGCCTTGCTTTGTGTATGGGTCACTACCCCCCCCCAACTTGGTTCACTTGGGACGTTTGGCCTCTCCTCGAAGACGCTTTGAAAAGTGGGGTTGGGGGAGAAAGTGTCTCCACTCCCGACCCATCAAAGCCCCTTTTCAGAGCTGCCCATTCCAGTGGAGACTTATAGGGGAAACCCAGCAACTTTTGTGCTAGGAAAGCTTTTGGGACGCCTGCCACGCAGGACAAAAAAAGGGGGTGAGAGTTAATGTTCAGTGTCAACTAAATTCAAATAAACTTTTGTGGTTGTCGTGGGAGCTCCAAGCGAGCTGCCATGGGGCCAGGAACTGCTCCAGAAAGTGTCTGGGGGGTTAGTGCTGCACCAGGCCAGAGTTTGCTTGCTGCAGAGGTGCCACGCCCAAAGGAAACCCATGATCCAGCAACCACGGTGGTGGAGGAGGAAGAAGCGACAGAACCAGTATGCTCCGGCCTGCCCTACCTGCCAGGGCAGAGGCCAACACCCTTTTCACCTAACCAAATCTCGGCCTTGCCCAGAGATACAGAGCAGAACTGAGAGCAAAGCTGGGTGTCATTGTGGACCCATCTGTGGCTCTGGAGAGCCAGCCAGGAGGAAAACAACAATCCTGGATGAGAAGAGGTGGAGGAACTCCCCAACAAGAGTGGACTCTATAATAAGACGGAGCTCTAAACTGGCCCCTACAATCTGCTAGGGGAACCATGTCTGCTACAGGACAAGGATGTGGGGTGCACAGAACAAAGGTGGGGGACTTATTGCCACTGTGGATTCCTATAGGGTGGGGCACGGAGCTGCTCAACCGCATAGCCCAGGGGGCACAGCCTCAGAAATGCACATTTCTATAAATCTCCCCAGTGGGCCCCTAAAAATTAAACTCACCAGTGTTATGGAACAAGCACTCCCCTCAGCTATATAAACTCCCACAGAATTATTTGCAGCCCCCTAGATCAGACACCCCACATGGTCCCATTAAAATATCTGTGTTCCTAAAGAGGAGAGTTTGGCTGCAGAGGGAAGAGAAACTTTCATAACTCTACCCTACAGAAGAAACACATGTCTTCAAGTCTGTCCCATGGATTTGTAGACACTTATTCAAAGCCCCATGGAATAGCTTACCAATAGCTGTGCAAAGGCCCCTGGCTCCCCCAGAATGCCCCATACACTGACAGAAAATAGTCTTCTTTATTGAAAACCTCCCCAAATCTCGCCCTGCTCCACACCTACACAGCTCCTGCTGACAAGCCACGTGCAAAGTGCTTTCCCTCAGACTCATAGAGCTCCCAGATTCCCCCAGCCTCACCCCACAGAAAAGCATGCACACAGCCAGTTTCTGTGGAACTTCACTACCCCTCCTTCAAGGCGCCTCCACAGACGAGACCCCCCCCCTACTTTGCATGCAACGTGTTGGCTCTTTTGCCCCTCTCTCCTGCTTGAGAGAGATCCCTTCCTGGACTCACCCGCCCCCCCTCAATCCCAAGTTTTGGAGCGGGGCTCAGCCCCTCCCTCCCTCTGCCAGCTAAAAAGCCTGCTTCGCATTAGTCAGTCTTTCCAACCACCGCATTCCAGAGGCAGCTGGAGGGGGGCCAAGTGGGGGGGGGAGCGGCAGGGAGGAGCTTCCCCACCTACTAGAGGGCCAGCCCCGGACTGAGCCAGGCGAGGCGGCCGCGGGGACGGACGGCCGCTCCCTCTCCGGCGAAACGACGCGCAAAAGTTTGAGCCCAGGAGGAGTCGCCGCGCCTGTTGCAGGCTGGATCCGAAGTGACATCCAGCGCAAGACGCAAAGCGTCCCCCCCCCCTTTTTTTTTGCACGCGGATTCGTAAGTGCAGCACATTCCCCATTCTACAGATGGCCAGACTTTTCTCGGCAAGCAATGCGAAAGGGAGCCACTCCGAATTAAGCCAAGAGAAAAAATACTCTCGGGAGGGAAGTGGAATTTCGAAGCCCATCCAGCCCCTAGAAACAAACACACCCTTGGGACGGGGGGGGGGCAGAGATGAGCTTTGCAAAAGACTGTGCAGACCTTACTCCCCCGTAATCCGAAAGAACGCAAAAAAAAAGGCGTCATTCCCTCAAAATTCAAAAAGTCCGAAGAGGTTGGGAGGGGATCTCTAACACACACACACCCGTTGATTGCAACCGGCCGATCTCCTGAGGGTTGCACGCCTTCCGATCTGCAAACTGGATGCCACAAAAAGAAGTCACTCCGGAGTAAGCCAACGCCTTGACGGGCATGCGCACCAGCGTCTCGTGCAGCAACCCTGGGGGGACATCCGAGCTCCCCTCCATCAGACTCGCCTCCGGGCAAAACCCTACTTCCAAAAGCACCACCCCCTCGCATCGCCCCTCAAGCCCCCCACCCCCGCCCACTAGCCCAGCTAACGTCGTGTAAACAAGCCGATGGTTTTCACACACACACACACCGCCTATCCACACGCGGATAGCCTCCCAGTTGTGGATCCAGCCCCGCTCCTACACCAGGTCTTGCTACCCCCACTTCTCAATGGGCACCCCTCCCCTCAAAGTACGATAGGGCGGGGTCACACCCAGCGGAAAGCCCTGGACTTTCTCGAAGTGAGTGGGTGGCTCTTCTCCAGAGTCATTTCCATAACTTCGGTTTCCAATAAATACGAATCGGCACAGATCCCGGAATCTCCCCCTCGCTTGGTCACCTCTCCGCACCCGAAACCGATCCGGTTTCCACGCGCACCAAAACTTTCAAACTTTTCCATCAACTTCTCTGCAAAAAAAGGGCTGCGGAAGCTCCGCCACCCTCCCGCCTCGTGTGCCAAGGGCGTTGCCCAGAGGTGCCAAGGCTGGACGGGGGGGCTAAGCAAACAGAGAGGGGAACCCTTTTCGACAAGGCACAGCTTTTAAAACATACAAACTTTTTGAGGGGGGGCGCTTGAAGGAGACTAACTTGTGCTCTGCAAAAATGTGCCCAAGTTTATTTTCAAGTATGCAGGAGGATTGGGGGGGGGCGAAATTAAATAGAGTCCCGTCAGCCCTGGTGAGGCTGTGGCCGTGCGATGGGGCTACCAGACCTCCCCCCCTTTCCCGGCCCAAGCTGACCACCTCCCCCCCCCCCCACTGCCTGCCAGCCCGCCCGGATGGTACCTGCGGGTCCGTGGCCTTCAGCTGCCCGGCACGGCCATGCCCGGCGTCGTCCCGGTCGCTGCTTCTGCCCAGACCCCGATCCTGTCCTGGATTCCTGGAGGCGGTAGCTGAGCCCCGGCGAGCAGGCTCTCTCGCGTGGTATCCCTGCCGCAGGAGCGCACCGAGTGGGCAGCACCCAGTCTAGGGCTGGGCTCTTGTAACACTCAGCCCGGGATGGGTGTGACTCTCTCTCTCCGCTCGCTCGCTCCCCTTCTCGGAGCTGGGGAGGGAGGGACCAAGCCAGGCTCAGAGGAGAGAGAGAGAGAGAGAGAGGCAGCGGAGCAAGCTCTGCCCCCCACCCCACTCACTCTCAGAAGAGGAGCCTGCTGGATCAGACCAGTGGCCCACCTAGTCCAGCATCCTGTTCTCACAGTGGCCAACCAGATCTGCCTGGGAGAAACCAAGCAGGATCCGAGCGCAAGAGCCCCAGTTGTTCCCAGCTAGCAGCCATTGATAGCCCTCTCCTCCGTGAATTTGTCCAGTCTTCTTTTAAAGCAATCCAAGTTGATGGCCCTCCTGTGGCAGTGAGTTCCATAGTTTAACTATGTGCTGCATGAATTACTTCCCTTGCCCCCTCCGTCCTGATTCTTCAAGCATTCAGCTTTCATGGGATATCCACAAATTTTGGTGTTAGAGAGAGGAAGAATTTTCCCCCTCTATCCGCTTTCTCCCTGCCATGCAAGATTTTGAAAACTGCTATCATGTCGCCTCTTTACTAAAAAGTCCCCAACGCTGCAACCTTTCTTCGTGGGGGAGCACTCCACCCCTAGAGCATTTTGGTTGCCCTTTTCTCAAACTTTTACAATGATGCAATATCCAATTCTTCTCCAAAAGGACAGTGCCAGGACAGAATATGGGGGCAACCTGTGGGGGCAACCTCCAGGTCTTGATGGACTTCCAGCAACCAGCATGCCAAACAGTCAGGGATGAGGGGAGCGGCAAAGGCAACAACCCCTCTGTAAAAGGGAGCCCTACTGGATCAGGAGGACAAAAAGGCACCTAGGCCAGCATTCCACATCCTCCCAGAGAGGTTAGTCAGATACCTCCCACAGCAGTAGACTCCCCCTTCATGTCCCTCAGCAGCTGGTGTTCAAAGGTAGACTGCTTCTGAATCTGGAAGCTCCATTTAGCTTTATGACAACTAGCAGCCAGCGTTGGTGGCTCTTCTCCTCCACCTATTCCATAAATTTGTCTCTGACCACCTTGCCATATTCAGGTTGCCTCTTCCTAAATTCTGTAAAGTGTTATATATATTTATTTTACTATTATATATAATATTTATTATTATAATATACCGTATTTTTTGCTCTATAAGACTCACTTTTTCCCTCCTAAAAAGTAAGGGGAAATGTGTGTGCGTCTTATGGAGTGATCCCAGAAGCCAGAACAGCAAGAGGGATCACTGCTTTCGCTGCACAGTGATCCCTCTTGCTGTTCTGGCTTCTGGGAGTCAGAATTTTTTTTTCTTGTTTTCCTCCTCCAAAAACTAGGTGCATCTTGTGGTCTGGTGAGTCTTATAGAGCGAAAAATACGGGTATAGGTAAAGGTAAAGGACCCCTGACCATTAAGTCCAGTCGTGAACGACTCTGGGGTTGTGGCGCTCATCTCACTTTACTGGCCAAGAGAGCCGGTGTTTGTCCACAGACAGTTTCTCCGGGTCATGTGGCCAGCATGACTAAGCCGCTTCTGGCAAAACCAGAGCAGCGCACGGAAACGCTGTTTACCTTCCCGCCAGAGTGGTACCTATTTATCTACTTGCACTTTTTGGGGTGCTTTCAAACTGCTAGGTTGGCAAGAGCAGGGACTGAGCAACGGGAGCTCACCCCGTCGCAGGGATTCGAACCGCCAACCTTCCAATCAGCAAGCTCTAGGCTCAGTGGTTTAGACCACAAAGCTACCTGCGTCCCTATAATATAATATAATATAATATAAATGATATATAAAATACTGTAAGGAGCCAACTCCCCACCTTTTCCTCCATCCAGATGAGCCTTTCAAAAGAAGGGGGTCATACAGCAATGCTTTTCACACTGGGTTGGGGGACAAATCCTAGGATCCCTCAGCAGCAAATGTGGGAGTATTCCCAGTAGGAATATAAGTAAAGGGGTGCAAGCTTCACAGGAGACATCTAGCTTAGCACTTCAACAGCAGTGGGTTTAGGTACGTTCCAGACCAGGCTGGCACCAGACGTGATGAGCAGCTTTGCGCTCCAAGCCCCAAACCCAGCAGGGGGGCCCATTGCAAATCCTCAGCACCCCATAAGAACACAAGAGCCTGCTAGATAAGGCCAATGGCCCATCTAGTCCTGTTCCCTAGGGCAGCAGTTCCCAGACACCCTTCCATAGACTTCTTGAATACAGTGGTACCTCAGGTTACATACGCTTCAGGTTACATACGCTTCAGGTTACAGACTCCGCTAACCCAAAAAAATTGCTTCAGGTAAAGAACTTTGAAACAGAAATCGTGCTCCGGCGGTGCGGCAGCAGCAGCAGGCCCCATTAGGTGGGGTTAAGAACGGTTTCAGGTTAAGTATGGACCTCCGGAACGAATTAAGTACTTAACCCGAGGTACCACTGTATTACTGTGGGTGCTTATTATTAATTAACACGCTGCCTTTTCCCCTGACAGCAACTCAATGTGGCTTACAGATAAAAATAATAACAGCTTAAAACAGGGGTGAAATCATAAAAATATTAAACATTGATAGAGTTAAAACTATATCTATCATTCAATTAAAACACAAAGATAATTACAATAAAAACAGCAGAGCACCAGCCTTTTCATTGAAAGTAGTCAGTTCCGAAAAGCCTGTTGGAACCAGAAAGTTTTCACCTGCCAGTGGAAGGACAACAAGCAGGGAGTCAGTTCAACTTCTCTAAGGAAGTCTGGGAGCAGCCCCCGAGAAGGCCCTTCCCACACACAGCCCCACCAAGTTTGTCTGCAAAGGTGGCGAGACCAAGAGCAGGGGGGGCCCCACCCCAAGATCTCAAAACCAGGGCATGTTTGTACCAGGGAATATGGTCTTTCAGATAACTTGGACCCAATCCGTACCACTTGATTATTTGGTCTGCCTTTTGTAGCAACTACAATGTGTTGTGCTAGATGTTGTGTGTTTTTGCCTCTTCTTCTATTTCTTCTATATTTTATACCAAGGAATTCAAATGGTAATGCAGTAAAATACAATGTAAAAAGTAAGAGAGAAGCGATTGAAAATCGTTATATTTCATGCGAAGGATGTGCCAACTCCCATCTTCAACCACAAATCTGCAGACATGCCGCAGACCACCTGAATTAAGCTCACAGACCGCTGGTGGTCCAGGGACCACAGTCTGGGAGCCCCCTGCTCCTAAATGACTAACCAGATGCTTCTTGGGAGGAGAGCACAAGCAACAGCACTCTCCCTACCTGCGATGTTTCCCAGCATCTGGTATGCAGAGAGCATAGCCATTGTGGCAAGCAAGTATAACTGGAAGCTCACAGGTCCAATAAGCAACAACTTTGGAATTCTACCATTAGGCAAGCAAGCAAAACTACTATAACAACATTTTATATTTCCGATTTAGGCAAATACCTAGGTAAAATACAAACGAGACATTCAGACAGACTGAAACATATTAAACAACAGTGGAAAGAAGGTCAAAATGGGGCTGACTAATAAACCACAACATTTGCAGGAACACACACATACACAAAACAACCCTTTAAAAAATGCCCCAGACCATCCCAATGAGAAGACAGTCTGTGTGTGTGTGTGTGATATGGAATGGCGGGTGCTGAAAGAAAGGGCCATCCTGACTGACTGACCGACTGACTGACTGACTGGCTGGCTGGAACCAGGAAAAAGGAGCACTCAGCACTTCAACATTTTGGAGCAGTTGTCCCGCTTGAAAAGCTGTAAACCATGGGTAGGCAAACTAAGGCCCGGGGGCCAGATCTGGCCCAATTGCCTTCTAAATCTGGCCTGCAGACGATCTGGGAATCAGCGTGTTTTTACATGAGTAGAATGTGTGCTTTTAAAATGCATCTCTGGGTTATTTGTGGGGCATAGAAATTCGTTCATTTTTCCCCCTTCAAAATATAGTCCAGCCTCCCACAAGGTCTGAGGAACAGTGGACTGGCTCCCTGCTGCAAAAGTTTGCTGACCCCTGCTGTAAACATTCCTCATACAGTGGTACCTCGGGTTAAGAACTTAATTCATTCTGGAGGTCTGTTCTTAACCTGAAACTGTTCTTAACCTGAGGTACCACTTTAGCTAATGGGGCCTCTCGCTGCCACCGTGCAATTTCTGTTCTCATCCTGAAGCAAAGTTCTTAACCTGAGGTACTATTTCTGGGTTAGCAGAGTCTGTAACCCTAAGCATCTGTAACCTGAAGCATCTGTAACCTAAGATACCACTGTACATTGCCCAAATTAACTGGTGGAACTCACTGCTGGAAGATGTGTGATGACTACTAGTTTAAACATTCTTATTTTTTTTTGGGGGGGGAACAGAATGAAGCCAGGAAGTTAGTATGAAAAGAAACTTATTGAAGAGTTGAAGTGACCCACCACAGCTGCCTCAACTCCTATGGAAAGGGTCCACTACTCACCTGGATGAGAGAAGGCTGTGGAGAGGAGATTAGGGACAAAACTAAATAGTCAGAAGTGTAGATCTTGAGGGAGATGGGGGTGGTGGCTGGGCCACAAACTTCCTGTTGGTTGCCCGTGTATGACGGAAACTCACCACCTCCTGTGGCCCAGAGCAACAAGCCCTCCTTCCCCCCGACACCTGCTCTGTTTACAGGCTATAAATACACCATATAGAGTGCAGCTTGTTTATATGTTATAGATACCATGAAAACCTCTCCAATTGAACACTGGACTCCTCACAGCTGTCAATCAGGGGCACATCATCCACCCACCCTTGTTCAGAAGAGCTGCTTCTTATGCACAGTAACCTTCCACCCAGTTCAACTTTCATAACTGATGGAGACTAATTGAAAAGTCTATCTGCAAATCCGTCCGGCACTTTAAAAACCCTCACATGATTGCACCTTGTGGCAATGAGTCCCACAAGTTTATTTTGCACAGCAAGTTAAAACATATTTTGACCAATGCTTCCAACAAAAGACTTTACTGGACAACACAGACACTTATACCCCTAGGACAGGGTGGGCAAACTGCTGCCCTCAGCCTAATTTCATTTGGGTAGCCTGGGGAAAATGGGGAGAGAGAATAATAGAAGTACCGTATAGATCAGAGTTGGAAAGGACCCTGCGGATCATCTAGTCCGACCCCCTTGTAATGCAGGAATATGCAGCTTATGGGGATCAAACCTGCGACTTTGTTTTTATCAGCACTGCGCTCTAACCAACTGAGCTGTTTGAAGAGAGGGAAGGAAGAGGTAGCAGAGAGAGAGAGAAAAGGGGGTAGTGGGAATAGACAAGAGAGAGAAGGGGTGGCAGAGATAGAGAGAGGAAGAGGAAAAAGGAGTGGAGGGGGAGAGGGAAAGAGAAAACTGTTGCCTCTAGCCTAAGGTTACCAGACGTCCCCGTTTCCTGGGGACAGTCCCCGGATTTCAAATCAGTCCCCTGACAAAATCCATTGAAGTTGAAAAGTGTCCCCGGATTCATTGAAAAAAATCTGGTAACCTTACTCTAGCCCCATCTACTTCTGGCTTGGCTCTCATCCACAGCTGTCTCCAACCCTGCCCACCACCGGTGTGCTGCCCACCTGACATATTTTATCAATGGGGGGGGGTGGAGGTCCTAGAATTATGGGAGGAGAAGAAACATCTCTCTGTCTCTTGCCCTCCATGCACCCAGTAATCACTTTTCTCTTCCTAAGCTGCCTGGGAAGCATCACTGACAGAGTCTCTAATTACAGCCGGGACCTTGCTCTGTAGTCATAACAGAAAGGCGGATTAAAGTCCAGGCTTATGCTGAGTGGGAATGCTGGGCAGACATCACCTCACACATAGCTAAGGCAGGCAGACTATGGCCTGAGGAGGAAGAAAATAGCTGTCGAGGAGATAATGTTAATCATTATGTTTGCGGAAGGGATTCCTTCTCCTAAGTTACAAAGAGGCAAACTGAAGCCACATGCAGCGCTGAGAATTCGGAGAAACTGATTTGCAAGGAGCAGTGGAGGTAGCTGGAGGCCGAAAGGACCGCCCCAAGTGTTTAATTAACTTGTGGAACTCCCTGCCACAAGATGTGCTGCTTATGGCCTCCAACTAAAAAAGAACGGGACGCTATCTTCACTATGCATTTAACACAGCATCATACGCTTTAAACAACCGTGGCTTACCCCTGAGACTGCTAGGAACTGTAGATTGTTAAAGGTGCTGAGAATTGTGATATGTATACTGCGGGTGAGGCCTCAGACAAATTCATGGAGGAGGGGAGAGGCCTATTAGTCACCACGATAGCTAAAAGCAGCTTCTGTGTAGGGTGTGGCCTTGCGTACCTCAGCAACAGGTGAGATATACATCACACACATACACAAAGTCAAAAAATAATCCAGACATGCGTAATGTCTGCATGTGCTAATATATGCAAATTTAGAAATATTTACTAGGATTGGACAGCCCTGTGTGCAAAGGGAGTATATTTACCTCTGAATAGGAGATGCTGGAGGGACAAATATTGAAGGAGTGCTAGGGCCTTTGTGCCTCGTTTGTGAGCTTCCTAGAAACATCTGGTTAGCTACGGATGCATTGCAGCCAACTCCTAGGGGCCAAAACGGCTCCCCATAAAATATTTGAATGGAATGGCCTGCCCAAAGTTCATGGGCATTGCCATTCAAATGGTGTGTGTGCACAATGTCTTGTGATTGATTATGCAGGGCAGGGCTTACCTGCTCCCCCCCCCACCTCGCCCCACAGTATTTTATTCATGTTGGCACCCTTGTACTGGTGGAAACAGCATCTATCCTCAGGATTGGTGGAGCCACGAGCCACGAGAGTTGGGAGTGGAAGCAGCAGCCCTCCTGGCTATGATCCCCCCAGCAAGTGCCACAACTATACTATGGAGCTGATGATAATTCAGAACAAATGATGGCCCTTGCTTTCCCCCTTCTATCGAATCTTGCAGCTGCAGAGGAGTTGCAGTATAACCAAAGTTCCCAATTTGGGGGGTGGGTTTTGCTCTCTACAGCTCCACTCCTTTTTTTCAACGTCATGGGGATGCAAGCAGCCAGCTCCCCTGACCCCACGTGCCCCTCTGGTTTTACCAGTATGGTACAGTGGTTAGAGCAGGCTTCCTCCACCTCGGCCCTCCAGAAGTTTTGAGACTATAATTCCCATCATCCCTGACCACTGGTCTTGCTAGCTAGGGATCATGGGAGTTGTAGGCCAAAATATCTGGAGGGCCGAGGTTGAGGAAGCCTGGGTTAGAGGGTCAGACTACTAGGACCTGGGAGAGACCACGGTTCAAATCCCCATACGGCCATCGTGAAGCTCACTAGGTGACCATAGAAGCCAGCTGCTGTCTCCCAGCCCAACCTACTTCACAGGGTTGTTGTGGAGGTTAAATTAAGAGGGGGGAGAACCATCTATGTCCCACACTGAGCTCCTTGGAGAAAAAGGGCAAGATATACTAAATGCAATCAATAAGATAAATGCCTCTTTGCCCAGGCTTCCTTGCAAATAGTCCTGCCAGCACGTGACTGTGAAGCACAATTAATTACTGTTTGCAAAACACTTCAGGATCCCAGAAGAGAGGCGCCAGAAAGTGGAACTTGTTCTTCTAATTATTACCTGGCTCGCAGGTAGGCTTAATTAGCAAGCATCACCGGCACAGCCCCTTGAAGTCTGTGAGGTGGCTGAGAAGGCTCGATGTGTGAAGAAATAATTTAAGATCAGAGTAAAAGAAAGGAGAGGAATCTTTAAAACCAGAGTTCTATGGAGGCATGAAGGAAGGAAGAGCATCAGCCATCAAGCTGCTTTTTTGAAATGGGCGTCCCCCACCCACAATCTTGGAACTAAGCCAAATGGCCCAGCTGCAGCCTGTATTGCACACACAACCGAGGGGAACTCCATGCAAGGGCAGAGGAACCATGATCAGGAAACTGATTTTAAAGGCTGGGCCTTTAGTCCCTCTTGCCCAAAACTCCTGCTCTGACTAGCAGTGGCTTCGCAGGTTCTTGGACAGAAAAATGTTTTTCCATCACCTCCCTACTGCCTGATCGTTCTAACTAAATTTTGTTAAAGACATGAAATATTAGCAACGTGTTTTATTCATTTTTAGCTGCTGCTGTTGATTTCCATTGCCGTTTGAGTATTTTAATATACTCGTGTTTAACTATTTTTAAACTGAGAATATTAATACTTTATTAGTGGTTTTCTTACAATCAAGCGGTATATAAATCTGGTTAAACAAAATAACAGTAAATTCTGGGACTTTCTGTATGAAAGGCAGGTGCTCATACCTACCAGCTGAGCTATAATTTTTTTCCATGGAACATAGGAAACGGTCCCATACCAAGTCGGACTATTTTGTTCCTGCTGCATTGTCAGCTCTGACTGGCAGAAGCTCTCCAGGGTCTAAGACAGGAGGGGCAGGGTGGGTAGGCCGCTGCTGCTGCCGCCCCTGACATCTGCCACCTGAAGCAGCTGCCTCATGGTAGGGCTGGCTGTACCTTATACCAGGTCAGGCACTTTGCCTAACCAGCTCTGTAATGCCTACTCGGACTGGCAGCAGTTCTCCAAGGTCTTTCCCACTATCCTTTTCGCCGATGGGGATTAAACCCACATTCTTCTACATTATTACCTGCACTAGTATCACCTGCGCTATCACCACTGAGCTCCAGTCTCTCCTCCTTCCCTGCACTAAATACCAGTGCATGTAAAAATAGCATGCACTTGAGGGCTGGCTGAAACCTGCATGATTGTAAATCAGGCAATCCCAAACTCGGCCCTCCAGATGTTTTGGGACTACAATTCCCATCATCCCTGACCACTGGTCCTGTTAGCTAGGGATGATGGGAGTTGTAGTCCCAAAAACATCTGGGGTGCCTGTTGTAAAGTGTAAGGCGCTTTGGGTTCATTTGGTAAGTAAAAGTGGGATATAAGTTATTAAAATAAATAAACAAACCTGGTGATGACTTCTACCCATAGGCCATTGCAGATCATGCACCACAGATAAACCTCTGAAAACCAGTTGCTGGGAACTGCAGGATGGGAGAGTGCTATTGCGCTGGAGTCCTGCTTGTGGGTTTGCCCACAGGCATTCATTAGCTGGAGCACAATGTAAACAATGATTCTTATGCCCGTTTCTTTGTTCCACCTTCACAGCTGGTGGAACGATCTCACCAAAAAAATCACGGATGTTTGGGCACTGCAAAATTTGCTTTGTAAATACCTTGGGAAGCAAATTACAGTTGCAATTTGCTATTTTTTTCCAACATGAATGAGCCAAATTGACATCCCTAGCTTCTGTTACTGGAGGCCCTGGTGGCTGTAGGGGTCAGGAGTAACTTTTGCCAGCTTCAGATGGTACACCAGTGATGACCATTCCTGGGATAGCCTCAGTAGTCTGACTCATTCATTGATAAGCTTAAGGTTGAACAATTTCAGTGTCCTCTGTGTACGGCTGGCTTGGGAACTGAAAAACCCAGCGGTTAAGATGCTGAGTGGGGCATCCTACCATGCTCAGGTTTTGTGTCCGGATTTGTGCTTTTTGAAATATGGCAACCCTACAGGGTGACACCACTTTTAAAAAGAACTGTGCTGGCTGCCAATATGTTGCTGGGCAACCCACCAACCCAAAGGACCTTTTCAGTAGTAGTATCCTTTCTGTGGAATCAACCTCCCCTCTGAATTAAGACTACATTAATTAAATTTGCTTCCTGAAAACATGTTTGCTCTAGAAGGCATTGGAAGCTGTCTTACACCATTGGTCAACCCAGTTCATTATTGCCTACACTGACTAGCAGATGCTCTCCAAGGTCTCAGCCAGGCATCTTTGCCCAATCCTACCTGGCAATGCCACTGGGGAGTAAAAGAATAAAATTTATTGAAGTAAATCAAACAAATCAATACAGTAAAAATAATAGAAGTACAAAAAAGCAGTGCAGTATATCTGGGAGAGACTTAACATTAGGTTTGGTAAGACCAAAAGGAAAACAAAATTTCACACAGTGAAATTTGTATGTATTTATTGTATCATAGACAAAAATCCCAAAAAATTATGTGCTGCTTGACAGGGATCGAACCTGGAACCTTCTGCATGCAAAGCAGATGCTCTACCATTGAGTCACAGCCAGACCCAAGAGACCTTTGCTGCCTGTTAACACCATCAGGTTTCTTTTAACCAACTGCCAAGTGCCCTTCACTTAGTGGCTGATGTTTTATTCTTAATTTTACTTGAGTTAACAGCTGTCAGGATGGCCGAGCGGTCTAAGGCGCTGCGTTCAGGTCGCAGTCTCCCCTGGAGGCGTGGGTTCGAATCCCACTTCTGACAACAGAATTTTACTCGGGTTGTGCCCTGCCTTATTATTATGAAGGAAATTCAGATCAGAAATATTGTAAGAAATAGCATTGCTTCAATTATTTTTGGATTTTAAAATAACCATTTCCTTGCAAATTAATCTTGAAGACAGCAATAAAGAGGCATTTCAAACTTTGCTCCCCTTCCCTCCTTCCAAAATTGTGCCTTTGGGCATGAGGCCTTGTGGCTAGTCTTCCAGTAGGTAGGCCTCTGAAGTAACAGTACTGCTGAGGGAAATTTCAACCATCTGCGGTGGTCCAGGGCCGAGTCATGCTGAAACCACCTCAATAATGGCTTCTGGCTGCCACGTGATAGCCAGTCTCCGTGGCCAACGTGCCCACAGTCATTGCCACAAGGCAATGATGGAGATGGGGATTCCCTTGCTGCCCGCTGTGGGCCTTGTGATGTCATTTGCCCAAGTCCCTTGGCAACCCAGCCCAGTCATTGTAATATTTGCCTTTATTGTGCACCAGTCGCCGCAGCAACCGTGTGCTGCTGGCAGGAGGAGGAAGAGGAGGAGGAGGAGGAGGAGGGGATCCCCTTTTGCCTTGGAGCAATAAAACCAAAAAGATACAGTTTCTATCCCTCAGGGAGAGTCCCCTGACCCAGGCCTCCTTTCTTGCAGGCCAACATTTCTCAGGGGCTCTCCCCCCTACAGCGAGTCTCCTTCACCGCCTTCTCCTTGGTGAATCTGAGACTGAAAGAGGGCGCGCCACATTCCCACTCGCAATTTCGCGGCAGGCGAGAGGAGGAGTTTGATAAGAAGCAGACTGAGTCACTCAGGGAGGGGACTCATTTCAGGCACCACTAAGCCGCAGCTGAGCCTCCTCTTCTCTTGCTTCGCTTTGCCCACCCACCACTCCGAGGATGTGTTTATATCAGGAGGGTGGGCTTAAGTTGGCATGAGGCATTTTCTGTCCCCCACACCCCAGTCTTCATTCTCGGCTATACCGAGTCACCGACTTCCCCTTTTGACTCAACCAACCCAGCTCCCCGGCAAGGAACCACAAACCACAACTCAGCCCCATTTCCACAGCCCTGTTCTCTTTTCTATGCACAGAACAGCTGGATGCTACAACATAATATAAATTAAGAGTAGTTGCATTTTATTTTATTTTTGCAACGACCTGCTAGTCACAGGGGAAGAGTCACACTAGACATCTCACACATTTTGAAGGCTATCTTTGCAGCACGAAGGACTAGGAACTCGTTCTCTTTCTTTTAAATAAGATGAGAGGCTGAGTTCTGCATCCGATACCAATGTTTGTACTCGGTGGGGAGAGGTTGATTTGTTTATTTTTGGCATTTATATACTATCCGCCCCCATCATGTTCTCTGGGCAGCCCGTAACTTAAGCTCAATCATCAGGAAATGCAATTAATTGACAACTAAAATACAGCTAAAACGAAAAGTTGCATGGAATCTTGCCTATTTAAACTTTACCGCTCATGAAATACTCAGCATGGTTCACGCAAAATGGTAAGCTATGGTTTATTGCACTACAGCTTATTTCAGGTGTCACCCACATGACACCCATGGGTGGCAGTGTGCCAGTCAGTACCTCCTAAAGCACAGGTGAAAGGTCTCAGTAAATAGCCCCTAAAAAATTCACAAAACAGGAGAGACTGCTTCTGTTTTTACCTCCCCTGTATTGAATAGGTGCCTTTAAACATGCCCACATTTTATTGGGAGCCGAGACTAGATGCCCTCCTGTTCTGAACAGGGCAGGACTGTTGCATTCATGAGGGAAGGTGAGGGAGCCACCTTTGTGGTTCACCTCAGGTGCTGAAATGTTGTGGGCTGGCCCTGGAACAGGGAGAGGGGCAAAGAGTTTCTCTCATTGAGTATGTCAGTGGCTGCTGTAGGGCTCTTTCCCCCTTACAGATGAGATGGCTAATGGGATTTTCTTTATTTATAAAAGTGGTACTTTTTAGTGATTTCAATCGCTCGTGTGAAGTATTGTTTTTATTTGTTTGTTTGTTTCTTGTTTGCTGCCCATGGCAGCCATTTTGTTCTTGCACCTACAGCACTTTCATCATGGTTTGAGTACTGGCACCTCATTTTTTAAAAGGGAAAAAACCACAGTATAAACGTGTTTATATACCACTCTCTCATAAAATATAAGGGCAGTGAACAGCAATATAAAAACATTAAAAGCAGTACAGAACAAACATTAAAAGGACTGATTGCTCAAGAAAATCTTAAACAACTGCATAGGCCTGTCTAATTATGCAGCTGTGGCCCTTCCTCTTTGCACTTTTAGATGTGACAGCCATTTTGTGCCATGCCATGTCCCCCAACAGCAGCCATTTTGTGATTGTTACCCACAGTGTTTCCTAAAAATTCCAGATGCTTCCCACTGGACAAAAGAGTTAGCAACCCCTGACTTAGTGTTATGTGTGAACGCAGCCCAGTAGCTTAGCTACTGCTAAGAAACCACAAGTTGTAGCCACTGTTTTCTTCTTGCCTTGTGGACTGTGGTTTGTTTTTAACTAAGGCTTGGAATTTCATGGCTGCTTTGACCACACCACCCCGGATGCTTGCCAAGCTACAAAGGAAAGGACAGCTAGAAAACAAACTAAACTTTTGGAGAAACAAACCATGGTTTCCTCGACTGTGGGACAACCTGTAGTTAACTCATGGTTTGCTACAAACCATAGCTTAAACAAACTATGAAACAAACCCCTTGAAAGAGGTACCATTCTGTGTAGTGAAGAGCAGCCCTGCATTAAGCAAAGTTTGTCCCATTGGCATTTTTTAAAAAAAGTTTACAGTGGTGAATATTAACTCAGTCTGGTATAACTCAGTTGGTTAGAGCATGGTGCTGATAACAACAAGGTTGCGGGTTCAATCCCCATATGTAACAGCTGCATATTTCTGCATTGCAAGGGGTTGGACTAGATGACCCCCCAGAATCCCTCCTGACAATTATAGACAATTCTACGGTTCCATGCTGGATATTATTGAGCCTAAAGGTCAACCTCTGTTCAACACCTGTGTCTTCAGATGGAGCTGCAGACTCACTTGGAGAACCTCAGCAGGTTCGAGGATGCAGTGACATTTAAAGGGCAAGGAGAGGAGAACAGAAGAATGATGTATCCTTTTAAAAGACCGGAATCAAGGGCTCTTTGTCAGAGACATGTGGATCAAGTGATCTGAAGAGCATGAATGCAAGCTCATCAAAAGGGCCCCACCCCTTCCCAAGCTGCAGTCTTGCCACAACTTGTGAGCAGAAGGTAATGCTGTCTATAGAATCCCCGCTGTCCCAAAAAATGTCCTTAAGGGTCTGCTTCCACTGTACCTCTTTAAACAGCAGAGTTTGATAGTCAGAAGGTCAGACACAGTGTTTATATTTTCTCATGAAGTGGAATGGAAAAGGTTGGGCAGCCTTTCTAGGGATATCTGACATACCAGGGAAAAAAACTTCAGGTATTTCTATAATTATCTCATTATGTACAAGGTAGAATGTGGTGGTGGTAGAGAACAAGCCTGCGTTGCAGGAGGTTGGAGGAGATGATCCTCTGGGTCTCTTCCAACAAGTCTACAATTCTATTGATTTTAAAAATCTCTACAACCTAAGTCTTCCTCAGAAATCCAGCTCCCCCTTCTCTCAGGTTCAGACTTGAAGTAGGCAATCCCCTGGATCACCAAATGCCTTATTGTTTGTGTTAAAATCAGCCATGCAGGGTGGGGTCATTTGGTTCAGGGCTGGTTCACAGCGCTCTTCCAACTTAACCTGTTGAATAATAGGGCATTGTAAATTCACATGGTACTCCTCTCTCCTGCTGTATTGATGCTGCAGATGTTTATCTGGCACAGGAAATCAGTTTCAGGTGCTCTTGTTTCCTTAATACAGGTTGCTTTGCAGACTTCAGAGTTACTGGTATGTTTGATGTGTGTATCTCCCCGCCGCCGCCAGATTTCCCTGGCCTAGGCATGCAATGGTCATCTGGTGCAGTGGTTAGAGCACTGGACTAGAACTGGGGAGATACAGATTCAAATCACACTCAGCCACAAAGCTGAGCAACCGGGCAACTGGAGCTACTCTTTATCTCTCATTCTCTCTCTCTCTCTCAACATATCCTACATATGTGAAAAAGATAAAGAACTACAGTATAGGGAAAAGAACTATGTATTTCACCCTGAGCTCCTTGGAAGAAAGACAGGGTACTGTATAAATGTAATAATGAGAGGATTTCTGATTAGCTTTGGGGGCAGAGAGCAACACTCAGTGCAGAGCAGATACCCAAAAGACCCCAAAAGCTCAAAGAAGACCCAAAGGCAGGGAACCATTAGACAGAGTGAATCAGCTGCGTAAAGTGGCAGCAGCAGGCCCCCCCTACTCTTGAGCCCCCTAAACTAGCCTGGTGTCCTCAGGTACTGTGGAGGCTGCTGTCCCATCATCAGTGTCAATTGTGGTCCAGTAGATTCTGTATCTTGAATGGGTGTGTTTGCAAAGCCATCATCTCATCCACCAAAATATATCAGACAAGCCCTGGTGTAAGGCAGATTCCCCTATGTTCCTAAGAAGACAGGGACTAACCATTTATTAATTTAAACACCTTTTTTCTACCAGTCCTTGGCTGATTTTTAATTTATGTGTCCAGGCATTCCATCTGATCTGGGGTGTGCATGGATTGGCTTGGAGCTGAGATACTGGTTTCTGTGATGACAGGTTTGTGTCCCAAGGTTTCAGAACATAGCACAAGAACATACAAAATGCCCTGCTGGATTAAGCAATGGTCAGCATCCTCACAGTGGACAACCAGATGCTC